CGAATTTTTTGTTTTGGATGTTGAAATTTTACAATGAAAAACAGAGAATGAAAATTCAGAGAAAATTTTATAAGGTAACTTCCATGAAATAAAATTTTTTTTTCAAAAGTTGATTCTTAATGAGAGAAGATTCGATGAACCACATTATTCTATGGAAAATTCAATTATTTTTGTTTAACTAGTTCGATTAAGTTGAGTACTTTCAGTAGATGAAATATTACCAAAAAAACCCAGAAATGATCCAAATTTTTCAGTCTTTTGTTTTTGCTTATATCAACTTCAATTCTCGCATTTATGCATATGGAAAACAATGAATGTTTTTGTAGTTACCTTTATGTTATTCTACTTGGGCTTTTGATATTCCACAATTCACCTCACACTTCGTCTTTGGAAGGGGGACATCGAAATTACGTCACTCAGTTTTTTTGTCGTTTTCGGATAATTGGAAGGCGATTTCAATGACGAGAGAAAGGTCACTCGAAGGAACCACGAAACCGTCTTTTGTGGACATTTCCTCGTATATTTAGGCTCTTCTTTGTATTTTTCTGAACTCGAGAATATATTTTTCCAAAATTTCTGGCTTGGGTCGAATTAAAATTCGAAAAGGAAGAACTAAGACCAGTACTTTTTTGAGAGTTTCACGACTCGCCATAAAAACTTTTATATTTTTTAAAAATCAAAAAGTACCTTTTTGAAACTTTTTCAGAACTATGAGAGCCGTTTAAACATTTATCAGTATTTAGGATTTTTTTGATAAATCAGAAATTTTTTTCATTTTTCAGTTTTTAACATACACGTTTTTCTTAATAGCCTTTCTTTCTGAAAAACGATTTCTCCTTCGGAAGCTGTCTTCAGAGTTTGATCCAACCAATCTGATCCCTTTTATTTTTGTTCTCCTCCAAAAAGGTTTCGAAAACACAGAAACCTGATCCCGACTAATCCGAAACCGATCCCGAAACAATGGAATCCTTTAACCATTGGTTAAAAAAACAACGGAAACCAATAAATTTTTTGCATCCTTTCGGATAGAAGCCGTGGTTGCCAAGCAGTGATTCTTTCCCTTTTTCCTGAAAGCAACTTGGCTATTCGCCCTTTTTCCTATTTTCTTCTTCTCATCCGGATTTTTATAATTTTTGGAACATCTGAAAATTTCATTTTTTTCTGGTATACGTAAGTGAAAAACTACTTATCGGAACTTGATTTCTAATTTTCTTGGCTATGTTTTCGTTTCTTTTTTGTACGACCTCATTCGAAAAAAATAATTTCCTTTACTCTAATTATCGTTTCTTTCTTAATTAAACTTAAAAATTTTTTTGAGAGACCTTAGAAAGATTCTAGAGATCTCAGTTAATACTGCATCTTCTCGAAAAATAACGTCACTCAAAAAAATGTGTAAGTACAGGTGGATGTGAAAAAGAAAGAGGCTTCAGGCAGTTTTGTAAATTTCGGACATTCTACAATAAATAACCGTATTAAAAAGCTCCTAAAAATATATTGGCGTGTTTCGCTCAGGATTCTCTAAACCCAACTGTTAAACGTCAGTATTTTCATAAACTGCAGATATAAACAATTTTTGTGGCCATTCCAAATGCGACCACAGCGTCCTAAAAAAAAAGTAAGATTTTTATCTCAATTTTTCCCGTAACGTTTTCAATTGATCTGTAGTGAAGAACTACTGGCATAAAATTGCCTATTATATTATCGGTTCTTTGTTTGCAGCGTTGATCTTATCACTTTTTTTATCTCTCCCGGTTTATCAGTTGGTGTTGAATGTTGTTGCAAACTAAGAACAAAAAGGACAGCTGGGTGGCCGGAAATCCCTTCTTTTCTCTTTCCGAAAAATTGTTGAAATGAAAAACACCTAGAAATGGAAAATGTGTGAAAAGCGCTTCAAATTATGGCCATTTTTCCAAAACAGAAAATGTCTTTGAAACGTGTAGAAAATGGATTGCAATATATCAAGCTTTTTTTGCTGTCAATTGGGGGTTTCTGATGTAATATTTTTCAGAAAGTCGTGACTGGCATCAGAATATATAGCTCGAAATAAAAGTTCCATTCTCAGAGTTGTTGATCAATTTTCCATAGCTCCACATTGATGAAGTCGGCCAATAACTTTCTATTATAAATCAACTTAACCCTCTTTCTAATTTTCTTAGAAGTCCATATAAAGGATAGTAGTATTTTTTCTCTGGTAGGAAGCGATTGCAAAATGCTGACTCGATAATCTCAATGGAGAACAATAGTCCATTCAAGTTTTCAAGACGATAAAAAAAAAGAAAAGTGGGCGTGGTCCAGGGATACACTGAAAAGCTTTTTGCTCCGATAAACGTCTCTTTCCTTAAATTTTAAAGCTGTGGTCGCACGTGAAATGACTATCAGCGTCGCGGCTGCGTTGCGGTCTATTTATTGCTCTTCGATATTGAACAGTTTGTTTTTTTCATTTTACATGTCTCCGCGTTCAATTCAACCCAAATCGCGTCTTGTAGAAGCTTTTCTGCCATCGAGCCATTCTTTGTGCGATTGGTCGAAGAAGTATTTGAGATTTCTCTCGCGTTTTAGATACCTTAGAGAAATACAGTAAGTGGACTGTAAGCCCAATTTTGAGCATGGCGTTGAAAGTAGTGATTAACTCGTTTCAAAGGGTTTTCATTATCAATCTTCATTTCGTGAGTTTTCATGAGAGTTCTGAACATTTTCCCCATAATAATAATAAACCTTCCAACTTCTCATTTTGCTTTTTGCCGTTTTTCAAACCAATCGGCAACATTATACGGTATCACACAACGGATCAATCGACCACCCAAAAACTTTTGAATACGATAATCTTGTTCCACGGACTGCTATAATTCCTGACCGTTATTTGATGTTAAACTTTGTGGGAGGCCATTGTGTCGTCAAGAAAAAGTTTGAGATAATTAAAAATGAAAAGTTTTAAAAAGGAATTCTTTCCAATAAAACAAAAAAACAAAAAAATGTTTGACTTCTTTAATTGCAAACCTGTTTCAACCTCACTTTTTTTGTTTCATATCCTTGAGATACGTTATTTTTCCTAAAAAATTCACTGCGAAATAAGCAGAACGGAAAAGTTTTAGATTTTTTTTCGTACTCATACAGAAAACCTATAGAGAAAGATATGAGAAGAAAATTTATTCCCAGAGTTGTTGATGAATATTCCGTGGCTCCGCACTAATGACGTCCGTCACTAAGCTGTACCTTGTACTTCAAGGAGGCTAACCTTTTTTTCTTTTTCGATTTTTGCAGGATCATTTTGCTCTCCAGGAAATTAAACGATAGAAACAAAATAATTTTTTTAATTTTTTTTTTTCAAAGACTTTTAACGATTCACACACCCTCTAACGCTATCAAAAACGTTCGAATCCGCTGAAGCCCATTCGAACTCTGGAAATGTTAAGTCATGGTCAACAATTTTATTGAAAATTCCCGAACCCAAAGCCAGGAACGATGTTTTTTTTTGGTCATTTTAGTTTAATTTTCTTTAGGCATACGCTTGAAACATTTTCAGAAAAATTCAAAAAGTGCATCGCAACTTTCGCCGATTTAATTTTTTAGCGTCTCGCTGTATTTCAAACCAAAATGAACAGCATTATACAGTAACCTCGTTCATAAAATAATCCGTGTCTGTTCCTTTTTTCTGAACACAGAAGGTCTACGCACTACTATAATCCGTTCGCCATAATCCGATTTATTTCATAGTTTGGTTTTTCCGATTTTCCGGCTTTTTGAAATACTTTCTTTCTCTAGATGAAGGAAAAGTTTAACTGAAGGAAATTTCTTTGCTAACTTCTGTTTAATTCTCTGGTGAATAATTGGGAAACATTTTTTGGATAAGTCTGAACTTCGAAAAACCTGATAAAAAGATTACTTTCCCATGCTCACGAGGTTTCTTTCACTCACTGGACAATTGGCCTTCCTGGTTTGATGGGAAAAATCCAAAAATTGTAGATCTCGAACTCAAGAACTTTTCCATAAACTTGCATCAGCACTTCATAAATCTCGAGATTTATGCGTTTTGCGCCTGACTTCAAACGGATTTACCTCGGATAGAAGGCGCAAATCGTCACTTGTCGGACGCTAATGGCTCTTTGACGATCTGAACTCCTTTTTGAACGTCAAAGATTTTTTATAAATACGAAAAATGAGAAAACACCTAATGAGCATGCAAAAATACTCCGGAAGTCGTTTTTTTATAACAGATTTTTTTGATGATGTTTTTTTCTGAACTTCATTCCAAATCACTAAAATATTTGAATATTCCACTAAATAAAAAAATTGATCGAAGGTTCGATTTTTATGACCAAACTACACACAGATGTTTGTATGAATATTTTTTTCTGTTGACTTGAGAACTTGGAAAAAGAAGTTTTGAGGATAATTTTTGAACCAAATTTAAACCCTTGTCCTACTCAACTTCCTGAGGAGCTTTTTTTAACGATTTTTTTCAAATACAGTTTTCAAACGGTATATTCATTTATGAAAAGAAGAAACCAAACATTCTTATAACCATTTAACATACTATATTTGTTCGCCTGCACAAAAACTTTTTTTGCTGCTCTCTGTTTGGAAATTTTAACTTTCAGTTGATTTGACCATTTGGAAAAAAAACTGGATTAATAAATTTCATGGTAAAAAAACACTCAATCCGGAAGATTCAACTAAAAAGTGCTATTTTTCTCCAGACAACATTTTCTCCGAAATTCCTACTTTAAATAATATTTTTGCAATGAAGTCCTGGTCGATTTGATCTATGACTAATAAAAAAATACCAATATTCGTTTTTTTTTGTTGTGAAACATCTATTATTCGGAAAAAACGATGCAATCCTTGTCTAGAAAAGCTTTCAGCACATTTACATGTTTTCGATAATATGAACAGTAGACAGAAATGTTTTCTTATCAGCGATAAATCGCCCTCGAATCACTTAGTGAGTCACAATCGCCACGAAAAACTGTGCTAAATGTCTATGTTCTCTTTTTTTCTGTATGCTTCTCGCGGCAGCCTCGTTGAACTCCGGGGAGGCGGGGTCTTGTGGGGCGGTACAATACGATTTGTTTCCAGGGCATGCAATCATTGGACCGCGAGACTCGCTGAAAATGCTGCTGAGGCTCGCGCTCATCTTCCAAATATGGGCAGCGCTGATAGATCCGACGTCTGGAGCTGGTTGCGAGATGCAAGGAGTCTGCTTCGAAGAAGGCTCCATCTCCGCACCTTGTCCAGCTCCCCTAAACGCCACCACCGTCGAAGCTCCCCACTCGGACCAGGATTTCGACAAACTCCGCGATCTCTGTCCTCATCTTTTTACTGGTCAGTTTTCATTATCTTCTTAAGAATTTTACGACCAACATTTTTATTTTTATCCTATTTCCATGCAACTTTTGTAAGTCTCCAAAAAATTCAATTCAAAATAAAAATCTTAATAAGAAGACTTGAAATTTACCCAGAACTTGTTATTCTACTGATCTCAAGACTGGATCAAAATCATTAGATTTGAACTTTCTTTCAAACTTTTTCGAGGAAAGGTTTGAATAAATATTTTCCACCGCTAGAACTTCTGCAAACCTCCATTCTTGAGGATATCAAATTCAAAAAATCTCAAACCATTCTTTGAGCTAAATTATCCTGTTAGCAAAAAGTAGCGCTTTGAAAAATTTTCTGTGTTTCTGACCACTCAGAGAAAAATTCCTTCAAGCTGATGACTCATAAAATCGGGAACATTTGTCACTTTCCGGCAAGCTCATATAAAAAACAGTCTGCCACTTACACAGAAAAAAGGAAAAAATGTATTCACAGCCTTTTGAAAACTATAAAAAAATAATATATTTTTGAGATATTACACTAAAATTATCAATTTTACACAAATATTTATCAAAATCGGATTTCACAGACGGAAACGAAGTATGTTGCAACAAACCGCAAGCTCGGGGTCTGGTCAAGCAGCTCGAATCTTTTAATTCCGTCTTCCAAAGATGTTCGAGCTGTGTTGATAACTTTGCCAAGCTGTGGTGCGACTTCACCTGTTCTCCCAATCAACAAAACTTTGTGAAGGTGTGTTTTATTGGGTTTTATTACCAATTAAAGTTGGTTGCAAATAAAATTCGTGAAATAACTTTCAAAACGGAGCAATAGGCTTGGAACGGAGGTTTCCAATTTTTAAAAGGGTCATCATGGGTATCATTTGTCTGTGTCTGAAAGCACCTTCTCAAATTGTTTCGAGACAAAAATAGCAAATCCGCTACAAAAAACTGTTTTTATGTGGATTCAAGCAATTTGATCACCTTTTTTTGCTTGAACCGACACCAAAAAAAAAGTATTTTGAATCAGATATGACGTTTTTTCGCTTTCCAAACATACTGCAAATGGATTTGAGTAGGCCATCTCGATGAATTTCCCACGTTTTCCTATTTTCCTTTCAATCATACAAATCAAAAGATTTCCAAACTTTCCGAACACCATTTACGGCAACGTGAATAACTCTTTTGTTGTTTGCTTTTTGAATCAGTTGCTTTTTGATTGACTTTTTTTCCTCCAGTGCACGTGTTGCTTACATCGATAAGGAATACTGAATAATCTGACGTCATGAATCAACAAAATGTGTCCTTATTTGTGGCGCAACAGTTCGTTATTTGAAAGTGATAAGATGAATCATATGTAATCTTATCATATCAATAAAAAAGAAAGTTTTTGAAGGTCCTGAAAACGGCGGAAAAAGATGGGACAAGATATGTGACAGATGCGCAGTACAGGCTCAGCAAAGATTTCGCTGAAGGAGTTTTGAGATCTTGCAGAAGTGTGAGTTTTCTTCTGGCGTTGTAATCGAGAATCATTATTGAAAACTGCCCAAGTTTTAAATTTTTCAATAAACTTTCGAGATTTGGAATGGTAAAAAAACCGATAGCTTGAGCTTTTGACGGCTTATCAGTCATACATTCAGGAGAAGCTTCAGTTTGCGATTTTTAAATTGAAGAGCTCAGAAAAAGTGCGAAGTATACCTTATGATGGTTCACTTCAAATCTGGAACAATAGTCTTAATAAAAAGTTTTTAAAGATTTAATGACGCTTTGTAAACCTCTCAAATTCTTTTCCCGATTTCTTGAACATTTTTCAAGATTCATTTTTCAGGTGATGCTCGGTGACCTTCCAGCCATCTCCCTGATGTGCCAAGGCCTGGGTCGATCACAATGTACCGTGCAGACCTGGCTGAACTTCATAGGAACCAAAAATCCTAGTGCTGGAATCCCGATCAACATCAAGTTCGACCTTATCGACAAACCAACGGCAGACAACACTACTTTAGACCTGGTATTCATTTTTTTTTATAGGCGTTCCTTTAATCCTATCAAATATTTTATTCGAATATTTTTTAAAATATTTTTCAAATCCATTATATAATGGCTGATTGAAAGTTGCAGTTCAACGAAACTTCTCGCGAGGATTTCAACGACCAGACGGCAACTCCGTGTAATGTGTCGCCGAGAATGGGTCGCGACGCGTGTCCGCGAAGCGACTGTGACCAATATCCGGAAAAGAAAATCATCGACTACACCATTCCCGTAGAAGAAGTGAGTTATGAACTGTTTCATCTCACGTAATTTCAAAAGCGATTTTACATTTTTGTTGAATTGAAAAGGCCATCTAAGTTTGCGAGTATAGAGATGCAATTTAAAAATTTCTACGCTTTTTATTTCTTCTTTCCGTTAAACCAGTCATCTTTAGAAAAAAAGAAAAAAGAGTTTTTGATAAATTTCGATAGTTCTTCTTTTGAATAATCCAAATTCGTTTACTACGCACAACTCATAGAAAACTGGTTTTCATTAAATCCACAATGATGTGTAGCCTATTTGTACCTATATTTTGGGCATGTCAAATATTTGATCTGAGCGAACTCTGAAGTCAAAACTGAATTTTTAGGTTGAGCGGATATTTTTGCAAAAAATCGGGAATTAAAAAACGGATTCTACAGTTTCAAGTTCAAGTTTTCTGCTGGTTTGAAAAGCTCTGTCCATTCCGAAAAGAAAAATATTTGAAGGATCCTCTTATCTTCTCACTTGACCGTTGAAAGTGCTGAGATCTTGGTGAGCCAAAAAACGGCTCTTTGTTGCGATTTTCCTCCTTTCTCTGGGCCTTCCCGTAACTAAGTGGCACATCTATCTTTCACTTTTGTCGAGGCGATGTAGAGCGATGGTTATCTTCAATGCAAACATTTTCAAAGGTGGAGGGGATTTTCGAACAAAGAAGGGTTAAAAGTCAGCTCAAAAGAAGCTCAACTCGAAGGAACAAAAAAACTGACTGGTTATAAAGTATCAATTCCCAGGAGACATTTTTTGGGAGAAACATCCTTTTTCGGGTGTTACCAGACTGTTTGTCACTTAGTTTACGTTTGGTGTCGTTTGGAGGGGATTTGCAAACCGGGGCAAAAGTTGCAAGCCAAGTTGCCGCCACTAAGAGAGTAGATAAATAGAAAGGCGCTAGGCTAGCTTGGGACCGGCCTCACGCGTCTCTCGCGCGCCACTGCTAACGTCAATATTTTCCGGGGGCAAGTACATTCGGTAGTAGCAAATGACAAAAGGAGAAAGTTGGAGTCAGATGAAGGTTAAAATTTTAACTTTCCTTCAAAAAAATACTTATTTTGAGTGCTTGACTCATTTATGAAGTTCTACTGCTAGTAAATATTGAAAATTCTGAAACTTCACTCGAAAATGGTTTTGATAGTTACAGCCTTTAAGATTTCCCAATTTTCAAAAAGACGTTCGAGGTCAAAGTGGTCACTTTAAGATTTGGAGTCTTTTTATTTAATTGAGGTTATACGCTCATTGAAGTCCTGAAGCGACTTTTTTCAAATATTTGTTTTTTTCAAATGAATTAAAAAAACGTTCATTATAATTTAAGCCTTCAGATAAAAAAATAAGCTTTGGATTAATGATTGTAGAGATCTCGAAGATGATTTTTAAAAAAATCCAGAAAAAAATTTTTCTTTCATACAGAACGGATAAAAAAATTAATTAATCATTCAACTTAAAAAATTTTTGGGAATGTTGGCTCATAGAACAATGTCCGAAATTCCATCAAACCAAACTTTTTTTCAAAAAAATCACATATTCTGCCTAGGGTCTACTTGTTATTTTCCCACAACTTCTTTTTTTTTTCGTTTTTTCAGCTCCCAAGAAGACCCACTAAGCGACTTCCCCCAATGTTTTTGCGCTTTGGAAAAAGATTTGCCGGGCGAGAGCCATGTAAACAGCGGCACATATAAATGTAACTCTTAAAAACCGAACCACAGACAAACTTTGATGATGCATCAGAAAGGTTTTCAGAGAAAAAAAAACGTTATTTGTTTGCTGAAACTGTTTGCAAAAAAAGAGAACAATGCAGTTTTTGATGACTCATAATTGAATTGGGCTCTTTTTTGTGATTTGTCTCTGTGAATTTGCTTAGAAACAGGGGAAAAAATGGGACAGAAATCATAAACGAGAAAATGATCAGATTGAGGAAAAAAAAAGTTGGAGAAGATTTTTTTGAAATTATGAAAAAGTTTTTTTGATGATTTGAATCAATTTTTAAAAAAAGATTTTTTTCAGGAAGTTCGCTTCTCGATCTTGTTGCCTATCGATACGTCGAGGTTGTTTCTGGGAGCTACGATTATTCTATCGATTATGGTATTCTACTGTGTTTGGTGCGTGTTGAGCCGGAGGAAAAAAGCCAGACGAGAGGAAAGGGTGGGTTCACTTATTTATGATAATATTTTACAGGATAGGATTATTGTTAAAAAGAATAACCAAAATTATAGCTTTATGGAGAAACCAAAAAAAAAATCGTAAATTAAAGATTGGAGCTTACAAAAACCTGAGCTCAGAATTTTTTTCGATTTTTTTGTTAGGGCATGAAAAAAATTTTTTTGGGCCTTGAGAAAGCTCGAATCAACGACTTGAGTTATCAAAAAAGGTGTAATAAACTTGGTTCGCTAAAAGTTTCAAATCAATTAGAATTCTAGGCTCGAAACTGTATATTCAAAAAAGGATTTATTTTCTATCCTTCCATTTTTTCGCATGTCGATCTTGCATTTTTCGAGCTTTGCACTTTCATCTACAAGAATTTTCAACCAATTCAATTTTAGAGTTATGCTCCCGGCCGGCTGCATAGAACTGGAGCCTGGATCGAGCGACAACTCGAGAGCGGATGTACCGAATACGGCCGGGTTGGGAAACAAAAACGGTCTTCCTTACAAAAAGTATTTTTTAAGCTCGTGGCTCGAAACCCTTACAACGCTATCGCGACAGGCTTGGTCATTGCAATGATCGCCTGCAGTGGAATGATTCATTTTTCTTTGGTATCGGATCCAGTTGAAATTTGGTCTTCGCCGAACTCCAGAGCTCGTCAAGAAAAGAACTTTTTTGACGCCAAATTTGGGTCAGTTGGATGGTTCTGAACTGCTAGATTTTTTTCCTATTTACTGAAGGGCCTCAGAAAGAAGAGAAATATTGGGAAAGTGAATGGTAGATTCTTTGAAAAACGTAAAAGATTTTTCAGGTTTCTGAGGCTCACAATTGCCCAATCTGCAAAAACAAGAAACTTTTGAAGTTCAAATTACCTTCGGCCGTAAAGTTGATAAATACGGCAGCACTTTTCAGCGCGAAAAATCAAAGAAGCTAGAATTGAAATTACCCAAAAAAATTCCCAAAGAACGCTGAAATTCTTTTTCCACGTTACAGATCGTTCCAAAGAATCGAGCAAGTCACGTTTGTCACGAAAAGCGATTTAAGGAGTGATGAACTTCTCCCAGGCGCCATTTTCGACCAAGCTCACTTTGAAGAGGTTTTCAGCTGTAAATTAATCTTCTCCTTCAAAAAAAAAATTCAGATTCTGAACGTAGTCAAGGAAATCGAAAACATCACGGTTCTTTGGCCTGGAAGCAAGAGGACTTCAGCTAGAAGCATCACTCTGCAGGACGTTTGCTTCAGACCGATGGGTCCAAAGGCTGATTGCCTTGTCATGACTCCTACTGGATACTTTCAGGTTCGTCTTGATCTCTGAATTTCGAAATAAAAGCGAATTTTAGGACGATTTGGAAAAAATGAAGTTGAATTTCACGCCTATCCAAAGTGAGGACGACTTCAACTACGACGATCCGGAAAGTGGTCCTGCTTTTCCTTTGCACATCAAAGAATGCCTAACGTGAGAATTGATTTTTTGATTAGTTCAAGGTTTATTTTTTCAGGACTCCAATGAACATCAACACGAAAGCTGGCTTGAGCTGTCTGGGACTTTACGGAGGACCGATTTTCCCAAATATGGTCTTTGGTCAGCATCCAGAACGAAGTGTCAGTTTTTTATTGAATTATTTTTTCATTTTATTTTTGGTGAAGTTTTCATGAACTTCAGGTTTTTTCTTGAGTAGGCATCGAATAATCGGAAATTGAATGATAAGTGATAAACAGGCTTCAAAAACTCAAAGTTTCGTGAGGCTGTGCTCTTGAATATGTTCTTGGAACCATTGTTCTTTCCATGTTCTTGGCTTTCATGTTGATTTGTTGTGTTTGTAATTCCAGAAAAAGTAGGTTAGAAAAAGTGTTTGTGTTTTTAATTCCAGAAAAAGTAGGTTAAGGTCCAAAAAAAATTGGAAAAAAAAACAGAATGCAGTTCAACTTTTGTTCAGGTAGAAGAATCACATGTCGCCACCGTTACCTACACCTTGAATCGCATCGACAGCGAAGAAGATCGTGAAAAAGCGCTGATTTGGGAGGCCGCGTACGTCAAAAATCCCTTGAAATGCAAATTCCTTTATTTTACAGGTTCATCGAGAAATTGAAAAACTACAAGGTCAGACATCCAAACATCACTATCTCCTTCATGGCTGAAAGATCTATCGAGGTTAGACATTAGGAAGAAAGACCCATGAAAAGTTTCCAAACCTCAGGACGAACTGACAAATGAAGCCACTGACGACATTGGAACCATCGTTCTTTCCATGTTCTTGGCTCTCATGTTGATTATCGTCAACCTCGGCGAGTACAGAGTGCTCGACAACAAGTTGGCAACGCTTTTGGTCCATTCGAAAGGGTTGATTGCCTTGTTGTCCATTCTGATCATGGTAATCAGTACCTTTTGGTGAGTTTTAATTTTGATTTTTTTCAGAAAGTTTTTTTTTCCGAATGTTAACTTTTTTTGTTTCATGTTTCTTTCAGCTTGTATACATTACTGTTTTTTAAAACTTTTTTCATGAACCATGCGGATAGAAATCTCATGCTCTTGTTTGTATTTGCATGAGATTTTATTAAAATTGGCCGAACAATTAAAAAAAAAATCGTGCGCATTACTTTGAAACCATCACTGTTTGACGGAAAACTTCCGGAATATTGAAAAGCTTTAAGAAAGCTCTAATGTCGCAAAAAATGGTTCAAATCGATCTGAGATCTGAAAGTTACAGCTCCGTCGGCGTCTTCTGTTACCTGAACGTGAAGGCCACAAAAAACGCCATGCCGGTCCTTTTCTTCATGGTCATGAGTGTGGCAATTAATCACATCTTTATCTACGTGCAAACCTATCAAGTGCGAAAATCATCCTAAGTCAAAAAAAAAAATAACTTTTCAGAGATGGTGGAGAAAAGACGGAAGAACTTCCTTGGAAGAGAGGTTTGGCCTTCTGTGTGGCCAAACCATGCCGACAATCTTGTTGAGTGTGGTTTCTTCAAGTTTCTGCTTCTCCATGGGTAACAAAATTTGAACTTTGGAAAAAATACAAACATATTTTCTAGGAGCTCTCACTCCGATGCCTGCTGTCAGTTCATTCTCACCCTACGCTGGTCTCGGCCTGGTTTTCAACTTCATTCTGCAAAGCACAATCCTCCTTGGAGCCTTGCTTCTCGATATCCGCAGAGAGGAAGTAAGCTAGTTTACCAACTTTACTTGGATCATACAGAAAAACACATTTTGAAGCTTTTTGAAAAATTTTCTCCCTCGAGTTTTTTTTCAAAATTTTCAAACCTCAGCTGTGATCTCTATTCTGTCTTTTTTTTTGAGGATTTAAAGTCGATGTCTGAAAAACAGTAATATAATCTATCAACTTTAAAAATGAACTCAAGTCGGAATTTTCAAAAAGAAGGAAACGGTTTTTGATTGAGAATTTCACAACTTGGTATCTACTGGTTTTTTCTCCCAAACTTTATTATACAACTATAAACTTTTTGATTCAAAAATAAATAATCTTCCTTTCAGGATGGCCGCATCGAAATAACCCAGCAAAAGATGGTCGAAATCGATGAGGTCGTTGAAGCTGAAGGTTACGTCATGGCCGTGTATGAAAAAACGTTGGCCCCAGTTCTGATGAAAAAGAGCACCAGAGCTATTATTGTTCGTTTTGAAACAAGGGAATCTTCAAAAATATCCAATTTCAGATCGTGATTTTCGGAAGTTTTTTCATCTTATCCGGGTTCGCCGCCACGACCATTAAAGTTGGATTCGATCAGACAATGGCTGTTTCTGAGGTCATTTTTGGATTTTCAATGGTGAAAAGGCATAGGAGTCAGGATATAAATCATTGGATCTACATATAGGATAATGATACTGTAGACTGGATCATAATGAAAAAAATATTTTTGGCTCTTCTCTTTCTTATTCGATTGTTCGACATCTGATTTAAGTAAAATAATTTCAGAACAGCTACTTGAGCCAGCACTTCAAGTACCTCGACCTGTATATGAACGTTGGGCCTCCCGTTTATTTTGTCGTGAGAGGAGAAGTCGATTTGCATGACCCTTATGTACAGGTAAAGAAAAATAAAGGAAACATTGGTAATATCATTTTTAAGAATTCGTTTTGCACCGGCGCTGGATGTAATGAGAACTCTTTCGGGAACATTCTTATCGATGCCGCGAATGCCAAAAAGTTAGTTTTGTTTTTTTATCGGAAAAAAGAAAAAAAGAGCTTGACATGATGTGTATTTTTTTGATTGTCAGAAATTTCTTCTTGAAATTTGTTGAAATGAAGAAAAAAAATCAATTTTTTTCAATTAAAGAAGGTTTGATGGATTTCAAATGTTCATTAGCTCACAAATTAACTTTTTTTCTCCAATACACATTGATTGTCTCAAAATAATGTTAAACTGAATGTTTTGAAAGAAAACTTTGTTCATCTGAAAAACTGCCATATTATAACGATGAACCAGAAAATAGCAACTACGGCAAAGTCCAGGAAGACCTAAAAAGAAGCTTTCAGAGAAAATGATTCCTCAAAAAGTAACAGAAGAAAAATTGAATAAGATGGCCAAAAAATGAAGAAAGAAAGTTCAGTGAAACTTTTGGCACTATTTTGAAACGCAATAAGAAGCTTTGAACTTTTCTTTTCGGAGTCTTTTTGAGTCGGTTTAGACCCGGCCTGTGAAGCCAAAGGAATTCAAAAAAATTGCAGAGGAGTGGTCCAAGGCACAGTCTTCAACTGGGTCGACACCTACCTCGAATGGATCAGCCGTGACGGAAATTGCTGCAAAGTTCGACCCGACTCTCCAAAAACGCTATGTGGTCAGAAAGAACTTGAAAGTGCTCAAAAATGCTCTTGACCTTTTCAAAATACTTTATTCAGTGAGAGGCTACAACGGTTCTGCCGAATTCTGCACAAGTTGTCTCAATTTCGACAGCATCGCCATGAGGGCCAAGAACACTTCCAGCCTCATCTACAACCGGCCTTCGATGAAGACTTTCTATGAATATCTGCCGGCTTTCATGGAAGACGTCCCGAATTTCCGCTGCATAAAAGGGTTAGTTTTTCTAAAGAATTTTAAGAAAAGGTACCAGATTAGAGTACAGAAAACAAACCTAAAGAAAAATTACATGTACATACGCGATAAATTGATGAATTAATCCAAGAAAACCTCGAAAAATTGATTTTTCCTTTGAAGCATTCATGTACAGAAGACTACGCAAATGTGACACAATTTTTGATTTTAAAGACCTTAATCATAAAATAGATTCTCTTTCTTTTTTTCCGATTTTCATTTTCGGTGATTTATTTGCACCAACTTTTATCAGGCTTCATCAAAAATTACTCCGGTTCCCTTTGGAGGTAGCTTCGATAATCTAGGAACGAAACTTTCAAAATTTTCCTTTCAAGTTTTATTAGAGCTTTTTACCTTTTCCCGCAGCTCTACAGTATATCAATTTTACAAGTTTCCAATTTTTCCTTGATTTTAGCGGTCGAGCAGCTTTCAAAGACGCCATCAGCCTCAATTCTCGTGGACGAGTCAGCGCTTCGCATTTCATGGTCCTGGGTAGAAAGATCCGAATCAGCAATTCTCAGGAGTTCATGGGTTGGTTTTTCGAAAAACTGGAGGAATATGAAAATGTAAATTTCAGACGCGATGACCATGGCGAGGACTCTGGCAGGACACCTGAGAAAAGCTCTCAACGATACGGTGGACGTTTTTCCTTACAGGTACTTTTTTTTGAAAAAATTTCAGCGTACAGGAATAACTTAAGGTTAAAGAAAATATTTAAAAAAGGCATTTTTTTCGAAACTTAAAATCAGAAGATGTATTCAGATAGCTTCTAGTAACCCTCGAAAAATCAATTAGAAAATCCGTTTCTTGAAGAAAACTTGAATCTCTGAAGCTTCATCTTCAAAAAATTGAAGCTCTAAAAATAAATAGAAAAATATCTTTCAGCCCGTTCTACGTCTTTTATGAAGCTTATCAAGACTGTGTGGAAACTGCGGTTAGTGTTATTCTTCTGTCGTTGACGGTCAATTTCGTGGTCACGGGAATCCTTCTTGGAATCGACTATAAAAGTGCTCTGTTCGGAGGTGAGCCTTTTCCCTAACTTTCACTCAATTGATTATCATTCAAGCTTATCAGTAGAGTATTTCTTATCGAATATTTCAGTTATGACAATCGCCATGGTGGTCGTCGACCTGATCGGGATCATGGCCATTTGGGGAATCGAACTGAACGCCATTTCTATCGCCAATTTGGTCATGGTATGTTTATATTCAAACAGATGCTGAGAAATGATATTATTCTACTTCAGGCCCTCGGGATCTCTGCGGAATTCGTCGTCCATATTCTTCGCGGCTACTGCTATTCAGAAAGAGTCACGAGAGTTGACCGAGCGACCGAATCTTTTGTGAAAGTTGGATCCACGGTCAGTTCTGTTCCCAGCCTCATCTTCTTCGAAACCTCTTTAGATGTGTTTTTTATTTTTATAAAATGAAAGGAAACTTTTCTGATTAAATTCGCGTTCTTCTTGTGAAATCAGTCAGATAGACCTGTGGTTTGTTCCAAACCGGATGAAAAGATTCCGCAATGATTCGACCTTTCGAATACGCCTGTTCATTCTGTTTGAAAAAATCAACTTTTTCAGATCTTCTCCGGCCTCACCTCTACTCTTCTAGGTGCCTCTGTCATCCTGGCCTTCTCCCACTCTCAAATTTGCAAGGTAACAACCTTATCTTATGTTCTGAGGTAATTTGATAATTCCCCAGGTCTTTTTCTTCCGGATGGTCTTTTCTACTGTGGTCCTTGGGGCGTCGCACGGATTGATCTTCCTTCCGGTTATCTTGTCGCTGGGAGGAAATGACCGTGGAAGCCGCCTCAATCGCCGCGAGCGCGTTTTTGCTGAAGAAGGCAACGGTCTGAAGAGGAACCGCTCGTCGCATGAATCGGCTGTTTCTACTGGTTAGTGATTCGTTTCAGAAACTTTCGAACGTTTTTTGATGTTTTTCTTGGAATTCCTTCATTTCATTCCTAAATTTTCTTTCGAGGCTTCTTCCAAACACATTTTTTCAATGGTCTAATTGAAAACATTCTTCAAAGAAGAAACTTTGATAAATAACTCGGGAGATCTTCCAATCTACAGCCAGTAGCGAAAATGCTTGATTAACCTTCATACTAACTAAATGAAATTTCCGCTTTTCTTGATAGGCTAATAAATTGAAGTACCCGTTAAGAGCTACTTTGAAAAATACACAGAAAGTTTCAAAAAGCCTTGTGAAAGCATTTAATTTCATTAATTTTTTACACCGTCCAGCAATGAGCTTATAAGGGTACTCAACTCAAGATTTATTATATGAATAAACATTTTTTGAAACAGAAATGTGATAAATATAAACCTGTTATTTTTCAGAGCGAGCCAACCTCGTGGATATGCCATTGGAAGGACTTCAGTTGGACACTCTCGATCTGCCGGCCGTTGATGTCCAGGCGCCGTGCGTCGACCTTGACGACGTCTAAACATTTGAGAAAGTGAGCTTTATCTCACTTATGTGTAAATTTATTCCATTTGCCATCTTTGTGCCAAATTTTTCAAATTAAAGGATGCCCTTGATATTGAATTTACGCTTTGTATGAATTTCCCAATCTTAACAAGTCCTTCAGAAACAAAAAATAACTTATCTCACTTCCTGTTTTTCTTCTTCATGTAGACCCTCTGAACTTTACCCTATATCATCTCATAGATCATTCCATTCTTATATAAAATCGCAAAAGTGACATATTTTGTAGATCATATCATTTAGCGGTTTCACTTTCCCCATTTTCATGACAACTGTGATGCTTTAATATCTGGTTTTCGGACAATTTACGGCTACTAGTATTTATCAAAAGCTTCGTTTTTAAACGAATCAAAAATAAACTGATTTTTTCCGGGACGAAGCTTTTGGAAAAATATTAATCGAGTCATCTCAAACCCTGTTAATCTTCTTACTCTCCCGTTTCTGTAGGACGGGTACTCTCCTACCTCCACCGGTTGATTTTCTCATAATGTGATTCCACACTCCAATTTCACTGAATTTGTCCATTTTGTTATTTCTCTCTACTCTTCTCATCAGAACTTCGGTCGATGTCATTGATTTCTATGTCACCGTTTTCAGTAGATTTTTCGAAGTTTATGATAAAAGTCCTTTATAATGCAAAGAAAATGACGGAAGCAATCTGAAAAGGTTTTCTGCAGATTACGGTCACCGAAAGAATTTTTCAAAACATTTTTCATTTGAAGAGAAAAAGTCTAGGTAGACCAATTGGCTTATGATTTTTTTATTGACACAAAGAAATAAAAAGATCAGATTCGTTAGAAGTGATAATAATGATTCATGCTGGGTAACCCGATTCAAGAATAAACGCAATGTTTCTCATGGGAGTTAAAATATATACATAAAGATCTATTTCCAGTATACAACTGATTTGATTTTGTCGGCGCTCAAGAGGCCGACGCCGGTTGGATTCCAAGAGAGTGAAAGAACGGGATTCCTGAAAGTAGGAAAAATTAAAAAAGTTTGTCTTCTTTGGATAGGTTGCCCTGTTGCTTTTTTTTGATAAGATCATAGAAAATAAAACTCACTCATTCCCTCCACGCAGAACTTTCTCCAGCCTTGTCGTATCCGTATTCCAAATGAAGACGTGGCCACATGACGACCTTAAAAAAATTCAATTCATTATTGATCAATCAAGTAAATGTTTTTTTTAATACTTCAATCCTAACATTTTGAAAAGCTTCGAATTCGGAACAATTTTTAAGAGGCTCGAAAAAGAATATCAGAGCTCAACATCAGGAAAAAAAGAAAGTACAGCTTTCTCTTTTTCATTTTCTTTCACTAAAAAGTCCAACTAACCCAGCCGCGATGTACTCGCCTCCCGGAGAAATTACACATCTCGCCATGTCGGAACTCGATTGATACTGCTCAGCACTGTAAAAAAATAACTTTTATGAATAAAATTGGCTAAAAAAATCCAGGTCTTTTTTTGGGATTTTTAACGAAAGTTCGGAAATTATCATTGACTGTAGAGCATTTTTCCAGTAGCACATCAAAAAAATTAAATATTTAATTTTTACGCGTAACTGCGAATAAGTTTGAGAAACCTGTAGTCATGAACGATGCCAAATGTCCTCAAATCAATCAAGGACAAGGTGTCGTCTCTGGTCGAGCTGAGCATGTAATGACCATCTGAAATTTGGAAACTTATGACAAAAAATCAAATACCCTCATTTCGCTCAAACTGCTAAGGGTCGAAAACAATAAGGGAAAACAGAAAAAAAAACCTGATTTTTAATTTTTCAGACAATTTCGCTTCCCAAAAGTGTGAAAGTAAATAAAGCTTATACCTGTGGAAAGGTCCAAAGAAGTAATTCGTTTGCTGAACTCCAAGGATCGGATACACTCGGCGCTTCTTCCATCCCACGCTCGGACTTTTTTATCCATATGACCTTGAAAAACAATTTTTGAACAGCCCAAATCATTTTTTTCTTCAAGCTATAAAAAGCTCTAGGTTATGGAAAAAGTGTTTCCATAAAAAACAGATGTAAATATTACCTTAAAAAGGAGCCTTTGTCTTGAATCTAAGCGTTAGAATGATGAAATTTTTAGTGAAAGGTTCGAAAACTTCAAGTTTTGTAACCTTTTTTGAAATATTTTTGAAACTAGTATATACCCTAAGTAGTATTTAACTTCAACAATAGCCGATGAACCGCTCAAAACCGCTCATAAATCAAAAATACCTGACAAAAATAACGCGTTGCCGAGAATGCAGTTTCTCGTGATGTCCAAAACTGTGGAACCGGCCAGGAAAGTTCGGCTGCCTGAAAAAACTTTTATCACGGCTCTATTTCACTTCAACTCACATCTTTGGTTGCCGAGATCCCACAATTTGATTGTTCTATCAAAAGATCCGGAAATGGCGTTGCCGGACTGCAAAAACCTGGCGGAGGATACCTTGTCAGTATGGCCAGAAAGGGTCACCTGTAATTTTTTTTTACAGAATACTATCAAAGTTGCAGTTATTTTAAGATGCTTAAAAACACATTTTTTTCAAAAAATAATGATTTAGTGATTAATGATTAATCCGGAGCTGATAATTTTTAATCAATTCGAACTATCAGATAATCAAGAGAAGATCCTCTAAAAGCCGGAAATATGTTTTCGCCTTCTGTCATCAACTCGTAACAATTCAAAGTCCATACACTGAATTTTTAAACTAATGGAAGTGTCCAGTTTTTTTTTCAAAGGGTATAACTTTTAGGAAATTCGTAAACAATTCAAATCCAAGCGTCTTCGAATACGTTCATGTCAAGTTTGAGAAAAACTTGCAATTTTTGTAATTTTTAACTTCAAAAAATGACAAAAACATACCAAAAGCCTTCTCGTATCAATATTCCATAGCCGAACATTTTTATCGTTGCACGAAGCCAAAAGCGACCTTTTTTCAAAATCAAAATCGATTCGAGTCACTGAAGCATTGCATCCAGCCAGAGTTCCACTGAAAGAAAAAAAATCATCATCAATGAGCCAGAAAAACTAACATTCTGGATTGGGCTTCACCGTGGCCCAAGCGCCAAAGCGAAATATGGCGGTCACTTCCACCCGTGGCGAAAGTTTCGCCTGTAAGCCAGTGGATTTCGCTGACTTCTCCTTCATCCGCTTGCTGAAAAAATCTTGGATGGAGAGACAAAATTGGCATTTGAATTTTAAAAAGTTTGGTTATCAGTGATTCTTTTTATCAAACTTATTGGGGAGAAATAAGCTTTCATTCAATTTTATGCTTTAAAAACGAAAAAAGACAGATCTTGTAAAAAAAAAACTCTGTGATAAAATAATCAAAAAAAAACTAACAAATTTCAGCATTTTAAAAGTTGGAAGATGATCTCCGTACATAACATCGTTGAGCTCTCCCAAGCCGGCAGGCATACTTTTGAGAGCCGAATTCCTAAAGAATTAATCGTTTAATTGAAAAAAATGCTTTAATTAAAAAAAACTCAAGTAAAACTCACGCTCGGGCATCACGCGACGTGTCATTCACTGCCTTGGCTATTTCTTCTTGAATTCGTAACTGACGTCGTCTGAAAATTGATCGAAAGTACAGGAAACGCAACTTGAGGTGTTTGTGATGGAAAGCGGTGAAGAGTGTTATAAAATAAGAATGATGCTTTCTTCTTTTTTTTTTCTAAAACAAAAAAATTCATGAAAATGGAGGTCTAAGAAAAAAAAACATGATTTCAAACGCTTTTGACTGGAAATCGCATTATGGAAATACTTTCCGGCAATTGGAAAATATGAAAAATTCAACCAACTAGCAATGCTGATCTTTACAGAGAGTAATAACTTCAGTTAAATTGCACTTAAACGAAATTTCACCAAAAGTTCAAGTGGAGGCTAAAAAACGTTTCCCAGTTAATGAAAAATAATTTAGGGGCAAAGATTGCCAAGGATCTTTAAGAAAAATTTACAATTTCGGCTCTATCAAAAAAAATCTCACTGTTCTTGCAAAGCGATCTCAGCATTCATATTCTCGGCTCTCTGCTCATTCAGATCTCGTATTCGGTTCAAAAGTTGCATGTGCTCATCTTCAAGTTGCTTCTTCTTCTCAGTCAGGGCATTGCAGGACACCTGAAAATCATTGATTTTGAGGAAAACATTCGTTTCAAAAATATTAAAATAAAATAAGAAAACGTACTGCAAGAGCCAGTCGCTCGTCATTGACAGTCGCGTTGTCCGTCTTCAATTTCGCTAGCTCCACTTCCATTCCGGCTATCTTCACGTAAGATTTATCCAATTCTTTTCTCAAGTTCTGCTTTCTGAAAAAATGATCATCAGGTTTTGATGAGAAAAAAAACGACATACTCAGTGGTGACAGAGAGGATCTGAGCCTCACAATCGGTGACTTTCCGGTTGGCATCGATCAGATTTTGGTCATTTTTGCTCTTCAACTTGTAGATTTCGCCAATCTCCTGTTTTAGCCGCAATACTTCGTCTGCATCTGCGCCGTTTATTGATCTGCAAACATGGTTTTTCAATTTTTCTTTTTGATTCAAGTTCCAAATAATTTTTATGGAAACTTGAAAAGAAAATTCAGAGCTTCTAAAAATTAGCGAATAATCTATTTTTTTGATTGCAATCATCGCAAAATTTTTAAAAATCAAATTGACAACTGGATCTACTCAAATTCCCCTCATTTTTGAAATAAGTAAACAAAAAAACATCTTGAAATGATGAATTTGTGGGAGTCATAAAAAAATATCGAAATTTATGTTTTTTTCGTCAATCTTTTGCCCAGGAAAAGTCCTACTCGCTGACAGAAGAATTCCTGTTTTCTTGTCCTTGTTTTCTGCACTTCATTCGCCAGAATGGAATCTTCAATTCTTTTATTATAAAAGTTCAATGAACGAAACTTACAATTATGGAACAAATTTTGGATTTTCTTCACCTTTCTGCTATTCTCTTCTAGTCGTTCCAGGATTTCTCGTTTGTAAGAAGTTCCTTCGCCTGAATCGCCATCTTCCATCTGCAATAAGACAACTATCAAGGGAAACTGGAAAATAAACATCGACAAGCGAAAAAAAAATACATAACACGACACTTGAAACGACAGCATTTTTAAGAGTCATTTTCGAAAGTTCATAACTGCCAAAGCTGTGTTTAACACTATACGAAGGTAAAATTCATTAGAAACGCTAGATTTTTCTTTAATAATAATGAGAGTAATAATAAAATAAGACGCCGTAATTAAAGCAAATTATCGGGTCGTTGCCATGGAGCGCAATTTCCTACTTTTACGTGAGAAAGGTCAGAATGCAGCGCCCGAAAATTTATAGTTTATTCACAATTGGCTTTTAGATGAATATAGTATCGGAAATTTTTCTGAATCAGAAAAAAAGTCAGAGTGTTGTGTTGAAATTTAAATGGCGGAAAAGAATAATTTTTTTTTTGGAATTGAATCACTACCCAAAGGATTATGAAAGCAACCTATCAAATTTGTTGATAAAAAAAGACAATAAAATGGCGTCAAAAAAAAGGAAGGTTATTGAGTGACTCACTTTAAGTTGAAAATGAAGGTTGATTCAAAAATCACCTCAATTGCTAAAAAAACAGAAAACTTTCAAAAAATTATGTAACTGGGAAAATTGAGAACTTTGAGAATTTTTGCTCAGTTACTCTATCAAAATTCCCAAAAAGATTCCTCTTAATCGCTACCTTCTCAAATTTATTTCGTTTTGGAGACTTGATTTCTGAAGTTTTTGCAAACTTCAATTTTTTTTTTAACAGAAAGTAGTAGAGTTCACCAAACCGATCATTCAACCATTTAAATTGATCAAACTATTGACATGTCACTGTTCAACCAAATTTTTAACATGTCATTTTTTTGAGAGATCGTTTATTAGATCAGTTTTTTTGATCTCTTACATTAATGATCAATCATTGGATTTTTAACGTTTTTGATATATCGACATTTCGACCAATATATTCAATACAACATTTCGATCAATCATTTTTGACCAATATTTTTCAATACAACATTTCGATCAATCATTTTTTTCGACCAATATTTTTCAATACAACATTTCGATCAATCATTTTTTTGACCAATATTTTTCAATACAACATTTCGATCAATCATTTTTTTCGACCAATATTTTTCAAAACAACATTTCGATCAATCATTTTTTTGACCAATATTTTTGAGCATAAAATTTTGATCGATCGAAATTCCGAGCGATCGATTTTTCAAAACAGATCGCTCACACGTGGCAGGTTTTTCGGAGTACTAGTAAAAAAAGGTGAAAATATTTCATTTTTTTCGACAAATTGAAGTTTTTGCATTTTTTTCTTGAACTTATTTGTTATAGTCTATATGGCATTGTAGAAATTTTTTTGCTTTTTAGGACCAGTGAACACAGAGAAACAGAAAAAGATGATGATATTTCTTTACGAAAAAAATCAAAAAAAGAAATTATGATGAACATTTGAAAGAGAAGCGGTTTTTTTAAACAGTAGTTTTAAACATACTTTTTTTAACAAAAAAATTCATTTCGATCAATCATTTTATCGACCAAATTTTTCAATAAAAAAAATTTCGATCAATCATTTTTTTGACAAAATTTTTCAATACAAAAATTTTTGATCTATCATTTTTTTCGACCAATATTTTTAGGCATAAAATTTTTGATCGATCATTTTTTTCGACCAATATTTTTCAATACAACATTTCGATCAATCATTTTTTTGACCAATATCTTCAATACAACATTTCGATCAATCGAAAACTGAACGATCGATTCAAAATGATCTCTCATTCAAATGAAATGTTGACATGTCGAAAAAACGAGAGATCATAATCATGAGACATGTTAATTGTTCGGTAGCAAGAAATGTTAATCAATCATATTTTTGGTAACATGTCATGAAAATATTGGTTGAACGTTTGGTCGAACGATCGGTTTGGTGAACTCTAGAAAGTAGTACGTAGAACGAAACTTCAGCGCAATAAAGTGTTTAAAGTGACCTCAAGATAAGAAAGGGAATGACAGGCGCCATTTCTTGACTTTTATTGGCATCAAAATAAATTGTCGTATAATTTCAATGCCTTTGTCTTCAAAATTTATAGTTTTGTAAAGAAATATTTTTTTTAATAAAAGGGCATTTTTTTAAAGTATTTATTGATGAGAAGAGCCGATTTGATGTTATTCCAACTCCGCAAGGATTTTTTTGCTTTCAAACCGTTTTATTAAGACTTTTTTTATATTTTTTTGAACCTCGATTCAATTGCAATCGCTTATCGAACACAAAACCTTTTGGATGTCAGATAGAGTCGCGATGGAGCGCAATTTCCTATTTCAGTGTGTAAAAAAAGGTCGTGGCCCTGTTTTTTTTTGTTGCCACTGCTGCTCCCTTCGTTTGCCTTGATTTCATTATTGATTTTTCAATTTCCAATGTATTTTCAATAAAACCGTCTCAATTTTCCTACACTTTTTATATGATTACAAAAACAATATGTTAAAACACTTTTTCATTTTGGCGCATTTTGCCAAAACAATTTTTTTCTGCCATTAAAAAAACGACAATTGATTCCAAGCTTTTTTTCTTTCTAACTAACAAGATTAGAAATTTCTAAAGTAACAAAAACTTGACAAGAAGTGGCGCATTTGCCCAGAACTGTTTATTAGGTTGTTCAAAAAGTTATTGCGGTTTTTATTGTTCGATTTCAAGTGATCCTAACTCCGCTTAGAGCTACTAATTTTGATCAAAACTAAATTTGTATGAAGGATAGGACATCTGACAACGAAAAAAACAAAACACGCAGTCGATAAAATCAAATCCTAAATAACTTGAGGCGTTGAAACTTTCAAGGTCCGTTTTGAGATGGTTCCGATTTTGGTTCACTTTTTTGCGTGAAAATTATTTTCAAAGTTTGGAAAGCTGTTGATCATCAAATTAAGGTCCAAAAAAAAGTAAAAAGAACTTCATTTTGTTTGTTTTTTTAAAAATCAAAATTAAGATTTTTATTAGCAACTTCGGCAAAGAAAAGTTTCATCAGCTGTAGAACATCGCTGTTGTTTGATAATTTACATTCGGAGAACTATTGAAACCGGCGCCTTTGATTATCCACTAAGAGAGGGCTCGAAAATTGTTGTAGAGGTCCTTCTTATCATGCCGATTCAAAAAAAATCATGTTTTATTCGAAAATTCAGGTCGCTTTTTTTAGTAAGAAGAGAAGAGAGACACGGCGTTATGATTTTAGGAACTTTCTGAACAGCCATATTCTTCTTTTTCTTTTTCCTACGCTTTTGTATTGCTTGAGCAGCTTCGAGCGCACCAAATCGATTAGCCGAGGTCTTATCCTGATCAGTGACAATCAAAGGACTGGCTCTAGTGACATATCCGTGAGCAAATCTACACGGATATGTCACTAGAGCCAGTCCCGAGCAATCCGAACCTGCCGAAAATTTTTGTTTTTAGAAAAAAAAAGCATCAAAGCCATAGGAAAACATCGAAAGTGTGCTGAAATTATAAACGCTCTCGTTGACAGTTTTAAAACTTCTGGCATCGATTAATCTAAAGCTCAAATTAAACTCGATGATTTCACACAGTTCGACATCATTTTGTTGCGTTTCAGAATGCCTTACCAACAGAACCTGAGGCGCTACAGGGGTATTATCGCTATTCAAAATTACGACAGAGAGTAACAAATATTCCGAATTCACAATTTCATAAAGATCTTTCCAGGTTTAGTTTCGTTCATTTATTTGCAAACTGCCAGACTGCTTGTCTTCCGGCAAGCGTTGCCCGGAATCGTGGATACGATGACACAAGTCTCTGTGTTGGAGACATTGTCGTCGTGAGAATTGCGTGAGTCCAGCTAAGCAATTTCAAAGATTGATGGAAAATTTCAGAGAACGTAATAATGAGAGTGACCTTCTGAAAAAGTTTTATGTTGTTGAACTATGCCTCGTGGAAGAAAGGCGCTTTCAGCAAAACGGCAGATGGATCACGGTTAAACTTAAACTTATCAGGAAAGTCCTATATTTGTTAACTTTCAGGGAACAGTCGTTAAAATTAGCCACAGCTATGGATATTATCTGAGAAATGAAGTCCTGGGTATTCTTTTTTTGAATTTCGGATTACAAAAGGCGTTTCTTTATTAAACTTAAAAGATTTTTATAGTTTGTGAGTCTCGCGTGTTCAGAGAAAAAAATGAAAACAGCGCGTAAATGTGGGAGAGTCTCCAAATGACGAGGATAGCGCAGAGAAAAATCGCCTTTTCCAGTAGCGGAAATAAAAATTGGAATTTATTCATTGGAGTAGATTTTTGATTTTTTTTTTTCGCGTTTCATTTTTCTATTACTTTTTTCCCCTTACAAAAAAAACGTTTTTAGCCCCCGTTGAATTTATGATGAAACTTTGCTCAAATGTGCTATCGATTCCCCCGTATTTGAAAAATAAAAAAAATTTCTTGCAACACTTTTGGTTTTTCGAGTTAAGAGGTTTCAAAAGTTTGCAGTAGAGTTTTTTGTCATAATTCGCATGTTTTGAAACCTTCGATGCTTTAACTCGAAAACAAAATCTATTGCAAGAACTTTTTTCTTGTTCAGAAGTCAGGAAGTCCTAAAGTATGTACGTTTCAGATAAGTTTTATCAAAAGCTCAACGGGGGGCTAAGAAAAAGTTTCCTAGTTAAGAAGAAAAACCGAAAAGCAGATTTAGGGTGGTGACGGAGTTTTTTGTCTTGAAAGTTATGAAAAAAAAAAGAAAGTTCCAAAGGAGAATATTCGATATTTTTTTTTCAGGAATAGTGGGAGATCAAGATGAGATTTTTGAAGGACTATCCGGATGGCACACATATTGTGGACATTAGAATGCCGCCTTCCAGTTTCTACAGAAACATTTCAAATATTACATCTGTTTTTTCCAAAGAAATTCCGTTCATTGTAGCCTTCGTGAGTTTATATAAGCATCATTCTAGCTCAAAAAACGTGTTTTTTTAGAAAGCGAAGACGATTGACAGGAACAATTCTGTGGTTTAACTTGAATGTTTTTTGATTTTTGACATTTTTTTTATCCAGGAAGAGGTGGTGTATTGCGAAGGAGTGGTTGTCGGCCAACACAATCACTCGGAAAGATCCCGGTTGTACATTTTCACCAAAGGCTGCCGGCCTTACACGGATATTCTGGCCGTGGTTCCAGATGGATGCAGTAGTTCTGTTTTCCCAAGCGGAACATTTGTTTCGTTTTTAATGACGTTAGTTTGATTATGTTCTCTCTGTTAGTTCAAGAAAAATGAACAGATAGGCTTTATTTCAACAAAAAAATTGCAAAGAAACGAAAAATTGAATATTTTATTGAATTACTTGAGCATAAAAGTAATCACCTTGCGCCTTTATGACACCAAAAAAAAATTAGTCGAATGCATTTATATGGTTTCAAAGCAGCTTCGGTTATCTTTCGTGTAAGCACATTATTTGATGTTAACTAAAACTGGCTTCAGCGTTATAAAAAGCTCAAATTTCCCTCTGATAGATTTATAAAAATCTTTCAAACTCAAAAAATGTTTACTCACAGGAAAAGTGACTACAATAGAAGAAGTTATAAGAAGAATCTGCGAACCGATTATGCAAGCCTGAGAGTTTTCAATCCTCCGGACGATGTCGCGTCGATCATTGAAGATGGAGAGATGTTTGTGAGTTGAACAAGAGAATAAAATAGAGTTTTCGCTAATTTTCAGATCATTCTGAGGAGGTTCTCAACAAGTCCTTTCGTGCTCTGGCATTATTGGCTCGGCAATTTTGACGACCCGGAAAGAATTCTCGAAGCCGACAAAACGTGAGCTGAAATGAATTTGAATGAGTAGAGCATCACTTCGCAGATACGCAGAAATCAAGCTGAGAGAGTTCAGCGAGCCCGATAAACCTGACAGAAACCCGTGGGTAGCTGTTTTGGCTAAATTATTATAATTAGACATTTCCCGACTTTTGAAATTTTTTTCTTCCTACTTATTAGGCTCTTAAATTTTTTTTTCCCCCATTTTCTATACTTCCGAAGCCTAAATTCGTTTTTTTTTTCAACTTGGTTAGACTTTTTGAGGCGCACTCTTATTTTCTGAGATGATAAAGACATGCTGAGAAGGTCTCTGGAAAATTGATTTATTATAATTATTTGTACAAGATTATTTGATTTTCATAAGTACAACAAGTTTAATTTTGGTTCAAAAAATGTCTTAACGTGTTTCTTCCTTGCCTTACTGACAGTTCTGTGACATATTTCCGAGTTTTCTATTTGTAAGAATGCTTTGTAGATTTTTATTCTGGAATGACAGAAGTTTTGAAACTTGCAGGAAATTCGCTCAAGTATAATATAAAGTACGTACTCTAACCTAGAAAGTTTTTTTTACTGATTCTCTTGTTGATCAGAATATTGATGTTCAAAAAAACTGAGAAACTCCATTCTCTTTATTGAATTGTAGAATTTAATAATAAAGAGCGCTTGACTCGAGTAGTATATAAAAATGACCTTTTTTAGGTTCAGGTTTCAAGGTCACCAGACAATCTATGAATATCAGCAAGTTTCAAATCTCTTTCTTCAAAACTTTTTAATATTAATTCCAATTCAATATACTCGCCTAAGTTTGAATTTCATTTGATATATTTTGTAAATCCACTTCCGTCCAAATCCAGACTTTTTCGTGTATTTTTCAGTCATATGCAGTCACGGCATTACGACTATTGGTGCTTGTTATATTTGTGCCGTTATATTTTTGGGAAGAACTGATAAATGAACTAGTTTTGTTTTCCATACAGAGGGTTTTCCGCAGTTTCATGGATACATCATTTCGCGATTAATGGTTTTGTCATCAAAAGTGCAATAATTCTCATCTCAAAGATGAAAACGGGAAGAAGAAATGTTTATGTGATTGTTGAATGATAAGTTATCACGATATGACTAATTTTGATCGTTAAAGTTTATACAAACACAAGGATTGCTTAGTTTGCAGCGCCCACACTCCCTCCAATTGAGTTTATAACTGAAATATCGATGATCAGCAGATATTTGGTGAAATGAAGTGGCTGTTAAGTTATAAGGACTATATGCGGTAAAAAAAAACGGGATTTATGAAAATGCCACTGTAGAGCCAAATGGGTTCATTGAAAATGTGCGAAATTCCCTGTTTCCGGAGAAACAAAATATTTGAAAGTCAGAAACAGAAAAGTATGAAATTATGAGAAGTGTGAACGTCAGAGAGATTTTTCAGAGAAGAAAGCTCTGATTTGATTTTTGGTCCGTTTTTTTCACAGAAACTGCGAGTCTAATGAAACGTCCTCAACTTCGCGCACGCGGCTACCATAAAAAAAAAAAAACTTTCTGTACACCGATCTGAAAATTAATTCAAAATCAAATGGCTGAAGAGTTTGGTTTCCAAAAGTACTCATATCTCGGAATTTCTGCGTGAACCGTCCGATTCGAGGTAAAAAGCTCTACAAGTAACTTTTTTCACTTCAAACCCTTGTTCTACTACTAATATGCCTTTGACATTTAACGTCTAGGCAAAAAATAATTACTGCTATCAACTTCAAAAATTCTTGTTCGCTTCATTAAAAAAGGAAAACGGTGGCCGTCAGGCATATCTGAGGATCTTTGAAGTGCGGAATAAAAAATGGAATAGAAACACTTGCTATCTGAATCCAAATTTTTATTGCAGACAAAATCCAACAATGAAAAAAAAAGATCAACACAGTAAAAACTGTAAAAGTCCGTCGAAATTATGAATACTATACCAGAGCTTTTTGATTATGTTGGAAAAGATCAAACTAAATTCACTTGGATATTGAGCACCTCAAGTTAATCTGATGCCGTCTGCGAAAAAAAGCTACTCGAATTTTAAATTCGCCGTGCTTTTAGCAAGTTTCACAAGCTCTGAATTGATACTTTCGGTATTTTTCAGAATAACCAACTGTGGGATACTTTCAAATCTTTGGAAGAAAGTCACAGTTAACGTGTTTTGCATCTTAAAGCCTTTCGAAATGTTTCATAGCAGTGTTTATTAGTGAAAACATTGTCACTCCCTCAAAAACTGTTTCATAATCGACCATTAACAGCACCGTAACAATTTATTTCTGACTCAATCTTCTGCACCGCTCAAACTAAGCAAAAGTTTGAACAAGCAACGTCAGTGCAATCGCATCATTCCTCTAATCTCCCCTTACGTTTGGGACAGAGACCTATTTAAGGGAAGAATGCCGATAGCAATCACTTCTTTCGAAAGTCTAGTAATATTTCCCTTTTATGAAGCTTTTTTTTCCTCTATGGAATTGACTGAGCTTGTTGTTGAATGAATTTTCAAGTTTTCACTTCTGTTTGCAAGCTTTGATGTGATTGAAACTGTCAAGAGTCTTTCGTATAGATTTCCCTCTTCATTTGTTAGAATTTTGAAAGTTACCATCGAAAAATTTTTATAGATCGATCTTCGACCCACGTTAAGAATTGAAGAACTCATTTTTAAATACACTAAATTTAATATTCAACCGCTGAACTCTCACTTAGATCACAGTTTTCTGTATAATCGCCATAAGACTAAATCGTTTTATGATTCATTGATGTTTACCGTTTCAATATTCTTCAAAAACAGTTAAGCTACCACAAAAAATGCCGAAAATTTTCAAACGAGAAGGTCTTCGAGGTGTTGTTACATTTAAGCACGAAGATAGCGGGTGAAAAAAAAATTCACTCAAAAACTATTTTCTTCTGTTTTCCAGGGACCCTTTTATATATTTTATCGGAACCCGTGAAGGTGCGTTCCTAAAAAAAGAGAAATTGAAGGAATTTGGATACACACTTTCACAATGTCATAGAGGTACTCTAGTCACAGTCGACGTTGAGTGAGTTGATTGAAAAAAAAAATAAAAGTTTTAATCGCTTCAGAACGGATCTTAAAAACAGCAATGCTCTAACAAGAACGGAAATCGTGCAAGTTAGAGATGTGGACGACACGAAGCTCCGTGAAGTGTCTTTCCAAAAGATTGAGGTTTGGCAAACTTTCAAGCATGCATGAGTCTGCCGAAAAAAATCCTTAGTGGCAAAAACGAAAAAAATAAACATTACAACAAATTGGAAAAAAATTATTTTTCTTAGATTTCGGTCTAAGTCGTGTGAAAAATCGGCGTACACCGATTTTTCCATCTCGAAAGATTCTGACCTATCTATATTCTCTTTTTTTCCTTCTCACAAGGGATTATAACCTGAAATAAGGGCGCAAAAGGAGAGCGTTGCTAGGAAGAAAGACAAGTAAAAATTTAATGAATTACACTAATTTATTCAGGGAATAGTAAAGAAGACTTCTTCAAATGACGGCTACGAACTGACAAACGAGTTCTTAGGTATTAAAAACTACAAAAATCAATAAATACACAACCTTCCTCAATTTTCTTAGGCAAGATCAGAGATAATCGCGAGGTCATGACCAACCTTCCCGACGCAGAATATGTTTTGCATATTTTGAGTCCACCAGCAACTTTCTATTTTGATCCCAACGGAACTGAATTCTCTAGAGAATATCCATTCCTGATTGCGGAGGTGAATAATTGAGAGCGATTTCTCTCTAAATTACCGTTTTATTTAGGTTCCAAAGGATTTCGACACACAATCGGTTTGAATTTGATTTTTACTTTTTACTTGGTTTAAGACTCTTTTGTTTCAAAAAAATTTTAGAACATGCTCATGACTTGTGAGGGAATTGTTTGTGTGATCAAAGAAGAACACACTCGGCAAGTCTTCATTTTCATCAAAGGCTGCACCCCTTATACGGAAGTTTTGGCACTGTTCCCTCTACAAAAAGAAGTGATCCCTGTTGGGACGTTTGTGAAGTTCAAGATGATGTTTTCTGAAAAGAGCAAAAAAATGAGTCATAATGGTTTTATAGTGATTATCATTATCAGCGAAGAGCGGAAGCAACGGACATGAACTGCGAGGCATCGACTTTAGAGATTATTGATCCTCCGGCCGGTTTATCAGCTTCTTTTAATGAAAAACTGATCGTGAGAACTCGCACAAACGAATATTAAAGTGAGAAACATATTTTTTAGGTGACACTTAAAGACTTCGAAACGGGAAGTGCAGACGGGGACTTACACTCGCACAATTGGCTTGGTGATTTCGACGACCTTGATAGACTTCTATCTCCTAATCAACTGTCAGTAACCGTCTGATTGATATTTGAGATATTTTTTTATTCAGATATGAAGAAATTCAACTGGAGAAAGTCAGTGGTCGGGAAAACGGAAAAAAAGATGTCCTTGGAATGTTGTCTCCGCCAAGATGGCTGAACCCCAGAATTAAACTTGAAAAAAACGTTTTTGAACGTTTAGTTATCTGCGATAAATGTTAATAAAGTTATTGTAATCAAGGTTTTTCTTGTTATCACTAACATCTAAAAAGCTTTTGGTATGAATTCGGGAATGACAAGAAAAAGAAAAAGTTTTTCAGGCTAACCCTTGTTCGTTTAGCCTGTTGCAAAGAAAGTTCTCATGCTTTTTCCGACTGAGGTCAGAGCTTTGAAGACGGAAAACATGTCAATTAAACACAAACGTCTTGAAAGACAAGAGGAAAAACCTTTCAAATCCCCGCCAAACAAATTGATCTTAGCACGAACTTTATCTTAATTTTTTTCTCTGAAGAAGCTCATAGGAGCTTAGGCGAGGTTTTTTTAACTCATCAGAGTAAGCAAAACGACAAGCACCACAATCCCCTGAATTCGCAGAGAAATTGTTTTTACGCTTCCATTGATATAGTCTGTGTGTCACGACATGGAATTTCACGGAACGACATTCCGCTGTTCCGATGCGTGTGTTCGCGAAGCGTCTGTCGAATCTAAGTCACGCTTTCAAATGATTGTTATTGCTGTGGTAGCACAGGAAAATAGAGTACCTTAATAAATGAAAAAAAAATTAACAGCGCGACCAAGGATAGCAAAGGCGCGCAGCGGCACAGCGAAATGTCGTTTGGTGAAATTCCAAGTCGCGGTACACAGGCTATACCAAAAGCCAGTCATAATAGTTTCACGATAGATTATCAGTTTCTAGCTTTAGAAGCAAATTTTTCATTATTATGCTATAATCACCATTGTCGTTTCTTTGAGCAAAAATATACGCAAAGAAGCCGAAAATTTTATATTTTCACTTATACACAGACTATACGACACTCAAAACTTAAATATACGGAAAGTTTTTTGAACTTTCAGAACCTCAATTCGTTGATCAATAAAATAAAAGTCAAAACCATCGGGGTTTCCGATTTACTAGAGCTCAAATCCAGCTGGCTAAAGTTAGTGAACTAGCCTCAAACGACCGAAAAGTCGACAAAATCAATTATTTTGGTGGATTGTTTCGGGAAACTTTTTTGAAGTCTATGGAAAGTCAAATAATTGATCTCACGCTGCGGCTTTTTTAAAGAACTTTTACTTTTTTTATTTTTGTTTTTTTATTTGCTGAGAAGTATGCGGTATTTGTTGAATAACTAAGGAAAAAATTTTCATGCAGGCGTCAACTTTTTTTTTTCCAAAATTGTCGTTTTTATGCGCTAAATGTTCCCTTGACATGTTTTGTCTGATAATCGGTTATCAATATATGAGATGAGTTTTTTTGATTTCTACAAGCTTTGTAGATGTTTAATAAAAAAGTATTCTCAGAGGTGCAATCATCAAAACTTCGAAATGGTTAACGAAAGTGAGACATTTGAAAAACAGTCGGGCTATTTCGCGGTCTTATATCTTCTGATCGGAATTTTTACGACAACTGATTGATTAATTTTTTTATTAGTTCAAGTTCTGTTGCACACGTTTTGAGCATCAAAAGCCTTCCCAATAGCTTTGCCGTTTTGTCTAAGCTCGAACAAAGAAGTAATGCAAAACTGCAACTTTTTATGCGAATTTTAAACGGCGAAAAAAAATCACTCGATTTTTTTTTTGAGAAAATCTTTAAGTACAATTTGAAAAACAGACATCGAGCTTCAAAATGATATATAATATTCCGGTATCAAAAAAGATTTTTTGTTCTGAACTCCTCATCAAAGTTGAAACATCAAACAACAAAATCCGTTTCTTGACATTTCCGTTTCAACCTAATACTTTTCCCTCGATAGCCTATCCCTCGAGAGCCTATTCACTCGATAGTGTAAGGAATATGATCTTGACCGATCAAACAAACAACTTCGATTTCGTTGAAATCGGCTCCTTATCAAAGCGTCATCTAAAAGCACCCACGCTAAAAGCCTTTCAATACCGCGCGCCGCATCACCAGACGCGACCGGTAAAAGCCCCGAGCGAAGGCTCCTCTCTGAGCCTCCGCTTCGGTACAATTTCTTACCACTTCCCACGCAGTTATTTCGAACGTTCTAACTGTAAAGCTTTCAGACGTCGCCGTCCAGCCCCTATAAAACCAAGCGACACGGAGCCAAAGAAAAGATCCATCCGGCCGCGGACGCGCTGCCGTCCTCTTTCTCTCACCTACCATTTTATAACTTTGCTTGTTTTGATCAATTCAATGAATATTCTCACACTCAAATCCTTGTTCCGCGTACCGCATTTAAATGAAGTTTCTTCCAACAAAGGATTTTAGCTCGCAAGAACAAAGATCTTTTACTTAATGATTGTTATTGCTGTGGTAGCACAGGAAAATAGAGAACAATGATAAAAGAAAAATAAAAGAAAAACGCAACCGAGGCTCGCAAAGGCTTGCAGCGGCACAGCGGATTGCGTGAAATTTCAAGTCGTGGCACACAGACTATAATACGCAAATAATTTTTTCTGGCTGCTGATTATAACGTGAGAAAATTTGCAGTATCTTGAAATCTCTTCCATTCAATTCAATAGAAAGTTTCGAGTTGCGGCGATCCAAAAATGCCGAAGTGTTTTTATTTTCACATTTTCGACTTCAAAGCTTTTTTTCGACTGAAAAGAAAGCTGAAAATGTTATTTTTGCAGGCGATGTCGGATAACCTAGTCGTCAGAAAAGGCCTTCGTGGTATTGTTACCTACATGCATAACGTCAAAGAGTGAGCAAAACGCCTTTTGGATGGTTCGGAAAAAAGTCTTGATTTAGCCTTTGCTCTGTCCATCTCTTCTCGACGTTGGAAACAGCTCGTTTACAAAATGAAGTCATCAAGGATGGGGGGTACCGACCTAAGGACATCCGACTGGGGGATGTAGTTATTGTAGATGTGATGTGAGCTCAGTGTATTTTTTGCATACATCCGAGTAACGTCTTTTTCAGAACACATCCAACCGAAATCAGCGTTTTAAAAAAAATGTCGCGCTTGAGTTGTGCAAAGTAGAAACACGACAGTTTTTTCAAACTGCCTGGAATAAATTTGAAGTAAGCAAACAACTTGATAAAAAAGCTTTTTTTAGGGAAATGTTCGGAAAATCTCTTCGGAGAATGGATACATTGTGATGAACGAAGTTTTAGGTTGGAAGCCCAAAGTTGTAAATTTATTTATTTTTTGTTCAGGAGTAATCGGAGACCCGAACGAGATGATGAGAAACCTTCCGGACGAAGAAATAAAAATGGAGATCATCGTTCCCCCAGCTCGCTTCTATCTCAACACGTTGAACCCTACCACAGTTTTCTCCAGAAGAACGCCTTTTCTCATTGCGATGGTGGGTTTTGAGGAAGGTTATTGTGGCTTTTCTGATGAATTTCCAGGTGCCTCAACGGCTGGATCTTTCCATCAGAACGGTGAGTCTCATTATCTTAATATTTCGGTAAATTTCGTTTTTTACAGGATGAAAACCAATTTTGCGAAGGAATGGTTGTTGACTATGTGCGTGACAAGAGTAGAAACTGGGTGTATATCTTCACCAACGGTTGTACGGCGTACACCGACATTTTGGCGCTCGTTCCTCCAAACTTGGAAGTTAAGAAACCTCCGATTGGCGGCTTCGTGTCCTTCATGATGAAGTGAGTGAATAACCATTACCTGACTTGTAAGGCGGAAAAGGGGGAGAAGTGTGCGGGACGCGTATTGTGCGCATACCCGGTTCTTGGCCAAAGTTCAATTCAAGCGCCATCTATTATTTGAAAAACTCGGTAACCTCTCTTTTTTTATCAATTCTACTATTTATCTTGATGCACAAATTCAAAAAAGTCAATAAGTATTCAAAAAAAAAGGGAAATGAGCGGTAAAAAAACTCTCCAAATAGTCCCTGGGTGTTGAATTGAACTTGTGCAAAGAATCGTCTATGCACACGCTACGCATCTCGCCCATTTCCCTTGAAAATTGATTACATCGGCCGCTCAAATTTGGGACTAGCGATTACGAGAGAAGATCTTCCAAAAAAATCTTCAATGCGATTTCTCCACCATCAAAGGTCTTCCTCCTCCAAGCGGCGTCTCAACAGTTGCATTTTGCAAAAATCTCATTGTGGATTATAAGATCACACGAATTAAGCAAAAACAATTTCAGGTAAAAATCTGTGAGTTCGAGAAAACGGCGGATTTTTCCCGAATGTCGCATCCTTGGATTGGAGAATTTAAAGATTCAAATAAGATACTCGACAAAGATGAATTGTAAGCTTAGATTTGGTTTTTTTCTTATTTTTTATTTCAGATATGAAGAGATTGCACTGAAAAAAGTGAAAGGCGCCGACAACGATGGGAAAATTTCTTGGGAAGTGGTGTTCGCTAAAAAGGTTTTCTTGCACTTTGTTTTTAAGATAAATGATTTTGACTTTTCCAAATTTGCAAGAAACATCAAAACTTGGAAGCTCTCCATGTCGCGGCCATTTCGTGAGCAGAAGCTCCGCCTACCCCCAACCCCCTATAAAAGCGACACCAACGTCCTCACCAGGCGCTCTCCGACTCTCAACGTCTCCAATCTACAGACGGACTGAGAAACCACCTATTGTTAATAAACATGTTTATATCACTGAACCACCCACTACAAAAAAAGGCATTGGCCACCACACTCCACAAAACGGTTAGATTATTTACCCCGTTTTTCATTGTATTGAATTTGATCATTTTACAGGATGAGCTCCAGTACTGCGAAGGGAATGTTGTGGATCACGTTTGGAACGCCGGAAAAGAATGGCTCACGATCTTCCCGAAAGGCTGCACAACGAGTACCGACATTCTGGCCCTCTTACCGGAGAGTTTTTCAGAACAGAAACCGCCAATTGGCACATTCGTTTCTTTCGATATGAAGTGAGACAGGTTGAAACTTTTTTTATCATTTTCCTTAATTTCAGAGTCAAAGACTACGATAGACGAGGCCATATCAAAAACTTGCAGTGTGAGTTGCATCGAAAATATCTTCCAGGCATCCGGCGTTTTCTCTATCGCTTCCGACGAAAAACTCAATGTATGTTTTGAGAACACAAGAGTGCGGAAGGAAAACATGGATTTGCAGATTTCAATAATTTATTACCGTACAACGGCTGATCCCTTGCAGAAGTGTCATCCTTGGGGATTCAGAGACCCAAATAAAATGCTCAAAGCCAACCCATTGTGAGTTCAGATTTTAGTTGACTTTTCCTTTTTTTGCAGATACGCAATGGTCGAATTGAAAAAAGTCTATGATTTGGAAAGCATCGGAATGATCCCATGGGAGGTTGTATTCGTTCAAGAAGTTGGTTCTGTAGCTTGGAACATGAATATAATTCATTTATTCAGTATTATTCCTGAATTTCGCCGAGCCGCTCTTGCATCGCTTTCATCACGCAACCAGTTGAATTTAAATTGTGTAACATTCGACTTTCGCCTATCTTTTCTGTGTAATGGAACGGATAAACATTTTGTAACACTATTTGTACGAACAAACGAAAAAAAAAAAGGAATTCAACAGTACCTTTCATATTCCATGGTCGACAATCCCTTTGTTGTTTTTTTTGAGTTTTAAGCTCTTTTAAAACTTTCTAACTTGCGTGTGGAGTTTCGTAGAATTTCATTTTTGATTCCGAGTACTCTGAGTTTTGCCTACACAAAGTGTCGATTCTCAATTATTTGTCGTGCGGAGTCGGCTTAGTTAGGTATACATGCAGACTCGTTCGAGTCTTTGGATGAAAAAGCCAAAACTTTCTTTTTGAGATGTTTTCGGACTCTTTCATTTTTTCAAAGCTGTCCTAGTTTTGATCAATTCCTGTTTTTTTTTCTGGAACTTTTGCTCTGAGATTGAAATTTTCCAGCTTCAATTTTTTCTTTTTCTTCTTGCTAAACGAAGATCTCACATCTTTTTTCTGAAAAGCTTCTCACAGGTATAACATTTTTTGAGGTTTTTTTCTTTAAAAGTCTAGCCAATCTTTTCGAAGAAAAAAGAATTTTAAAATCTCAAATTCATGTTCATGAATCTTTTTTTGTCTTGGTTGTCTGATTTCCTAAATGAATAGGTTTTTGAAGAGTCCAGTGAGTTTTATCAATTTTTTCTTGGCAACCGTTGGTTTGTAAAAAATGTTTCTGACAAACAGGAAAGTTCAAAAGAATCAAAAGCTTCAAGCAATGTCAAACTTCAACGATGAAATGAAAGGGCTTCGCGGGGTAGTAATATATAAAAACTTGTTGAATAGGTTTAACTTTCACAAAAAAAAGAAACAGGACTTATTTGGATTGAAGTCTAGGTGTTCATCGACTTTCTAGTTGAAAATACGCGCGCCTGTCAAACAGAGTACTGCAGGACACCAGGTACAAAATAAAAGATGTTAATCGTGGAGATGTGGTTGTAGTCGATGCCACTTCAGTCAAAAAGCATCATGAGAACAACGGAAAATATAAATTGTGTCCTAAAGTCAAAAGATAGTGGACCCGACGTTCTGAAAAAAATGTGGTTGTGCGGTTGCGTATAGTTGAGCAAAAAATGAGAAATAATATCAGGGTTATTGAAATCCTGAATCGAATAAAATCTTATACTTTAGGGAGATCAGAAAACTTCTTCGGAAAACGGTTCTGGTCAAGTCATCGGCCCGGATTTGAAAGGAAAAGCTGCCAGGGGATTTGTTCTCGCTGAGAAAAGTTTTTCTTAACTTGTGACCAGTTTGCAAATATTAAATTAAGTTTCCGAAGTGACCGGTGTACTTCCTCAACATACTTCCGATTGCTGATACTTTCTGAAGCTTTGTGAAGAAACTGAAATAAAAATGTTTGTGTTTGTGATTAAAGATATTTTTGATGATGAGAAGGTGTAGGAGGCCGGTAGACATCGTTCTTCCTTTCTTACCAATGAAAAATAATTTTTGCGTATGATAAGAATACTCGGAAAATGAAGTTTTGAAGTTCAATAAAGTTTTCTGTGTCCTGTTTTTTCTAGAACCAAGTTGTTTGAATGCACGTTTTCAGATAACTTTTCCGCGTTTTTGCAAGCATCAAAGCTTTCACCGAGGTCGTGTTAAGTGTAATAGCCGAAATGATAAGGTTTTTTTTTGGTTTTATCACTTTTCAAACCTTCTTGCCCACTGGTGAGCTGCTTTTCGAGAATCGTCTTTATTTTTTGATCGTATTAACAATCTCGAGAAGATAAGTGATTTTTACTGATTTTGAGAACCTACAATACGCCAGCCCTCATTCTTATTTGACCGGGAAAAGTAGGTTCGAAAATCAAAAATGTTTGCCTATCACGTACCACGGTCAGAAAATGGGTCCCGAAAAGTCTTTCTAATCTCAAATATTAAGATTTCAAAAAATTTTAGCTGTTATAATGCTCTCGGCCAAAAAATTTCGATAAATTCTTCTAAAAACCGCGAATATGGAGGTCTATTGAGATTCTGATCCCAAAAACACCTAATAGGCTAATCATCATTGTCTTCTTGATCTTAAAAAAGTTCTAATTTCTCTTCCAGATAATGCATTTCGAGATTTTTCATAAACCTCAAATATTGAGGCTTTTTATCGAATTCCAGAGAGAACTGTTCAAAAGTTCCTTGGGTACCGAATCTGACTAGCCAATTCTACGAAAAGTTCCCCTTTATCCGGAAAAAAAATCTCGAAAGTTTTCAGGTTTTGTCGGAGATGTTTTTCATAATTTTTCAAAAATGCTCCGCACGAATAGAATATAGTCAATATTGCTGTTTCACTGCCAGTTCTTAACTTGAATCGAGAGAATTTATGACGTTTTTTTTCCGAGGGAAGCTCTTTTACTCTCCCCTCGATAGCCTATTCCCTCGACAGCCTAGCAACCTAAAAAATCTTTTTTCGTAAAGTTTTCTTCTGATTTCGAAAAATGTATTGCTCCGATCGTTTCGAAATAGCTTTCAATGAACTATAGACGCGATTCAGACAAATTAAGAAGACTTGAGGTTTTTTTTTGTGCGACCATAAGGTTCTGAAAAGATAAACTGTTTATTTTTCTGTGTCCTTACTGGCCAACGAAACTTCTAATCACTAATAACTTGTTTTACAATAATTTTCGACACTTTAGTCAATTTTATCACGGCGTTGTCCGTTTTTTATCTTGAACTATCGTGTGCGTTTGTTATCTCAAAGCGGGAAATGCCTCGATCGATCAATGTTTTTTTTTATCACAAGCGAAGCTAATAAAATAAGTTCGCTTTTATCAACTTTTTAGTCACTCGCACGTCTCAAGCTGTGAAAAGGTTTGTTTCGTAAGCTTCTTTTTGAGAAAAAAAATCCGAATCTTTGCACCTGTTTCTTGGACAGAGGGTCTGGGACTACCTACCATAAAAGTTATTATCAGATCTGCAATTTTCCCTTTAGTAAATTCTCTTGTAAAAGACGTGGCCTGTCTGCGCTCTCTATCAACAAGGCACTGTCTCTTCCATTATCGTGTCAGGACCATTTTATCGGTGACTCAAAACATCCGTGAATCAGTCATACGCCATGCCGGCATGGGAATGCGAAATTTTCTGATTGGGAAGAACATTAACTCGGAGACGTCAACGTCTTTTTATTTTTCATTCTTTAAAGTCAAAGCTTTAGGATATTACTCAGGATCTGGTATAGTCTGTGTGCCACGACTTGAAATTTCACGGAACAACATTCCGCTGTTCCGATGCGTGTGTTCGCGAAGCGTCTTTCGAATCGAGGTCACGCTTTCTAATGATTGTTATTGCTGTGGTAGCACGGGAAAGTAGAGAAAATTGATAAAAAATAAAAGAAAAACGCAACCGAGGCTCGCAAAGGCTTGCAGCGGCACAGCGGATTCCGTGAAATTTCAAGTCGTGGCACACAGACTATAATACGCAAATAATTTTTTCTGGCTGCTGATTATAACGTGAGAAAATTTGCAGTTTCTTGAAATCTCTTCCATTCAATTCAATAGAAAGTTTCGAGTTGCGGCGATCCAGAAATGCCGAAGTGCTTTTATTTTCACATTTTTGACTTCAAAGCTTTTTTTCGAATGAAATGCAGGATAGAAGAATAATCGGTGATCTGTAAAACATGATTCTCGCAATTTTAGGTCCATGAAAACGTTTTATCCTCTTTTTTTTAAAATTTGAACTGAATAAGGTAAAAATTCTGCGCGGGATCAAAACCAAAAAAGAAATTATTCACAAGGAAGCTGTTTTTCATTTTTCGATTGGAAGTTTCTTAAAAAGACATTGATGTACCAGACAAAGGTCCTGAATTTTTCCACTTGTACAGCTTTCTACGTTTTGAAAAATGACACCATAAAGTCGATTAAAACCCTCGAATACTTTCGAAAAAATTTATTTAGAGTTTTGAAATCTTATTACTCGAAACCTAAGAAGTTACGAGGGTTGAGACCCTCAGAATCTTTTTTGGTCCACTTAGGAGTGGTCTGGCCAAGTTTCAGGGAATCCACAACCGCAAAGTAATATGACCTCCCTTGTCAGTAATCATCGCTATTATTTTCTCATTTTTCATTTCAATTCATTGGATGATATCAATGCCTAAAATTTCAGCGCCAAATGTTCACGGACGTCAAAGGTCAAGATGATTTGAGAGCCATTGTGATCAGTGTAGAGAGGTGAGAACTTGTTTCAATCATAGCAAAAAAAAACTTGTCTTTCTCAAAAGTATATTTACAGTCCAAAACAATGTTTCGTTCATCTGCTGGAAATTTGCGACAGAGCATGGTTGCCAGAGGATGTGACGAAAAAGGCCGGTTACGACCCTGAAAAAATACAGCTGGGAGACGTTGTCGTGGTCGATGTCAAGTAAGTTGGAAAACTGACAAATTTGAACTTTTCGGTGCTCTTAAGGTCTATGCAAGACAAGCGATATGTTGCTGTTCGATTGCGGAAAGTTGAAGAGAAAACATTTCGCCGTAATGGAAGATTTGTTACTGTTGGTTTTTCTTTCATTGTTCAGAAAGAGGAAGTTTTCAAACTTTTCATTATTGTTATAAATTCTGCTGCAAACGATATGGAGCCTCAAGTTATAACCATAAAAAAAACGGACTTCGTTCGTTCCAAAAAAGTTTTCAAGTTTTGTTTGAAAAATGGAAAAAGCGAACTTTTAATTTTTGGAAAAACTTCATCAAACTATATTAGCGACTCTAAGAGAAGTCTATATCAATGAGGCGTTTGATACTACTTGGATCAACTCCAAAAATTTTAATGCTTTTACCAGGGCGAAGTGTTCAAAAGCTCATTCGGAACCGAGTACAGGTTGACAAATGACGTTTTAGGTTCGGAAAATTCAATATTTTTTTGACCTTACGGTTTCAGGAATAATCGGGGACCCGAATGAAATATACAAAAAAGCTGAAGATGGAAGACACGTAATCGATATTGTAGTCCCGCCACCCGCGTTCTACTCCGGATTATTGAACCCTACAACGGTTTTCTCGAAAGAAACTCCTTTTGTCGCAGCCATGGTGACTTTCGAAACATTTTCCAATAAATTATATTTCAATTATTGAACTTAAAACTTCCAGGTTCCAGCAGTAATTGATGCAAACAACAGCACGGTAATTGTTCTCTTCGGTTTCCAATAAGTTAACAGTTTCAGGAAGAATTGATTCATTGCGAAGGAGTTGTTGTCAGCCAGTTCCGGAGTCAGAACAACTGTCGCGTTTACATTTTCACAAAGGGCTGCTCTCCTTATACCGATGTTCTGGCTTTGATTTCCGGAGACTACAGTCATGAACTCCCGCAAAGCGGAACCTTTGTAACTTTTTTTGATGACGTAAATTTAAAAAAATTGAGATTTTATTGTAGAAAACATGTTTTTAGGGCTTCTGATTTCCAAAAAGCGGGCTTATAAGAAAAAAACCTGCAGGCCGATTTTTTTCTACGCTCCAAGTTTGCAATCCGCCTAAAAAAATTGTCGGCGTCTCTGGAGGATGGACAACTTTATGTGAGATCTTTTTTAAATCTTGAAACTAAATTCCTTGTCGTCGTTATATTTTTTTAGTTAAAAAAATGGCCTATTTTTGATTTTTTTGCTCCATAAAAGCGCCCGACTTGTAGCGGTTTCAGCTCAGTCTCAACAAACCGTTTGGAAAGATTTCAATCAAAAGGCGGAAACTAAGTAAAAAAAAACTGCATTCTTTAGCAAAAAAAAATTTTTGAGCCGTGAGAAAAATAATTGAAAACAATGAGTTTCAAGGTAATCATCGAAGACTTCTGCACGCTTGGTACCTCTCCTCAACTTGAACATTCTTGGATAGGAAAATTTGACGACCCCGAAGAGATCCTTGCTCCAAATCGGATGTGAGAAAATAATTTGTGAAACTCTCTATTTCTTTTTTCAGGTACGAAGAGATCAAACTTGAGAAAGTTAGCGGCCCAGACTTTAAAGGCATGAGCCCATGGAGAGTGATTGCAGCTACGAAGGGTTTTCTTTCCTTAAAATCCCACCAATCAAATTTTTTCAAGGAAACTTGAGACAAAAACGCGACGCTTGAAAATGGATTCATCATACGAACTCCGATAAAAAATCAATCAAGCAAAAAAATTTTTATACTAAAATTTTTTCATGGTATTGCTCAAATTAATAAAGTTTTCAGTTTTTCCTTTAGCATTTCGTGAAAAAAAAGTTTAACATTGTGGTCCAGGTTTTTTTCTGTGACTCCTCAAACCAGCTTGAGGAGATTTGAAAAGAGAGCAAAAAGTAGTGAGAATATTGAAGTTTGCGATTTTTATACCAACTAAAGGTAAATTGGATATGAAAAGAGGATATTTTTAGATGAGAAATATCGAGATCTTGTTTTGATATTTTTTCTTCTCTAAATTTGGAAACCCGGCGTTTTTCGACTTCGAAATACGATTTCGAAAAAAAATTCAATGTCTTCTACTTATCAAACATTATTATGATCAAGAATATTAAAATCTCTGTCTTTTCGCGCCCCTCTTATCAACACGTGGATCCAATTTGTGCCCTTGTGGTTGCTAAGTTAAACTCGAAAATGAAAAATTATTCTCGCTTCACTAATTTACTCCAAAGATAAGGACTGATGAGCGTCTGCATCACTTCTTCTTAGAAAGATTCAAGCGTATTTTTCTAAAAACCTATAAGTTTTCTCTCGGCTGTTAGAATTTACCTCTTTTGCGTCTATATTCAAGGCTCTTCTAAGGTGAGGACTTCGCCAGAAGCATGAAATTACGCGGGATCGTGGTCTTCGCAGTGTCCGAAGCTCAGTGAGAAACTTTCACATGATCCTCCAAACTTCCTTTTCTTTCAGTATTTATCCAAAAGTTCAAGTCCATTTGTTGGAATCTCGTAAATTGGCTATTCTCTCTAGAAACGTGATAGTTGCTGCGGGATATCGCGAGAAGGATCTGAGGCTTGGAGATGTCCTTATCATTGACGTCAAGTTAGTTTAAAAGTCTTATAACTTTTGAAAGCTTACTAGAGAACGTGTTTTAGAAACTTTACTGATGTGCACTTTGAAAATCCTTTTTTCAGAACAAGAAATAGTTTCTTGCTATACTTCTGCTTTTTGAGTTGAGATGCTTCAAACACTTGAAATAGCGTGTTTTGCTAACTTCGAAGTCTAATAAATCAATAAAGAGTTCTACTGATAGAGTTTTTTTAAATTAGGAATTCCTAAAGTCCATTTCAGCCAAGTTTCATCAAAAAGTTAAAAAAAGGGGCTAAGTTCCCATACAAGAAAATAACGTGAAAAAAATGAGATCATTTTACTTAATGATTAAGAACTTCCTGAAAGTTTGGCATATGTACCAAGGGAAGCTCCTGAAAGTCTGAACCTGCATAACTCGCCAGCTCCCGAAAAAAAAAAACGCTTGAGATTACCTAACGGCTATTTCCGAAATTTTGAGGTTTTTTCTTAAATCTTAACAAAATTGGGTGTGCATTTTTGTGTCTTCTCTCAGGAAGTATTTAAATTTTTTTGAAACCTGCTGGAGTTGTGACGGCTGTTATTCGTAACACTATGATCAAACTTCAGTTCATAGAAAAGAAAAAATTGCAGTTTTAAAAATTTTCAGAAGTCTAGAGTTTCATATAAGAAAAATCAATAGGCACTGTGATTTAAAGAAAACAGAGAAACTCATTTTTAATGAACTTATGGGAGGAAATTGATTTTTTTAACAGGTCCAAGAATGGAAACATCGTGGCCGAAAAACTGTGCAAAGTTGAGCCGAGACAGTTTTACCAATGCGGAAAGAACGTAACTGTCAGTTTTTTCGAAGTTCCTCGGTTTTCAAATTATTCGCCTTTAGGGCCAAGTTTTCAAAGCAACGTTCGGATCGCACTACATTATCACCAACGACGTGCTCGGTTTGCAAAGTTGTGGGGCGTTCGTTTTTATTCTTTTAGGTGTTATTGGCGATCCATACGAGACTCTCAAGTTTTCCGAAAACGGGAGTCATCAAGTCCAAATTGTACTTCCGCCATTGAAGTTCTACCGGAATAAACTCGATCCTCTCACAGTTTTCTCAGAAGAGACCCCATTTCTTGTTCAAATGGTGAGTCTCGAAAATTTTTATGTAGAGTAGGCATTTTCTCTCGAGATGTGATCCCTCGCTATGAAAATTCACGGCTTGGAATGCCTGCACAAATGAGAAATCACAAAAAAAACTGTCAAAATACAAATATTGTTTGGCTGTTCAAAAGATAGCTGGACAGGACCTTCAACTTTGTTTTTGAGTTTTCCCTATGACACGTCGCGTAAGTAGTTTCAAGTCCGACGAACTGAATCAGTTAACTTCACCACAGGTCCTCTAACTTTACATTTTAACACAAAATAGTTCAAAACTGAAAACAAAAGTTTTAAAAAGATTAAACGATGTGTCTGGGCGGTGATTTCAGAAGGAAGTCGGAAGTTTTTTTCTAAATATTCTGAGAAAACTTTTTAATGATCCAGAAATCGTTTTTTTATTTTTGTTTATACGCGCAAATTTTTCATTTATAAGGATATGACTCTTCGGAGCTGAATCTTTTCGAATAGTGTCACTTTAGGAGTTTCGGCTCCCAAAACAAAATTATGAGTCTCCCGTGATTTTTCGGGCTAATTTAAAGCTAATCTCAAACTTCAAACAAATCTCTTACTGTGGAATATTTTAACGTCTTCAACGTAATCAGTACAATTTTTCAGGTCCCGAAGAAGCTCAAGGTCACCAACGTGAGTAAAATATAAACTTTCCAAGATCACCGCTACCGACGATTTTCAGGAAGAGTCGATCCGTTGTGAGGGAATCGTCATCTCCCACGTACCGGATAGAGTCGCCGGGCGGATCTACGCCTTCACCGAAGGGTGCTCTCCTTACACGGACATCCTGGGGCTCACCGGAAATTCATGCAAAACGCAATTTCTGCCTCCTGGGACGTTTGTCTCGTTTTCGATGAGGTGAATTCCAAATAATGTCCTGACCTTTTTTCGCCTTCAGCATCTCTGACTATGAACGTCGAGAGAACAAGAAAAATCTCCAGATGGACTTTTCCACTGTCCGGTTTTTCAAGGCTCCGGAGAATTTTTCGACTTCAGTCGAGGGCAAACGCCTTTATGTAAGTTCTTCTATACAGATCCGTTGAAAGAACGTCGAAAGACGCTTCCGATTAAAGATTTCTTGTACGGGATTTAAAGCCTATTGCAAATGTGATTCTTTTGGAGCTGTTATTTGTAAATATGGTGAGATTTCAGTTCGGAGAAAAAAGCGCAGGTTGAAACTTTGAAGATTCAAGCTCCATAGAAGAAAGTAGTGAACAAAAGTTTTTTAACCCTTTCTAACGGTAGTGTAGGAACAGAAGAAATCTCAGAACTTTCCAGCTCACGATCAAAAACTTCTCGATGGACCTTTCTTCCTCACTCAGCTACCCTCGGATCGGTAAATTCGACGACCCAGATGGCCTTCTTTCTCCGAATAAAAAGTAATCAGGACTATTTTCAATTGGACAATTTTAGATATTCCTCAGATACGAAGAAGTGAAATTTTTGAAAGTCTCTGGTGTTCTGCAGCAGATAAATAATTCGTGGAAAGTCGTGGCTGCCACTGAAGGTTTTTTTTAACATTTTTTCCTCCCTAATAATCATTATTTTTGAGGTTCTCCTTGAGTTCTGAAGTTCTTTGCGAGATATAATTGTATTCCATTTTTCGAATAATTGTAAATCGGTTGAATCAAATTCGGATTTTTCTCGTCAAAGTTGTAATTTTTTTTTCTGCTTCTTATCCATCATTTTGTCGTTTCAAGTTCAACTTAAAATGAAATTTTCACTCGTCCTTTCATATTATTCAACTTTTTGTAAATTTTCTGGACACAGTCCCCCCGTTTTCGCTTTCGCTCGATACCTCTTGCAATAACTTCCTTTCTTTCGAAGCAAAGCTCAATAAGTTCCCAGGTTTTTATTGACACGCGTAATATGAGACCTCTTATTATGTATATAAAATTCATAATTCCAGGTTTTTTCTGATCTCCTACCTCGAGTTTTTTTGCACTTTTTCGAGAAAATTTATTTATTTGGAATAATTTTTCATTCTTCTTTCGATTGATTTTTATTTCCTTTCTATTTTTCCAATTCCCATATTTTTATTGCATAGTTTTAACTCTTCATACAAAAAAATGATAGAAGCAAGAAATTTTTTTGGTATTTCAAATTGAAACAGAAATCAGATATATTAAAGAGCGAGGAAGAGTCACTTCAAGATTTTGTAACTTGAAAAATTGAGGGGGAAATATTAAGAGGTCGCTTAATCGGTTTAATAAATACCCGTTACTCAAGCTTTCCTTATTTTTTTATCACACATACAATTAAAATTATTCGAATCAGCTCGTGTCTACGGCTCAGTATATTCTGTAAAATTGATTTGGTGTCAATGTACCTCATAATTAATTACTGTGAAGTTATCGCGATTGAATTTCAGAAGTACTTTATTCATTCAGATGTTTTCGATTTTGTTTAACATTTCGAAATTTTGTTATTTGCACTAATAAACAAGGAAAAAAAGCGTTCCAGTTGGGTAAACATGATAAGTACCACAAAATCTTGTTTAATTTCAAAACTCAGTCGAGCGGAAGCTGAAAAGATCCTCATTAATGATGTTTTCGTCCTTATTTCTGAACTTTCGGAACAAATAAGCAGAATGAATCAGCAAAAAGTTGGAAAAATCTTCATGACTTGCGGAAAAAAGGGAAATAAAATGGAGGAACTCTGGTTGCAGGGCGGACAATGTTCGTTGGCAGTTGGTCTCGGTGAATTGTCAAGAAAAATCCCATCAAACGCTTGAAACATTGGAGGATCGCAGCTGACTTGAAGATTCTCTTGAGCGGGGAAAAAGATCCTTCAGGATCTCATTGCGACGAATGGAGAGGCCTCGATTTTCGCTCTCAATTCCACACATCTGGTATGAAACCTCCCTTGTTTATACAAGATGTCCCTTTTAATTTTGTTCCGGAGTGGTTTTGAATCCACTTTCGGGTTGCAATTTAATTCTTTTCTCGAGCTTTTTGAGCTCATCTTGTTGCGATTCCGTGTGTTCCATTGAGCACGACCTTTTCAGGCCAAAACTCATAAAAAACGACCATTTCTGTGGAGGTCCTCAGAACTCTTAGAGAAGGAAATCATCAACTGATATTAAAATTGATTCAGATTGATAAAAAAATTCATAAGTGTTCCGATATTTAAAATCTAACAAGAAAATTGGGGTTTTTCTGGCCTGTTGAAAAAAATGGATTGTAACATTCAATGATTTAATTAAGGTCTATTGAGTCCATACAAGAAAAAAATTTCCTTTATTTGAAAAAGCTTATTTACACAATAAAGCAGAAAAACTTGGCAATTTCCGATTACTGGAACCAAAAAATTATTTTTTTCTGTCTAGAAAATTCCTGAAGAAAGATGAAATTTCAAATTATAAAAAGAAACCTTGAAACTTGAAAATTCCCTTAGTTTCCGTTCAAATCCAGCCAGTTCTTTTCTCCTTATCTTCATGGTTTATTGACCCTCGGGCAAAAAATATTAGTCATCGAAATTCTCAAACATGAACCCATGTGCTCAAAAATGTGAGAAGTTTATGATTTTCTTTGAAATCCAGGCTTGAACTGAAACATCTATCCACTCCAATTTACGTGAAAAGTCCTGCTGTTGTCAAGATAAAAAATACTGCCTTCGCTCAACCGCCTTGCGTGTATTTGTTTTAGCCTCAGTTTTTTGTCTTGGTGCCAAAATTGCTTCTTTACTGTTATCCCCAATCTCCGTCACTTCCGGGGAATTTTTTTCCTGTTTTCGAGTCCCTTGGTTTGATTGATTTTTCACTTTCGAGAAGCGGCTTTGTTCCTTTTTTCTAAAGTCCGTAACAAAAAAAACTTTGTACACTTCTTCAACCGGTCACTCATCTATTTCGATCGGAAGTCACTTGTGAACCAAAAAAAAAAAAAAAAATTAAAAAAAGCACAGTGAAGAAATGAATGTTTTGAAAAACGAGGCATGTTAACAAGTTTTGTACTGAACATTGAACTATTCCGTTATTATTTATATTTCTCAATTAAAAAAACAACAAGAAACCCAAATTTGTTTTCGTATCAGGAGAAAAAGAAAAACCTTGGAAGTTTTTTTAAAAACTTGATATTAGTCAAAAAAAGAATCATATATTTTGCTTTTTAGCTCTCAAAATTGACCTGTCTGTAATTTTGACCACCTATCGGTAAATTTTAGCCTTCAAAAAAGAATAATGCGATTCTAGGTGCTGTTATGAGTTTGGCTTTTAAAGACACGAAAACATAGAAATTTTTAATTTTTTTTTCCACGCACTAGAAGAATAAATAACGTAGGAGGCAACTCAAGAACTGTGAGAATTTGATGGTTTTTTTCAAAACAACCTGAAAAATACCTTTGTGTTTTCCTGGATTGTCTATTCATATCGAGAGGAGTGTTTACGAAAAAAAAAAAATTGAGAAAGGTCCAGTTCGATATTGAATGTTCTTCATAACCGGGATTGTTTTTCAAAAAAAGTTTTTTTGTATTATTTTTTTGTTTTTGCCGCTGTAAAATGTTTCCCAATCCTTCAAAAATATAGGTTCTTTGGAGAATCTGTCTGAAAACGTGAGCTGCTCGTTGCAATATTCTGCCAATATTGCCCTACTTGAAATCTGCTTGAAACAGATTTCCGATCTGTTCTTCAATTCAAGGACACCACTGTTGCCAAAATTGACATTTGATCTACGCTTTTCTATTTTTTTTTCTTGCTCCGAGTCTTCCTAATTTTGAAATATTTCAGCGATAATGTTTTAGGGGTGCCAAGATTCAACAAAAAAGGACTCTAAAAAAATTGCAAAGTTTCTTTTTTTGAAGCTGAAGTTGATTAGCTGCTTGTTTTTAATTTCATTAAGGTATAAAGATCGTTCCAATCAATTTTTTCACCTGATGAGTGCACCTTTCAACTCAAAATGCTTCAGAAACTTGAAAGATTTTTTTCTATGACATTGATACTTTCAGATTTACTTTTTTTCAATTTTTTTAATTTCTTTTCTGAAAAAAAATCCAATTTTTTTGGATATTTGGCTGTGTTTTTTTCCACTAGCCTTAATGCCTTCGCGCATTATTCAAAACTTCTTCAAAAATGTTTCAACTCCAGAAAAAGCCTCCGAAATAGACTCTGTGCAAAATTAATTTCCGATTCTTCGCTTCAACATTCTTTTTGTTTTCCAGTCTATGCGGCCTACCTCGAAGCTCCGAAACTTTCTGCAAAAAGAGCTTAGTCTCTAAGAAGAGCGTTCAGAAGGTTCAGGGTCTCCGATTTCAAATTTTATCGCAACATCCGCTGCGCAAGCCTCCGAGCTTGCGATTTCAAGAGTACCCTGTTCTTTTTCAGTTAATCAGGGCCTTACGCCCACTCTTGCGGCCACGCGAAACCCCTATTTATAGGTTTCCCGTTTCTAAGTTTATCTTGAAACCAAAAAATTTAAATTTCAAGGTGAATTTCGAGAAAAAAGATCATATTCCCCTTCTCGTCAGCTTCCAGAAATCCCGTTCATAATGCATGAGATTTTCTAAATCCGCAACTTTTTCCTCATTTTACGTTTTCACCTTTTCACATAAGCTGAGAACATTCTCGTGTCACCGCATAACGTGTAATTATCTTTCTCGATTTTATTTTCGAGAGCGTTTAATCATAATCTTTTTGTTTCTCTCAAAAAAGCTTAGCCCACTTTGGCAAATTCAGCTCATAATTTCCAGCGTCTGTCCTGGAACAATCAAAGTTTGCCTTCGTTTTCTGATTGCTTAGTTCTCTGTTTTTTTCTAGATCCATAAGTATCGCAAAACTGTTTATAGCATCGACATTCAAAGACCCGGCTGATCTTTTGGTCAAAAAGGAACATCAAAATCTGTGTTTTTCTTATCAAAAATCATTATTTTATTTTCAGAAGTTTATTTATGCCTTCCATCAAAGCTTTCTAAAAAATTGGAAACATTGTACAAAAATCCATATTATTTAAGATACTCCTTTGAACAAGTTATTCATTTTTACACACACTATTTTTTCCCGTTTTTTTTTATTTGGTCGCACAGAGAATGGCTCAATTTTCACCAAATGCAACCCTATTAAAAGAAAAGCTCGCTACGACGCGGACAGCTACGTTTTAAATGTAAATTTTGAAGCATCAATTTCTACCCTAGTGCGACACGTTGATCCATTCCACATGCCGCCAAAGTTTTCAAGTTTTCGCGAAAGATTTCTTCTAATGACCAGAAAATTCATTGTTCTTGTCAACTTTTTTTGAAAATTCCAATTCTTTTGAGTGTTGCAAGGGCTTTTTTCTCATTTTTTTTTTCTTGGTTTGCAATAAATTATGAAGATCGAAGGCGCAACGGACAATTAATTAGAAAGAGTGCTTGCCGTGGCATAATTTGAACTTTCAAAAGCCAGCCACTTAACACTCTTTTTCCTCAATTCAAAGTCTAGAAATCGGATAGTGAGCAAAGATCAGAAAAAAAAAGAAACTTCTAACTTTCGTAGTACACATCTATCTGGCAAGGTTTTAAGACGCATCAGTTTGCATCCGCGCGAAATCGATGGGTTGTTTGCTTTGCAATTCACAAGTGCGGAATTCAAGAGAAATAAAAATGCAAAAAAGCAATTGTACTCCTCGCGATGTTTGAAATGCTCGGGAAAAAACTCCTTTTTGACTTCATCTTATTGATCGGTTGAAGGTGATCTCCTCTGAAACCTTTTTTTGATTTTGAACGTTTTCAAGACTGACTATTAGGAGATACTGATTTTTGTCATCACTGATTATTTAATTAAAATTCTACTAAATCGAAAAATCTCTATAATCCAGATCTTCGAAGCTTTTTTTAATAGAGCTGGGTCAAAAAAATGTCATTTTTCTCTAATTTTTCATTTTGCTGGTAATACTTTCCCCCTTTGTAATAGCCAGAAATGAGTTGGAATACCGCGAAACCTTGATTATTGCAAAATAAAAATAGAAGCTTCTCCTTCCTTCTAGGATACTGAGAAATTGCATTCATTTTTTCAATTTCTCCCTACCTAAGCCAATTTTTTAAAGGGTTTTCAAAAAAGATGGGCCAATCCATTTCCATTTTTTTTCACATTAAAAGCCATTCTCAAAGTTTTTTTGTACAAATGAACGTTTTTTTGGGATTGAGTAAAGCTCTAAACGTCCCGAGGTGCCAAGCTCGAACAAATTTCTTAGAAAATCAAACTTTTATGTGCTCACAAGCCATTCCAAATGCGGCCACATAATCGAGGCAACTGAGAATGCACGGATTTTTGAGAAAATAGTATTACAGGAGTTTATTTTCAAAAATAAATTGGTTTGAAGTTCCAAATGCTCCAACTTGTTATAGAAAGTTCTCATTTCATAGAAAGTTCTCAACTCTGAAAAAATAACCTGGATTAATTATCTAATTGGCCTTCCTTACGTCATTTAAATCCTTGATATCTATTTCACAACCAATGGAAAAAGTAACTGAAGTGTTTTGATCACACAAAGTTGCCCTTTCTGTCGGCTCTTTGCTTTTTTTTCCTGGAAAAGAATGAAGTTAGCCTAATAGAGTTGAGCTTTCAAACAATAGAAGAGGAAGACGACAAAGGAACTTTTTTGACTAGATTTCTGTTTCAAATGAATTTGAATTGCCGTTCTTATTCGATATGCTATTTTTTGAATGATTTGTAAGTTTTTTTCAGAATTTTGGAAAAATGGAGATTGACGAAAATTTCCTATCAGACCTTCGTGTTTCCACGGCCCAAGCGCTGAATGACTTGCAGACTGAGTTGTACCCAGGAGTGAGTTTTTCTTGATTTTTGAAAAAGCCATAGCCAAACTGAAGTTGAAAATCGATTTTGTGAAACTATACTTCTCTTTTTGAATATTTTTTTAAGGCTTTTTTTCGAATTTATTTTATTTTTCAACTTTAAACTTGCATAAAACTCATCACAGTTTTTCAAAAACCCTTCAAATCAAGCATTTTTTTGGCCATTATTCGAAAAAAAATTCTTCAATTTTTTTAAAAACAGTATTGAAAACTAATTTTTGGGTGATGATTCCTTAAATTGTTTGAAAATTCTTACGATGTCAACCTTCACGGAAAACAATCGAAAAAATCGTTGGATTTGTTCAAAATTTCCTGTTTCAGGGCAACATTAGTGAATTCATGGGCAACATCCGACTTCACTGCCATCGAGAAGACGTTGCAGAGATCGCACGTCAGACCCTCGTTCTTTGGCTCCACGCCAATTCCTCCACCGTCGGTCAAAGTTTCGCGAGGTTCATTCCATTTCATTATCTTGAATGTTATTAATTTTTACTGTTTCAGTGATGACTCCCTTCCGATTCTTGCCAAAGCGTTCCTCTCGGTTATTTTTGTGATTGTCGGCTGTATCGGGCTTGTGGGGAATGTGCTGACCGTTTTGGTTATTTATAATGTGAGTTTGGGTTTTTTTTACCTCCTTGTGTTCTGGTTCAGAAAATTAATTCTGGTAAAATAATTCTTTTTCAAACAACTTTAATTGAGGATTCTTGCTCCTTTTCAGTCTTTTCCTATTTCTAGAGGCTTGATTTTAAACTTTTCATTGTTCAAAGCGCATGTAGTTTCACGGTCGGTTGCACTGAAAAAAAATTTATAAACAGCTTCTTAGCGCATTTGAGCCTTTTTTCATAATTCTTTCATAATTTTTGAATTTTCAGACCGCTTCTCTTCACTCCCACACAAACTACTTTCTGGCTTCTTTAGCCTGCAGTGATCTTTGTTTGATCGTCATCGGAGTTCCGTTTGATTTGTTCCACATTTGGAGAAATGGAGAGCCACTGCTCATTGCTGGATATTGTTCCTTCACAAGTAAGTAGAATTATTTTTTTCGAAATATATTTTTTTCAGGTACCACGATATCTCTTTTTACTTTCGCATCAATATTAACGATAGTTTCGTTGACTTTGGAACGATTCCAAGCGATTTGTCATCCCTTCAGTCATCGAACTTTGTTTGATAAAAAGCGGTAAGTTCTGGTTTTTGAATGAAACTTCTTGATTTGCAGAGGCTCCTGATAGAAAAAATGTCAATAAAATCCGCAAAATTCAATATTTTTTAGAGTTCTCATGTTGATCTACGGTATTTGGATCGTCGCAGCCATACCATCGATTTACATCGGCTTGAGGGTATTTTTGATTGAATTTTTGCTCAAAAAATAAATTTTCAGTTTAAAAGAGTTGTTCCGGACTTTTTGTGGCTATAATAGAGATGTCGGCCTACCTGTTGGTAGCTGCGATTTGGAGACTGGACCGAATTCTCCTTTCCGATATCCTTTTGAGGTTAAACTTTTAGATTTGACTGTCTCTTTTTTGCTTGCGAAATTCTCATGAAATTCGGAAAGCATTAAAAAATTCTCGTTTTGAGAAAACAATTGATTTTCCGTGATTTATCAGTTTTTCGAAGTCAAGCTAAGCACCTACTTTTATAAATTTCAGTTTTCTTCTTTTTCAAAGTAGTTCTTCGAAGAAAAACTTTTTTAAACATCAATCAATCGGGAGTTTTTTTCCTGCTCAAACTTGTTCATACCTCTCCATTTCAGCTCACAATGATCGTGACCTTCGTTCTTCCCTTAATATTCATCATATTTTGCTACATCCGGATTCTTGGTGAGATTCCCAATAGTTTTTCTTATTCCATTTCTTTCACATTTCAGCAACTCTAAACGAAGTTTCCGCAGCCACAACCGTCCACACTCCTGTAGGGACTACTAACAGCGACAGTAGTCAACTCGTTTGTTGCGAGGGCAATGTTTGAGTTGAAATTATTTAAAATCCACTCAGAAAACTTTCCAGTTGCCTGTCAGAGGCTCAACTCATTCCAACGTTCAACATTTCCCACTTACAGTACATAGTCGCAATTATTCGACTCCAAGAAGTCAACAAGCTCAGAAAATGGTTATCAAAATGCTCGGTTTGTTGATTTATCTATGATTACACTTTGCAAAGGTTTTACTGGATTATTGGAAACAGCATGGTAAAATTAAATAAATTGAATAAATATAAAAAATTCGTTCAACTCCGTTTTTTTCAAATCTGAGTAATTTTTTTCAACGTTACATGCAGATCCTGAAAGTCATAAACACGAAGATGAGACTTGAACAGTCTGGAACTTTTAAAACTTACTAAAGTTTGAAAGTGTCTCTTTCTTCAAAAAAAAACCCGTTGTACGGTTGAAAAAAATGTCTTGACACTTTGAAATATTTCCGACGCCCTTTTGGTTACCAAAAAAAACTTCTGAATGAAAAATACATAGTTCATCCAGCAGGGGCTTGAATAAAAAAAGTTGAAAAAATCAGGCAAAACTGAAAGATTTGAGCGTATTCATAGTGTTTATTATCCAGCTTGCTTTTGATTAAATTATAACTGTTTTTTTGAAACAGAAAATTGAGAAAAATTAAAAAAACTTCCAATGTATCATTTTCAGTCACGGTCACCTCCGTATTTTTCCTCTGCTACCTACCTTACCATCTACAAAGATTAATAGTGCAGTACACCAAGCAGAACTGCAAAAGCTCAATATTTTGCTTACTTCTGTATCCTATAACAGGTGAGTAGGAGTATTCCATAATTTAAAACAACTCTTATGTTTCAGGGCTTCTTCAATACATTTCGGCGACATTGAACCCAATATTTTATAATTTGATGTCAGTGCGTTTTAGAGGCGCTTTCAACAAACTTATCAAAGATTTCATTTCTAAAAGCGATAAGGAATATAGTACACTTGCGAGGTTGTGAAGTGGCACTTTCACAAAAAAAACTTACTCAAAACTTTTTTTTTGTAGCATTTGAAAGCTTACTTTTCAGACATTTTTCGCCAAAATGTTGCTTGTTTTCCTATTCCTCCATTGTAAAAAGCTCAATAGTCTGTTCCAAAGCGTTTGTTGAATATTTCAAAAAAACGATTAATCAAGAAAAATTATCGTTTCAAGACCAACAAAATTCTTTTTTTAATTGAAAAAGATTTTTAAAGACTTCCGAACTTGAAATACTGGCTTTTTTGTCTTGAAAGGCACATAAAGCATTTTCGAACAGACTGTGACAGGAATAACCTAAAAAAAGTTGTACATTTCCCTTCTGAAAACCATATCACACGCAATAAAAAGTGCATTTCCCCATCTTCCGCTCATTTCCATTCCAAATGTGTATTCGAACAAGTATTCTTATTCTTTTTTTAATACATTTGTTTTGCTTTTAAATCATCTCCTGCAATAACTCAAAGTACGGGTATCTTTATTGTCCAAAAATGCCATAAGGTTTCGTGATTTTTCTTTGATTGTATGATATCAGCTTTTTAAAATTGAAATAAATATTTGATTCTTTTTGAAATGAACAATAGAATTGTTAGAAAAACGTTTATAAAAAAATCAGATTTCCACAAAATATACCAAAAAAAAAAATCGAAAAAAATTTAGACAGGCGACAGTATACGAAAAAAATTCAGAAGTCTTAAAAATATTTCAAGTATGTCAATGAAGATAAAAGAGATAAAAAGTTTCAAGCTTCGACTTTCCAACAAAAAATAAAAAAACAGAATTTCAATATGAAATCGACATCTCTAAAAAAGACAAAAATGAGAAGTCGCGCTCCACGGATAACTGGTCATCGACAGGCCTAACATGAACTTTCTCATATTTCGAATGAAATCCAGGTGGAACAAATTTTTTTCTTAAAGTTTCGAATAATGTTAGCTACGAACATGTACCCACAAGTAAAAAGAACAAGAAAAGATGCGAGATGAGCTTAATAAAATTGAGGGAAAATTGGAAAAAAAAAAGGCCGGGGAGAGAGCAAAGATGCAGAGGGCGCAGAGAAACAAAAGACCGCGCCTGTTGCTGAAAAACGGGTCCCGTCGCGATCCTTCCCTCGTCTCTCCTTTAGAGACGGGCGGCGAAGGAAAATATTCGGGTTTTATCAAGTTTTAAGTTTTTAAAGGTGTTTATAATATGTAAATGTTCTTTTATTGTTTTGGAATACATGTGAAGATGTCCTTGAGATGTGGAAATAGTTGAATATGTATGTTTTTGTGCAGAAAGTCGAGTTTAATGGTGTAAAAAGATATTTCATTTTTAAGTAAAGCTCAAATTTTTTTTATATTTTCATATTTTGGGAATATCCAAAACAAAACTTAACTTACTGTTTCAATTCAAGCATACTTATGTTTTTTTGTTTATGAATCTACAGGAACTATACCTTCTTTTCTTTTTCGTTTTCTACATTTTTTTTTAGATTTTTTTCAATGGAATGAAACTGCAGGGTACCAGAATGTCGCTCAGTCGCCTTGCCCCGGTCGGCCAGAATGCGCGAATCGTGATCATTCCGGCGCGTTTCGCCCATCACGCCGTCACTCGTGAGTAAAGTTTTATTATCATAAAATTAATTTCTTTTTAATTCAGTGATAAAATATTGAGATCATGTTCTCATACTTGAGTGCAATAAATGAACCATTCTTGAGTTTGATTGTAATTAAGGTTTTAATTCGTTTTGAGAGTTTTTTTTATCTTTATCAGTTTTATCCATTTTACCTCGCATTTGGAATGTTTTGTAAGGGGTTAAAGTATTCTCTGAGCAAACCGAATTACAAAATCTGAACAAAATGAATGCCATATGAACATCATTTTGATCTTGGCAATTTTCAATAAAAGAAAAAAAGCGAGCAATATCCTCCATTTTTCAGCCGTCACCGCCGCTCCAGCCGACGACACGCCAAACTTCTTCCAGAAGATTGCGCTGCGATTCAAGGGTACATTTTTTTTTACTATTTTAAAGTTAAAGTACGTTCAGATCTAACCTCGTTGGAGAAGTTAAGCAAAAAAGATTTAAGGTCACAATTTTGCAGGTGTGCCGTTGAAGGGCGAGACGCACGCGCCGAAGTCGATGTTCGACGACGTCGGCAAGGAATGGTCGGCTCCGGAACCACTTCCGGCCATCCCCAAGGACTTCAAGGAGCACCCGGACCGTGATTTGGTCAGATTTATTGCTTTCTTTTTATGACTTGTTTGAAACATTTTTCTTAACAAAAAGCTTAGGATTTCAATCAAGTTATCAAGTTTTTAGCTGAAACTGATAAAATAGGTTTTTTTCCACACTTTGGAGAGAAATCTGTTTTTTTCAAAAACTACTCCTATCAACTATAAAAAAAGCAAGAATGGTAAGAAACCAAAAAAAAATTTTTTTGTAGAGCTTTTTCGTTCCGCACAAAAAAACAATAATTTTGAAAACCTTTGTTCCGAAAAACCACTACGAAAATAAAAAGTATTTGGATTAAACTTTTTTTCGGACTTTTTAAATTAAAAAAATTGTCGGAAATTTTTTTCCAAGTTTATCATTTTGAACGTCTTTTTCAGGTCAACTACCCGTACCCGGCCAGACCGATGTACCCACCAAAGACGCGCGTTCTTATGATCCCTGACTCGTGGTTCACTGCCTTCCACAAGGTCACCGGAGTTTCTGGTACGTTTACTGAGGCGATTGTTCGATGTTGCTCTGAAAGTTATGCTTCGTTTAGTCGGTTACATCTATGACTGAATATGATTAAATATTGATTTATTGATTGATCAATAAAACTATCGCATCAAAAAAATTTTTGAGAAGCGGAACTAAAAAAAGAGACGCTTATCTGATTTTTATATTGGGGCAAAACTCAAAAAAAAATTTTTTTATGAATGTCAGCTGTCCATTCAAAGGCATTTCTGTTTGAAAAAAACGTTATATCTAACTTATTTCCAAGATAAACTCACCTCTCAGTGAGTTATAAGTTTCAAACCAGTCAGACGTCTCTCAAACAGCGATATTTTTGGATATACGGCTTTGAAAATTTCCCAAGGAAAATTGGTTGCAATCTTTAATTGCTGTTTCAAAGAAACGTCTAAAAATGATCACGTTATTTTTCTAGAAGTATGGTATCAAAAAATAGCACTATCAATGGATGGAATAATGTTCCTAAAACAATCTAAACTTTGAAAATACGAACATTTCAGGACCGTACCTCTTCTACGGAGGTCTCTTCGCCTTCCTCGTCAACAAGGAATTGTGGGTGTATGAGGAGCAGGGACACATGACCGTCGGCTGGATTTTGTTCTACCTTCTCATCTCTCGATCAGTTGGATGTGAGTAGAATTTTTTAATTTTAAGAAAAAATTACATTTTAGTAGAGAAAGAAATATTGAAGTATTCATGAAAAAAACTGGGAAAAAAATGAGCATTTTTTTCAATTTCAATGTGACCTCAAAAAGGTGGAATCTAGAAATGTTTCAAAAACTTTGTCGTGATACCTGAAAAACTCTAAATAAAAAAACGCGTTTAAGATAATTTGAAAAAAACAAGTTTGGATATTTTTCGGATTACAATTTTTCAACGTCTATCAAATATTAAAGAATTAGAAAATATTTCTTAAAACTGGAACTTTTTTTCAAAGTTCCTTAGCAATTTGTTGGGATATTTTTCAGAACGTCTCATTGAAAAAAATGTGAAAATAATAAATTTTTTTACTTTGAAACAGTAAAGTGATCAGAAAATTTTTTAAAAAAAAATGTATGGATCGCAATTTTTTTCGATTAATTTTTTTGATTCTCTTCTTTTCAAACCGATATTAAATCACTACCTCATACTTTTTTTCAGTCAAAATCGACAACTGGCTTTACGGTGAATACCAGAACCGCATGAACTACTTCAAGGGGCTGATTGCTGAAGATTTGAAAGACGCCGTCGAGTTCCGCAAGGTTAATTTTTCCTTTTTTTTTTGATTTTGATCCAAGAGAAGCGACGGAAATCTTATTCTGAATCAGTAATGTGAGGTAGTAGGAATTCTTGATTTTTTCCATTTTAAATTTGAAAGAAAGCCTCCATTTCTTGAGAATCTAGCCACTGAAGGGATACTTTTTTATTTTATTTTCATTTTCGAGGACAGGAAAATCAAAATATGAAAATAACATAAATTTCTTCGTTTTTTGATTTTTCAACATGAAATCGTTTTCCAGACCTCAGCCGCTCAAACCGAATCTTTGAACGCTATCAAAGAAGCTCTTCCGAACGCCCTGAAGGAAAGCATGCAGCTTCAATTGGAGGCCACCTACAGGTTCCTATTTAGTTATTAAAAAAAACAATACGGAATGCTTTTTTTAGAAAGAACGTTGAGACGATCTCGACCGAGCTCAAGCGCCGATTGGACTATTTGAAGCAGACCGAGGAGACCAAGGCCCGTTTTTGAGAAGGAGCAGCTCTTGAAGCTTATCAATGACTCAGTACGTTTCTTGATTCCAACTTCTGTAAAAAAAATAAAAAAAGGCCAAGTTGGGCTAAAATAATTAGAAAGATAAAATTGAAAAGTCCATGGCCACAGAACTTGCTTAAAAAAATGTTTCATAGCCATTACTTTTTTTAATATTTAGTAAGTTTCCACAAAAAAATGTTTCCTAGCGGTTAATGTCTTCTAATTGTTCTTAACAGGTAAGAGAAGAAAAAAATTTCTAAAGAAATGATTTCCGATTGGAGCCAGAAGCAGCTTTTTTTGAACGAAATATATTTTTGATTTACTGTTTCTCAAGAAGTTCAAATTGATAAGTAGACTATTGAAGCTATTTTTTTGGGGGAATATGGGGATTAAAGAGGAATTCGGAAATCTGGTTTTTCATATTTTTTTAAGTAAGTGTCAATAAGAACTTTTAACTATGAACCACGAGCCCAGAAAAAAAATTTTTTTTAAAAGCACGTATTTATTCAAAAAAAACGTTTCAAACGAAAAAAAGTTCTTTAACCGAGCTTCCTGTTTCTTAAAAAAAAGAAAAGACTTTCTTTCCTAAATACCCTTTCTCCATTTTTCTCAGAAAATCCCTTTTCCAGGTTGACAAGACAGTGAACGACCGAACATTCAAGGACCAGTACCTCCAAAACTCGATCCAACAATTGAAGGGCCTCAACGTTCAGCTCTAATCTACGAGTCCCACAATCGTTAATTTTATCCCAAACTATCAATTTGCTAATTTTTTTTCTGTTGTAGATGATAAATCTAGACCGTTTTTTTGATATTGTTTTACCAGTTTTTTTCTTATGAGCCGAATCCCAGAACGGGATACGAAAATAAATTAGTTTTTTTGTGAGGAGAGTCGAAAGTCGAAAGGAAGAAAAGGATCTTGAAAAAAATGATGAAAGAGAAAAATTTCGAGAGAAGAAGGGAATTTAACGTCGATTAATTAGAATTTTTAATCTGTCGCAGAATCTTTTTCAAGAGGCATTTTCAAATTTTGATACATTGAAAATTCTGCCTTTTTCAGTGCACCCCGGAAATCTTTCTGAACGTTTTGATTTCTTAATAATTTTTGAGAGTAAAAACTGCTCATAAGTCCTCAAATAGGTTTTCAAAGCGCATAAGTGTTGATGAGATGAAATAAGACTAGGAAGGGCTCATTCTTGGAGACTTTTTCAGAATTTGACTCTAACCAAAATGGAAGTGCACCCTGTGTTGAACTCTCGATGCAAGCCGCAGAGTATTTTCTTCTTTCAACCCCTAATAAGATCCGTATGCGATTTCGAAACGGTTCATTTCCCAATAGTACAATTTCCTACAGTTTCATCTCATAATGTTTAAAAAAAAATTTTTTTCCGAAAAAAATTGCCCCAGGGGTCCAAGCCACCAGGTCCACGCGGAGTGCGCCAAAAAAACATCCAGAAAAGTTCATTTATTTTTGGGTTTGACTACACTTTGAATTTTTGTAGGAAAATGTTTTTCAACACAGTAACGAGTCTTTAATCCAACAAACTCATTCATACCCCTTTTTTCATTCAAATATAGTTTTTCAAAATTTTCACCGAAGTGCCTGAAATAGGTTTTTAAATGTGATCCTAATAAGAACCAAAAATCCTGGCGCTACCCCTACCATCGCCTGAATAATCCAATCTTATCCTTCATGCTCATTACTTTAAATACAGCTATACTTGATTTACGGCTGGCCTGAGCCATCGAAAGATGGCTCCTGACACGAAAAAAAATGAGCAACGTCTGGTTGGTGAAGAGCGTAGACAGGCCACGCCCCCCTTCGCGTCACAAATTAGCCGTGGCTATAAATGCAAGTTTTTTTTTCAAAATTAAAGACTTTTTGAAATTTATATCATCCAGTTCATTCAAAAAGTCAGACCTTTTAATCGCCTTTTTTCAATTCTATTCAAAAAAATACAGCAATAACCGGGTTACTAGTTCACTAAGACTGCTGGAAAGGAGCTTAGCTCAAGGTCATCATAAGAAAAAACCTAAGTTGCAGTGTGAATGGATGCCGTCGACGATGTTCCCCCCTCCATTGAAAATTGGCGGACGAACACGGATGGGATAAAGTCGACGGAGCGGCGGATTAGTCCTGCACTTTGGGCGCTTGCTTACACGCTCATTTTCATTTTTTTCCGCGTCTCCATGTACAGTATAGACCAATTTCTTTTGACACTTTTTACAACCTTCGCCTCATAAAGAAGAATTTTTAGTGTGTAGTTTGAAGCTGCTTTATTTTTAAAAAGAGAAGTATCAGTTCTTCGAAAAAAATATAAAAAACGATTCCAACTTTTTTTGTCTCCCCTGAATAAGTTCCTAACGGACAAACTTTTTTTAATTTAAATTCTTATTATTTCGTGGAATTTAGATTTTGTTTCACTTTTTTTCGAAAAAAATAGACAATTTTTTTGAAAATTTTTTTACAAATGTTGCCTGAAAAAGTAGTTTTTTTCAGTGTGCTGTTTAGAGCTGTCTTATTTTACCAAGATTTCGGATTTTTCCCTCCACCAGCTTCTAAAAACTTTTGAGACAATTTAACTTTTTTTTCCCATTAACTGATTAAATCTTTCGATTCAAAATACTGATAAATATTTTGAGATCTTGGTTTTTTTTTTGGTTTTTCAAAAAAATCGTGAAACTTACTTTTCATCTTCTTCCCAATTCGCAAAGATAAAAACAAACTTTTTAATGGCTCAGCCGGATTTTCCGATTTATTTGAATCTCAAAAAAATTCAAAACGTCTGGGAAATACAAATATGAACTTTCTGAAGGTAAAACCTTGAGATTGGTTTTTTTTTTGGTAGGAAATCCAATCTCACGCTTGAGCTCCTGTAGTATTTGTTCACACTGATTACTTTTGAAAAACATAATTTATCGAGAAAGTTCAACAACAATGATTTTTTTGAAATGCTATACAATTTATCTCAATTTTGGATGAATTGGAACGAAATTCTGAGAATTTTTTACTGCTCCATTTATCAGAGGATTATTTTGCAGTTGATTATTTTATCAATAGATTTTTTGAAGAATACGCTCGAAATTTGGAAACAGATCGGTTTTTGCAGAAGAAAAGTAAAAAAAAGTCTGCAAAGCTTCTGAAAAGTTGACAGGACTCGTCCAGTTGTTGTGATTGCTGAAATCGACGTCCTCTGACGGTCCCCCCTCAAACTCCACGCGGCCGTGTCCAGTTTGAACTCACACCCGCTCGGCTACCTTTCACCCGACTGCCTGCGGCCATTCAATTCACCTGATACCTGTCCGCTTTCAATAACCATTGGCTTTATTGCTTCAGTTTACCCGTGGTCGTTTGAATTTATCAATATTGGCTCTCAGTTTGAGTAAGTATAGAGTTATTGGTTAGTAGGTTCAAGTTGAGTTTGACGTTTTTATTTGAGCTTCCAACTTATTTCCTAACAAAAGAAACTTTTTGATTCACTTGGAAGCTAAAGCTTTGAGATTATACTAAAATTCTTCTTTTGTCATTTAATACCATCTGATGCTTTTATAATATGAAGTTACTCTTGCAGTCCGTTTTCAATAGCAGTTGGTTATATCACTTCATTTTTTTTTTCTTTTTGTGCAATTCCAAAAACTACTTTTTTCACGCCTAATTTAATTGAAATTTGAATTCACAGTTTTTTTTTTGAAAGCAACTACTTTTTCCGTGTACAGAGACATAATGAGGACTTCATGTTTCGATTTGACTGTTTTTTATTCGAATTTTCTAAGAAATTAATAAAAGCGCAAGGCAACAATATTTCGAGTGAAGTTAAGTTGACTTTAGTGATATACATTATTTAGAATCGAAAGGTAGAGCAAAGTTTGGTGAAATACTTTTTTCAACCTCACTGTCTTGAAGCTTATGTGTTCAAAGAAAAATTATCCTTGAATCTCCAAAGTTTAGTTACCTTTTTTTTCTCTGACGGCTATTTTTGGAATACGCTGAATTATTTTAATCATCGGCATTAAACTTTTTTTAATTTTTTTGAGGGCATTTTTCAGCTTTCCTGTTTTCAGAATCATTATTTTTTTTTCATCTTGCGGATGTTTCAATACCGGACCGAACTTTCAAAAAAACCGCATCCGTTTATTTTTATCGAGGGTCGTTTTTTGAAAGCACCTTTTTTGAATTTAGAAATTCCCACTCATTTCGGATTCTTTTTCAATTTACGTTTTTTGTGACCATTTTTTTTTTGAATATACGTGCCCAATTTTTGAGCTTCCAATACGATTCCGGATGGATTTCACGAGAAAATCAAAAAATTCAGACACCAAAAATTTAATTACTACTCTTTGAGTCACAGAAACCCTTTGATCTATCGAACTTTAAACTTCCACTGATCATTCCGTCACACCTGACCGCACCCCCTTTCACTGTGAAATTTCTTTTTGCGACAGTCTTGTGCACACAAAAATGACAAATTCAAAACATTGTCAAGTTAAACTTTTCTCGGACGTTTATGGGCCATCTTACCTACGAAATTCAATGGATTCTATCGTTTCTGCTTGCCTTTTCACGTCAGTTTCCGCTTTCCCTTGTGGTCATCTTCACCGGTCATATCATTTCCAGCTGCTTCTCTACTCGGCTCGCCGACCTGTTCGGGTATTTAACAACGACGAGAACCGTTGTGGAACATTTAAAGCTTACTAATTTTGGTTAGTCCTCGTCCGAAAAGTGTTGCGATTCCTCTTCAAGTTAAAATTTCAGAGTTCAACTCTCAAGTGGATGTATGGCCCTTCTAGAACAACTTTTCCTCATTTTGCTGTACAGTGAGTTATATTTCGACTTCCAGTACAGTTTTTAAGAAGCCGTTGTTTGGTGAGACACCGTTTAGCGTCGTTTTTCATATGCGCAATTAAAGGATCTATAAGGCCGGTCGATTTTCTCTGCCGGCGGTGCCGCTGGATTTTTCTTGAAATTTCTGAAATTTATGAAAGCATGAACTATGTGAAGACTCAATTAAAGGTAGTAGGTTCTCCGTTATTCGCTAGGTTTAAGTTGAAAATTCAAAAAAATCTTCCCGATTCATATATTTCAAAAAAATAAAGTCTTCTTTTTGTTTTTAAAATGATTTTCAGTCACAGAAAGGCTAACTGAAGAGCAGATTAAGTATCCCGTAGAGTTCAAAAATTCGATATTAATCATAAAACTGTTATTCGAAAACTTTCTCAAGCCCTTTTTAATTTAAAAAAATTAGCTTCGAATGAAACAAAGAGCATTTTTCATTAAAAGTCAAATATTCTTGCATTTTTTTAGTGACAGCACTTCAAACATCCTCTTTGGACAACAAGATTTCTGACAAAGACGTTGAAAATATGATAAATGTTGGAACTTCCAAATATTTCGAACTCGACAAACACAAACTGGGACAACTGTGGCAGTTTGCAACGGCAAGGGCGACAATTAAAGTGAGTTATTCGAATTTTCAAGTTTATGGGTTGAAACGGTGATAATTTGTTGTTTGACATTGTTTTTTTCTGGTTCATTGGCGCTCAGAGTCCGTGAAATTGTTCAATTTCTCTTGTTATTGTTATACTTTTCCAAAACAAGGCACAGGAATGGGAAGCTCGAAATATTCTTTCGAAATGAAGACTTTTCTCATCTTTCACTGTTTTATTTTTTTTTGAGAGGAAGCGGAAATTGAAAAAAATAATAAGGAAAGCAAAAAAGAGCTAACTTATATTACTGTTTCAGGCACAAGCTCGAGCCGCCTATCCCTACGTTTCTCAAGTGGAAAAAATAGTTTTCGAGCAATGCTCCAAAGAAGCAAAGACGGTGGTTGCTCTGGCTCGATGTGCAGTTAGATTATTCAACGAGAAGCGATTCCGGAAAGAGCAACTTCCTAAAGAAAAGCCGCCTCCCAGAAAAAGCACCATTAAAATCAGTCGAAGACCTCTAAAAAAGGAAAGAGTTCTGCAGCAGGACTTCAAGTATAACACCTTGCAAAACGTGAATCGGGCTGATACGGACAGCAAAAACACTCTCACTGAAACGAAAATCAAGCTGAATCACGAAGAAAAAGAAGATTCCTATTACTACAGTTCGAGCAAATCGAAATGGGTGCGAAACCCTATAAGGAAGCAAGTTCGGTCTCAAATCCGCCAGAAACGGAAAGTTGACGACATCATGTTGGCCTACGACATGTTCTTGAATGAACAGAGGCAGCTGAAGAAAATGGAAGATTCGAGAAAGAAAGAAGAAAAAACTAGGAAAAGCATTCCGGAGAGACCTAATAAAAGGCCGAAGTCATACAACAACTACGGATTGCCCCATATCATTTCGAAATTGCGCCAGAAAAGAGACGTTCCAGGTGAGGAATTTATGAATGGCTGTTGTCTTTGCTTCTATTTCGTCTTCTGATCAGATGTCCGGTTGAGAATCTGATGAGACTTTGCTGAAAGGATTCTGAAAAATCCTAATTTCAAATTGATCGGAAATAAGCACTTAGAAGCGTTAAAAAACTTCTATCTACCGTTTCAGTCAAAATAAAAAAGTTTTTTGAAAATTTCGAGCCTTCATAACTTGCTTCAGATGAATATTACGCCACTTGTCTTTGACTGAAATGAATTTTAGAACCCTATTTAGCAAAATTTTATAGCTTTCTCAAATGAACGCCTTCCGCAACCCCTTCTAAACAAAATAAACCTCGTTCGGGCCAAGAAAAAACATTCCAATGAAAATTCCAGTTAAACTCGAAGAACGCCCTGCCATTGACTTCCAAAAGTTGGCCAGCAAGTATTTCCAAGAACTTATAGGTGACTTGTTGTTTCTTTAAAAAGGTTAATAATTTTTCATTATAGGTGGAAAGGTCCAAACACATCATGTGCAGAACTTGAGAAAGCTGAAAAAAATCACTTCTCGAAGGCTGAAAAAAATGCAACGGCTACTTCAAGTTGGTCAATGACGTGAATAAAAAAAGTGAGCCGCTTTTTATTAAAATATTGAGCCTTTATAAAAAAACGTCTTAAAACTTTCTTTTGAAAAAGCCTATGAGTTTCTCGCCGCCTTTCGTTATTTATTTTTCCAAGTTTTTTTCATCCTTTTTTTGAAAAAAAGAAACGATTGAAATTCGCTTTGAAAGGTATTTCAAAATGGTCATGTCAAGTCGAAAACTATTATTTTTCGAAAAGAAGATATTTCGGCTCAGTTTTCACTTTCCGCACTTTCGAAAGTGCTGAAATCGTTCATCACCCTGACCAGTTGAACTTTTGAGAAGATAAACGCCACTTGTCAGGAATCATCATTTAACCCCTAGAAAATACCGGAATACCAGCTTGATTTCTGCACTTTCGATCTCTGGGGGTCGACGGCTGACGGTCACTTTTGATGAGATAATAAGGCCCCATACCAGATATCGTTTTCTTTTTTTCTCCGTTTCTGTTCATTTGAGCATGAAATATTGGTGGATCGTGATTTGCGGCGTTCCTCGCCTCGGAATTCACCAAAAGGGGTCTTCTAAAGAACATTTGTAGGTTCCTGGACGACTTGGGACTTGGGATCGACAGTCGGGCGCCACAAGTTGATACTCAGAAAGATGCTTTGGAGAAGATTATTGATATAATCAATGAATATTCGGTGCGAAAAGTTAAGATAAAGTTTGAAAATTGAGTAGTATTCAGGCCTCGGAGCTTTCCCCGTCCAAGTTTTCAGTGATGTCACCTCGAATTTTGTCTCTTTTTCCTGATAAAAGCAAGAAAAACCGACTATTCTCACCTTCAATTCTATCATTTCAAAAGGACGGGTTTTTCTCCCTTCCCGAGCTCTTTGATGTGAGTTTCTTCTTTTAAAGACATCTTGCTGTTTAGTCAATGTTGATCAAAAAATAACCTTCCATAAAATTTCTAGTGTTCGAAACGAAATTCTTGTAAAATGAGTAGCCTATGAATAATCATTCCATGAATTTGCAGATGATAACCTCTAACCAACGATATCAACAGCTGATGCTGGAAGGGATCATGGACCTAAGTGGAGCTGGATCAGTAGTTGAAGTGAATTAGAGAATTTAGAAAAATCACAGTTTCATAAACTACTATTTTCAGAAGCTTTTGACAACGCTAGAACCCAAAATGAAGTCAATGGACGAAGAACAATATCCATTTGTTCAGAAGATGAGCCTTCAAGAAAGAAATTGGTTGAGGTTAGAGGCAAAAGTGGTCCTTTTAGTTTCTTTCATTCTTTCCTGTAAGGACCTCCAACTAAAACCCCCCATAGGGGTCACGTTTGCAAGCCCTAGTGGCCCCTATAGTGGGAAGCATATTGATCTCCTCGGGCACCTTTAAGGCCCTAAGGTCGCTCCTATAGAGACCCCTCTCGATTTTCTAAGTCCGTCATGAGTTTTTCAATTTCAGAGCCAAGTCGTCATTTTCAAGCGATCAATTAAAAGAAATGGATGAGTTTGGGATAGTTCACATGGATGAGCAACAGTTGCGATTGGTTTATGGGGGTTTGTCCTTGAACTAAAGGTTTTTTTCAAACTTGGGTTTTTCAGATGAAGCTGACAGGTTCGTCCACATTGCGAACTTAACCAGAGAGGAGAGAATAAATCGAGTGGAAAATGATATCAGGAAATTGGCGGCAAAAGGAAGACCCCAGTGGCCGTATTTTGGCAAAGGAGGTGGGAATGGAATCAAACTTTATTCCTGTCAACTACTAAAATTATAAAACGTATAACTTGATTACATTTTTATTGCAGCGATTTGATAATTTAGAAAAAAGGAAGCTGTCACTCTTTTTGACTATCAAATATCCTTTTATAAATAAAAATATTGAAATTTATAAGATGTTCGAAAACTTCTAGTCTTAACCTTTTCCTACCTAGAAAATTTGAATTACATTTGCAAACTAAATGACTTTTGAAACTACTGTGAGAGGTCTTTGATTTCCGGGTTTGAAACCAGCTTTAAAAACTAAATTTAATGATCCTAGTTATGTCCAATTTCAAACCTTGGTTTTTGACCGATGAATTTTTATCTTCAAAAATAATAACGCCAGAAAATTGCTTTTCAGTTTTACCCCAACAAAAATCGTCTTCTTGTAGAAATTTCAATTGAGACGTTTTTTTCCATTCTCAAAATTGCTTTGAGGATTCCGAGGCAAGAGAGAAACCCACGGAGGGCATGATAACGACGGCGATGATAATATTCCTAATTATCCCCACCCCGAAGAAATCAACGGAGTCGAATATCAAACTTTGAAGGTTCGTTATTCATTCCTCCTATTGAGCCCATAAAATTTTCAAGCCCTACGCCTTCGCCAATCTAATAAATCTCGGAACATCAATGGAAGCACAAATATTATCACCTCATGCATTTATCGGTGAGATTATAAATCCTGAAGCTTTGAAAGTGAGTTTTTATTATTTTTTTCTTGAAAAAATTATATTTAATTTAGTTCTCTGTTTTATCTCCTCGAGCTTTCATTGCTACTGTTTTATCACCATCGGCTCTAATCGCAAGAGTTTTATCGCCTGCAGCTTTTTCGAGCTGAAGTTTTGTCACCCGTGCTTTGCAGGCTTGGGTGCTGAGTCCTGAAGCTTTGGTAAGGGTTAGGAATAAAAATGGCAAAAAAAGCTTCCGTAGTTGATTTATCACTGCATTGAAAAAAATATCAATGTTTTTTTGCATAGTCGAATAGGATTTTGTAAAAAAATGCTGCATATATTTGTATTTAGTTAATTGGTTCTAAAGATACATTCCGTTAATTTAGCTAGAGAAATTACGGAACTGGAATTGAACCATTGACGGAATGAAGAAAATTCGAACGAATGAAAAAAGTAGCTTTCCGTCTCCAAAAATCAAAAAAAAACGTTTTTCACTGTCTCAGAACTTGGTAACCTTCAAGAGAACCCTTATTTCAGATGGTTGAAGTCCTAACTCCTCGTTTTTTGGAACCACGCGTTCTATCGCCAGAAACACTTGTCATCGACGTTCTAAGCCCAGGTAAAATTATGAACTTTTTCCAAAAAAAGCGAAAAATTTAGGATTTCTTTCTCCTCACGTTCTATCGCCAGAGTCTATCGGAGTCATGATCCTCAGTCCAAATGTCCTATCGCCTCGAGTGGCAAGTGATGAAAAAATGATTGTAGAGGTGAGAGCAAATTTTTATAGAGAATGTGTCGTTCCGGTTTCAAAATTTGCATTAAAAATAATAATAGTTTTGTCCTTCTACTTATAGCAAGAGATTGAGATGAAAACGAACATTTGACGACTCCTTTCAGGTTCTATCGCCTCACATCCTAGGAGGACCTCACAGTGAAGAAGAAGAAGAACACGGAGTCCTAGAAGTTGGCTCCAAAAGTGAAACGGACCACGAACATTTGGGCCATAATCATGGCCATAATAATCACGAAAGTCCTACTGCTCATACAGAAGCTCCGGTTCAACCCGTGAGGAGTCCTTTTATAAGATGATTCTATTAGGAGAATAGTTCAAGATAACCGAGCCAAAATGTCCAAGTATTTGAAAAGGAGGGTTTTAAACTTTCCACAATCAGAATAATGAGTAGAAACGAGTTATGCGCTATAGTTAAATATAATAGTAGAAAAAAGTGAGCAGACTAAACCCTTAAAAATACCTTTCTGCAACGGATAAGAGCTTTATAACGCTTATTGAGTTTGTTTAATTTTCCACTTAGCTTGGAATGATATCCAAGCACCTCTCAAAACTTCGGTGCAAACCTCTTTCCGACTCAAAAAAATTAATTTCTCTCTCCTCAAACCAATTTCACGATAATCACATTCATCAAATAGAAAAAACTTGCGGTTCGGTTATCTTGAAAAATGAATTCTGAAATAATCTTGAAATTTCTCCTTTTTAATAAATTATTTACGCATTTCTAACATTTTTCCGTACTTGGTTGAAGTTTATCATGCTTTTTAACTTTTGATCTGATCAATATTTCAAATAATTTCAACCGGTGAAATGCTTTTTTGTTAGATTTCCTTCAAAGTGTGGCATATTTCATTGGAACACTATAAACTTTTGTTTCTACATTTTTTTTTCTTGAAACCTGCCTATCCTTGTTTATTTCCTATTTTTGGTTTTTCACCACCAGCTCAAGACAATATTAGAAAGCGAAAATGAGAAAACTTTTAATGGAAAGTTTTTCTTTAGCCGGTAGTTAACGAATTTTATTTATTAATAACTTATTTGAGTTAAGTATGAGCGCACATTACAAAAATCTTGACTTTAACTGATAAATGGGTTTTTTTCTATTCCATGTACACTTTTGCTCTATCATTGGCTCATCTGTTTCCATCTAGTTCACTTATTTATTTCTGCTCGGGCTCATTTTGTACAAAATCAGATTAACCAACTGAAAAGCTTTTGCTTGTTTTTATACTGGTCTTTGCAAAGGAAAATGTGCTTTAATTTTTTGTACCAAGTACATTGGGATTCTGATAAAAATGTTCAATGGTCCTTTGGATTTTCTTTGCATGAAAAAGTACAGTAAAGTTAAATCTCCGTTGCCCAGAAGAGAAAAAACTTTATTTGTGTGAGGAGTAGGGCAACGGAGCCTACCTGTAGAGAAGAAAATCGATTCTCATCCAAGCGTGAAAAAATCCCGTTTGTTTGGAATTCCGTTTCCAGTCGCTCAGTCTTCTAAAAGATTACCTGTATTTCAAAAATTAAACTGTGTTCCTGGAAAACTATGAATCCAGTTGCTTATTCGGTCATGGGAAATCAAGTGTATCGCGGTTTTTAAATCTTCGCTGTCCTTTGGGACCTTTTTTGTTACATTGTTATATTGAAAAAAATATAAAAATAGAAAAAAAGATTTCTTTAAAGGATTAAAATGTCAAATGTAGCTATTTCTACAATGACGTCAAAGATACCTTACCAATCCTAACAGAATCGATCTTTTGTTTTGTTGCGAAATTATTCTATTATAGGCTTCACAATTTCATAAAGCCGGTAAAAATGCTCATAATCGAGTAAAATTAAGTGTTCCAGGCTACTGGACGTGCACACTTTTATATAAAACGGTAGACAAACTTTAAAAAATTTTATCACGCCTGGTAGTCAAGCAATATTGATTTCACCAGTTTCTGAGCGTTTTCAGGTAGATTGGCAAAATCAGAGAAATGAAAACAATATTTCTAAATCTTCAGCTCCGAGGGTCCGTTAGTTGAGTAATCATCTCTATTATAATGAAAAAAACGCACCGGAACGTAGAGATTTGACCTTGAATGCAGAGACCGCGTTGCGGAGAAGGACCACATCGAGTTTCTGGAAACCGAAAAATTAGCTTTCAAAAAATCGAATCTAATGAAATTACGTAATTTGTCTCCTAAAGAATTGAACCGAGAATAAAGTTTCTCAACTTGATTTTCAACAATTCGAAAAGAAAATATGTAATAAATTTTAATAAAATTGATAACTTAGCATACAACGTCTTCAAGAAGTTTACATAGAGACTAAAGGAAAGCGTGCTCCACTGTACAGGCGGCGTCCTTGACACCATGACCCTCTAGTTAGGTTTTTGCGGCCTTCTTCTAGGTTCAATCATTACTGTGAAAAATATTTCGCAAATAAATTGCCACAACAAAGAATTGAAATTTCGTAAAAATCTTGCGGTGTTTCATCATAGCATCATGAATTTTTTTAATAGATAAATAAACATATAACATTTGGTTGCCAAGGAAGATAACTTTGTTTCAATCGCTGGAGCAAAAAAATATTAAAATAAACTTCAAATCAATCCCCACAAAAACCAAAAATCTACAAGGATTTCATGAATTTTTATATATATATAGTGTGTGCGTGGGAGAACGTGTAAAGACCGAACTGAAAAAACACTCCGTATTTTGAATATAGCTGGCTAGTCGTCGTGGTCGTCGTATTCACGGGACTCTCAACCGTCAACTCAAAAACCGTGAAATTTAGAAGTCGAAGACCTTTTTGACTTTTTTGATAATCAGCCAAAAAAGAGTGTTGTGGTTATGAAATCATATAAAGAACGTTTTCAAAAACCATCGCTGCAAAAAAAAAACGAACTTCGGTTTAGATTATGACTAAAAAAAATGCAAATCTATTGAATTTTCAAAAAAATTAGTTTTTTGAAATCTGCAAATCCCTTCAAAGCCTTTTTCCTGAGGCTTTTGTGATATAAGAACGTGAGAAATATGTCCACTTCATGACGAAATTTACGGTCAGCCGATTCAGAAGTCAAAGGACCCAAGGGCGACAAGAAAAAGAGCGCGCCGACCCAAGTGCCAACGGCTTTTTTGGTCCTTTCCTGCGCCATCGCCTTCGTTTTTGTCCTCATGTTATTTGTATACTTCCCTGGTTTTGTTCGTTTTTAAATCTGTCCAGATTATTTATTCTTGTCAAAAAGCATCTTTCCAATTCAAGGCTAAAAATTATTGGCTTTTAAGAAATAATAATCAACTTTTTTTCCATTTTTTTCATTGCTGTTTTGACTACAATCGAAAAAAAAACAAATTTTGCCCGAGGAAGAATGGGAAAATTGTTTATGGAAGCGGGGCTTGGCAACGGATTAAAAAAATACCTGTTAATTGCAGGTCGATTGGATGTTGGAGTCCTTGACGTTGGTGGGAAGCAGGTCGCATCTGGAACTATTTTTTGAAATTTTAATGGGAATGCGCTACTTTTCAACGTCAATGAAATGTTAGACTGGAAATAAAAAAAAATAGTTAAGATGTTTGGAGAAACGCTGATAGGAAAATCATCTCAAAAAAAGCAAAAGTTCATGATAGAAAATCAAATTTCAAGGTTATTTACTGCAACGAAACCCATAGTATCCTTATAAGTTTGAAACTACAAATACCTTCATAGAATGTTTCATAGCGAGTTAGGAAAGATATTTACCCCAGCGTTGCGATGTGAGAAATAAAATAAATTATCAAGTCAGATACTTACATATGCAAGCATTCTTTTCAGAGTTTCATGAAGTAAATCAGCTCGAAAGTACTTCTTTTCCCATCCCGATAGCGTCGTCAGATCTAATTCTCCAACTAAATATTTCTGAAAAATATAAGCTATCGAATTCAGCATGCTTTCCGAATATTGTTCTGCGAAAATCCAAAACAAAAGTTGAAAATTGCAACACCCAAAGGCACTCAAAACTTTCAAGTCAAGTGACCTAGACCTAGACTAGAATCTACTGGGGATCCTACGCTGGCAGGGCGTTCTCAGTACGAACTTCCCGCCAAACAGACGTCTCTCAGTCAGTGACGGTCGGACGTCTGACACGACCAGGCCTTTGGGGCTCCATCATTGTCTGTACCCAGGAACCCCCTGGGCACCAGATGCCGTCTGCATCCTGCAGAAGAATCAGGACCGAGTTTATCATAGCGAGGAAGTCCGACAGCCGTGGCCAAATCGGCTGTCGCATCCATGGCGTCTCCGGAGCCCCGTTGTCTAACGCGCGCCTTAGCCTTCTTTCCATTCCTCATTCATAACAACTTCGTGTAGAGCTTATCGACTAGCAAGTCTTGAAACTGTCCAGGAAGTTGTCGTGAACGGATTTTAGCCTTTTGGGTTTTGCAGTTTGAAAAAATGAATAGCTTGAACTCCTTTTTGGAGATATTTCTGATTTTTTTTCATGAATTTCCAAATCATCAATAAAAGGAAAACGTATCTTGTTGATGAGGGCGACGAAATAGCCGACATGTCGACGTTTTCTGAGTGGTTTGAGCTTAGGATCTGAAAAAAAACGTTAATTCAGTACAAATGGCTAGTTTCCAAAAATGCAAACGCGGAGCACAAACAGTGAATGAGATGATTTGGGTATTTGTAAATTCCGTACCTGAAAAAAATAAGCTAAAACTGAAGGAAATTTTGAAAATTTAGTCTAGAAAGTCTTCTGACGATAAAAACCGCGGAACACAAAAGGTGAATGACAGAAAAAGCTGAAAAAATAGGTGGTGACCTAGTGGAAAGGAAAATACCAAGCTGAATAGTTTCAGAGTCGTCAAGTATTCTGTGAGGCAGAGAAAAAAAAATAAGAAATTTTATGAACCTATGAGAATCAACTTAAAAAAACAACATCTTGATTCGAAAAGGAGAAAACGGACCAAGAAAAACAAAAAAAGGCGGCATCGATTGATTTTTGTCATCATCGTCGGGAGAGGCGAGAAAGCTCTGCGGCACATGTACCCGCCGCCGTTGCCTCTTTTTTGCTGACTCATTGCATTTTAGCTTCTAGTGCACTGATTTTATCGATTTCATGATGATCATGTGAGTTTCGGTCTGTGAGAGCTTAGTTTCGTGATGCGTACTAGCTTCTCACCATTTTTCATAGCTGTCTATGTATTTTTTGCTTTTCGAATTGACTCTCTCTCGCTCACTTACCTACTCTATTTTTTCTTTGTTTCACAAATGCTTCTAGACTATTCGATTCAGAACTTTCTTCAGTTTTCGCCTATTTTTTTGAGGTATGGAATTTACAAATATTCAATTTATCTCATTCACTGTTTGTGCTCCGCGTTCGTTTTTTGGAAACTAGCTATTTGTACTAAATTAACGTTTTTTTTCAGATCCTAAACTCAAACCATTCATAAAGCGTCGACAAGTCAGCTTTTTCGTCGACTTCATCAACAAGATACGTTTTCCTTTTATTGATAATTTCGAAATTCATGAAAAAAATCAGAGATATCTCCAAAAATAGAGATCAACCTATTCATTTTTCTTTTGAACTGCAAAACCCACAAGGCTAAAATCCGTGCACGACAACTTCCTGGACAGTTCCAAGACTTGCTAGTCGATAAGCTCTCCACGATGTTGTTATGAAACCGGAATGAAAAGAAGGCTAAAGCGCGCGTTAGACAACGGGGCTCCGGAGACGCCATGGATGCGACAGCCGATTTGGCCACGGCTGTCGGACTTCCTCGCTATGATAAACTCGGTCCTGATTCTTCTGCAGGATGCAGACGGCATCTGGTGCCCAGGGGGTTCCTGGGTACAGACAATGATGGAGCCCCAAAGGCCTGGTCGTGTCAGACGTCCGACCGTCACTGACTGAGAGACGTCTGTTTGGCGGGAAGTTCGTACTGAGAACGTCCAGCCAGCGTAGGACCCCCAGTAGATTCTAGTCTAGGTCTAGGTGGCTTGACTTGAAAGTTTTGAGTGCCTTTGGGTGTTGCAATTTTCAACTTTTGTTTTGGATTTTCGCAGAACAACATTTAGAAAGTATGCTGACTCCAATAACTTATACTTTTCAGAAATGATTAGTTGGAGAATTAGATCTGACGACGCTATCGGGATGGGAAAAGAAGTACTTTCGAGCTGATCTACTTCATTGAACTCTGAAAAGAATGCTTGCATATGTAAGTATCTGACTTGACAGTTTATTTTTTCCTTTTCCAGCGGTAGGGCTTTTGCTTTTTTTTTTGAGATTATTTTCCTTATCAGCGTCTCCAAAGATCTTAACTACCATTGATTTGTGATGATTTTTTGAAGTTCAAAAAGAGTACATTCGCATTGAGTTTCCAGGTAACATTTCCAAAAACGTCCTGCTTCTCACCGACGTCACGGTCACCAACATCCAAGCGACCTCCTATTCACAGGTAGTTTTTACTCCGTTGCCCAGTCCCAGTTAAATAAAGAATTTTCTCATTTTATCTTGGGCAGCGGATGAATTTTTCATAATTCTTCTGATTCTAAACAAAGCAGCAATAAAAAAATTTAAAAAAACTTTTATTATTTTTTTCTAGCCATTTTTCGGCAGAAGTTGAGATGTTTTTCCGAAATGAACAATTGTGCTGAACGGATTTAAAAACGAACAAAACCAGTGAAGTATACAAATAACATGAGTACAAAAACGAAGGCAATGGCGCAGGAAAGGGCCAAAAAAGCCGTTGGCACTTGGGTCGGCGCGCTCTTTTTCCTGTCGCCCTTGGGTCCTTTGACTTCTGAATCGGCTGACCGTAAACTTCGTCATGAAGTGGAGTATTTCTCCTGTTCTTATTCTTCAAAGACTGTTGGAAAACGCTTTCTAAAGGACTGCAAATTTCGAGCAACTTTTTGCGAACTCAAAATATCTTTCAGCTTTTTTCCTTCAACATTTTCGAATAGAAATCCCATTTTTCTGAAGAAATGGTTTTGAAGACATTTTTCACGATCTAGAAACCACAAGAAACGTTTTTGACTAATCGTATCAAAACTCACCAATTGTCACTGTAGAGCTTGGCTTGGTCTTATCACCGATCGCGATAAAATAATCAGGTCTTTGACTTCTAAATTTCCCGGTTGTTGATGTTTTACTATTATTGTCGTACTATCAGCTTCTTGCTTGCGTTTTCTATCAGATTTATATAAAATACCTTGAGAATCAATACGTTATTTAAACTTGTTTTTTTTTTAAAACCATGGCCAGGCTTAAGCGAGTTTCTAAACTCATTGAACACTTTTTTAAACTTTTAAGCGTCTAAACGGGATGCTATTGAAAAAGCTAATATTAGCATTTATACCTGTCCAATGGAAAGCGTGCCAAATAAGCTCGTCTCAGAAGTTCCTCTCGATAAAGTACTGGATCGAACTCGGAGGTCGAGAGGAAACACGGCTGTTTCTCGTATTCCGACGGGGAGGGTGAAGGACAAGGGGAGATTATCTGTTTTTCGAAAATTAGTTGCCTTTTACTGTTTCAAGGAAGATCTTAAGAAAATTTTGAACCCCTTTTAATTATTGAAAACGATTTCTTTCACTTACTAGTCATAAAGGTATTTAAAAATGATTTTGTTGGGCATAACTTCTCTAGAAGTGATCCACATTTTTTTGGTTTACACAATTTGAGTCTCAGTTAAGCGAGAAGGTTATATTTTTTTATAAATGAGTTATGGGAAAGCTATTCAAAACATCTACATTGTTTGTAGAAATTCGGACTACTTTCAAAAAAATGTATGCCAAAAGACCATTTTGAATTATATACCTTTATGGCCGCTATTGTTGGGCCTACGATCCTTGAAGATTTTTCCAATGGCCTTCTCTACTTGTTATAATGACTTTTTCCTAGTGGCCTTACACAATATTATCTTGTTGCTAAAAATCACGACTTGATATCTCAAAAAGTAATTCCTAAAAAAATCATCAGAAAAAAAAAATCAACTTTTACGTCTTTTTTAAAAGAAAACCCTTCAAAGTAAGCTTCAAAATTAACGAGAATTGAAGGACCTCCTCCATTTGTTTCGATAACTCTTCCTATTAAGTTTTTGATTTTTTTGCCTCTTGTTCATTGAAAACTCTAGATGGTTGTACTCAATGTCCAATCTTTCAATTTTATAAACTCAATAAAAAACCTTTAAGAACGCCCCAGTTTGAAAAATTTTTAACGAAGTTAGCTTCGGATTTAATAAAAAATAAAAGAAAAACCTGTATACAAGAAAAGTTGGTAGTTTTGGGAAAGTTGCGTTCCATGCCGGCCGACATCTGGTGGAAGAGTCGAGAAGACGTTCGATGGCCGTTTTCTGACAAATCTTGGGATAATACCAGCAATTGCCGTCGTTCGCAGCAGCCGTGGCCGCCTTGATCCTTTCCAAATTGTACCTTCCAATCTTCCCGCTTCATTTGCCCTTTGGCCGTTCCAAAAGTTTTTTTTTATGATTTTGAACTTCAAATTTACGTTCAAGGTTGAAGGTGAGCGGTTTGATTAAAAAAATTTTAGTATTCATCCAAAAATTGGACAAAAATGTTTTTTTAAAGGTTGCCTCTCAAGTTTTTTTCTTCATCGAGTAAAAAAATATTTTTATTATCATAAATTTTTTTCTGTTTATAATGGCAGTTTAATTCAAAGATGCGGATTTTATACGAGAAAGATTGCCGAAAAGTTCAAAACGAGGATTTTTTTCCGAAACTCCAATTTTTTTAAAAAATTTTTCAATTTTTTTCCGCTTGTTTATCACCTTAATTCAGTTTTTTTAAAAGCAGAAAGGGTTCTTTAAAAAAAATGTAACAAAAAAAAGTTTAGAAAAATTTAAGAATATAGAAGGATATTGTCTCAATTTTATAAGTAGCTTTGTTTAAAATGATCTTTATCAAATCTGAATGGATTTTTCAAAAAAATCAAAAAAACAAAAAAAGCTTGATTAGAAACAGTCAGAATCAGGAATCTAATTTCCCCATGAAATCCTGAAAATTCTCTAGAAAAACTTCAAAGTAGAGCCTCACACATCTCTTTTTGACTCGAGTCACCTTTTTCGAAACACGTTTTTCCAACTCCAACCCATTTGTTGACAAACCTACCAGTAAACAAAATGGTTCATGTAGAATTGTTTGGAAGCTTAAAAGTTGTTGACTAAGGTTCATGGGGCGAGGGACACGAACAAATATTGTCGTGAGATTTGTTGTCGGATTCATTCGAAATCCAATCGGCTGTGTAACCCATGCAGCTTCTTCGTTTCGTTCCATCTTTTTTTTCAATCGCATCACTTCTTTTTTCTCTTCTCTCTGTTCCCATTTGAAAGAGATTTTGGACTTTTTTGCTCCTGTTGATCTTATTTTCATCTTATCTCCATTTTCGATTGACAGGGGAAAGTTCTTATCTTTGTAAGATTTAGTTCCTTGTTGAAAGCTTTTCTTCCATTTTTTGAAGGACCAAAGAAACAGAGATAAAATAACAGAATCCGGTTTTTCTGCTCCGTTCAATGATCTTTGCCAAGTGATTTGAATGAAACAAGAAAGTCAGTAGTAGACCTGTTTTCAATGATTTTATCGCGAGTTTGAATTTAAGGATGAAAATAACGATGATGAGTATATGATTGAAAACTATTTCATAGTTTTTTTAATTTTTTTGAAGAACTTAGGAAAGTTTCCATTCGAACTGAACAGTTTTTGGACCTTTTTTCAATATTCACAGACTTTTATTCCATTCTTAGCTGGCTTGAGAGATTTAAATAAGTCCAAGCATTTTTTGTCGATAAGATGAGAAAATGGTTAACAATCCAAAGAAAACTCCCAATTTTAACTGCTTCCTATTTCTTCACATCTTTAAAGGAATAGGAACAGTAAAAAACGGGGTTTCAGGTGGAAACAGTACCTTATATAGTTTTTCTTTGCAAATCGAGCGGTGTTTTCAAAATAATTACAGAAGTGACTTCTTTTGGAGAAAAACTCGATTTTACTTTCCCGCCTTTAATTTTGAAATATGCATTGGATCGATGTACGGACAACTGCTCACAGTAGCTGTGCACGCGATGTTGCGAACGTCTCATTAGACTCGCATTTTGTGAGAAATAACCGGATATCAGTTTCAATTGAGGGTTTCTTTCCTGAAAGAATACAAAAAACACCCAATGATAATAAAAAATATCGATATCCCACGCGAAAGCTGTATAAAATCATTATTTTTCACAAAAGAAGCATTTCGCGATCAAAGTTTGCAATTCATACATCAGAAGAAAGTGGCGAGAAGAGCTTTGACGAGAGAAGAAAAAATTAAAAATTGAAAGAAACGAAGATAAAAGCAAAAATCTGAAAAATGGCGAAGCGTGTTGTCCATAGAGCAACTTTACTGCAAAGCGCCCTTTTGGCGGGAACTCGAGCTGTCCTTTCCGCGACTATTTTACCTCCAAAACTTTTAAAATCTCTAGAATTCGGCCAAATGCTTCAGATTTTTCACATTTTTCATTTCAAATTTTGCGGATTGTTCTTTGTCTAGTTTCATATCTCAACCGGATGTGGGCGTAATTTTGTTTTAATGGATTTCAGGTCAATCTTTTGTCACGTCCTTTTAAGATATGAAATGTAGTTTTGAAAGATCCATTCACAGATCTTGTAGTTTTTGAAAGCTTTTGAAAAGACGCTTTTTTTGCTTTTTGGCTAGTTTCAACACAAAGTTCAAAAAATCAGATCGTCAAGGGCATTTTTTGAAATAATTTCCCGTTAGGGAAATAGTGGTATATTCATTTTCTTCATGATTGAATCGGTTATCTGTACCCCCATTCAAAGGAACTCTTCAACTTGAACGAAAAAATATTACAAACGGCATAAATCTTGCTTTTTTTCGACGCCAGCCTATATACATCGACCTCTCTGGCACATAAATAACTGATCGAACTCTAGTGTCAGAGGCCAGGGCGCGGATTTGATTGGCGGCCGACTGGTGTTGGGGAAGCGATAATCCGACGGATGTGACACGAGTTCTGACTGAATTGGCCGACGGTCGCAAAAAGTCAGAAGCGAGGACTCGCTTGAGTTCACATCGTGTCAAAGTTGTTACCCTCGCCATTGTTTTCGACCCAGTCAACTTATTTTTATTTTTTCGCTTTCATTATCTGAGGATGACATCTGCAATCTCTCTGCTTTCCGCTTGAGAAGTCGTGTTTTGACAATTTGAGAACCGGCTCTTATTTTTTTGATGCATGAGATCGCTGTTTCTAATTCTTAATATATTGGAAAGAATTTTTTTCAAAGTTTGGTAAAGTTTAAAAAAATATCAAGACGATTTTTGATTTTTATTGAGAAATAAGAACTTTCAGGAGAAAATTTTGAAGTTTTCAAACACTTTTCAATTTTTTTACGTTTTTTTTTTCACATTATTCAGCTTTTTTCAGAAACTTTTTTCAAACTTTTCCGACCACAAATCATGCATTTTTGACCTCATTGAAGTTCTTTGAAGATTCAAATTTTTGTTGATTGGAGAAGGAAGCGACCGAAATCCGGCTTTGATTTGTTTTTATCACATGAGACCAGATAAGGGAAGCGTTAGGTTTCACTTTTTGGACTATTAGCCGTCTTAATTTATCTCTTCTTTTTTTTCGCTGAATTTCGAAACTTTTCCACGCTTTGGAAAAGGTCTTTGATTAATTCAAATTCTGAGAAATAATTTATTATTTTTCTTTGAGAAACTGAAACTTCTTGACTTATATTTCTGCATATTTATTTTTATTTCAGTTAATTTTTCACTTGCCTTTTTTTTAACGGAAAAATTGCTTTATAAAAAAGGCAATCATCTTTGTAACTACTACGCGATGTCTATCCCTTTTTTTGGGCTTGTTTTTTTGCGAAAAGCCTGAAAAAAATTCACTTTTCCTCAGCAAATTATATGCTTTGACACGGACATGATAGTTATTGCAATAGGCTTTCTGACGAATAAACTTCTTGCTAAAATAAACATTCTGAAGAACCAACCACCAAAAAAATTCAAAATTTTTCTCTATTTTTCTCTTTTTCTCATTGACTATCAACTTCTCTGTTCGTTCTTAAAAAAATTTTTTTAAAAACTTTTTTTGCGCCATTTTTGGACATACGGGGGTCATTTTACCAAATTCTAAGAGAGTATGGGAAAAAATTTGCTAGAGGTTTTGAGAGTACACCTACAGTCTCTGAATATTCCCCTCATTATTTATTTAATAATCGTGACTCCCGCGTCAGTTTCTGAGATTGACTGATGATGGAGGAGGGGCTAATGTTTAATATCTCCCTTGCTCTTATCGGCTAGAACCGCCGCATTGTATGCTTGGTTGACCCTCGGTTGACCAACAGTCGGTCTGCTCAACGCTCTCATGAAAGTCTACCGTATTCTTCGTCTGCACTCTTTTTCTAGACAGTTTTATACAAGCTCGGCGGCTGCTTTCTCAGAAAGTAATTTACCTGTTTCATTCTATTTTTCAATTCAAAGACTTGGGGTTGGGCAAATGGAATTTCCATTTTTCAGTAATCTTCAAATTTTTTTATAATTCCTACACGAAATTGACAAGGAAAAAGTCTCATTTCGAAACTTTCCCTGAAACAGCAAGTTCATGTAATTCAAAAATTTTCGTTTTACTCGAAAATAATCCTCGAAATAAAATACCTTTTTTGAAAATTTTTCAGAGGGTCAGTAAGTGTTCATGTGAACTTGTTTTTGTGAAACAGTAAGATAATCGCCTATGTTAATTTGAGGGAGCAGTAGGAAATTTTTAAACAAGAGATGCCATTTTCTCCTCCCAAATCAAAATTCGTTCGAACACATAACTAACTTATATATGCACAAAAAACACGTTGATTCCATTAAAATTACCCTCTTCTGATCGAAAGACCAATCAGTTCTACTTGATAAACCCCACCGGTCAAGAAAAATCAAATCTACCATGCCATAAATAGGTACGCAAGACAGTGATTCAAGACGCATCAAGAAAAAAAAAACTCTAAAGAGCGGAAATAAAACCGGAAAATGACCGCCAAAATGCGTGGCAAAAGTTGATTTTCGTTCGATTTCGTTTTCATTCATTTTTAAATGTAGCTAATTTGATTCTCTTTCGGTTTCTTCAACTCTTGAGATGATTTTTTTCTGGGTTTGTTAGAAAATTTGTTTGACGTTTCTAAAATCTATTCACAAACAATTTATTCAGAATTAAAGCCGATAATGCCATCGAAAAACGACGTGACCGACGTCGACCTCAAGAGGAAAGCGGACAAAGCCTCACGGATGCGTCATCTGTGGACTAAGGTTTTTTTTTGAATTTTCGCTCTTCTTGCAAAAATCTTCTCATTTTTCAAAACCGCTTTTATTTGTACTTAGGCATCAATCTGCGGTTTCCATTCGAAAACATCAAAGATCCAGATCGAAGAAACAATGTTTATCAACTGGCATTCCTTCATAATCCCTGAACGGCGACTTTATCGTGTCTAGACAAAACCACAAAGTATAGTGAAAGGCCTGATTGGCAGCTATCTGATAGACTACGATATGAATGCAAAAGGATCAAATTTTGAACTTGGTGATATGAGACAATTTTCGTAATTTGATTGATAAGTTCCAGTTTTCCAAGAGTTTCGCTTTAAGACTCTGGAGTTGAAGGAATGATATAGCAAACAGGAAAATATAAAGTTGTCTAGGAACTCCAAGAAAAAATAATGAAGATAACTTAGATGCTATTAAGAGATAAATAACGCAACTTTGACTGTAATTTGCAGGGAAGTTGAATTTTCCCTATTCAATTTGAGAACAGAACGTTTTAATAACCACAACAAAGTCTCAAGAATTTGAGAAAAAAGTGAATGGATAACATATCTAAGGTACAATCAAACACTTACCGGACCTTCAAAAATTTCTCTCCAAAATTTCGAGTTTTGGAAAAAAGTTTGTAAGCTTGCTAGTTCATCTATTTTTTTCCATTTTTCGAAAAAAATCCAATATGCTAATTATCAGATATAATGCAAAAAAAGAACAAAAACGCAAAAAGAAATTAATAGTTATAAAAAGGAATTCCTTCCTCACCTGGACACCGGATACTGTAATCGGCGTGCAAATAATATCGATCTTGGAAGGGGAAGAAACGGACGCCAGACCACCCTGATCGGAAAAAGCGGATTACTGTATTATTCGCGCTAATCTCGAGTTGTCGGCTATATTAAAATATAGCGAAGACGAAGCGGAGTTGCTCAAAAATTAGACAGAAATGAGAAAACCTTTAATATCTTATCTGCAAGAGTTGAAGCTACACATTCATTCTTTTTTTGTTTTTTTGATATGAATATTCTGCTCTGAGAATAGTTTTTGGGCCAATGGGGGCAAAAAAACAAGATCATAATGTTCAACTTTCTAGAGAGTTTTTCTTCAGCTTTTTCAATTTTTCCAATTTTTTTAACGGTTAAAAAAAGTTTTCAGAAAAATTATTATGATAAAAATTTACAAGTGATTATGATTGGATTTTTTTGCATTTTTTTGAGTAAAAAAACAGCCATTCTGGAATTTTTTTCAGCAATAAATTACATCAATTTCCGGTCAAAAATGGTTTTTTTCTTCAATTAAGCTTGTTTATAATTTTGATGGAAAAAAGTTGACGGCATCTATTTTTAACAAAAGTTTGTGGGTGTCAGTGAACTTTCTTTCGAAACTTTTATAGACAAGTAGAAAGGATTTTTTTGGTTGCTAAATTATTAACTTAACATAAATAAGCTCAAAAAAACACCGTCGAGTAGGCGTTTCATTTGTGAAATTTTTCAATTACTCAAGTTTAGAATAGAAAAACTAGGCGGCTACTATTTTTGAAGAAATGCCGTGGGCGTTGGGATAGTACTTAAACTGCTTGGAAAAGAATGTTCCGTTTTGAGGTCGACGCGAAAAAAAAACATAATCCGAAAAAGTTGCGATTTTGCATTTCAAATGCCGTTTTTTCTGGACACGCGTCACCTCCAATTCCCTTTTCGATCCCCCTCAAAAACTCTTTTGCGCGACGGCTTTTCCCTTCGGCGTTATTTGTTGAGGTTTTTCTCTCTTTCGGAATAAATGTCGCTGTTGCCTTCTAGATGATATCATCGTGACTCCGCGACGCTTGTCCTTTGCTCTTGAACAGCTTTTTTTTGGTTTTTGAAAAAAAATGCTTTTGAGCCGTTATTGAACCATCAACCCACGCACATTCTCATTCTTCAATAGATGAGAAGATCGTTCAGAGTATTAGAATCAGAGTTTTCGGGTCGGAAATGCTTCAAAAAATGCTTATATTAAAAAGTTATTTTGCCATGAAAATTTTTCAAAGTTTCGCAGAAGACTAACGTTTAATCAATGACATGACCTGAAGGAATTGACTAAAAAAATAATGACTTTTTTTGCTTCACAGGATAATAAGTCCTCATTGAAATTCCCCAGTTCCGACGAATTTTTATGATTTAATGACGAAATTCACAAATTTTCAGGTTTAATTTAGTTCCTGAATTTTTTCCCCTAACTGCACTTTTTTGATAGGGGTGAACTTTTTTCGATTTTAGAAAAGTTTAATTTTCCAAAGCGAACATGTACCTGAAGGTCCTTCCAAAAACTTAGTTTCAGATTTTGTGATTTCTTTTCAAAGTGAAAAGTTTTCAACCGAAAACAGGTGATTTTGGAAATTCAAAGAAAAGCCTTCTGAATCACCTGTTCGACCGTAGGAAAATGCTAAATAGACGTCAGTACAAGTCAGGCGCAGACAAAGGCAGCTGAAAGATAAATTCTCGAAAAAGGTGGCAAAAATGTAAAAAAAACAAAGAAAAAAAATTTTTTTTTTAGTTTTACTTTTATCTAGCCGAGTTCTTCAAAAATGAATCGAGACAAGAATAAAATTCTAGTCGAACATCCCGCTGCGTATGAGAAATGTTTGATCAAGGGACAGCTGACTTAGAAATTTGTGACTTAGAGAAAAAGCGTCTGATTCACCAGTCTGACCAACAAGAAAGTTGACTCTGCGTTCACAAACTTTTTCCATACTCATTTTTTTCCAGATTCAAATTTGACAAAGTTAAAAAAATTAATTTTTGATTAGCATAATACGTGCAACTTAAATCAATTCATGTAGCATTTTTGATCATATTTTTTTGTTTTTAAAAATTGTAAATTTTTCTTTTGAAATGCAAAAAGTCCTTGAAACGATAAATTTTTGGACGTTGTCATAATTATTTTGATATCACATCAACATTCCGCGCTTATCGTTTGCTCTATCGGAAGTGCGTCAAAACGTTTTGAATCCGAACGTTTCAATTTTTTACAGTGTCCCAAGCGGAAACCGCCGTTGAAAAATTCCTTTTGTTTCAAAAAACCCTTTTTTCTGTTAACATAAAATCGCTTATCGTTTTTTGTGACCCAATGGCAATATTCGATCAAAGGAAATGCAAAATTGTCTGATCAATTTTTATGAACGTGAGTAGGTTCGCCCATTTTTCCAAACGTAAATTTTCAGATACTTTTTTTTTGGAGGGAAGTTTCATATTCTCAGGCCTTCAAAAACATTTAGGAGTTCTAAAACTCATTATTAAAATACTTTTGCAACTCCTGATGGTAGCTTATTTTTTTCCGTCCAGGTGAAATTTTTTCGATCGAGGGACAGCTGACTTTGAGAAAAAAAGAACCTTCCGATTCACCTGTTGGATCGAAAGAAGAAATCAGTCGCCCACTGATTGTATTCAAAGTTGGAAGACTGATATTAAATTATCGAAATTTAAGAAGTCTCAAGTTGAAAAAAATATTGTGATCACCAGATTTTTCTAAGAAAAAAAGCTTCAGGTGTAGAAACTGAAATGAAAACTCACATTTCCGGAATTCTTATAAAAAGGTTAAACCTTATCAAAAGGACAATTTTCGGATTCTTTTTTGAAATCATATTTCCCTATCCGATGCTCTATTGAAGGGCGTAGGAATGTTTTGATTTTAATGTTTTCTTTCCTTACAGTGTCCCAGGCGGAGAACGCCCTTGAGAGATCCTTTTGTTTGAACATACTTTTATTTTTCCTTTTGATTTCGAATCTGATTGCTTTTCTCCTTTCCGTGACAAATATTCAAAGTACAGCTGATTTTAAGAATTCGAAGTATAACCTTTTTTTTCACCTGTACGAAAAACGGTAACAAGTCCTAACAAGACTTTTTTAGTTTTAAAATCCTTCCGCAGCGTTTTTTTTCTGAAAACTTCAGAACCTATCTTTTTCAGAGTTCTTTTTCTCTTTCTTCCTGATCCCATGCTCTGAATAAATTGTCTTTTTTCATTACCAAGTCATTACTCTTCTCTTTTTTCAAGCAAGCAATATTTCTCGAGAGAGTGAGGCTATTTTGTCCGCGCAATTCTTCTTTCTCATCATGATTTCGAAGACTCCAAATTTTGAAGAAGGAAATAGGTTCTTTTTTGAATTTGCTGATTTTAAAGTCGTTTTTTATGGTAACTTTCGACTGTGAAGCAAAAATTTAGGAAAAAAATTCCTGGGTACAGGGTTTGCTAATAGCAGAAAAGGTTGAAACCGTTTTTGTGTGGCATTACGAAATTTTCAAAATTTTTGGACTGGTAAAGATTACCCTGGCTTCACACAGAAAGCCTCCAGAAATAAGCTACCCTACTCAGAAATTATTGTAAACTTTATTCCTTTGTTAAATTTTTTTATTTTTGGAAAATAAAAGACTTTTTAAATTCAACAATTCCACCCTTCGATCAAATTTTTTTATTTCACAGACAAAATCATAAAAAGTTCTTCAAGCCATAACTCGGAGAAAAATCTTTCACTCGCCCATTTTCTTTTCCCTTTTCCGCCCCATGTTTCACTCTGATTTCGAATTTTCCTGCCTCCTCGTCTTTGACTTCTCTTCTGAGTTCCTAAAACCTCGTCAAGCAGCCATTTTTGTTGTCGAATTCAAAGCCGCCTCGCCACACGTTACATTGGTCCCAGCCGCTTTCCTTTTCTTCGAAGCTTAGCTCCAAAATTTTCTCTTTTGCCACTTTTTGTCTCTTTCTTGCGTCGATTTTTCAAGTTGTTCAGTTTGTTCCGAAGCACACGGCAAATAGAACTCTTGAACAAATCATAAAGCAGAGTTTGAAGTTTTCTTTGTTTTTGACAATTAGTTCGTTTGTTAGGTCACTTACTCTTTCAATTTTCTTCTCTACATTGAGTTTTTCATTCATTTTCTGTCGAGGAACTTTCATTTGAGGCTTTCTGAGAAAACATATTACTGACATTTTTGAGCTCATTCAAGTGGAAAAAGGTCGTGAAATAGGAATAATGCTTCAGGGCTGCATATTGAAGTAGTTGAATAAACTATAAACTTTTCCATTATTCGCTTTTTTCGAAAAAATCATTAAAACTTCTACAATTTTGTAAAATTATCAGCCAAATATTGAAAGCTTTCAGAGTACACCTGTATAAAATAAAAGTGACCAAAGTTAGTAAATTTGAAAGCGTTTTTCAAAACTCTTTCGAAATCTACAGTATATCCGTTATTTTTTTACAGAGTTATCGCATGATACCTCCTACATTTGAAAATTAAAAAAAATGATATCGAACGATATTCCAACAGAAAAAAATACTAAGTACTCTTTTGTTGTCTACCAACTCACCCGGACTACAATTCGTCATTTAAATGTCCTTCAAAAATATCAAATTCTTATTAATTTGAACTGTTCTACTGATATTTTCAATGTCGTCTGAATTCAGTTTGAGAATTGATGAAATTGGATGAAGAACATTCTTTTGTTCTTGTGATTCAAATATTTTTCAAAATTATCTCATTATTTCTTCTTTTGAACTTTTTAAGCAAGCACATCTTGGAAAAAAATGTCATTTTTTTCCGGTTAAATAAATGCATCTTCAGAGAAATTAAAAGCAATGAAATATATCTTCCTTCTGAGAAAAATAGCTCTTTTCTTCAAAATGACCACTAAAAAAGAGGCGGATCCGTCTTACTATAAACTAATAAAATGTGACTTCTGTTTTCTGGACTATCTTCACATTATTTATCAATTGATAGTGAAATCATAGTAGTTTTTATCACACACCGGTGTATTTGTGGTCACTGAGTCATGTCCATTTTTTCTCTCCTCCTACGCCCTTCGTCATTTTGAAGCGTTCTTTCAAATCTTTTCTTTGCAATGTTTGCTTTGACGGTACCCTATTTATAAATATGAATACGTGCAAGTAAAGTGTTATTTTTTTGAGCTACATTTTAGTTATAAAAACTTCTTTTTTTGGACAAATAGTTCATTTTTTTCGACGAGGTTTCTTTCAAAAAAATCTTTTTTTAGATTCATCAAAAAAATCTTCTTATTTTTTTATTTCACGTACCTGACAGCTTGATCCACAAAAAAAGTGTTATGAAAAAGACTATACCTTAAGTTTCGGAATTTTTTTCCCAGTAAGCTTTTTTTGATCTGAAGGCAGGTGGAAAGAAATAGAACAAAAATTTTTAAAATTTCTAGAAAAAAACTGTGAACTTGATAAATGGAGCGGAAGTAGCTTTTTCGATGTCTAATGCACCAAAAATTCATTTCATTCTCGAATCGAAACATTTTTAAAACCAATAAGTCCAAAAAAAAGAATACGACGTATTTGAATGGAGAATGCCATTTGAGCCAATTGAATCGGGGCCACTAGAAAATTCGTCTCAATTATGTGGAGCGATTTCGTTTCTCTCGTTTCTCTCGTTTTCTTTTGATTAGGTTTACCAGAGCTGATTAGCCATTTTTTAGCCACTAGACACTGATTTTTGAAGAGATCATTTTACTTTCTAGTCTGAAATTTTCTGGAAGCGTTCTTTGATTTACTAAAAAGAAATTTTTGCGTTAGAGATTTGCATAATTTTTCAGTTTTTGGAGAAAGGTGCCTTGACTGAAAAAAATCAAAAGCTAAAATAAGTTCCAAAATCTTTGTATGAATAAAAATGTATGGCCAAGTGTCAAAATTTTGAAAATTCACTTACATTATTAAAGATTTTTCCTCTTGAAAATTGGGTTGAAATTTTATTGAAATCAAATTTTCAAAATTGTCTTCCTTTGAGAAGCCGTTTGCACCTTGAATTTAGGAAATCGGATCCAGGATTTTCAAAATTATATCTCTGTTACACAAAACTGTTTCTTTTTGATCTCGAGTTTTTTTTGTACACTTCTCTACAGTATTCTTGCGTTTGCTCTTAAGTTTTTTTTGACCAAGATTTTTTCAAAGGAGATTTCGGCGTCCTTTATCGTTAAAAATTTGCTTTTATTCACATTAATTCGTCTGGAGCCTTCAATCTCTTTCTCTGAACTCTCAAAAAGTTCATTTTCGGTAGTTTCCTATAGAGATGATTCATAGACTTTGAAATGAAAGTTGTTTTTCAAGGGGTTTTTTTTCAAAATGAAGCATGTATTATAAATTTCTGGTCATCTTACTCCCTTTAGACCATCTGTCCAACTAAAGCTCGAGATTTCAAAGTTGTGATTTACCATTTTTTCAGATGGGAGGAGTCATCTCGTTCATTTCCTCTCGCGGCCACCAAGACAACCATTTAAACCCAAGTCGACAAGTACGTCAAAATTACCTTTAAAGTTTCAAAAAGTTGGAAAAATTTCCAGGTTCGAACCAGAAACGGCCTTGTCGAAGGATACCGGTTGAACATTGCCGACCAGAAAAATGTGGACATTTTCCTCGGCGTTCCATTCGCCAAGCCGCCTGTTGGAGATCTTCGGTTCAAGGTGATCAAACTTATATTTTGAGACGGTTTTAACTAAGAGTATTTTTACAGAAGCCTGTAGACGCCGAAGATTGGGAAGGGGTCAAGAAGTGCGTCCGATTCGGTCCAAGAGCTCCCCAAGCCGACTTTTTCTGGGAAAAGTACACTTTGGGAGTGAAGACAAGTGAAGATTGTCTCTATCTGAACGTCTTCTCTCCAGAGTGGAAAAGCAAAGAGGATACAAAAGTGAGTGAGTTTTCAAGGGGCCTCATAAAGGATTGAGTTTTCAGCTTCACTCCGTGATGGTCTACGTTCATGGCGGCGGATTTCTGATCGATTCGGCGGTCAAATATGGAGACGTTGGGATTGCAAAGTTAGTTGAAACGTGTAGAAAGAAATCATTCATTTCCGTATACAACAAAGAAACCTTAAAATGGAATTCAAAAAAAAGTTCAAAAAAGATAATTTTCAGATATCTCTGCCGCCATGACGTGGTCGTGGTGACGATCCAGTACCGACTTGGCCTTCTAGGCTTCTTCTCCACTGGAGATGACGCCTGTCCGACAAACTTAGGACTGTGGGACATGACAAAGGCTCTCGAGTGGGTTCGGGTCAGTTTATGCTTCAATTTCGTTTTCGAATCTTTAAAATGTTGAAAAAATGCTTGATGGCACTGTTTTTCAGGACAACATCCACGCGTTTGGTGGAGACCCACGAAAAATCACCGTTTTTGGACAAAGTGCTGGTGGGGCGAGCGTCGATTTTCTGTCCATTAGCCCACACTCACGAGGTAAGGATATACGACTTGAATGATTCTCAATGTCTCAAACAAAATTTGCAGATTTGTTTCAACAAGTCGTGCCAATGGCCGGCAACGGAGAATGCGAGTGGAGTACGGTCGCAGAACCGAAACTCGTCGCCTCGTGCAAAGATTTTGCTACAAGGAAGCACTGGGACGGCGGAAGTGGTTAGTAAAAAAATTTAAAAAAAGTCAATTTCATATTTTCCAGAAGAAAACGCCACGTCCGAAATGATTTCGTACCTCAAAACGAGGAAGGAGAAGGAATTTGAACGACGGCTCTTAACGAGAAAAGTGAGAATATTAACAAATATAAAAAAAAAAATGAATGTTTTTCAGGGAGTGGACGTTTCAAAAATCGGCCTCGATTTGGCTCCGGTTATTGGGAAGTCGCCAGAAGACTTTCTGCCGAAGCCGATAGACGAGCTCAGGAAGGAAGCTCCGAAGAAGAACATCATGGTCGGCACTTGTGAATATGAAGGGCTATTGTTCGGTAAGCACTTTGAAATGCCCAAAAAGGGGAAGAAAATCTATAAACAGGCTTCAAAGAAAGGCTAATCAGTGAAGCTTCAAAATACATTTTTCCTGTTATCTGTTAAAATTCATCTACCACTTTTTAACGAGAACGAAAACAAAATAAACTCACAGCGAGTCCACAACTTTCAGGTTCACCTGCTCTCCACCAAATGAATTCACATTTCAGCCACCCTTGGCCCCACAATCTCATCTTTTTGAGCTATTACGGCTAATGCTTTAAAAAAATAATGGATATACTATAGCTTTCAATGATTGGCTGATAAGGCTATAAAATTGTAGAAGTTTCAATGATTTCTTCGACAAAACGAAGAATGGAAAAGTTTATAGTTTATTCAACTACTTCAATATGCAGCCCTGAAGCATTATCCCTATTTCACGACCTTTTTCCACATTTTCACTCTCACAGCTTTTCCCTTTTTCTTTTTTCTTTTTTGTCATTTGACCAAATGAATTCACATTTCAGCCACCCTTGGCCCCACAAACTTTGATGTCAAAGGAATCGACAAACTGCTGGACCTCGTGATCACCAACGAGTATCACGAGGACTACGTTGATCTGCGGAGAGAAGCCAGAGCCCTCTACTTGAGGAAAGAAGGCGATGAAGACGACCGAGACGCCGCTGCTCGAGGATTCATAAGAGTGAGTTTTTTTTTAACTAAAGAAGACACCATCTCGGCTAGAAACTGGAATCTACACAACTGAAAAGAATATTTTTCAGCTCTACAGCGACTTGTTCGTGAACAACGGCACCTACAAGTACGCCTACAAAATGACCCAATTTGGTCACAAGGTCTACATGTACTCCTTCGACTACTACAATCCCAAGAGTTTCGGTCTTTTGGCCCTCCGAACTCCTTTCAAAGGTTTGCTTTTCTCACAGAAAGAAAAATAAACTTTAAATAATTCAGCCGCCACGCATTGCACGGAGCTCACTTACATCTTCGGCGTTTCGATCGTCTTCAACTTCAGAATGACGGATGAAGACAAGGCGATGCTCGACCTGATGACGAGGATGTGGACCAACTTTGCCAAATACGGGTTGGTTTTGAGATTTATCGGGAAATTATGATGATTCGTAAAAGCTATGGACGTGATCCAACAAAAGTTAAGAAATATTATTTGAAAATTTTTTTGTCAATATCGGCAGAAATTAGTGCAAGTCATTCGAACAGCTTAAAAATTAAAAAAAAACTACAGTATTGGCCTTAAAGGAATATCAATGTGATTTTTCGAGAATAACTTCTCTGAAATTGGCTCAAATGACTTGAAACTTCGCACAGATTTCAAATAGCTAGGCAGTAACTTTTTCCCGAAAGGAAAACTCGTTTCCTCGAGTCAGACTGGATTTGAGAGCAAAAAACCAGAAATCGTGAAAAATTTGACGCCTCGTCATTCAAATGGACTAAACGAGGTCATTTTTCTTTGAAGACACCCTGTTTCATGTTAAAAACTTTGAAACACCCTCAAGATCTGTATATTTTTGAGCTCTCGGACCACAGTTGGCTCTCCTCCAAATTGAGACCAAAATAGGTGAATAATTAACAATGCAACTGAGTTATTGGAGAAAACTTCCTTTCATATTTTCTCAACTACATTTCTTGATCCAAAAACTGTAAAAAAAACGCAACCTGCTGATTACAGCAATCCCAACGGACCATATGAGGATTCGAGCGTTTTCGACTTCAAGTGGGAGCCAACCGATCCAGAACACCCTCTAAAGTGAGATTTTTTTGATAAAATCCGATAAAAACCAACATTTAAGGTTCTTATCGATCGCCAAGAAATGTGAGATGAAGGACGAGTACCACGAGCACCGAGCCAACTTCTGGAAGAAAATTAAACTTAGCGCTAAGTGTTGTTAAGTTTTTTCTTTTTTCTCCCATCTATGGCTCATAATCATGTCCTAATATTTTGCAAAAAAGTTTATGTCAAAAAACCTTTTTTGCTTGAACTCAAAATATCATCTCACACATTACAAAAAAAATCTTGAAAACCAAAAAAAAATGGAAATCTGATTATATTGTTACCTTCAATTGTTTGTGAACTTCTTCACCTTTCTTCGATCCGACTCGAGCTACCCATCCTCAGCCTACGGGTCCTGAAATCAAGCTTTTGTGCGCTGTACGATCTTTTTTGAATGCTATTAACTGAGAAACTGAATTCTCTTCATATCATCATAACCACTCCAATTTTGTGAATTTGTATTCTCTTTCAAGTTCTTTATAGACTCTTGTTTTGGGGATTTACATTAATAAAAAAATTTTTGAGCGATACCGGAGAAGGATGAAAAAAATTCCAACATCTTAATCTACCTTTTTATTGTCAACACGTGTGATAAAAAGAGATTGCAAGTTTCAAGTTTTATTCAAACTTCGAAAGGGCGTGGAATAATGCATTTCATAATTCTTATTGGATGAACGAGAATTAAAGACAAGATAAGCCGGAATAGGTAAATGGCCAATTTGTACAGAACGTTCCAAAGAAACTCAAAAACTTAACTCTACCGAGTTCCAAACGTCCCCATTCCCAAACTGCTCAGCAAACCTAGCCATATCGTGGAACCAGAATGATGATTCTGAAGTTCTGCGTTTTGAAATTCGAAAATTGCGAGATATCAATCCGGAAACACCGGTTCAGAAAAAAAAATTGAAGAAAAACGAAAAAGTTTTTATCGTCAATCAATTCAACGGATTAGTCTTCTAAACGGTCTCCCAACTATTTTCAAAAATACCAAGGGTATCTCGGAAACGATAGGCAGTTCACGAAATAATTTAGAAAGGATGCTTGTGGCGAGTTTTCATGGACTTAGAAAAAAAAGATGCAAAAAAGCCTGGAGGATTAAAATGGAAGAGGAAAGAGAGATAAAGTGATAAGAGCAACGGAAATTTTCTTGCATCGTGGTTTGAAAAGCAAAAATGATCACGGTTCAGGTTTACAAGTATCTTCATGAGAACACATATACACTCGGAAATGGAATTTGACATGGGCGAAGTCGGACGTGAATTGTAGAAAAAAGAGGAGGTCAGGGACCTGTAGGAGGACAAAATCTATGAATATAAAATCGCAATCCGTGAACTTGTATATGATTATTAGGAAGGAGAGAAACAAAGGGAATATTGCAGAAAATGAGAATATAAAAGAAAAATTTCAACGCTGAAGCGGAAGAGTCTCGAAACTTTCCAAAACTTTTTGAACACTGTGAGAACGATAACGAGACTGAAACAAGCGTCAAAAAAATACAAAAAAATGCGATTCAGCAACGGAGAAAAAAACCGAGATTTCTTCGGTTTTTTTGCAGAAAAAAAGCAAAAAAATAATAAATAATTTTTTCGTTTTTTTGGATTTTTTTGAATTTTTTTCGTTTTTTTATTTTTTTATAATTAGCGAGAATAAGAAAGCTGGAGAAATAGCTCGGAAGAGCTAATAAACTGATCAATTGAAAAGAACCACCGGATTTTTCCCGGTTTGACAAAATAACAGCACAAGAATGAAAAAGATTGAAATAATAAAAGTCACGTAGAAAAAGCAAAAAAAAGTGCGCGGAGTCGGAAAACAGTGTGAACTGACGAGATACAAAAAAATGGAAAGAATATTTTTTCTCAAACAAAAATTCTTTCAAAAAAAGCCTTCTGGAGGAAGAAAGTTGAACGACTCAATAAAGACGAGAGAAAAGAGCCAGAAAATGCAGCAGGGGCCCCATTCAAGGATGCTTTGGGTTCGTCGTTCTTTTTCTTTTCGGGGCTGGCTCCTTCTTGCCTGTGAACGGATTGAAGCCACCCTGCAAGTTTCCAAACTCGTAATGACGTAAATTACAATCAAATACCCATCGGATGGCGTCTTTTTCCACTTTGAGGAGGCAAATATTCTCATTTTTATAAAACTGAGTCTGTCTCTTCTCCCGAGAACTTTTTCTCAACGGGACAGCTGAAAAATAACTTTTTCTGTTCGACAGGAATTAGGTCTTAAAGTATCTCCTTGAATCGGTCTAACTGTTTAGGCTTTCACTTCAAGAATCTACTGATGAATAATAAAAAACGACTGGAAACTCATTAAAAATTTTTTCATCATGAAATTTATGACTAAAAAATTAACTCCATTGAAAATTTTACCAAAACATCTTGAAAAAACGTTCATTATCATTCTAAAACTGTTTTTTTTTTACGAATTTTACTCACCAGCCGTTTCGGGACCAGAATCGTCCTTTCTGCGCTTGTTTTTTCCAGGCTGTTTTTCTTGCTGAGGGGCGACCACAGATTCTTCGAGAAGTTTGTCCTTTGGCTCCTCAATATTGTTATGATATATCTGGGAGAGAAAAGTAAAAAGTTAACTATCAGCAAAAAACGTTATCTATGAACATTACTCGATATAAAATTGGATACCACGAAAGATGAAAAAAGTTTAATCACCTTTTCTTTCGGCTGCACTGTTCCGTTTTGAGGCTCCGGCAACTCCTCCACAGTGGCTATTTGACTCATCAAGGCTTCGCCGTTGCTGTTGGGCCCGAAGAGCGCCTGAAAAAAAGTAAAAATAATGAAAAAGTTTCATGTTCACCTTTTCAATGAGTTCTTCCGCAGTCGTTTCGACTGGAGCCGTTTCTGGCGGCGTGGCGACTTCTTTTGCTTGCTGAGCAACAAAGAGAATCTGGAACGAAAAACATATTTTTTGTTAAATATTGATGTATTTATCCAAAACTATGCTACCAAATCTCTACAGATTTGACAACTTAAAAAAATATTTTAACAAATGTTGCAGTCTGTTTTCGTGCGATTGCTGTAGAGGCTCCGAAAGAAGTTGTCATTCAGCAATCGGTAAGTCATCCACTATTTTTGAAATTTTTTTCTTATTTTGTTTTGGGTAACTGGTGAGTTACTGTTGGTTAAAAAAAATAGCCTTACCTCGGCATTTTCCGGCATCGTCAGACTCTCATTTTCAACCTAAATTTGTAGCTTTGAAATTTTTTCTCATGAAAACTGACTTTTTCCGTGGATTCGAAATCCACAATTCCAGCTTTTTCTTTCGCGCTTCTCGGAGCCAGAAGAGAATCGATAAAAAAAGGACCTAAATTTTAAAAATGTACATTTTAACATTTTTTTGCTATGGAACAAATAACTCCATTTTTCCATTCAAGTGTCCAGGCCTTTTTCGAGTAGTGCCAAATAAATATTTTTTTCACAAACTATTCTTTTTATGATCACTATTATTTCTATTACCGTATATTTTTCCCGATTTTGAAATCACCTAATAGAAAAAAAAAATTGATTAAAGTGTTCTTTTAGAAAATGCAAGAAAATAGTTCTGATAGTCTAACCGCGCTTTTTGAAAGGTATAATATCAGTTTTTGAAAACATCGTTCTGAGTTGAAAGTTTTGTAAGTTTCTCGAAATATTTTGTACCTTCTCAGTCTTGTAATTTCAGATTGATTAGTTTTCTCGTTGAGAAAATGAAAAAAAAAACCAGCATACCTCTCTTTTTCGTTTCCTCGGTTTTGCGTTTTTTGGCTTCTTCGATGAATTCATTAAAACTTTGTTTTCTTTTCAACTCCATCGTTCTTTTCTCTTTTTTTTCCGAAGCCTCCTTCAGTTTTCGTTTTCGGAGAGGGTCCAAGATAGAAACTCTTCGATTGATCGGGCTCTTATCTCTCTGAAAACTTTCCATCAGAATCAGGTCAATTTTTGGATGAGCAAAAGCTTTTTTGAAGTAAAAATCGTCGATTTTACCGTCGATTGTGTGATGTGGAAAAAACTTTATTTTCATTATTTTATGTCCTCGATCCATTTTTATTTTTCAGCTTGCAAGATTTCTTGCGTGTGGTCAAAAATCGGTTCTTGATTCTGCTTTTTTTTTCGTATGAGTACTGAAAAGGTAGATCTTTTTCGAATTCAGGCAACTGAAAATTAACATTTTTCTACGGTAATAAAAAAATTCCTGTAAAGCGATCCAGTGTACTATAGTCAAAAATAGAACTACTAATTCATCTTTTTCAACCTGGTCACAATATTTTTTTTAAAGTTCATACTGCCAGAAAGTTTGCGATATAAAAACTAGGCATTTCACATTTCTTTACTCACTCCTTCCTTCTGATGGAGTCGCTGCTCATTTGCAGTTTCAGATGCTCGACGAACTTCATCGCAAGCAGCTTGAACGGCACCGATCTTGAAAATTCAGTTTTCTTTAATAAATAAAACCCAAATATATTTGATTGACGCTCTCAAAAAAAAACAACGACCCACTACAATTCTCAATTGAATTATTATTGAGTCATTTGTTTCAAAGTTTGACTTGCTGTTTATATCTCGGGTTCAGTCGCGAATACGTTTCAAACTCATAGGAAGTACTGTATAAAAGTTTTCTTTTGCTCACCGTTGGAATTTGACTTTCCGCCAAGTTCGCTGGTGAGCTGAGAATCTCAGTTACGATCTGGGCGGCTGGAAGGTCCTTTTCCTTAAAAATTTAGTCGTTTTCACGGGGTTCGATAATCGAAAAATTAGTTGCGGAACTCAAATAAAAAAAATTTGGCCTGCTATATATTTTTTGAAATCTCGGCTCCAAGGGCCAAAACGTTTGGATCCTATATTAAGAGCTGAATAAAAGTTTTTTTACTCACTGTCGGGTTTTGGCTGATTTCAGGCCCTCCAAAACTGTTTGCAGGACAGCCAGCAGCAACAGATCCAATAGGGGAGCCTTGATCAGGAGAGACCTTGAAAATGCAATAGTTTTCCAGGTTTTTAATACTCAAATAATCAGCTAAAGGGCAGAAAAATAATATTTGCTAGGTTTCTTAGTCAATCATTATCGATTTTTTTTGAGTTTGACTTGCTATATTTCTTCTTTTTTTAGTTGCCAAGTCGTTTCCAACTCATGGAAGAACGGAATTTTAGTTTTTTACTCTTCTTTGTTCCAGACCATTTAGAGCGTTACATGAGCCGCCATTCCGAATTTTCCCGACTGGCTAGAGAACTCAAAATGAAAGTTCGTGTGACTCTATAGGACATTCGACAGCATTTTTTTTGAATCGCTGTGTATAAATGTGTTGGTGAACAGTTTTCTATATGATAAAAACAAAGAAGGAAGTTTTCTCCAATATTAAATAAAATCTCTAGGAAGGGTCTCATTTCATTCTTATGAACCTTTTTTCGAAAATTTTTTTTGTATTTCGGGTTTAGTTTTTATCAATCTCACGTTCAGATCTCTGTCCACTGTTGCATCTTTTCGGCTCGAGCACGAATCTTTTCCTTTCAGAGGCTTCAACAAAAAAACGGAATTTTTAGTGATTCTGAGGTAGTTCGAATCCTGAAAAAATTTTCTCTTATTTTCCGGTGATGTTCAGAGCCATCAATAAGCACTTCAAAGCCATTAACTTGGTTTTATCAAATTCATAAACTTACTGTTTGAGTTCCGTGATATGTTGCGGCGATTTTGTATTGGATTTTTGTTTTTAAGGTAATAGTTTCTTCAGTCGCCGTTTCCTGAAAATATTTTTCATAGTCCGAGTGACTTGTTCGCAAAGACTAGTGAAAGGGAGATATTCAACCGTAATAAACGAATACTGAGAATCAGCTCAGTTGGTATTGAAACAATTATGCGAGTTCTAGTAGTTTCAATTTTTTTGAAGATTATTTCCGTCCTTATTGCGATATTAACTCACGGTGTTAGACGCTGGGGCTGACGGTTTGCAGATGTTGATTCGAGGAACATCCGAGTTTTTCAACTTGAAGACCTCCTATAAAAAACTTTTTTTCTTTCTTCGATTTTGTTAAGATCTGAATAACTGAAGAGTTTGAAAATATTTTCAATCGTTTTAAGAAATACCTTTAAAACCTCCCACCAACCTTCCTTGTTTTTTTTCATGAAAAATATTTTCTTTCTCTTGAGAGCCCTTTTTTCAAAGTAATCTGCAGAACTCTAAGAACACACCTTTTGCGCTCCTTCTTCGTCAACGTTTTTTTGAGCTTCCTCAGCCATTTTTTCTGTGTTCGATTGATGAGTTTCCTAAATAATCACAGAGTTGATTTTTATAACAAATTTAATTTCTAATAGTTTCAGTTGCCTACATGATCAGTTTTGAGTTAAAAGTAAAAGAGGGGCAAAACCACGCCCACTTCTTCACAAAAAAATGAGGCCTTTTTATTTTCGCACAAAACAACCTGCCCCATTTTATACGCTAAAACGTAAAGGAAAAAAGTGAGATCTCCACAATAATGTGTAATCAACATTGCCTAACAAATCTGATCTATTTTCAAAGCTCAAATTGTGTTTTTGTGACTTTTTGTGAAGTATTTCCGAAGACAGAATTACAAAAACGGACTTCTCCAAAAATCGCTCAGTAAGATTGGAAAATACTACTCAAATCCATTTTGAGGTGGAGTACTCCTTTTTCAATGCAATAACAACTCACTGCTTCTTGTGCTTGTGGAACTTCGGGTTCTTTGACTTTGAAGGTGATCTATAACACATTTTTTTTGTTTTTTTTTTTTCGATTTTTTCAAGATCTAAATAAGAAAAGAGTCTGAGTAATGTTTCAAGCATTTTAAGAATTTCCATAAAAACTTCCCCCCATATCTTTTCGTTCTTATGATAAAAATATGTTGATTCTCTTAATAACCCTCTCCAGTTTAATTGTAAAACACTGAAAACACACTTTTAACGGAGTTTTCGCTTTGTCGACCTCTGGAGGAGTCTGTTTTTCGAGTGATTGCTGAAAAATTACACTGTTGATTACTCTGACCAAATTATTTTCTTATAGTTTTTGTGCCTACAAGACGGGTTCAAACATAAAAGGACAAAGCCACGCCCAGTTAGCCACAAAATCGTTGCATTTTATATACTAAAACGTAAAGAAAAAAAGTTATATCTCTCACAATTGTATGTAATCTATATTGTTTGAAAATGTAGACAATTTTTAAAGAATTGATTGTTTTTTGTGACTTTTTGTGTAGTATTTCCGAAGATAGAACCACAAAAACCGAGATTCCTCAAAAAGCCGCTCAGTGAATTTGAAAACAACCAAGCAAATCTATGAATGGGTGCAGTATTTATTATTTCAATGTAAAAATAACTTACTGCGTCGTACGCTTCTGGTAGGGACACGTATCTCGCCAAATCTCCAAAATTTTTCGACTTGAAGATTACCTCAAATTTGAAAAAAATATATTGTATTATTTCTATTTCAGATCATAGTATTTGAAGAGAGCAGGATAAAGATTTTCTTACAAATTTTTCTTGCTCTTTTGATGAAAAAAATATCCATTTTTCTTTCGAGTGCTTAATTTTTCGAGTTTGGTTCAAATACACTGAAAAGACACCTTGAGAGGTTTTTCCAGGACCGCTGTCATTTTTTTGTGCTTTCGTGCCTTATTATGGAGATCTCATCCCGCGTGGCCTGACTCGTTTCCTGGAAAAAATATAACAGGATCAACTATAATAATTAAATCATTGTCTGAATGTTCAAGTGTCCCTCAAACCCCCAAAGCGTTCCAAACATCATCAAACTTGATGTTCAAGCAAGAAGCTTTTAAAAACCGTTAAGCTAATCCAAAAGGTAATTTTTTTATATTTTTCTGGATGTTTAAAAAATTTTGTTTTGTTTCAAGGAGTCCTTTATTGGATACCCAAAACCATCCACAAGAGATTTCTCATCTCGCTGCTTCAAAACTTTTTTGGTTCATAAAAATAAAAAAAGACTTTGATTGCAGAAAATATGTTTAATGCCCCCAAGAAAAAAAAATTGACTAACGTGTTCTGGGCTTTTTGGATTTTCGGTTGTTGGCAAGTTCTCGATTTCGCTCTGTTCCTGGAAAAAAAGAAGTTTTGATCTAGAATATTTTGAGAATAATTTTTTTCAATTTTTGAAGCTATGAGTTCTCAAAAGTTTGAAAGGTATATGTTTTTTTAGAACGGTTCTAACTTCGAGGAATCGGAAAATACAAAAAAATTCCGTTATTCTTTTTTTCAAGATAAACCAGATAATGAGATTTCACGATTTTTTTGAAAATTTCAAGCGATATGGATTCGTGCTAAAAAAACTTTGAATAAAACATTATTTTTGAGCGAATAAGATAATACAAACATTAACGGTTTTCTGGGCTCCGCTACTGCCTGACTTTTCAGCTACTGCCTGAAAATTATGAGATTTTTAACGCGTTTTGTTCGGCATCAAGGCAAACAACTTCACACTCTCGGATCGACAAGGTACCTTTGAGCAAAAAACAGTCTTTTCGAAGTTTTGTCCTTTTGGGCCATTATTTAGCTTTGAAGCTTGGGCGAGATTCTCAAAAAAAACCATTAAATAAATCCAAAAGTACCTACACTGAACTACCTGAGTTTTGAGTCGAACCTCCTCGCATTCTTCACTTTGGAAAAGGTCCTTGTCTGAAATTGTACAAGCTATTTGAATTCGGGAGAAATGTTTTGAAAATTTTTCAAGAATCATTCTCACCATTTGGAGAAATAGCTTTCCGTGCCTCGACCGGATGCAATTTTTTCGCTTCTAATGAAATTTTTTTAAGAATAGCATGCTTGAAAGATTTTTCATGAATATAATATAAGAATCTATCTCTGAAAATTAAGAATTTTGAAGCGACTCAGCTGGCCTACACCAGAAAAAAAATAAACATTGCTTGAAAGAAATTAGGTAAGCTACCAAGAACGGAAACCTTACGTTTTGTATGAAACTTATTTTCGACTTGATCAAAACTCTGTTTCGCGTCCATAGGGAGAGTCGATCTTTAAAGTTTTCTCTTATGAGAAATAAGGGCTCCAAACTGTATCTTTGAGAAGTTTCAATTGATTTTCTCTGTCTTTAAAATTCCAGCTCCAGGATGCCTAAAGAATATCAAAGCTAAGACTAACACGAAATTCACCTAAGGATCATGAAATCAATCTGAGTATATTCCAGATCATTTTTCTGCAAACTTGGTTTTTTATGTCAGCGGACAAACCCTCGAAGCAATAAAGTTATTCGAGTTGGTCTTCCGAATTTAGAAGAGTCCGGGTTTTAAAGATGCCTTGAAACAGCTTACTTCTCTTTGAGCAGTCTCGAGCTGCTGCCCTCTTGGGGCGCAGGTAAACGGTCGGCTCAGCTGTGACACTAGATGGTCCTTCCTTTTCTGGAGACGAAGAGAAAGACTCTTTTTTTCTCTTTGGTTTTCTTCCTTGTCCTAAAATTCGATTTTTTTATTCAGTTAGAATCGTTTGTAAAATTATTCAATCAATCAATATCAATGAACTTTTTTTATCCTTTTTTTCAATAATAAGTTTAGATTTTTTTGAAGTTCAACCAAATGATATTGCGTAGGTGTGATTAAATATTGAAAAGTTTCCTTCAATAACTCACCTAAAAACTTCAGAAAAACGCCAAGAATAACCGGAATTAAAGTTTGATAAAAGTTATTTGTTTTTTTTGGCGCTATAAGCTTTTTGAGAACGTACTTGATAAACTTGAAAAAAGAATTTGAGAATGCCCCAAAGGCTTTTTTATTTCTGAATAGACCTCTTATCATCGGAAAGTCTTAATTTTTTTGAAAGACCAAGGTCATTTGAAAGTTCCCACAGTACAACGGCTTTTACTCGTGAAAAATATGTTTAATAGTTTCAATTATGAAACTTGACCAACTTTTTTTCAGCGACTTCCTCGGTTTGGCCTTCCTGGTATTCACTTTCAGCCTGAAATATCATGATTTATTTCCGAAAGGATTATTCGAACTTTTATTGGTCCAAAATATTTAGTTATTTTTTTGTTTTTATAAAAGGGTTTATAGAATTTCATTTCTCGATTTTTTTCGAGATGATGAAATTTTTTTATAATTATAAAAATACGACTTTTTTTCGGTTTATGCGGCAATATTTCAATAGAAACAAGCATGACATTGACCCAAAACTATAATTTACGAGAAAAAAACCAACGCTCTCAGTTTGCTGGTCCTCTTCCAGATTCTTGTCTTCTGCGTCTCTCTGAAAATTATCAGATTTTTTTATTGATAAATCTAGTGAATTCGATTCAACAAACAAAATATTACCGCCACTTTTTTTGCTGCTTTCTCCGAACATTTTCGGTTTTTTGCGGTTTATTCGAAGATTTTTTTCTTCTTCTTTCTAAAGGCCCCATCATCGCCTCCATTGCCGCCTTCTTCATAGTTTTTCCTGCTTTAATAAGGCCGCATCTGAAATCATATGAGGGTTTTAAATTAAGAAATATTTTCTATAAATTATTTTTAACAAGCTTTTTTTGAGAAAAATTCAATTTGCAGCTTTCCCGATCACAATATAATATCAGGTTTGCCAGATATAACCAATTCTTCCCGAACCGAAAGACGAGATGGGAAACCTTGAAAAAATTACGGCTTTTGGGCAAGGAACTCGAAGTTGAGCCATCACTTTTTGTGCTTTTTTGACAGTTTTTTACGATTTCAAAAAGATTTAGTTCAGCTGAAAGTATGTAGAATATGGTCAGAATTAATACGAAGAAACGGAAATTTGGTCCTAACTTTTTTATAAGCTTCGCCTTTCGAGTAGGGAAAAAAATGACTATAATAAAGACAACTATTTCTCTACAAATTATGATGGAAAGATTTGGAATAAGTTATGAGATCCATCACAAAACTATTGGGTTTTTATTCGAAAATATTTTTTAGGTTGTGGTAAACTTTTGTGCGATTCCAAGAAGACTAATCATACTCGGGCTTCGGTTTTATTAAAAGTTGGTCGAAATATTCAGAAGGATAATTCTGAAGCCTGAAGCATTGTGGTTTAGAAAATAAAAAAAGTTTGCAATGGGACATTTGGCAAGATTTCTGATTCATCTAAAAAAAATTTTTTTTGCGGGACATTTTTCAAACAATATTGTAGAGCGAAACGTTTGCGAGATCGCAGTTCCGCCGCGGTATCGCGTTATTTTCGCTGAAACTAATATCGAAGCTGTAGAGCCATTATCATTAATTTTTCGATTTGTTTCAAGAAGCAAGCATGGAAAAAAAACATACTCTTGGCGGAACACTTGACCGCAGCCTTACGGCTTTGGTAAGCAAAAAGCGAGAAAAGTTCGAGCAGGTTCGAAGACTCAGCGCTTTGTCCGGTTGGTGGTTCTTCTTCTTCAGGACCGTCTTCGAGAGAATTCTCTTCGACCTATAGTTCAATCATCGAAATCATTTCAATAGAGATACGGTTCTAAATTTCAATCTGGGATTATCTGAAAACTTGCTCGAAAATTTAATATGAATTTTTTGCCTAGCCTCAATATTCAAAAACTTCCTAGCTCTCTAAAAAAATATAACCTTTCTGAAAAAAATCATTTTTTTGCGGAGAACATAAACTTTTTGAGGCAAGTATTTTTTTAACTAGAAAGCTGCGCCTTTTGATAACTTTCAAACCCTGATTTAAACAAAATTTTATGAGTGAAAAAAATGATTTGGTTTTTTTGTAACAACGTCAATTCTCGACAAAACCGCGCCAATAACTTGTTTGTACGAACTTTTTTTCGGCTCTCAAGATAATTTTGAAAGTTTCAAAAAGAACTTTCCGAGAAACTAAAAAAATTTCAAATTTTTTTCGAAAAAGACTTGGTTTTTTTCATATTAGTGTTAGTTTGAGATGGTGTACTTTCATAATTTCCATAGGAGACCAGAAAAAAACTTGAAAAAAACATTTCGATATAAATTAGGAGTTTCTTTTTCTCTACACGCTCTTTTTCGCAGAAAAAAATCATTTTACTCCTTATCACAGCTTAACAACCATTATCATTAAACCAAGCACCTGACGAGAGAGGTCAGGGAATATGAAAAACTATAGATTAGCTTGAAAAATTTTTGAGAATCTAGATAAAAAATTTCTCAAAACTACTGCCAATGAATACGTTTATTCATCAACCGCTGTTTGGAAAAAAAAAGGTTTTCAAGCCTCTAATAATAAAAGTTTCCATGTAATTTTCAACTAGTTTAGAAGCCTTGAAAACAAGTATAAAATAGCAAAAAAGCCTGTTGAAGTATCTTTTGTCTTCGCTCTCAAAGACTTTTTTCTGCAGGGGTTGTCAAAAAAATGCACCCTAGTTTTATTTTTTTAACTATAACTTTTTCTTTTTGAATGTTCCATAAACTTGGTAAAAAAATGTGCTATAAAAAAATAAGTAGTCACGATGAAAAAAATGACGTGGTTAAAGTGCGCCCCAAGGAGATAATTTTTTTTTTTTTTTCCAAACTCACTTTCATTCATTTTTCACTCCATTTTTTTACGTCATAACTCATAATTCCGGTTATGGCAAAGCAGAGAAAAAAAATTATAATTTTTTGTTCAAATTTCAATTATTGAAAAAAACAGTTAAAGTTTTTATTACGAAACTTCCGTATTTTTATTCAGGGTTAAAGATCATTATTCATTTTTTTAGTCATTCTTTTAACAAAAACTCTATTCACGAAGCCAACTTTTTCATCTTTTTTTCTAACTACTCGGTATTTTTCAAAAGCTTAATTTTTGCGCTGGTATAACCTCTACCTTAATTTTTGTGATCTTACAAAAAAAACTTTGTTAGATATTCTAGCGCGGTTTTTCATGAGGTTGCGATTTGATCTTTTCCATATGGTTGCCGAATTGCTTTTGAGGATTGTTTGCTTCAAAAAAAGAAGCTCCCAAAAGACGGGGTCAACCAGTGTAAACTGTATGATTTTGCGCCAAAGGAGCCTTTGCAACTCCTGCCACATGTGATTCAAAAGAGCGGCCGAATCTTTTTGTACTGTTTTCGCTGCTTTGTGAAGCGATCTGGCTCAACACATGTTGACTGTTTATGTTATTGTTCACAGTGCTGCTGTACTTGTTCCTATACTTTTGAGATCGAACGTCCAAGAAACATCCGAGTAAATTCTCTTAACGCGAGTAAAATCAGCAAGTGTTTTTTGCTGTATTCATTGTGTCCTTAAAGAAAGCTTTATCTGGGGCTGTTTTTATGATATTCTCAGGCTTTTTCAAACGATCTGTGAAGACTCAGATCACAAATATCATTCGATCTTTCGTAATTGAATCATCAACTAAATAAATCCAAAAATGGTTTAATTTTTGAGGTTTTAATCTATTTCCATCTTGAAAATTATCAAGAACAGAAAATAAATCTTAAGCTGAACGTTTTTGTACGATTTCTCCCATTTATGGCTGATATAAGTTTGCCGAACTTTGAAAAAATCCGTTAATTCAGCAAAATTCGATATATCAAAAAAATGTTCCCCTCGAAAAAAATAAAAAAATAAAATTACCTCTTCTTCTGGTCGCCTCTTCTGAGGAGCCATGATTTTTTTCCTCTCAAGAGAGCGAAACTAAATTTCCTTCCTAAAATTTTTACTTGTAATATGAAAAAGATTTGGATTTTATACGAAAATAGCGCAGGCATGCCAAATAGAAGAAAAAATGCAACGATTTGTCACTTCGAGATAATAAAGTAGCCAATAATTCAAAACAAGTTGAATGAAAAGTTCAAGTATTCAGTCCGTTAATTAGCTTAAATTGGTTATTAGTTTCACGGTTCTGCAAACTTTTGCAAGATTCAAAACATTCATTTGAACTTTTCAGAAAGGAAAAGCTGAGGAAGCGACTAAAGAACGGCGCCCACCTGCTATTTATGGATTGGATCGCGACATTTCTTTTTTGTTTGAGGGAAAAAATGCCCCATCAATTTTTTTTACGAACATTGTGATGCTTTCTTTTTTTGCTCACTCAAAAAAAGCTCTGAATTCAAGAAATAAAACAAAAAACCGTTTCGCTCTCAAAACAAAAGCAGATTGAAAAGTCAGATATCGATGTGTTTTCAGTTTTCGCTAAGTGCTCCGTGTCCTCTTCTGTGCTTCATGAAAGGGCCAAGTTTCTCTTTAAAAACGAAAAATCACTTTTTTGTAGCCTACTTTCTTCAAATGAAGTTGAGAACAACACGCTAACTACAAAATTAATTTTTTTTTTAAGTCTGAAAAAAAGATATTTTTTTGGAAAAAGTTTTTTTTTCAAAAATTATAAAATTTTTTTTTGCATAAATAAGTTAAATTAAATGAAAGTTTCTACCTCACAATTTCAAATAATAACAAGGAGCATTTAAATCCCGTAAAACGATGTTGGAAATAAGAAGCAGGATTTTTAATTGTAACACAGTTTAGAAAACTTATTTTCGTTTTTTTTTCGAGCTGCTTTAGAGGTTGAAAAGCTGAGTTTAGCGCAAAAAGGAACTCCATCTAAAATCTTGAAAAAACAAATTCAAAGCTGATTTTGAAAAGTTCCTTTTTTGAAAATAAAAGCATGTCGAAAAATTTGGTTGCGCAAAGTTATATTTATTTATTTTTCTCAAGTTGAATTTCACAAGAAACGAGTTTTTGCACAGTTTATCCTCGAAGCTCTGATAATATAAGTCAATGAACTAAGAGCAAAGTGCATTGGTTTGACAGGAAAGAATGTTTCTGTGCCTACTCTTTGGTCGGATATAATCGATGTCTACGGCGGGACTGAAGGGAGATGAAAAATGGTGTTAGGGTTGAAGCTGACAAGAGCGGATCGTGGATAAGCTAGCACAAAGTGTAAGATCAGTACAAAAACAGAGTCACAAAGGAGAGAGATTGTTTTGAAACTGAGGACTGAGGAACCGCAACAAATATTGGAAGTTTTCGAAAAAGAGCAAGAAAAACCTGAAAATTTTGATCTTTAAAAGACTTTGAAGGTTGTTGATATGAAAATTTAATTTGAGAGCCGTTTCACAAAAATAATTTTTATGCGGTTTTGTATAAATATCGAAGAAACTTTATTAAGGTTTGCTTCGAAACCTCCTGAATACAGGAAAAAAAAAGAACTTTTTGACTTTGCCTCATAGTCGTGTTAAAATGCTTGAAAGACTCGAAATAAAGAAAAGAGACCATGTTTTAGTTAGTCCTAGTCACATTGGAGTTGCAATCTCTCACCGAGACAAATTTTCCTTGACTTCGTAAAGTTAGGATTTTTCACAAAATTGCCAAATCACTTTTTACTGGTACAATAGTGAAATCCGGGTAGTCGCTTTCTACTCAAACTCCAAATTTTGAAAAAATAATATCTCGAAATTCGCAACTGTTAACAGGTAAAAAAGTCTGAAAGGGATTTGGTCCCGGTGCCAGCTTTTCATCGGCAGCTGGCCCTTGGTGTATTAGCCGAGACATTAGTCTTCCTGGCCTATGGTAAATGTTCAAAAACTTTCACCGCAGTTATTTTTGTCTCACAAGTTATGTTTCAAAAAAATTGAACTATTTCAACACGATCAGGGTTCTTATAAAGTGATGTCTACCGTTCCCCAAGAATCATATAAAAAAACGCTGAGAACCGTAAGAAATTGTCCCTCGAACTTTTTGAAGTCTGTTAGTGGAAAAGGTTTTTATTTCATCTTAAAAAAACTTTCAAGAAAGATCCGTCAAAAAATTCACATCAAAAAGATCCGAACCTTGCTTATAGGCTTCGCGGACTTTTGTCTTTGCCACTACACCACGTAGCCAGCTGCCGTGCATCGAATGCCAGTGGAGCCACATTTCATCGAAACGCGCTGATAATAAAAATTGCGAGCTTCATAACTTCAAAGCTAAAAGTTTGCTATAGGAGGCGTCAAATCCCTGTATTTTTTTTATAGGCGGGTCCAAAACTTTACCCTTATGTTAATTTTCTTGGAAATTGCCGTCATTTTTTTCCCGGCGTTCATGATTTTCATGAAACGGCGCTTTTTGAAACAATAAGCCAATCTTGTTCCGGCGAATATATGTATACAGTTTTTTTAATCACAAATTTTTCAATAGGCGTCCAACTAAATTTTTTTGAGGAGTTTTCTTTTCCAAAAAAAGGCTAGGAAGACGAATACAAAAATACTATGATGAAAGTCAATCTAAAAAACTTTACTTACAAAAAAAAAGAACAATAAATACGGAAAAAAGGTCAAAATTAAACTTCGGAAAGGAGCAGTTTTTGCGAGTTAATCAAGAAATCTGGCAGAGATATGGCGTAAAAGAGTGATAAGAAGTGTCAGAGTTTTTTTTTCCACAAAACAGGGGCAAAAATCAGATATTGATGTTTTCTCGAGCGCAGGCCGAAGCTGATAATTAATTTAGTACGATTTTGGTTTTCAATCTTTGAGAGGAAAAAATCTGAAGAATGATGAAAGTGAAAATTTGAACTGTCTGCTGCAGGCTCAGTTTCACCAAGGTTTCAAAAGCCAATTATGATTTGAAGAAACTGGACAAATGACTTATCTTAAACAATAAAACACAGCATTATTGGAAGAGTGAGATTCCTAGATTCCTAATTTTGAGTTTATGTTTTTTGACTTAGATGAAACGAATATTTCAAGGCAGGTACCCTATGATAAATTGATTAGGGTAAAGGAAAAAAGAGGCAAAATAAGTGTTTGGCGGAAAAAAACGCTTTAATTGAGGTTAGAGAAGGATCGAATGAGGGAAAAGAGGAAAAAAGTAGAGCAGTGGGTCGGATTGACTTGGATTTTTGAAACGTTTTTTGAACTGACGGTCCAAGACTGATATGAAGTTTGTGTGTGAGATACTTGGCCATGCGCCAGATATCAATATTTTTTTGAGCCCAGAAAAAAGATCTTATTTGAAGAAGAGGATCGTTCGTAGTATGATCGGACAGAAAAAAAAACCCAGGAAAAAACAGGAGAAGGGAAACGGAGACCGGGAAGCTGAGGGAATGATGGTGGGCCGTGCAGCGCAAGCTCCGCCTCTACAGACACGGCAGCCGCGACTCAACCTTTTCGTGTCGTTTAGACCGTTTCCTTGCTTATTCTAATGTGATGAATCAAGACGAGCCGTCCGAGAAAGTCAAACTATACACTACGTGTGTTTTTTATGTCAAAACATCTAAATTTTAATTTTCAATGTTTAAACTTAATATCAATTTATTCAGTCTTCAGAGTAAGATGAAGAAAATCTCAGGTTAATCATGGTATAGTCGAAGAGTTATTCGTTGGCGCGGGTTACGGTCCACAATCGTCGTCTAATAAGTTCCACCGTGAAAGCTAAGGTTGGGAAATTATGTGGGTCCGTGGGTAGTACCAGCAAATAAACGCTTCTCCATGTTGGAACAGTACGGCGCCCAGCTAGTTCAGGCCGACGGGAATCGGAATATTTTCCCATGAAAGAGCGGCAATGAGACCGACTAGTCGACGTGATGGAATGTGATAAAAATAATCTAAATTCTAAGGGTTCATATTTTCTCCAAATGAGATGGGATAAGTGCAGCCGTTTGGAGCAGCCATGAACATCAAACTATACACATTTTTGTGGTTCCGATGTGATAGGATATCCTTGTTTTAGTATAACTAATATAGAAATAGCCTTATGATAGCGGGAAAAACGCTGTAGAAGGATAAGTAGAACTAATTGAGTTAAAGATCTATAATTAAGAGTGATGATTTTCTTCGGTGGAAGCCAATTAAATGACTAATGGAAAAAAACTTGTCAAGGCGACATTTCCAAAATGTTTACTTTAATACCAACGATGTGACTATAGTTTTCGATCGAGAAATTAGGTAATCATGGCGCGATAGTGCAGTAAGACATGTTACAGTTTCTTTTTTTTTACAAAGCAGAGTAAAAATAAGATATTGATATTTTCTCGAGCCGAAATCAAACCTGATAAACTATAAAACTATTTTTCTTGGGAAAAAATGTGTGCTTCTGGAAATTATGAGAAGGTTGAGTAAACTTGTAGTTCTTAGCTTTGATGAAGTCAGAGGCTGCAAAAAAAAAGGAGAAGAGCAACGAAGATCGCAAAGCCGAGGGAATGACGGTGTGCCGTGCAGCGCAAGCTCCACCTCTACGGACTCGTATCGGCAGCCGTGACTCGACATTTTCGTGTCGTTTAGACCGTTTCCTCGCTCATTCTAATGTGATGAGTCAAGCCGAGCCGTCCGGAGCGGCCAAGAAAATCTCCTTTGTGTGATTTTGATGCCACTCTTCAATTTTACAATTGCTGATGAATTTGCTAGTTTTTGGAGAGCGGGAAAAGAGAGAAGAAGTATAATTAATTGAATCAAAAAGCTAAACTTGAGCGGTATGAATGTTTTCATAGTCTTCTCTGGATCAAATCTGACAAAGTTACTTTTAGAGCAATTTCGCTTTCATACTCTTGTGGCTATGGTAAGTTCTCTAACCAGGGAACGTTTTTTTACCTCCCGGTTGAACTTTTGCTGAAACTTTGCTGAAGTGTACTTTAGGACCTTCTGATTGCATATTAAGAAAAAAATTTCTCGCAATAGACCTTGTTTCCGAGTTATGGAGCATCAAAGTGTGCAAAATACGCAAATTAGACCAAAAAGCGCTATTTCGGGCTTCAGCAAAGTTTCAGCAATAGTTAAACCGGGGGGTGAAAAACGTTCCCTAGAAAGGGATTAGATAGAGAAGTTTGGGAGGTACTGAAATGGGATCAAATATTCTCTGAAGACCGAGATACACACTACAGTAACTCGTGGTGAGCGCGAGTTTGAACTGTAGCGAGGAAGAGGTGATTTGGAAGGCGTTTCTCTTTTTTCGAATCAACCTGTGATTAAAACCCGTAGGTTGAGTATAACTGCGATATGGATGCGGTAGTGAGGTTTGTGGGGAAGATTACTGGACAAGGGCCAGATATTACAATATTTTTCAAGTCCAGTTGAAAGTTGTTATTTGAAGAAGGTCATCGTTTGGAGTGCGATGTGAAGAAAATCAATTTAAAAAAAATGTGCCGTGCAGCGCGAATCCCGAATCTACAGACACACGACGGCAGCCGTGACTCGACATTTTCGTGTCGTGAGAGATTGTTTCCTTGCTTATTTTAATGTGATGAGTCAAGCCGAGCCGTCCGGAGCGGGCAAGAAAATCACTTCTGTGTGATTTCGATATCACAATAAATAAATTTTAGTATGGCTGATAAATATCAGAGTCTGGAGAGCGGGAAATGAGAGAAGAAGTATAATTAATTGAATTAAAGAGCTCAACTCGAGAGTGTTAACTGCCCTTGATAGAAGTCAACTGAATGATTAATGGATACTATTTGACAAGGCGACTTTTGAGGAACCCCGCTTTTTTCTCAACTCCTCTGAGGCTATGGTGATTTTATCAAGAAAGCAGGTCTTTAAGGCCTGAAGTTTGAAGCTTCTCAAGTTTTAACGAAGTCTTTTTAAGTATTCAGATTCAGACTAGTGACAGTCTTCACATGCGCAAATTTCAAAGTTTAGCCAGAAAAAGGTAATTTCAAGAGCGTTTCCCTTTTTTTGTATCAAACTGTGATTTGAAAGTCGGAGGTTGAGCATGATTCGATAGTGAGGTTTGTTGGAAAGATGTACAAATGCCAAATATATCAATTTTTTTTTCGAGTCCGGACGAAAGTTGTAATTTAAGAAAGTTTGTATTAAAAAATTCATAAAAAAAGAGAAGCGTAGTGGAGACCGGGAAGCCGAGAGAATGAAAATATGCCGTGCGGCGCAAACTCCGCCTCTACAGACACACGACGGCAGCCCCATGACACGACCTTTTCGCGTCGTTTAGACCGTTTTCTCGCATATTCTGCGATGAGTCAAGTCGAGCCGTGCAGATCGGCCAGGAAAGTCGAACTGTACATTTTTGTTGGTTTACGTAATTGTCCCATTCAAAATGACTAATAGAGCTACCAACTGTGAAAAACTTTGGTAAAAATGTTCATGGAAGGCCATCCGATTTTCCAAAGATACTTGCTTATTCCAATGCCATGAAAAGTCTTTTGTCTAGATTGAGCGAATAAACTCAAAGTCAATGTCAATTTTCGAAGTTTCGAAAGTTGGAGACTATCGCCTGAGATGAGGCCATGCACGTTATTGATTAATGATACAAAACATGCAAAAACCGCCACGAGTCGCTCGCACGGCTTTTGAGGGGCATATAGTTTTTTTTCCCACGATTTTCGGATGTAAGCCCTTTTTGCGGTGTTCTGTGTTTGGCGGCTCATAGACAAGGGCCCTATATTGCGCAATTTCTGTTTCACACTGAAAATTCCACGAACAAACGCAACAAAAAGAGCCAGCTCCAAGGAGATCCATATATTTTTCTTTATTTCTAAGTGCGGTTCAATAACCGATGAAAGGACATTAAAAATTCTGAAGGCACCACGATTTGCAGTTTTTAAGATGTGATTTTCCGAGGTCGTGTTCAGCTTGAAATCGAGAATCGAGAGAGATCGAAATTATCTTAACTTCCTTCTAATTCTGAAAAACCGCATCTCCAAAACTGACAACTCATGCAGACCCTCGGAACTACCGCCTCATAAGATGAAATTCAAAAAACGGAAAAAAAAATTTCTCACTCTGAGGTGGCTCAGTTTTATTGTTAGATTCCCTTCAACACTACTCTTTTTCTAACATTTTCGATGAATCAAGAAATATGGGGAAAAATTGAAGTAGAAGAGCAAAGGTGAATGACCGAGAATTTGGAAACTTCAGTGTGTCGTTACGAAGGAAGAAAAAGTATAAATTGAACGAGATCGTTGATAATTTTCTTCCGACTATTCAGTTTACAAGAGCATCGAGAAAAAGTCAAAAAATAAATCCGTAGAGCTCTCAGATTCAAACGTCAGAAAGAAAAGTTCGAGGAGAGATCACATCAGACTTGATGCGTTTCGAGCGCGAATTTTGAATATCCGACAGTCACTTTTTTTTACCGACGCGAGGATCGCAAAAAAAAACTTCGGTTTGAAATGCGCCTCGGAAGAAGGGGGGAAGAAGGTGCCAGCCGGCGGAAAAATTGTCTCAGGTGCCGTACAAGCAAACAAAGGAAGGATAAAGTGAAAATTCAAATCCAACATTCGAGAAACTCACATGCAAACTTGGTTTTTTCGACGGAAATCGACGAAAGCGAGCATTTTTTTCTCAAACCATATCAGATTATCCCTGTGAATGTGACGAATGCTATATTGCATCGAAGGAAAATATTGGGCTTATTTAGTGGAATTTTCGAAATCGTACAATGTCGAGGAAAAGCCTTTTCAATAATAAAAACTCTAAAAATGTTTTGTTGGAGAGCCGATTAATAATAAGAGCTTCTACTTTCCAGCATTTTGAAAATCTTCTCATCCTTTTTTTTGCTAAGTTTTCCATGATAAGGTAGCCTTGAAATCGGCAGATCTTTTGAAAAATTCCGCTTTCGAGGATATATCACAAAACAGCCGAACAACTTTTTCTTAGCATCTTGAGAAAAAGAAAAATTTTTGCTCTTAGGTCTCATTCTAGTATTTTTGAGTGTCATGAGGCCATTAAAGGTAATTTTTCCCACTTTTTCATCCTCACGCAGGTCATAAAATTCATTCTGATGAAAGTTTCCAAAAACCGAAGAAAAGAGAAAACTTAAATTAAATGATTATTTCCCATTCTTTAGTCTGAACAAACATTTTTAAAGTTAGGAGTTCGGAATTTACTCTCCTTTGTTGAAAATCAGCTTTCTGATATCAAAAATGTTTGAAGTGAGTTAAGATATTCAGCCAAAAACAAAGAAAAAGAAAAAATTTCTCATTGACTATGACAACCAAGCAAATCGAACTGCAATAAATAAGGAAGAACCGCAATTTCGACCAGGTTTCGATGAGAAACTAATATTTTTCTCGCGTTGAGCGTTTGAGTTGGGAAACATTTGAAAACACAATTAAAATCAACTTTATTGCTTTTTGCTTCGAAAATTTTTACTTCTTTATTTTGAGACGTTGACAACCCTATTCCATTTCGAGTTATTTGGGGAATTTTTTTTTTCATTTTAAGAGTGATTTTGAAAATTCAATAATTGGCAGGAATTCTCATGGAATAGGTAAAAACTAATATTATCGTAAAAATAGGCAGAAACGCTTTTTTTGGCTAGCAGCTTCCAAATTGGTCATGATCTACGATTTTTGAGCTCACTTCCTTGTTTTCTACAGTAGTTTCCAATATTAATCACAATCTTCTATAAAAACAATTCGCCTGAATTCCCAAAACTTGAACTTTAACGCTCTTCTTATCAGTTTGAAATTTCTTGATCAGTGATCTTGCCAATTACTTTCTTATTCCCCGCAATATATTTCATGATTCATCACTGGCTTCATTAAAAAAACTTCCGCTTGAATTCATAAATCTCGGACTTTCTTCAAACCATCGAAAGGTTCCTTTTTAACGCTTCGCTTAACCCGTTTCCAGTTACAGTTTCTCATTATTCTCACGTTTGAAAAACATGTTTTCACTTTACTTTTCAACCTACCTAAATGTCAAGAAATAAGCTTGAAATTAGTTTTTGAAGAGGTTCCGCTTCAAAAAGTGTTATGGAAATTTAAGGCAGCAAAGATTTTTTGAACTTATAGTGAATAATAACTATGAATCAAAGGAATATTTTTGCTTTCTATTTGGAAACGATAAATTTTTAAAAAAATGTTTGGTCGCACAGGGATTGGCCAAAAGCATACTTCTCTCGTGAAAAAAATTAGTTATTAATTAATCCACCTACCTCCGGTGATTTTGCAGTTTCACAGAGTCATTAAGACTACTCATCCGAATATTTTCTCACAAGCTCATTACAAGTGCCCACATTTGAATCTTCCACTAATTGTATTAAGAGCACTTTCAACTATTTTTAAACTTCGCGTCATAAATAAGGCCTCGAATGACAAGTTTTCGAATGTTTTCAAAAAATAAATTCGATGGAGAAAGGTTTCTTACAAAGTTTGAATTTGAAAAAATTATGCAGAGCTCGGCCAGGCCTCACCTGTCCTTCAAATCATTGCATCAAGCAGTCGTCGCCATGTTTCACTATTCAAGCTCTTTTTCAATGTGAAACAAACGTGAAGATCCACTCAAAAGTTAGTTTGGATGAATATAATCCGAAATTTTCAATTTTTTCCAGTTTGACGTCATTTGGGTAGCAACAGAAGTGGAAACTGCTCCAAAGCTGCAAAGGTCCATCCAAAAGTGAGCTCGGCCCACCAGATAATATTTATATTTAATGATCTCTTCCTTTCAGTTCGACATCAATGGAAAAAGAAAGACAAATGAAACAAGAGACTTGGTTGGAATACCCAAGTTTCACCGTTTCCAACCCATCGATAAGGAACGACATGGAGCTCCACCCAAAGGTGAGTTCGGATCGATAAACCTCAAAATGTGACAGTTTCTTTCAGTTTGAGATTGTTCGAGTGGCGGGTGAGGAGGACTGCTGTTTCAAAGCGGCGAAGGTCCATCCAAAAGTGAGCTCGGCCCACTAGATAATATTTATATTTAATGATCTCTTCCTTTCAGTTCGACATCAATGGAAAAAGAAAGACAAATGAAACAAGAGACTTGGTTGGAATACCCAAGTTTCACCGTTTCCAACCCATCGATAAGGAACGACATGGAGCTCCACCCAAAGGTGAGTTCGGATCGATAAACCTCAAAATGTGACAGTTTCTTTCAGTTTGAGATTGTTCGAGTGGCGGGTGAGGAGGACTGCTGTTTCAAAGCGGCGAAGGTCCATCCAAAAAGTGAGCTCGGCCCACCAGATAATATTTATATTTAATGATCTCTTCCTTTCAGTTCGACATCAATGGAAAAAAAGAAAGACAAATGAAACAAGAGACTTGGTTGGAATACCCAAGTTTCACTATTCCAAACCCGACCGATAAGGAACGACATGGAGCTCCACCCAAAGGTGAGTTCAGATCGATAAACTTTCGAAAATGTGACAGTTTGTTTCAGTTTGAGATTGTTCAAGTGGCGGGTGAGGAGGACTGCTGTTACAAAGCGGCGAAGGTCCATCCAAAAGTGAGCTCGGCCCACCAGATAATATTTATATTTAATGATCTCTTCCTTTCAGTTCGACATCAATGGAAAAAGAAAGACAAATGAAACAAGAGACTTGGTTGGAATACCCAAGTTTCAATATTCCAAACCGACCGATAAGGAACGACATGGAGCTCCACCCAAAGGTGAGTTCAGATCGATAAACTTTGAAAATGTGACAGTTTGTTTCAGTTTGAGATTGTTCGAGTGGCGGGTGAGGAGGACTGCTGTTACAAAGCGGCGAAGGTCCATCCAAAAAGTGAGCTCGGCCCACCAGATAATATTTATATTTAATGATCTCTTCCTTTCAGTTCGACATCAATGGAAAAAAAGAAAGACAAATGAAACAAGAGACTTGGTTGGAATACCCAAGTTTCACCGTTTCCAACCCATCGATAAGGAACGACATGGAGCTCCACCCAAAGGTGAGTTCAGATCGATAAACTTTGAAATGTGACAGTTTGTTTCAGTTTGAGATTGTTCAAGTGGCGGGTGAGGAGGACTGCTGTTACAAAGCGGCGAAGGTCCATCCAAAAAGTGAGCTCGGCCCACCAGATAATATTTATATTTAATGATCTCTTCCTTTCAGTTCGACATCAATGGAAAAAAAGAAAGACAAATGAAACAAGAGACTTGGTTGGAATACCCAAGTTTCACATATTCCAAACCCGACCGATAAGGAACGACATGGAGCTCCACCCAAAGGTGAGTTCAGATCGATAAACCTTTGAAAATGTGACAGTTTGTTTCAGTTTGAGATTGTTCGAGTGGCGGGTGAGGAGGACTGCTGTTTACAAAGCGGCGAAGGTCCATCCAAAAAGTGAGCTCGGCCCACCAGATAATATTTATATTTAATGATCTCTTCCTTTCAGTTCGACATCAATGGAAAAAGAAAGACAAATGAAACAAGAGACTTGGTTGGAATACCCAAGTTTCAATATTCCAAACCGACCGATAAGGAACGACATGGAGCTCCACCCAAAGGTGAGTTCAGATCGATAAACTTTGAAATGTGACAGTTTGTTTCAGTTTGAGATTGTTCAAGTGGCGGGTGAGGAGGACTGCTGTTACAAAGCGGCGAAGGTCCATCCAAAAGTGAGCTCGGCCCACCAGATAATATTTATATTTAATGATCTCTTCCTTTCAGTTCGACATCAATGGAAAAAAAGAAAGACAAATGAAACAAGAGACTTGGTTGGAATACCCAAGTTTCAATATTCCAAACCCGACCGATAAGGAACGACATGGAGCTCCACCCAAAGGTGAGTTCAGATCGATAAACTTTTGAAAATGTGACAGTTTGTTTCAGTTTGAGATTGTTCAAGTGGCGGGTGAGGAGGACTGCTGTTACAAAGCGGCGAAGGTCCATCCAAAAAGTGAGCTCGGCCCACCAGATAATATTTATATTTAATGATCTCTTCCTTTCAGTTCGACATCAATGGAAAAAAAGAAAGACAAATGAAACAAGAGACTTGGTTGGAATACCCAAGTTTCACGTATTCCAAACCCGACCGATAAGGAACGACATGGAGCTCCACCCAAAGGTGAGTTCAGATCGATAAACTTTGAAATGTGACAGTTTGTTTCAGTTTGAGATTGTTCAAGTGGCGGGTGAGGAGGACTGCTGTTACAAAGCGGCGAAGGTCCATCCAAAAGTGAGCTCGGCCCACCAGATAATATTTATATTTAATGATCTCTTCCTTTCAGTTCGACATCAATGGAAAAAGAAAGACAAATGAAACAAGAGACTTGGTTGGAATACCCAAGTTTCACCGTTTCCAAACCCATCGATAAGGAACGACATGGAGCTCCACCCAAAGGTGAGTTCAGATCGATAAACTTTGAAATGTGACAGTTTGTTTCAGTTTGAGATTGTTCAAGTGGCGGGTGAGGAGGACTGCTGTTACAAAGCGGCGAAGGTCCATCCAAAAGTGAGCTCGGCCCACCAGATAATATTTATATTTAATGATCTCTTCCTTTCAGTTCGACATCAATGGAAAAAGAAAGACAAATGAAACAAGAGACTTGGTTGGAATACCCAAGTTTCACCGTTTCCAACCCATCGATAAGGAACGACATGGAGCTCCACCCAAAGGTGAGTTCGGATCGATAAACCTCAAAATGTGACAGTTTCTTTCAGTTTGAGATTGTTCAAGTGGCGGGTGAGGAGGACTGCTGTTACAAAGCGGCGAAGGTCCATCCAAAAGTGAGCTCGGCACACCAGATAATATTTTATATTATACGATCTCTTCCTTTCAGTTCGACATCAATGGAAAAAAAGAAAGACAAATGAAACAAGAGACTTGGTTGGAATACCCAAGTTTCACCGTTTCCAAACCCATCGATAAGGAACGACATGGAGCTCCACCCAAAGGTGAGTTCAGATCGATAAACTTTGAAATGTGACAGTTTCTTTCAGTTTGAGATTGTTCGAGTGGCGGGTGAGGAGGACTGCTGTTTCAAAGCGGCGAAGGTCCATCCAAAAAGTGAGCTCGGCCCACCAGATAATATTTATATTTAATGATCTCTTCCTTTCAGTTCGACATCAATGGAAAAAAAGAAAGACAAATGAAACAAGAGACTTGGTTGGAATACCCAAGTTTCACCGTTTCCAAACCCATCGATAAGGAACGACATGGAGCTCCACCCAAAGGTGAGTTCAGATCGATAAACTTTGAAATGTGACAGTTTCTTTCAGTTTGAGATTGTTCGAGTGGCGGGTGAGGAGGACTGCTGTTTCAAAGCGGCGAAGGTCCATCCAAAAGTGAGCTCGGCCCACCAGATAATATTTATATTTAATGATCTCTTCCTTTCAGTTCGACATCAATGGAAAAAGAAAGACAAATGAAACAAGAGACTTGGTTGGAATACCCAAGTTTCACCGTTTCCAACCCATCGATAAGGAACGACATGGAGCTTCACCCAAAGGTGAGTTCGGATCGATAAACCTCAAAATGTGACAGTTTCTTTCAGTTTGAGATTGTTCAAGTGGCGGGTGAGGAGGACTGCTGTTACAAAGCGGCGAAGGTCCATCCAAAAGTGAGCTCGGCACACCAGATAATATTTTTATTATACGATCTCTTCCTTTCAGTTCGACATCAATGGAAAAAGAAAGACAAATGAAACAAGAGACTTGGTTGGAATACCCAAGTTTCACCGTTTCCAACCCATCGATAAGGAACGACATGGAGCTCCACCCAAAGGTGAGTTCAGATCGATAAACTTTGAAATGTGACAGTTTCTTTCAGTTTGAGATTGTTCGAGTGGCGGGTGAGGAGGACTGCTGTTTCAAAGCGGCGAAGGTCCATCCAAAAGTGAGCTCGGCCCACCAGATAATATTTATATTTAATGATCTCTTCCTTTCAGTTCGACATCAATGGAAAAAAAGAAAGACAAATGAAACAAGAGACTTGGTTGGAATACCCAAGTTTCACCGTTTCCAACCCATCGATAAGGAACGACATGGAGCTCCACCCAAAGGTGAGTTCAGATCGATAAACTTTGAAATGTGACAGTTTGTTTCAGTTTGAGATTGTTCAAGTGGCGGGTGAGGAGAACTGCTGTTACAAAGCGGCGAAGGTCCATCCAAAAGTGAGCTCGGCCCACCAGATAATATTTATATTTAATGATCTCTTCCTTTCAGTTCGACATCAATGGAAAAAGAAAGACAAATGAAACAAGAGACTTGGTTGGAATACCCAAGTTTCACCGTTTCCAACCCATCGATAAGGAACGACATGGAGCTCCACCCAAAGGTGAGTTCAGATCGATAAACTTTGAAATGTGACAGTTTGTTTCAGTTTGAGATTGTTCAAGTGGCGGGTGAGGAGGACTGCTGTTACAAAGCGGCGAAGGTCCATCCAAAAGTGAGCTCGGCCCACCAGATAATATTTATATTTAATGATCTCTTCCTTTCAGTTCGACATCAATGGAAAAAAAGAAAGACAAATGAAACAAGAGACTTGGTTGGAATACCCAAGTTTCACCGTTTCCAACCCATCGATAAGGAACGACATGGAGCTCCACCCAAAGGTGAGTTCAGATCGATAAACTTTGAAAATGTGACAGTTTGTTTCAGTTTGAGATTGTTCAAGTGGCGGGTGAGGAGAACTGCTGTTTCAAAGCGGCGAAGGTCCATCCAAAAAGTGAGCTCGGCCCACCAGATAATATTTATATTTAATGATCTCTTCCTTTCAGTTCGACATCAATGGAAAAAAAGAAAGACAAATGAAACAAGAGACTTGGTTGGAATACCCAAGTTTCACCGTTTCCAACCCATCGATAAGGAACGACATGGAGCTCCACCCAAAGGTGAGTTCAGATCGATAAACTTTGAAATGTGACAGTTTGTTTCAGTTTGAGATTGTTCAAGTGGCGGGTGAGGAGGACTGCTGTTACAAAGCGGCGAAGGTCCATCCAAAAAGTGAGCTCGGCCCACCAGATAATATTTATATTTAATGATCTCTTCCTTTCAGTTCGACATCAATGGAAAAAAAGAAAGACAAATGAAACAAGAGACTTGGTTGGAATACCCAAGTTTCACCGTTTCCAACCCATCGATAAGGAACGACATGGAGCTTCACCCAAAGGTGAGTTCGGATCGATAAACCTCAAAAATGTGACAGTTTCTTTCAGTTTGAGATTGTTCAAGTGGCGGGTGAGGAGGACTGCTGTTACAAAGCGGCGAAGGTCCATCCAAAAAGTGAGCTCGGCACACCAGATAATATTTTATATTATACGATCTCTTCCTTTCAGTTCGACATCAATGGAAAAAAAGAAAGACAAAATGAAACAAGAGACTTGGTTGGAATACCCAAGTTTCACCGTTTCCAAACCGACCGATAAGGAACGACATGGAGCTCCACCCAAAGGTGAGTTCGGATCGATAAACCTCAAAATGTGACAGTTTGTTTCAGTTTGACACCATCAACGAGGCGAGCAGAGAGGAAACGACACGAATGATAAATCATTTAAAGTTCCGATCATCGTTCTGAATTGGAAACAGATCTCATTTTGTGATAGTTTTATCTCCGTCAATGTCATTTGTCGTTTTCCTGAATTGTGTCATTTGTCATTTTCCTGAAAACAAATAGTGATGTAGCGTGCTTTTTTTCGACAAGTTTTTTTTCCATGTGCCATCGCTCAGTGGATCGTGTTAAAACTTTGTGAATTATCCGGTAAAAATTGATTTTTTGATTTGAAACAGCATTTTGTGAAAAATAAAACGTTCATTGCAAAATATAATATGTGAAATTGGGACAGTTGTCAACAAAAATTGTGAGGCGCAGTTACAAAACAAGGGTAAAACAAATCTGTATCAAAGCTACATTAAAACATTCATCGGTTATCAAAAACTTTCTGAAGAACCGGAGTGGTTTGTGGGTTATCGTGCATCATATTAAGCTTCATTGTTGGTGTTCTGGGGTTCGTAGTAAGTCTCTGACGACGTCCCGGCGGGCAGATCGAATCCATTTTCTGAAAGACTTTGGTTATGAAAAGAAAAAACGAAAAAATCAAAAGGGAGTTTGATAAAAAGGCCTTCTGCACCTCATTTTCTCGCGATACACTCTTTTCACCTTCCGTAAGAAAAGCACAGGAGAAAGGACAGTTTTAAATTTTTAAGGCTTATTGAGGTGAAAATTGAGCTGACCGTCTACCATTTTGAGTTTTGAATGCGTCTCTATTTTTAATTCTATTTCAGTTTCAAAAAACATTACAGACCTGCCATAAATGGCGCTTCGAAAGGAACATCGTCCTGTCCAGAATCACACGACGATCTCAAGGCTTGCCGACCGCTCTTAACCCATCTGCGAACCTTCCGCGCGTCTTTCTGAAAAATGAGTTTTGGAAATAAATCTCTATTGTCGAAAGCTTCAAATCAGAAAAAAAAAATTCAGAGGAATATTACGTAGTGTGAGTATTTACGGTAGCCGGACTTTACAGCAGGTTCACAGATCGGGAGGCCATGCTCATACATTGGCTCCGTCGCGTCGTCGTTTTCATCCTGCAAATCAGTTTTAGGATATGTCCGATACTAATCAATATTTGCAAATCTCCTATGAATTTCTTCTCAAAAAAGGATGTTTTATTTTGAGTTGGCCGGTTGGAAATGATCGGTGTTGTTATTGTTCATCTCACTATGAACACTTGATAAAAATATAGATGATCACCAACATTCATGGCCTAATTTTGAGTGAAAGAAACAGCTTAGTCGGTTATTTCGATCTTCGAGAAGTCCGGACAGCAAAAACATCGTTCAAGGAACCTCAAATAAATTGACGTTAGTGTGAGTCGGCGAAGCTCCCGGGAGATCCAGCTCTGGGGTTTTCGGTTTTTTAGCCTTCGACTTCTGAATGAGGCCTTCTATGAAAAATGGTTCACTATGCATACTCACCTCTTCGCAAATATCATCTCTTGGTGATGAACGGAATCGCTTGTGCGACGAGGTGTTGATCTCATTCGAACTTGGTCCACCAATATGAGATGAGGCCGCACGTTTCCGAGGACGCGAGATTCTGCCTCCGTTGTTCTCATCTGCAATCGATGTCAATGAATTTTTTTATTTCTTCAAGACGTGCTCATTAGGGACAGAGAACATGATTCGAAGTGCGAAAAAAAATCATCGGCACCTCGAATTTGCTTCAAAATTGTTAGGCGCGAACTTGTTATGCGCCATTTCGGTTTAGTACTATTCCTTGTTTTGGAGCAAGTTTTTTGAAATGAACCAGCCATTAAATTTTGAATAAAAAAATCAAACAAAAACAAAACGCACTGGCAACGGGATTGCGATTCATGGAGCGGGCGGTACGATCAGCTGGGGTCAAGCCAGTTGCAGACATCACAGTTTTTTTATTTACTGAAAAAAATTATTATCAAAATATTGATCAAAAAAACGAGCAAAATATGAGAGAAACATCAAGGACTTTTTGAAAAAAATTCAAAAAAATATGTCGAATTATTTAAAAAAAGAAATCAAGACGATAGAAAAAAACAAAACTCTCGAACGAAACTTGTGATTAACGTTCTCATGTTCTAATAAAAAAAGAAACGGAGAAATCCGTTTTTGATAATTCTTTAAGGCAGTCGAAAAACTTTTGAACGAATTTAAATTCCACATGAAAAGTGTCAAATGGAGATCTTTCTGATAAAAATATAAGTAGAAAAAAGCTTCGCGAGACAGGAAAAAAAAGAGGAAAACATGAGTCATCATGATGATCAAAACAGAGATTAGAGGAAATCTGTATTGGTTATCAGAATGACGAAAAGAAGCGAACAGCGAGAAAAAAAAATAGAAAATGGATTTCGGCGCTTTTGTAAGAAATTCTCGAGAAGTTAGCTCAATTGAAACGTGAGAATTGAAGAAATAAGGGAAAGTTCTTGAAGATAATCAAACAAGATTTTGGATAACCTCTATATCGATCAACACATTGTTGGAAGGAAACGACCAGCGAGCAAGATGGAAGAAGAAGGACTGGGAAATCGGGCGCTCGGTCCCTTCGCTCGGGTCGCCGGCCGTTTTCGCGGGTTCTCGTCGGCGCCGTTGACCTCAGGCTCTCGGTTCTGATCTCCCGTACTCTGTTTACTCTTTTGCATCAATGGACTTGCAAATATGGCAATCCACAAAAATTTTTTTCTATTGATATAAAAAAAGCCTATAATATTGATTGTGAATTTTTAAAAAAATCAAAATCCTGACATTCTCTGAAATATTGCTTTTTCAAAAAGTAACGTTTTTTTAAATGACTTTTTAAATATTCTTATAGTGTCATAAAAAAAGATTATGAAACCTTTTTGTCCAGTTTTATAACATCCTTTGCTTCTTTTTTTCTTTTTCCTTCTTTTTTCCGTTCAAATAACAGAAAAAAAATGAGGGACACAACAAATATTGCATAGTGATAGTTTTTTTGCAGCAATTCAGTTTTTTTGCAATAAGTAAAAAGCTTCTCAAAATTTAACTGAATTCTCGTTTTTTTAAAGCTCTCACTTCCTGGAACAAGGAACCCATGAAATCGTCAATTTTTTTGAAAGCTGCCTATTTCGGAAATCGTGAAAAAAACTACATGTTATTGGTTCAGAAATCGAAGATACATACAAAAAAACTTTTTATTTTTTTCAAAATGTCAGCAAAATTTACATCCAAAAAAATAAATCATGAGATTCTTGTGAAATCTTTTTAATTTTTCTCTTTATTCCGTCTTTCCATATTTATCTGACAAGGAAGGTAATTATTCTTCACCGTTAGGAATATACTGAAATTTAGTCAGCTCTCTTTTTGATGTAGCAAAACAAAATTCTGAAAGTCTCAACCTGCAAAAATTTATAGTTTTTGAGAAATAGAACCTTCAGGCAGTAGATAACCATCAAAATCCGATGAAAGAGGCTATTGTGAGACTTTGAGCCATCATTTCTTAAAAACTTATGATTTTTGCAGGTTGATACTATCATCACTCCGTGTATTTTCTTTCAATCGGCCCAGGCTGCTCTAAAGTGCGCACGGCGTCCGTGTCCAAGCCCTACCATGACCCCCGTGCCCGTAACCGCAAAACTGAGGGATCTCCTAGTGGAAGAACAAGGCGTAAGACCGTAAGAACATGCTTTCAATTCAATCAACTTCACGTTTTGACTTCTTTTTCGCCAAAGGCGGTGTTAGTACCGCTCAAAAGATCAATTTTTTCACCGCCTATTCGTTTCCATCTGACTAAAACAACCAATAAATATTGATCGCTTGATCGATAATCTTTAATAGGTACGTCAAGGTGTGCTCGCACCAAATTTCAAAAATTTCACAACCACGAAGCAAAAAGGCCATCCTTGTGCGAAGTATCCGGCGGGTGAAAAAATAAAGAATCACATGTTATTTTGATTATAACTTTCTGATAAGAATAGTCTTTCTCGTAAAAAAAAAACGGCTTTTGTGCATGGTTTGATATGTAATTCGGATACGTTACCTCTGTCTTTGTAGAAACTTGCCCATTTCAAAAACTAGGCATCCTTCTTTGACGGAAAAAAGTTCAAAGACCGCGAAAAAGTCAAAAATTGGATGTCCAAGTACGGATACCTGCAGGAGGGCGAGTTTTTCAACCAGATCATCTATTTTTTGTACGACAAGTCATTAATGCAATCAGAGCATACCTATAAAAAATTTTTTCTATTTTATGATGGAACGAACTCCCCTTGAAACGGCTCATTATTTTTTTTTACCAGTCCGATAAATCTTCCCACCCCATCTCGGAAGTAATTTTTTTTGTATTATTGATAAATTATAATGACATAACAATAAACAAGAGGGAAGGAAGATTCATTGATATAAACAATAGATGAGATAATTCCAATCGCGACGAAAGACCATCAGTGAGGCGGCTGGGCCGAAATTGCACACGTAAAAGGTTATGACCGGCTTTCTGGTTCTGAAAAATGGAAACTGGATGAGAAAAATAAAGAAATATAAATACACAGAATGTAAAAATTTTTCAATTAAATTCGAAAATTATCTACTTGTAAAATAAATTTTTTTAACGTTTCACAACTTTTTCAGTTGATTTTCACTTTTTTTTGTCAGAACATGCTCGAAAGTTGTTTCTAAAGATCATCGTCAGCACTCTTTTTGGAACTTACATAAAAATATTCGCTCTCAATTTTCTTCGAATCTCCAGTCTTTGAAAAAAAACGCATCCAAGCTCTAAGTTTGATGAAAATCATTAAAAAAATTACCACTTTCATTATCATCACTCGAAACATTAGTAGAACGGTCTTCAATTGAACTGACACTGCAAAAAATCGATTGAATTCTATCAAAACCTTAGTTACTCACGAATCTTTACTTGAATTCGTTCTTGAACCTTCTCTCGAATCTTCGTCATCTCTTTGAGTCGACAACAAGACCACATTCTCCTGTCTTGTGGCTTCGAAACTTTCCAACGCCGTCCTTCCGTCTTCTATCCATTCCCAGATACCATCATTGCTGTACTGCAATAAAAAATGTCAATATTGTTTGATCAACATTTGGATATCAAAAAAAAATTTCATTAAAACTCACCATCGGAATGTAAGGAGCGTGAATATTTCTTGCCGTTAAATCAACTTCTTCTCTTTCATATTCTTCCTGAAAAAAAAAACAATAAAAATAATCTGGTATTGGCGGAAAATTGAAATAAAGCAATGTTATACTGCAGGTTTCATAACTTCGTAACATGAAAAACTTGTGAAGCAATTTTGGTATTTGTGTAATTGTTCTCCGTCTAAAAATATTAAAAAAGCGTCCTCCCTAATAATTTCAAAGAAAAGTTATTATACTTAAAAATTGAGAAAACCTTTGAGATGTAATTTCATACAATCCGATCTACTGAAACATTTTTGGAATCTTCATAGCTTGTGATAATAATACTATAAAGCACAAAAGACTGCTGATTAATTAATTATTTTGCAACAAACCTCCTTTAATTCTTCTTTTTCCTTCTTCCGGCGTGACTTGATATTTCTCTTGGCTTTCTTATGCTTGAGACCTCCGGCATTCTAAATAAATGATGCTTTTCAAATTTTCTGATGTAAAAAATTACCTTTTTCTTAACGTCGCGCTTTGGATGAACTTGACGTGGCGGTGAAGGTGAGAAGGTGACTCTTGGCTTGCGTGTGCGTGAGCTGCGGCGTATTCTAGTTCTGTCTGAAAGCGAAGGTTTTGAAATTACTTTCAATGCTGTTCTTCGATTCAGAAACAAAATCCGAAAAAAAAACTCACTTTCGTCAGAAGCGACGGCTTCAAGGCGTGAGGAGCGCGAGACGCGTTGACGAGAGCGTTTGGAAATCATAAATTGCGACTGTCTGAAATTTATAGGACTTTCAGGAGATGGTCAAAGCAAACACGAAAATTCTAAAAGACAAAACAAAGAGAAATTATTTTTTCCGGGGCTTCGATCAGAATCCAAACAAAGCTTGGGTTTATAAGAATTTTAAAAGAAGAAAAGTCGAAGTTCAGCTTTGAGACCCAAAAAATAACGTCATTTCATTCTGAGTAACTGTTGTTGAAATGAATTCAAATCATTTGTGGGTTAACCAATGAATTTTCAAAATTTTCCTAACTCTTCTGAGCTAAATATGACTGAAAACAAAAAAACTACATTTTTGTAGATTTGATATTAGCAACAGTCAAAAAGAAGCTGTAAATTAGTTTGAATTCAAATAAATATTCAAAACAAATAAAATGAATTTAGTATTTTTGAGATTAGAGTGGACGGAAAAGCATTATCGGAATGAACAAGATAAAAAGAGAGAAAAAAACGTTGTGTTACTCGGAAGACGAAGAGCATCTTTATTAATTATCATGAAATCAAGAAGGAAATGTTATTTTTAAACACAAGCAGACACAATTTTTTTTTGTCATTTGAAGACAAAAATGTTATAAAGGGTAAATTTTGATTTCGAGGTTTTTGAAAAAATCTATTAATAGAATAAGTTATTTCAAAAACAAGGAATCACGGGGAATAATCGAAGGAAAACCAACTCGGAGGCCGGATAACCACTGTATTGATTATCAGAAAGGCGCAAAAAGACGACAAAAAGGCGAGAAGGTCTGCAGAATCGGGAGCTCGGCCCTTCGGTCACGTCGGCGGCCGATTTCGCGGGTTCTCGCTGGCGCGGTTGACCTCAGGCTCATAGATTCGATCCACCGAGTTCCATAAACCGCCTCACATCAATGGACTTACAAATGTGTCAGCTCGCTAAAACTTTTTTTTTTAGAATTTCGAATATCAAATTTTGACATTTCGCAAAATCTTGAGATTAATTTTTGTAAACATCTTCTTATTTTTCCCTTAATAAAATAAACTTTGGGGTGTTCTCAACATCTTTTTCACATCAAAATGTTTTTCTTTAATCACATATTTTCACACAAAAGATTATTTCAAGCGTTTTTTTCGTGTTTTCATAAAATTCTCTTCTCAATTTTTTCTTTGACTTTTTCTTCTTGTCATCCTTTTGTAAAATTTTAAAAAATCGAAAGTTTGATTAAGACAGCAAAATGAAATTTTTTAAGCTGTGTCATTCCAGCCAGTAAATTTTCGCAACTATTTTCGACTTTTCTATTTATTTCTTTGGAATCAACTCTATTTAATTTTGATTGAAGTCTTTCATGAACAGACTTTTTTCCAATTACCCACTGAGAATTTTTCAGCAAGAAGTAAAAAACCTTTCGAGTTTCCTTCCACACAGAATAAGAAAGTTTTTTTTCCTTCTTATCTTCAGTCGAGTTGGCACTTTCGAACACAGGTCCCGTTTATCTCTATCTGAATTTTCGTATAATTTTTGCGAATCCCTCTTCCTAAAATGTTCCACTTGTTTTTCAAAATTTCAACAAAGCTTTTTTGTCTTGTAAAATTTCAATTTTTGAAATATTCTGATTACTTTTTTTCCTGATCGATTTTTTTTTTGCCTTTGTTTGTTTCATTTCGGAAAAAACGCTTCGAAGAGGCTTAACTTGGCATCTGTCGGTGAAAATCGCCTGCGGTAAGAGATTTCTACCACTCTTTTCTCGTCAGATCCGGTGCTAAAGTTTGTTTCATTTGATAGTGCAGGGTTTTAATTCATAGATGATAACGTTTCCTCCGACTTTCAGCCTACCCTTCTAACATGAAATTCAGTTTGAAGCCGTTTTTGGTCTAAAAACAGCGATTCTCACATTTCAACGTTTTTCCTGAGCTCAGTCATACTGAGGCTGGGCTCCAAAGTGTTTTCTATTACTTTTACATGTCTAGCTCTAAATTTAGTTTGAAGGCAACGTTTGGCCTATTCTTGCTTGCAGTTGTGATGAATTTCTCCAAAGAGTGATATAATTACAAAAACCACTGTTTCTAGGCCAAAATCGGCTTCAAGTTGAATTTAGGGTTAGACGGGTATGCAGTTCATTTTTGACAAAATATTTCATACAACATAGAAGGAAAGTGAGAAACATTTTATAGACCTGACTCAAACTAAATGAGCTCAGAAAAAAAAAAACGTTGAAATCTGAGAATCGCTGTTTTTAAGCCAACATCGGCTTCAAATTGAATTTTGAGCTAGACAGGTAGGCTCAAACACAGTTTTTTCTTGATTAAACAAATCATGGGACATGTTAAAGTAATAAAAAACACTTTGGAGCCCAGCCTCAGTAGGACTGAACTCAGGAAAAAATGTTGAAATCTGAGAATCGCTGTTTTTAGGCCAAAATCGGCTTTTTACTTTCAAATATAAGACATAATAGTAACATCGTTGCCTCGTTTTTTAGTATCAGAATGATTAATGTTTGGAACTCCCTTCTCGATGTTGTATTTGATCTATGTAATGATTCTATGCGATTCAAAATCTATTTAGAAAAACAACCCCCATCTTCTCGCTGACTTTCTTAAAATATCTTCTAATTTTTAAAACGGTTTGTTGCTGTTTTCAATGTTTAAATTTCCCTTTTTTTGAAAAATTGGTTCTGTTAGAGGTCTTTTTCGGCCCCTTGAACTGTATTATTATTCGTATTGAACAGGCGTCGTCGTAATCTCTTTGAATTGTATTCATGTCTTCAATTCGTTCATATTTCTTGATATTTCGGATGGGAAAGGTTCGGTTTTCTTTTCCCTTGACTTCAATAAGTTGTTTGTTTCCGGTTCAACTACATGATGTACAAGTTGACCGTACTTGGCGCTGAGCTGTCAAACCCAAAACCTTAAATTTTTTCTTCGTATACAAAAATGATCTGAGGAGAAGTAAAAAATGATCAAGAATATTTGCGAGACAGCCGTTCAGCAGTTCGGGTGAAGGTATAATTATTTCTATGCACTCAGATTTAAGCTTCAACAAAAAATAAATTAGTTCAATCGAATTCGATAAAACTATGTCATATAAAAAATTTTGGTATGAGTCAGGTAAAAGACTATAAGAAGAAAAAAATTGTCACTATCCTTCTTTTTCAATTTCTCAAAGTTGAAAATCGTTTCGGCTGAAATCTGAAGCTTCGAATTTGGAAATTCGTCAAAGGGAAAATCTGAAGAATATTTATCGTCTTTCTTGCTGAGGTTCGGGAATATTTCGAGGCCTTATCTGAGCTTCCTCAAGTTGTGTCTTTCTCTCATAGTCTCAGTTGAACTTTCGTAACTTTGCTCGAAAAGTATCTCCAGTTTCTCAGTTGTTTCATCAGTCAATGACTAATCTTCTTTTTGGTCAATCCTGAAAAATCAGAAACATTTCAATCAAATTCAGTTTTTGCTGGACTCTCTCAAAAAAACAAAGAGGATGAAGACAGATAGACCGCTATGACAGTCTTGAGAGCTCATTACTAAAGATTAACCAGGGACTTCGACCAAGAAAACCGCTTTTTTTCAGTCGTTTCAAGCCTCTCTTCACAGTCGATGGCAATCCTTCTAGCCACGTTGAATCAGATTTCATCCAGGCGCTTAAAGGTAAGAACTATTCCGATTGAATCTAATTATTGCTAAACTCTCCCTGAAAAATCAACTTGGGCAATTTGTCACAATGCTTTGAAATGACCATAACGCACCGTAACAAATGAAAAAAAAAATAGATCAGCTGGGATCGATTTTGCAGATTCTAATCTAGACAAACGGAAAACTTTGATTGGACTTTGAAAAACCAAAATAATTATACTTTTGCAACCTTATGAGATTTCAACATAATGACAAAACATTTAGATATTCAAAATTTCGTATTGTTGGAAAAATAAATTTTTGAATATTGAGATTTCTAGGCACTTCCTATCTTTTTTTGTAACAGTCCTCATATCTATGGATGTAATCTTTTTGTAGATATTTTTTTCTACCTTTTTTTCCCTTTTTTTCATGACAAAGAAAAAAAATATGTGAATCATCTATCGGATCTCAAAGTCACAGTAACCCAAAAGTATTGTGTCTTTGTTTTAAGACTCACAGATCTTTGGTTTGGTGAGTCGGTATCTCCGATTTCATTTTCGCTTTCCGGTTAATTTACAATCGGTTGTAAAGCACTGTGGTGCCATGAGCTGGGTCATTCTGCGTGCCTGTAGGAAAAAAATGACACCAAAGATCCAAAATAAGACCAAACAAACAAGTCTAAAATATTTTTTTAATATTAGGCTCAATTTTCGTCGATTTTTCTCTCTGAAAAATTCCTGAATTAAAAAAATAATCAGGTTTTTTTCTCATTAAAAAAAGAAAATTTGATTTTTCCGTTTTTTTGAAAATCCTTTTTCCTGATTTCAGAGGCTCACTATCCAACAGATCAGACAAACCTGAATGAAATAAAATTTTTGCGACCTCTTAATTCCGATTTCAAAAGAAAGGGCGTACTGTATGCGCCTTTAATAGTGTTAAAATTGGCACCAGTAAAAAGTTTATTATTTTTCGCGGACAAGGGCGGTTTTTATCCCGAAACTCTTTTGTTTTGCTTTATTTTTATCAATTACTCGCTTTTTTATCGTTGTTCTTTCTTTGTTCATCATTTCGCTCTTTTTCGATAAGTTAACCCTATTCGCAAACTTTTCCAACTTTTTACAAGCTTGTTTCTGTCAAGTTTCCTGAAAATCGTCTACTTACGGCCCTGGCGGTATAAAAAAAATTTCATGGCTTTTCACGAGATTTTTCTGTTTGAGAAGCTTGAGATTCTGTGAAATTCCATCACGTAATCGAATTCGAATCCAATTTGTTTCATTCAAAGATATAGTACTAATTTTCAAAAAAAAATTGAGAAAAGATGTCTTTTTTTCCGAATTTATTCAGATCAAGAGTGTTCCATATTATCGCTTTTTGAAAGTAGTTTTGGTGAAAAAAAAATATCAGCCATTTTTGGCCTTTTTTCTGTTGTAGACTGCAAATTTTTTGAAAAAAGGTTTCCTATGAAAAAAAATTTTTTTGTTGAGGAAATGCGAAGATCCAATATTACATTACTTCTGGTTATTGCGAGTCCATAGTTCATAGTTCGTTGTTTGGTGAGTCGGTATCTCCGACTTCATTTTCGCTTTTCGTTAATTTACAATCGGTTGTAAAGCACTGTGGTGCCATGAGCTGGGTCATTCTGCGTGCCTGTAGGAATAATGACACCAAAGATCCAAAATAAGACCAAACAAACAAGTCTAAAATATTTAGAATATTAGGTCTGTCTCAGCTTATTTTTGGTTAACTTATTTGAAGTGTTTTGCATTTGGAAAATATATTTCGCTTCTTTTTATTTCAAAAAGAAATTTAATTTTTTTCGATTTTTTTAAAATTCATTCTTAGGGTTTTTAGAGATGCACTATCAAAAAAATATTAGACCAATCTGAATCTAATTAGACTTTTTTGGACCTCCCAGCTTAATTTTTGAGGGCAAGGGCATACTGTATGCGCCTTTAATTGCGCCAAAAAACTCTCGCAGTTTCGCGGGCAATGACGGTTTTTTCGAAGCTCTTTTTTTTCTTTCATTTTTTGAAATTTTCTTACTTTTTTCTATCGTTGCTTCTTCTATCAATTTTATTATATTTGTATGCATCCTTCTGCAAACTTCTCAAGTTTTTTCGTATAATAATTTTTTTGATTATCCTAATTTTTTTGGGCTCTAGTTGAATGAAAAAAAGATTTTTTTAAAAATTTTTTTGAATTTTTTTCTGATCATATTTTTTTCTAAAATTTGGAGTCATTCTCAGCATAATGAAGTCTTTTTATCTATTCAATTTCTAAAAATTTTTTTCGAATAAGAGCAATTTCTTTTCGGTTTATAACGTTCAAAAATTCTTTTTTTCTTTCAACTGTTAAATAGGATTAATGTATTTCGAAATCCAAAAAAATTTAACGGTTTTTTTCTTCTCGAATTCACGGTCTTCAACTTCTTCTCACGATTTCCTTTAGTTTGAAATTCTGAGACTTCTTTTTATCTAGAAGGTCTAGAAAAACTCGACCAATTCATTTCCCATTTCCAGAATACGAAAAATAGTTTGAGAATTCATCCGAAAAGATTGGTATATTTTTTGTGCCTTTTTTTGCCAAATCCCTGTTAATCCTATTAAAATTCGACTTTTCACAATGTATTCTTTACTATTTTTGTAGTGTTTTTTTCGCGAAAAAGCTTTTTTTCTCGTTCAAAATTTTTACTGTATATCATGTAAAGTTTTTTTCCTTCATAACGTTTTTGGTTCAAACACTTCATTCCTCCTCCATAAGGGTCAGTGGGCGTGTCGGTCCAGCAAGAACGTCCTAAGCCAAACCAGGGGGCGTGTCTTGGATAACTTCATTTTTCTGTCATTGTTCTGTCGTGAGCGGTCGGTCGAAGTTGGGCTCTCCAGCCTTTGTTTAGCTGAAAGGCCCGATTTCTGCCACGTTTGGGCGTCTTTTGCTATGTTATTCTATTTGGCCTCAATCTCTCTCTTTTTTTTATTTTGTAAAAATATCCTTTCAATTAGAAATTTATCTTAATGAGTCAGAACATTTTTCAAACCTTCTCGTTTTGAATTTGTCCGCGAACTTTCGAAATTCGACTTATTTCAGTTTTTTTGACCGATTCCTGAGGCTTTTTATACAAAAGGCTTCCAATTTTGTTTAGAAGCAGGCTTCAAAATATGAAGAATTTTTTTCACTTTCTAGTTCCGAACCACTAATTTTCCTTCAAAGCGATAGTGGGCGTGTCAGGCCAGTCAGAACGAACTAAGCTAATAAAGTAGGCGTGTCTTCGTTATCTTCATTCTACTGTCGTTTTTCTGTCAGGAGCGGTCGGTCGAAGTTGGGCTCTCCAGCCTCTGTTGTTGGGCTGAAAGGCCCGATTTCCGCCATGTTTGGGCTTCTTTCGCTTCTATTTTTCACTCTTCGTATATTTCAGGCCTTTTTTCTGAAACCAGGGTCTTTTTAATCTTTTACTGTTTCCATCGGCTCTGTTTAACATGTCCCTTTTCTGTTATGAATCATAGAAAGTCGTATCTTAGTTTCTACATTCTTGATTAACAAAAAAAATATTTTCACAAAAAGGTAAAAGTTGATAATTTCATATAATTTGATCGCTTATCCGTATAGCGCATTTTCATTAGATTACTGAGCTGAAATATTTTTTGAGAACACATTTTTATTGGCTTAGAAATCTGAGTGTCATTTTTGCAGCTGAAATGTCCAAATTGATGGTAAACGAATTCAAAGATTGAATAATCTAAGTTTCAATTTTTTAGTGTTTTCTGTTCGCTTCAGTGTCATTTTCTTGCGCCGAAAAAATCAATTTTTTTCAGCTCCAAGTTTAAAACTTCAACAAAAGCAAGGATGGCAAGAAAGAGTCAGTTTTTTTTTCTTGTTGAAGTGAAAAAATGAAAAATTTTCAGATGGACAAAAAGGCTTCCAACAGAAGACCCTCTCCTTCGCTCGTAAGTTTTTTCAAAATTTGACTTATGGCTTTGAATTTAAACTTAAAAAACCTTGATTACAAATAAATTTCAGGCCGGGTCAGCGAAACTCAGCGACAACAGGCCCAGCAAAGTAAATTTTATTTTTTTTCGATTTTTTTATTGGAAGAAAGTTTTTCAAACTTCATCAACGGTTCATTTTCAGACGAACGCCGTGGCGCTCCAGCCGTCGCCAGGAACCCCGTCGTTGCGCGGAACCAACCTGTCGTTGCCGGTAAGTTGTCGGAATCAGCACTGTTTGTATAAAATCCAAATAAACTCGTTGAGAAGTGATGAATCCTTAGTTACATTATTTAAACTTTCAGATTTCAATATTTGTTTTTTGATTCAACTTCCACTATTTTCAGCTGTGCTGCCAGCCCGTGGAGGTGGCGCTCCTCGTGGAGGGAGAGCCGGCGCAGGCGGTCGTGGAGGAGTCCGTCGCAGTGCGCGTTTTGCAGTCCGTGCCCCAGCTGCTTCTGATGAACCAGCAGCAGTTGATTTTGGTGATTATTCAGAAATCTCATCTTGAAAAAATATCCTTTTTCCTGAAGCGCAAAAACCTGGTGGGACATGCAATTTCCCGATAAAAAATAATTCCCGAAAAAAAATAAGTGTACTATGATTCAAACCTTCAGAAGTTAGAGTTAACCCTAATTTACTAATATTGTTTTTTTTCAACCGAGATTAATGAAGATTTCTGTAGTTGTTTTTTTGAAGCAACAGCTTTTGCTAAACTTTCTATTGAAACTTTTTTTGAGAATTTAAATCAGCTAATCTTTAAAAATTCAGCCGAAGCCGTAGAACCGGAGCTTGAGAACCTCGAAGGAATCGTCGCTGTAAACGGACCAATGGAACCTGCCGAAGCTTCCATCGTCAGCAGGCCCACGTCTGGCGAAAACATTACCAGTAAGTCACTTTGTAGATTCCGCGTTGAAGTCAAACATTCTGGAGCATTCTTTCCAAAAGTAAAAAGCTTGAAATCCGAATGAATTTAAATCAGATGAACTTTCATGAAATACGAAGTAAAAAAAACTCAATCAGTTCTCGAAAAAGGATGAATTCTCTCACTAGTTTTAACAAATATTCTTTTTTCAAGTTCACGAGTTTGATTCGAACTTTCACTTTACAAGTTTCAGCCGTCGCCTCGCAGGTAGACAGCTCGGAGAACCTCACTTCTTCCGGACCAGTCAACAAGCGTCCGAAGGTGGACAAAGGCACTTCGCCCTTCGGTAGGTATTTCAGCTTTACGGCGAGAAGTTTCTTGAGATCAGCATTTTTTAAAATTTCAATGATTCTTTAAAACTCCAATGATAAGATTCTGAAACTAGCTTTTCAGTCTAGAAATGCAATATCTTTCAGCTCCGCCAAGAAATCCCGCTTCTTTGGCTGTTCCACATCATTCCGCAATGAATGAAGGCGACGTCGTTGTTGAACTGGCGCCCAACCAGCCAAGTAAGATTTTCTGAAAAATTTCGAAAAAGATGAATAAAGTTAAGAATATCATTATTTCATCATCCATTTTCATTGCAGATCTGTGGACGCCTCCTCCCTTCATTTTCCTCAACGGTCGCCGCTACCGCCTTGAATCGGTTGACGTCGGAATTGAAGAAGGCCCGACGGTTGCAGCTGAAGCTGACTCGAACTCTTCTACGATGAGTGCGTTTTAGAAAAAAATATCAGTAACAGAAAAAAATTATATATCAAACCAGTCAGTCAAACAAAAAAATCTAAAGAGTCAACTTTGTAGTCTTCGTTTCACTCTGATTTGAAAAGGTTCAGGGACGAATGTCAACTCCTCGTACGTGGTTAGTCCGGCCGTCACTCCAACGACTCTCGCCATTATGGCGGGTGAGTTGCTACGAAATTATCAAAAAGAAGATTTCCTTCATATTCAGTTATTCTCAAACTTCAAAAACTTTAGAAGACTGTCACAAAAAAATTTGAGAATACGAAAAAAACTTTTTTTGGGAATCTGTGAAATATTTTTTTGAACATTTGATATTTTTTTGAAACTTAAAAAAATTATTTTTGAGATTTTTAATTCCTCAATGAATAATGATTTCAGAACGAGCCGCCAATATCAACGCCCAGAACACTTCTGCTGCTCCACCTGCTGTGGCCACCCAGGACCACGGCAGGCAGAGTCAAGCCTCTCTGGCGACAGCAACTCGGTCGACTCGTGAGTTTTTTTCGAGAGTTCATTAAATAATTAGAAACTGAAGTAAAATATGTTTTTCTTCTAATGTGAATAGCGCTTTTTTTCGGAGCTTTTTCTGAAAAATTCAAAAAAATTAACATGAAAAATTTTGAGGTTTTATTCCAATTCTTATAAGTTCAGGTACTGACTTCAGCAGATCGACCGTCGACAGTCCGGCAGTTTCTCCGGCGACTCTGGCTATTTTGGCTGGTGAGTTGCCTCAAAACGTTGAAACGTTTTTTTATATCTAGTTATTTTTTTCGAACTTTTGAATCTTTCAAAAACTATCATGCAATTTCGAGAAGAGACTTTTTTTCTTCAGAAAAAAACTTTCAGTCTTCGAAATTTTTTTGGAACTCAAAAAAATTAGTTTGAAATTTTTCAAGATTCTTCTTTTTAATAAAAAAACGTTATCAGGACGAATGGCGCGCACGAACGCCCGAATCGCTTCGTCTGCTTCACCTGCCGTGACCACCCAGGACCACGGCAGGCTGAGTCAAGCCTCCTTGGCGACTGTTCCTTGGTCGACTCGTGAGTTTTTCGAATGTTCATTGAAAGATCGAAATCTGAAATAAAAGATTCTCCTTCTTTTGTGAATAGCGCTTCAAATGAAAACTTGACCTCTTCCTGTTTGAAATTCATCAGAAACTTTGGAATTCAGAGCGAAGCTCCAACGGCAACGTTACCGCCGGAAGTGTCAGCACGGGAGTCGGAAGTGTCAGCACGGGAGTCGGAAGTGTCAGCACAGGAGTCGCAAGTGTGGTGGGATCACCTGCCGACGTCTCACGAGTCGCCGGCAGGCCCAACTATTTCTCTTCGGTCCTCACAACTGTCTCGACCGGTGAGTGGCTAGACAATCTCAACATTTCAATTTGAAAACTCAGAATATGAAACAACCTTTTCTGAAAATCTTACTATGAGTGCACCTTACATTTCTTCAGAAAAAAATATAGTTTTTTTAGAAACTGAAATTATTTATCTCATTCAGAGAAAGCTTCATTTGATATTTTTAATTCACATCAACAATATTTTGTTCAATGTAATGAGATTTCGAAAAGATTCCAAAAAACAAAATCTTCAGATTCTGACCGACTGACGTTTCCGGCAATGCCCGCCGTGCTCAATTTCGATTCTCCTGGTATTTTCCGGCCTGAGTTCCAATCAAACATTTCGGTTTCAGAATCGGTCACTGTCTCGGTTGCTGCCAACATCTCTGAAATCGACAGTTTGCTTGGAACACCTGCCGACTCTTCCCAAGAAAGCGGCAGGCCCAGTCAAGATTCTGCAGTTTCTTCGATTTCCAGCGGTGAGTTGCTTGGAACTTGCAGCATTGAGAAGCAGAACCTCAAAAAAGCTGTTTTTTCAAACATCTAACCTATACGTTTGATTTCTTAAGATCGTGTAAATTTTCCTACGGATTTGAGTAGTCTAAGCCAGAAATATCAGAAACATCTGGAGACAAAGAATGAAAATGAATAATCATTTTAACAAACAGTTCTATCAGAGAGATCAGTTATTTGACTTTGTCCTGAAACTTGTAAAATTGCAGTTTTTTTAATTAGAAAAGTTTGAATAGAAAATTTCAAACGCACTGAGACGCATTAAAAAGTTTTTTTCCAGTTCAATTAGAAAGTTCAGAAAATACGCATAGAATTTTTCAGTTATGCCGATTTCTCCTCTTCTTGGCTTCACTCCGGTGGAAACAGTCCAGTTCGTTCCAAGAATTGATGATCACCCGAACATCAGTAAGTCGAGTTTTCTTTCAATTAGTTCGATGATTCTCTTTTGAGAAATTCGAGATGTTAATTTTAAAACTTGAAGTTCAAAGTTTACTATGTAACCTTTTCGAAGTATCTTACTTTCAGTAATGAATAGGAGTTTTCAGCTAAATTCGAAAACTGGAATAATTTTTTAAAAATTGAAAACTCATACAGCAAGCCTTTGATTAATCGAAACTATTTCCTAGATTTTGAACTTTCATTTAGATTTTCAAAGTTGTTTTGCAATCATTTCTTGCATTCGAAGATTTTTTTTTCAGCGCCGCGTCTGGATCCGGAGCTGCCGATGCCTCTTCCCACGTTTGAAGCTTTTTCGCAACACGAGCCTATCAACTTCACTATTCTTAACAATCGCGGTATCTATTATTTTAGTAACGCAATACAACTTCTCTATCAATATTTCGAATGATTATACATCAGGATCTTTTGTTCGGAATTCCTTCTCACATGGAAAAAATTTTCTCAAAATTTCACCATTTGATACTTTTTCGTATGAACATTGAAAACGCATGACATTCAATGAAAACAAAATTGAGAAGTGGTAACCACATTTTCCACATTTCAGAGTTGTCAAAAAGTTTTCGAATTTTGCAAACGGTGTCAATTTCGATCTGGATAATCGAGAAATTTCCAGAAACCCGCGATGAAATTGGAACGGGAGTCGATGAACTGCGCATTCCAGCAGAACGCCGTCGGCCTCCGCTGAACGTCACTTTTGGTGAGAATTTCTTTTCAGATCATCCAGCTATGTATTCACAAAGTAGACAATTTCATTAACAAAAAAATTCAATTTGAAAAAAATAAGGATTTCAAAAAAATCCAGAGACTCTGGTTTGAAAGGAAAATTCTCAACTCACGTCGAAATATTTTTGCTGAATCAAGAAACAATATGAAGCTTATGACCTTAGGACTTTTAATTTCAAAAATCAATATCGTGAAAACAAAAGAATCATTAAACAATTTACAGGAATGACTGCGACCAGCAACGACGCACTTCACTCGGTCAGAGCGCCATTCTCCTCGCCTCTTGCTGAAGAGTCCCCGCGCGGCCAGTTGGACACTGACAACGCTGAATTGATTGAGGTATTTTTAGAAAAATCATTTGAGATAAATCAGATCAAAAGAATTATGAGCGCCGGTGGAAAAAAAGTTTGGCAAAAAATTTGATTATGAACCGCTAGAACGCCTTGAAGAACTTGAAAAGTTTTTTTTTTGGCACAAGGTATTCCAAAATTTCAAATTTCCTGAAAAACTGAGTACTGCGGTATCTAACACAACAAATTTTGTTGAAGTCTTCACTTTTCTTCAGTCTTTTTATTGATCTATTCACTTTCAGCCGCAAGCTGATATTGACGAAGAGACCGCCGCTGATCGCCAAGAATAGGTATAAATCCACGGATCTTTTTCGCATATAACTTGTAAATTTTCAGGCCAAGAACTGTACCATAATCTTCTTTCGTTCGTCTTTTATTTTTTTCCTACGCCAACTGAGTAATTTTTTTTTGGCCCATCTCGATCATTGTCTTTTTTGTGCCTTGGTTGGTGAATAAATTTCCTTTCGGAGTTCAAATTGATCTACTGCAATCAAAATGAAATAGCTCAACATACGCAACAAAATGAATTTCGGAAAGTAATCGTGGAAAAGATCTCTCGGCGCACTCTTCTCGATCTTGTGGTCCTTTGAATTCGCCTTTGAACTCTGCCTGAACCTTCCAAGTTGAACCAATATACAGTTTTTTACACTGAATTCCATTGCTTCTGCGTGTCATGAAACAGTTTTTTAAACAAATGGACCAAGGGGGGTCGGATCGGCCGTCCGAGTTGGATCTGGAACTGCTGCGCATCCAAATTGAAACCGATACTTATGTAACCACCTGGGAATTGGGAGCCACACTGGGGGAGCCATTCCACTATCTAAAAAGCGGGACGACTTGAACATCACGAGACTTGGCAATACCGAAAAATCATTTTTTTCATAATAAATTTCATAACAAATAAAAAAAGTAGAATAATTGACAAGTTTAAATTTTGCGTGCATTCAACTAAAAAAATCATCGAGCTTTTTAGAAAATTCACAATTGTAAAAAAATTTTTTTAGAGAATTAATTTTTGAAAAACCAGTTCGAATAATAGGTGTCTGCATGAAGAAATTGAAGTTTTTCAGAGCTTATCGAACCAGTTTTCACTATAAATTTAATTTTTGGCGTTTTTTTGAAAAGAGTTCTTGAATAAAAAGATCGATTTGAAAAAAATTTTTTTCGAAAAACTGAAAAAAACTTGAACCAAAAAAAATAATTGTAGAGAAAAATGTGTATCGATTATAAAAAAAGGCCAAAGTCGTCCAGCGAGCAGAAAACAAGGAGAAGGACTGCAGAATCGAACACTCGGATCCTTCGGTCAGGTCGGCGGCCGATTTCGCGGGTTTTTTTTACCTCCTCAGGCCCCTAGTTTTGACTTACCGACCTTAAGAAACTTCCTCATATAGATGGACTTATGATCACATCCATTTCCTTGAATTTTTTTAATCAAGAAAATCTGTAAAATTTGCATCTTCAAAGCCTTGACATTTCAAACAATCTTCAGATCATGTTTCCATACCTCTTTCACATAAATAAAATAATATTCTAGATGTTTCTCATAGTTATTTTACATCAATTCTGCGACAAGAAAATTCCAAGTATTTTATTTTTGATGTAGAATCTCTCTAAGACCGAAGCTTGAGGTTTTTTTAATGTTTTTCAAATTTATTGATTATTTTTCTGCCAACTTTTTTTCGGCTCATATCAGTTTCAAACAATTGTTTGTCTTACAAAGAAGTGATTTGAAACCCGTGTTTCCACATAATTTTCTTCTCTCGATCTTCTTTGTCATTTTTTTTTCTCCCTGTATTTTCAGACCTTCAGAAAGTTTGATTATAATAGAATCTGTTTTTTTATCCGAGTTGGACGTTTTGAAAAACAAAGTCTTACTTCTCATCTTCAAAGCTTTCAGCGCACAAAACTCAAAGCTTCACTGGGCTTTAAAAAGTTTGGGACCGAGATCAGTTTCTTCAAAGTCTCAATCACTCGCCGAAATATTTTTTTCCGTAATATGTTCAAAAAAATTTCAGAAATCTTTGGAAAAAGATGAAACTGTGTAAATTTCTGAGGATCTGAATTTAATTTTTCATTTTCTGAGAATCAAAGAAAAAAATAGCTGTCATGGAAATAAAATTTATTTCTCAGTAGTGAATATGATTCACTTTTAATCAAAAACACGTTTTTCCTTTTTGAATATTTCAATTTATCCGTTTAGAAATCAAAAAAACTTACTTAATATTCTTTTAAAGATTTCAACAACCCATATAAAGTTTTTTCCATTTTCTTTGCATTTCTTCAAGAAAAATTATTTTATTGATTTTCAAAATGATTAGAAACCTTTTATATTTTCCATATATTCGAAGTACGCTAATTATTTTTCCCCAAATAATTTATTTTTTCTTGTTTGATGTGGTAGAAATTTTCAGATTTGTGAGGGGTCTTCTTTATGTAGATACTTGAAGGGAGTGCAATGGAGCGCACAATCTACGAGAAAAGCCGACTCCACAGCAAGCACAACGCCTGCTTTCCTTTTTTTCCTGTCAAGTTTTTAAAAAGGTTTGAAAGCATTCTTTTTTTGTCATCCATAAGAATTTGTCACCAAATATGAAATTTCCCTGTTCGCTTTCATGAATGTATTTTATTTTTCAGGCCTTACTTTCTTGATGGATATTAATTTATGGAATCGACTCCATTTGGCCTGGGATGTGATTCGATGGGGACGGGTTGTACCGGATGTTTCTGAAGTCTTGAAGGTATTCTTTTGCATCCAACTCAAATTATTAGGAAATTCGATTTGAGGTATTCCACGAAGTTTCTCTAACGACAGCTGAAACAAAATTGTGGCTGGCCCAGCAGTACGCAAATGTTGATAATTTCTCAGAGCAGCAGCACCAGTTCTTCTGGAAGTTGTTACATGAATTAATCTGGTATTTTTCTTTCAATTTTCCGGTTAACTTAAATTGTTTGCAGCTCGCACTGGGAAGAATTAAATTGCGAGACAAAAATCCACATGCAGCAGGAAATTTGCGGCAAAACTATTTATTTCGAACAATATGATGCGGTTCGTTTTTTTTAATTGTTCTATTCATATAAAAAAACTTTTCAGGCTACTCGAGAATTCCAAATACAAGTGATTTGTGAAATAATGAAACATGAATGGCCTCACAATAGTCCCGGCGTTTTTGGTTTTCATCATTTCAAGAATCGAAGAAGGTTTATGATAGCTCAATTTTATTTGTACTTTTTTTCAAAAAAATGTTCTGTTCAGATTCCAATTTATTTGGAATGTTTCTCATGGTTTGGCGGCGGATGTTCGAAGATTGCCTGAAGCATAAGACGCTGAAATGTGCGAATAGGGAGAAAATTTTACGATTCGAATTGACCAAAGTCATGCCGGATGTTTTGCTCAAGGCGATTTCAACCATGGCTTTTTGGAAAAACAGTGGTTCAATAAACACTGGTACGAATTATTTCATCATTCTGAATAATAATTTTGTATTCTCAGATAATTTTGTCGATCTTTACGCGATTTATTTGGTGTTTTTTATGGAATCGGTCCCTCACATGTCTCACCAATCGAAAGACAATCTTTTTGAGGTAATTTGAAAGTGCCCTGATTTTTTTACGAATTCATTCCCAGAAAATTGTGGACGAGGCAATTTTTGCCTTCGGAGACCATCCGCTGAGAACCACTGCCTTGGGACTTTTAATTGAGATCTCATCAACCAGATTGTGGGTTTCTTTTCACAACTTTTTAATAAAGAAATATTTTCAGGGAGAATAACTTGAACATGCTTGCTCTGACGCAAACGAAGTTGATCACCGCCGTGTCAAAGCTTTATCAGTTTGTTTTAAAACTGTTTTCGAATTAAAAAAAACTGGCCCATGGCTTAGATGTTAAAAATTCGTTGGTAGATAAAAGTTTCGATTTTTCTTGCTTGGGTTTTTTTGAATGAATTTTTAATAAAATTTAGGTTTTTTTGAAGACGTTTAAATAAATAAAATGGTGCTTCTTGTTAAAACTTAATGAATTTTATCACGAAGAGAAATTCAGGAAAGCTCGACAAGAAGATTACGGAGAGATGACGGAGTCGGCCTTCGAAACGGTAGTTTTTGTGTTCAAAAATATGTCGAACAATCCTCAGGTTTTTCTCTTTTTTTTAAATAAAACTAAGCGTTTTTATCTAGGAGTTTACGGGCAAAGAAAATACAAAAATGAGCGATTCTTCGAGCCAACGTTCATGGAGGCTTTTCTCAAAACCGTGCAAAGCATGATCTGGGGATCGATCTTGGTTTTGATTTCCATAATTATTTTTTGATCTCGACACCTTTATAGAAAGTCCAAGCCAACGCCGTCTCGTCAATGACTCATTTGTGGCAAAACGATAAGATCCGGGAAAATCCCGCCTTTCAGAGCGTCCTTCTTGATTTTTTGGATCGATTAGTATTTTTATTAAACGAGGTAAGGAAATAAATTTTTGAAAATAAAATTTTGATGTTTCTAGGACTACGATCAAGATTGCCATCGAATGAAAAAGTTCCAACTGCAGTTACTGTTACAGTATGCCGACAGAGGGGAGTTCATCTCTGCCGTGAGCGGTGAGTTTTGAAATTTTCTAAGTGACTCAATTATTTTTGAGAGCCGTCCGTTCAGCTTAAGATCTCATTTTACAGAATTCCGCACACTTTGCTCGACCTTGGTACGTAGGATCCTATCTGAAGGCGGCGAACAGTGGATAAAAAGAGTTTTGCGATCTTTTTGTCAGAGTTTTTACGTCGTCATCCTGGGTACGCCCACTGAAAGTAAGCTTCGAAATTTGATTATTTTTAAGAAAAAGTCGATTTAGTCGGAAACGATCAGTGGATCGGTTTGGAACGAGCGGCAAAGGCTCTCACAGCTCTGTGCAAGGAATGCGACATTTGGGAGGATTTGATAGCCAAAGATTTGGTAATTTTTTTGATTTCCTTTCTCTCGTTTCTTTAAAATAAATAAAATACTAATTTTTTTCAGGAACTTCAATCTTTACTTCTGGTCAGCTACAACCAACTGCGGCTAGCCATCCGTGAACACGCCCTAAAACGAGATTGGGACTTGGCCGGCAAGACTTTGAGCATGCTCTCCCCGCTGATAACAATTCTGGCGAAAGTTCGTCCGGAAATCCTCAAGGAGATGCTCAAATTTTTAGCCAAGTTTTTTTATCGAAGGATGCCCGGATTATCGATTTTTACTTATAGTGTTCTGTCCCTTTGCGACGACAACAGCCTCATTTCGCATCTGACGGCCCACATGGTGAACCTCGCCACAAAATACATAACTACGGCTACCTCTCAGGTAACTTTTCTACTATTTCAACTTCACATTTTTCTCTCAGGAGGTCAAGGAAATGATTGCCCATGTCGATCCTGCTTGGGAGAACCTATCGGCCATGCAACGGTCCAACATCAGAGCGGTTTGGATTCAATACCAACTTTCTTCAAGCCAACAAAATATTCAGATATACGCATCTTTTGCTTCTTTTTGTGATCGACCTCTCCGCCAGGAACTTCTGCTGACAGTTCTCAGAGACGTGACAAGTTATCTGATCCAAATAAACACTGCTACGTTAGAAGAAATGACAGAATAAAATCGAAAGTTTTGAATTTCCAGAGATGGAATGAATGTCGTGAAACTTTTGAAAGACGTCCTTTATTTCCATGAACCAAGTGTCGAAATGGTGATAGAAAGAAGAAAGGAGGTTTGGAGCTTCTTTTTTTTCATTGTTTAAATGGATTTTCTCAGTTCCGGGCAGTCTTTTTGAGCATCACCAGTGTTCTCAAAAGCTTGCGGGATGACATCGAAACGGCAGACATGACTTTTTTCCTGGACCCATTTGTGAAAATCTTCCTCACTACGATAAAGTTTGTCGCATTTCTGTTGTAATATTTGATTCTACATTTTCAGATCGTTCAATGCGCTGACCCCTCAGGAGCATGAAAAATACTTCCATAAAAAGTATCAATTGCCTTGCGGGATGAGCAAACCAGAAAAAGAAGCTTTATACGGTAGATAAGCTTTTTTATCGGTTTTTTATGTGAAATTGAACATTTCAGCTTATGAGAGCCCAGAAGAAATCAGTGAAAAAGCCTTGGGGACTGTCGACAAAAACCCCCCTCATTTCTTCTTCGCAATGTGTGAGACTTTGTGAGTTCCTTCAGATGGTTATTTGTAACACTCTTATTCATTTGCAGCATCACCATCCTGGAGGTCATCCTCAAAAAGTTTCCAGAATACATCGTTCAGAACGATTACCTTATTGATGTTATCGACGCCTGCACAGCTATTAATGTCAATGAAGACGTCGATTTCAAATTCAAGAGATGGACGAAAAGTGGCTGGTATGTCCTTTTCACCCTTTCTTTTTCAGTTGAACTTTTCGAATTTAGTTGAATATCTTGATGCTTACTGAATATTTTTTTGCCTTTTGGAATTCTGAAGAAATTTCATAATTCTCACCCTTTAGGCGGCTGATCCTTCTCTGCATGGAGCAGCAGAGCGTCAAAAGAGAATTTTACTCTCTCTTCCTCGATCGAACCTTGAAGAAGTTATGTCCCTATCTCACATCCTACTGGACGTTTTATCTTAATGGAGGTTGCACACATTACTGTTTCAAAATCTTATGAAGTTTCCAGGTTTGCGGGTAACCGAGGAAGATTACGTGCAAGAACATCTTACCGTGGGCCTTAGCCGGGACTTGTCGATGCTCCTCAGGAACCTCGTGATTGCTGAAGAAGGAGTCGATCCACAGAGTAATTGCCCGGTGAAAAAAATCGGGCATTGCATTTTGAACGGATCTCAGGTATGGTTGATATTTTTAAGCTCAGTGTTTTGAAATGATTTCGCAGGAACTTTTGGGAATTGTTGACACGGCAATGAGAGAAGTTCTTTCTTGGCCCGACACGAAAGTCGTGAACAACGTCTTGCTTCCTTATCGAGTCTTGATGTGGCGGGTATGTTATATTTTTTTCAGATTTTTAATTTTGCGTGACTAATTCCGCTCCTGAGCTGCAGTATCTTTCGTGTAGAGTTTTCAGGGTGCTTGGCGATAATCGTTTAGTTTTTCAATTTGAAGATTTAAAAAAAGTCAAAGTGGTATTAAGTAATCACTATTTTTAGGCGCTAAAGAACATCAAAGCAAAAGATTCTGTATACACGAGAGCGTGGTTAGACATTTGACATTTAAAATCTGAGACATAAAAATTATTTCGATGCTTGTGAACCACTTGAAACTGCCTGCTGAGTCATAGGTGTGCAAAACCTTGAAAAACGAGGTGTGTTTTGTTTTAAACGTACCCAAAAAAAACTTTAAAGGTTTCTGTGTGGTGAGTAATGCATAATGAACATTTTTCAAACACACTGATTTCAAATAAAACAAAAATGCTTTTCCTATTTTGTTTCAAGATGCCAAGGCTTTTTTCTCCACACTACGATGGCAGATATAAAATTAAAATGTTTACAACTTTTAAAAAAAAGCGCAAAGTTTTAATGAGAGGTTGGAAATCAATTGGCTTTACGAACTTGCGAACAAAGTTTGACCAACTTCCGTCGAGTTTTAATAATTTATTCTTTTGTAAACGAGAAAGATGATCATTTTTCCAGTCTTGGAAACTCGAAAACTGGCCATACTTCCAACTTCAAGTTTCCGACCTCGTCATGCTCTGCATGAGCCGGCACCGCGGCGACGAAGAGTTCCTCAAGTATCAGCTCCAACCTGTCCTCGTCTGGGCTCTCGAGCTAAACGTTAGTACATTCTCAATGCACAAAAAATTCTGTATTGCAGAAAGACAATTCTCTGATTCTGGATGTCATGCGGAAGCTGATAAGCTGCGAAAATGACGGCTTTTTTGACGACCTGATCACAAAGGTAACCTTTTTTTTTGATAGTGTTCACTGGAATTTCATTTTTAGGCTGAGGCTAATGCTCCGAACCTGAGCAAGGCTGTGGCGCGTAGAGTCGTCTCTTTTTTCACCAGGTCAATTGTAAAAGAAAGATAATTTTTGTCTATAATCCTCCAATAATTTTTTCTTCTTTTTTCTGAACTTCCTTCTGAGCTTATACCACTTACCTCACTTCAACGAGCTTCATTTCAATTTTTAAAATTGATTATTTCGAATACGGTATGGTTTTTGCTCAGTTTTAATCAAACTTTCAAAGTTCTAGTCATTTTAATCAAACTTTTAGCCACTATCCAATTTTCTCAGTACGAATCTTATTTCCCAGTATTCTTATGCAAAACAGGTCTCATGGTTGATATTCAACTTTAGTTGATCTGCAAGATTTTAGAGTCCCATACGCTTTAAGTTTTTATTGCAAAAATCTCTCAATTTCCCAAGTTTTATAGATATTATGAATTTTATTATTTTTAATTTTTCGTTTTCTCTCAATATTTTTGATTTTTAGGGTTAATGGTTGATTGTCATGTTATTTTTCTATCACTTCGAATCTTTACTTCAAAAGTCAGGATAATCATGCTTTATTCTCCATCGTCATTCAATACATGTTGCCTTAGGTTATTGCTCACTCGTATCGATTGATACTGACAATTGTGATAATTTGTAGTTGAACTAACATAATACAATGTCATAATACCGAATAAACTCTGATGAAAGCTTTTTTTTCTTTTGGGAATCAGCTGCCGTTTGTTTTTTTCGAACTTGCTTGAACCATTATTGAAATTTTGAAGTGAGCAAACATTTGTGAAAACCGGACAATACTGAAATAAAGTTGCGAGAAGGACTGGAAATTAGAAAGATCCTAAAAAAAAAGATCTGCCTTCTGTTCTTTTGAGACGCATTTATTTCAGATTGGATATGATTTTCAATTTACTGGAAAACATGATGTTTCTTCATGTTCAAGGGAAAATGAAAGACCCATTTCTCATTTCCAAAAAAATATGGAGAACAGAAGTCGTCTTTGATTGGAAGGGCAAAAAAAAGAAGTACAAACTTTGACCTTTTGTTTCTACCAAAAATCGCTCATATTCGACTTTTTTCATCGGCCAAGTTTTCAGGCCTTCCAGAGACTTTTTAGTTTTTAAGCATTTTAGTATTGGCTACACGCAGGGTCTCTCTTTGAGTATGCAAAAAACTATAGCTATGCGCTTCGACCGTGAACCACAGGACATTGAAGTCCAACACGGCTGGATCACAAATAGAAGGACTTTCGGCAAAATTCGCCGTAGCCGAAATTTCTGTGATAACTAATTCCTTCATGGCAAGAGCCAACATCCCCAAAATTCACCTCTACAAGAGTCTGATGGACGGTCACCGCCGGTTTTTTAGAACGGGATAGATGAGAGCTTCAGAGCGAATTTGATTTCGGCCTTCCTTGCGAAAATCAGATTTCACTGTTGATAAACGGGATTGGTCAACTTTGTTTTTTGTGAATGGAAAAGGAACAACAGGTACATAATCCGCTGCAATCACAGTTTCCCAAAGAAAACTGGAGAAAAAAGAGAATTTTTTAGAACATGGCACCGAAAATTACGAGCTAACCTAATAATGAGCTTCCGTATCGATTTATTTAATTAATGTAGCTTCTAAATAATACCTTATGCAATTGTTTAAACGGTGTAAATTTTATTTTTATTGGAAAAACGACGTCAATCTGAAGTCGAAAATATCGTCGACTTTCTCCAAGTTGCTCAAAAATCGTTCTTTGTTATCCTCCCAAGACCAATTCGGGCGATTTGAGCATATGAGCATCTGTAAATATATCACATTTTAAAAAACAATTCGAGTAGAACAACTCGTCGATTGGGAAGATATTTGAGAAGGAAGCAGGTGTTGAAGAAAGGGTCAAATTCTTTGAGAAGAGCTTCTTCATTTTGCTCGTGGTTTGATATTGCACAAATATTCAATATCAGAGTACCTGAAAATTTTTTTATAAAATACTTCATTGCAACAGGAAACTGTTCTTTTTTTCTAACAAAATAGGGTTTCTAAAATGCACACGCTTTTTCTTGCTACTGCGTCAGGATTTGAACTGCAGGGATGTTATGATATTTTTTTGGCTTTAATAATCCGTGATTTGATAAAAAAGACGTTAAAAGTTCAAAATTCAGCCCATCTCTTCAGAAACCAAAAAAATAAAATGATGAAAAACTAACCTGTCTCGCTGAGGATCGCTTGAAGCTTCCGAATAACTTCTTCATTCCGAACTTCTTCTATAGGACAGATAAGCTCCCGGGTGTCAGAATGGCAAACGTCGACAATGATCGCATCATAGCGTTTGGTTTCTGAACATGATTTTCGTGATAAGCTCACAATTTCGGTTGAAAACCTTGCTGTAGCTCTCCCAAGAAGGGAATAAAATCGCCTCGAATGATTTGAAGGTTAGCTGTTTCTTCGTTATCGAACCACTGCTTGGCGATGTTCACGATAAATGGATCGATTTCAACAGCGATCGTGGAAATCTGAGAGAAAAAAATTGAAAGATCAGAATTTTTTCTATAGATTTTCAAAAAACCTACTCAAACAAGGTATTATTATTTTTCGATTGAAAATCTCTTGAAAATGGTCCATAACGTTCATTGACGGACCAAAAAAGATGCGGAATCACTTAACCTGGACATCTTCTCAGTTTCCGAGAAACGACGGCTCAAATTTGCAAAATGCCTTATTTCAACATATTTTGAATGTTTTCTTCCAATTTTTAGTGCATCTTCTTGAAAACTGAATAGCTAGGCAGTTTGGAATCTTTTCCTGATACATCAAAGAGTTTCCTGACCAAATTTTAATAATGTCACAGCCCAAAAGTAAAGTGACCTACTTATCAAAACGCTTCTAGCTTAATGAAATTATTCTCACATTCAAATAATCAATCTGTGAGAAAAAGTTGCTGATGACGCCACCACCAAGCCCTGCCATGAGAACTTCTTGATGTTTACCCTCGTCGAAATCGAGGCTCTGGAACAAATCCGATCAAACAAGGCCGAAAACAGAGGAAAAAGTACCTCCATGAAAAAGCCTGCGGCTACCATCACTTTGGCGTAGCGAGCGTCGACAACAAGTTTATTCACGCGCCACTTGCGAGTGTCCGCACTTCGCCATGTTATTTCTGGAATTGGGAAGGTTAATTCATGCTTTTCAACCTAATTCTTCAACATCTGGTCACAGCGAATTTTGAAGGATAGTCCGTTTATTATGCGATTGGGATTTTTCTAGAAATTCGCGGAAAAACTCCTTGTTGTCCCAGAAAAAAACAAGGAAATCCAACTCACTAGTTTTTGTAAAAGGACACTTCAAATACAAATAAAACCCTAAAAACCACTCGAAATAAGTTATTTGTATTCTTTGAGATTCTATTTATAAATACGAGGAAGTTTTGGAGGATGAGATTACCCGGAGCTTTTTCTGGTACACCAAGAAGTGTTTTGGCCAAAAATGGGAAACTTTCCAACCGTTCCTCGAAGTTTATATCAATGCGTTCATTTATTTGTTGAAGCGCAAACTAGTTGAGGTCGGACGCAATTTAGAGTCTTAGTTACTCCACTTAGTTCTACCCATTTCCCTACTAATTCTTTCTGAAAGAAATGCATCAAAAGCTCACTTGGAGGAGGTTGAAGCTCCACGCCGGTCAGGGAGTAAGCAGAATTTCCACGATGTAATAAATTTCTCCTTACAACTAGGCTGAAATCTCAAAAATTGAATTTATATTTCATAACTTGATCTTACGCTTCATCTTCAAAATGATAAGAATCGACGACGACGAAGCAACTGTTTGTGGGACTGCATGGCGTCGCGACGACTTTGTGTTTCTGAAAAAAAAAAATATTTTTTTAAGGAGATACCGGCCAATAGCCGCTATTGATGAGACTTTTGTAGAATTTTCAATACCTAAACCTAGAAACCGCAGAGAGAAAGATTTAAAAATATAAGAAATCATCGCTTTTAAATTAGCGATTCAGTTCACCAACCAAGAAATCACAAAATATCAAATTTTATCATGAAAAAAATGAGAAAAGTCATTTTGAGTGTTCGTGAAATTAAATAATTTTGGTTTCCCGCAAAATCAGACAGATTGGGCGCGCCTTTTCGGCAAATGCCGCACGCCTTCTTCACAAATTTCAAAAGTTTCTTTTTCATTTTTTCGAGTTTTTGAAGGCTGAACGCCGGAGTGCTTGCGGCCGCGTTGCATACAGTTCAATTTTATCACGGAAAAAGTTTGGATTTAAAGTTCAAGTGATCCTGAGCGATCACCCTATTCAATATGACACAGAATGATGTAGTTTCAAATCCGGAGCGCTAGATTCGAAGTTACTCCAAGTTCTGGTCTGGTCGTTGCAAAACTCTATATTTTTCAATTTTTCTACAATTGCAGAAAGATAATGTAAATCAACAAACCTTTTTCAAAAGGTACTCGACAATTTCTTGTTCACTCCTTCCCCGCAATGAAACGATCCCTTCGTCTGTGATTTCTTCTACCAGGAAAACTTCATAAAGGCGGAAATATATAGCAAAAATCTGAAAGTCACCCTCTATTCATTGAAAAATTAATCTGAAAACTTACAACAGCTAAGATGGCAATAAAAGCATGGGGGAAAAGTCGACTGAATAAGGACATGGAACAAATTTGCAGATTTTTGCGGCTAATAAACTCAAGCCGAAGAGTTCTATTTGTTTAGCTGCACTGTCACGTATTCTTTCGGCTTTGCATTGTTGGATTTTCTTCGGGATTTTCAGGAGAATGAAAATGTTAAAAAAAGAAGTCAATCAGTTCTTTGAAAGTGATAGACTCCGAGAAATAAATATATAACTAATTAATAAATACTTAAAGTATTAGAGATCATTTTCTGAATTCCTATTCAGTTGTTGAAAAACTTTGTGTATTTCCAAATTAAAAATTATATACGGAAACTAAAAGAAAGTGAGTAAATCAAAAGATCAAAAGTGCAAAAGTTCAACAAAACAACAAGAGAAGATAAAAAAAGAGTTTTTATTTGGATGAATCCAAATACAAGCTTTTTCTTTGATATTTCAAGTTTCAACAGTACAATAAGCTTAATTAACGTGTATTATTGTTTCTAAATTGCGAAATCACGACAGTTTCACCAAACTTTCTGTTGCGGTTCCGCGGCTCAAATTTTTGATATTTTACCCGTCTTTCAGTCTTTTCTAACGCTCCACATGAAGTTTCTTAGAACTTCATCCAGCCTGAATTTCGAGGTCTCAAGAAGTTCTGTGCGAAGTTCTTGAAGATGTTGCCTTTTCTGCTCCGCGATTCAACCTGATTAGTCTAATCACCGCGGCACGGCGGCCTGGAAAAAGGAGAAGACTACGTGCAGAAGTGAGGCGCGGCTCGGATGAGATTCTTCGCGCTCCTTCTGTGATTGAATTTGGCCGTGGGCGAAGAAGACACGGATCTTGAGCACCTTTGCCGCGGCAGGATATCTTCTTGATTCGGCGCCTTTTTTGCGCAAAGACTTTTTTTAGAGTTCCGTTTCGTGGGTCAATTCGGACCTTCAAACGGCAAAAATCTGTCGCCTGCAGATACCTCTACGTTTTTTGATCTTCTATCTTTCAAAAATCTTTTTTACCTAGAAGTTCTGGGAACTGTTTTTAATTTTTTTAGATGTAACAGACTACAACTCTGCATGATTTTTTAACATATCTGTTTTCAGATGCTTCGAAGGAAAAATAAAACAATTTTCCTGATTACGCTAATGTAGGAGAAACGGATGAAGTAAAAATTTTCGGTGGTATGAAAAAAAACACCAGCGAAATATCGAACGGCGACTTTTCCGATTTTTCATATCGCTAGGGAACTTTCCGACGAAATTTTTTCCGACTTTTTTCCCTTATGTTTTTCGGTTTATAAAATATGTATGAACATTTTTTTTTCTTATTTCTTTGTGTTTTAATCATGAACCAACTACCTACTTTATATAGGAAGATTTAAAACGAAGATTTTATCGAGAAAAAGTCGGAAAGCGATTCGTCGGAAAGGTGGCCGTTGGAAAGTTTCCGAGCAATATGAAAAGATCGTAAAAGTAGCCGTTTGAATTTTTGATGGTGTTTTTTTCATACCGCCAAATTTTCATAACCTTTTCATCACGTTTCCTTCAAAAAATATAATTTCTGGAAATTTTCCCGCTCTGCTGGTCAGTTTGAATATTTGACAAGCTAGAAACGCAAAACTTAGTCCAAACTTATCTGCAAAATCTCAAACATTCTGAACGTACTCTGAAATTCAAACTGCAAACTCTGCAATGCCTATTTGGTCTTTTCCTGCCCAATCCTGGAAATAACACCGTGGTTTTAAAGTATTCAATGGAAAACCCTGACCTCCGCATTCAAATAAAATTTGGGCTTGAAAAGGATCAGAATTTACTTTTCGAAAAATGATCCTCGCAACTCTCAAAACACTCAAAAGCATCCTCCAAAATAACAATAAAGACCATAAAGTTCAAACTAAACACGATAAAGTTTGACAATCCCTGCTATTTACATTCCTCGGACTTTCCCTTCCCACCTTTTTCGAACCAAAAAAGCTTCGGAATACTAAGAAACTATTATTCAGCAGGCTCTTTCTATTTACGGCTCACGGCTTTGAAGCAAAAAGTGCAATTTTTACTCGAGTTTGTTTTCAAGCGCGCTCGAGTTCAAGAGGATATGATGTGGATTGAATTCCCCAATAGTACCAAGAGGAAAACAAGTTCATGGAGATTAGTTTTCTTGTTTCTTTTCAGGAAGGTTCCTCAATTCGATAAAATATCGTGGGTGGTACAAAGTAATTTTCTGTTTCATTCTTTTTCACTTATACTCAGTGAATGGAATTTCGAGGTCTTTTCTGATTAGTGCATTCACAAAGTAATCAGCACGTATTGATAGGAATTGTAAACCTGGCAACTGTCCTGCTTCACCTTTTCCTTTACTACGTTACTTTCGTTTTTTTTCCTTATCCATGTCTCAGATTTCGCTCAGACTGGTTTTTGATAATTTTTTTGAGCATTTTTTTGCGAAGAGAGCGGCTTAAAAAGGTAGATATTTGAAAGCTAAAATCACAGAAGTGCGACGGACTTGAAACGACCTACGCTCTATTGAAAATTGCACTGAAAAATGAGCAGAATCCACAATATTTCTTTTTTATTGGCTTATATTCGCCTGCTTGAAAGGACATCACTGAGAAGTGTTCTTGACTCTAAACGACTTCCGTGTAAATACATTCCAAAACACTAAAATGTCCAAGAAAACCTTATCGGAGCTTTTAACAATTTCACTGCGACCAAAGTTGAGTTACACGAAAAACTTCCTTCCGCAATTCACATAAACCGCTGAGTAGTTTCTAATATTTTCCCACATTTCAAAACAGTCTGTTTATTGGAACCTAAGAATAAAACAAGGGTTCGTGATCCTTTTCCCATTGGACCGTAGTTTCTCACGTGTTCTCCGAGTCTCGTCGTAAGAATGTGGGAACTTTCGAACAAACTTTTCCTAATAAAACTGATTTGCAGATAGAAATTATTAATATGCCCAATTTCCTTGTTTGAAGTTTTTGTTCCAGAAATGAAGAACAAAAGAGCAAAAGAGGGTTCGAAATACACTTAGGAATGGTGAACTTCGTGTTGTGCGATGCTTTTTCGGCTCAAGGCGGAATTTTCTTTTTTTGCAATTTTCTCGAAATGCGTCGTGTTTAATGGAAGTTGTAACAAAACCTATAAGGTTTGAGTTTCAGAGAATCATAATTGTTCATTGAGCGTATATTGTTGTCAATAAGTACAAGAACGTTGGCTTTTGCTCTTTCAAGGGAAAAGTCGGACGGACAATCCACTCGCTCTCGCTTTTTTTATCGCTGGAAACTGCCATAGTAAACTTTGGATCTCATCACATTCTTCGCTGGGTCGACCACTGAAAAGTAAAAAGGTCTTCAACTAATTATTGCTTGCAATTTTATTTTGTCAAAGCTTCTAGATTTTTTAACCTAGCAAGGAGCTATCGGCGCACTTTTTTCAAATTCATAACAGACTTTATTCACAAGAAAATGCCAAGCAAAACGTCGTTTCAAAACATTTGCAATGTTTTAAAAATCGTACAATGTTTAGAAATTTTAGCTGATGAGTGTGTCAGCCGCTCTTAAATGAGAAAATGTGTCACCATCCTCAAATTTCGTGAACGTTCATAAACAAAGACTCCACGCCTACCTTTCTTTTGTTGAAAATTTTTTTGATATCGGTTCGCTCTGCCGATTTTTTTTTTATTTTTTTTTTTCCAGTTAAACATTTTTCACAAAACCTTATCAATCAATCCAACGTGTTTCCCAGTAACTTGTTCTTTTTTTCGGATATTGTTCATGCAAGGTTTCCAGCAATCATTTTCAAGTTCACTGTGAGATTTTTTTATAATCTTTCCATGACTTTGTCGGTTCAATCATTATATATTTTTCGTTGGTTTTTCAAAATATAAAAAAACATTTATCAGATGTCTCGCCTTGTTATTAAATTAATAATTTTTAAATAATAAAAAAATTTGGAAACGCCGGGACCATTTTTCCCCTTGTGTGGGGCAATTTTTCAGGATGATTCCATATTTTTCGAGGCATTTTACTTATATTTTTTTCTTGTTTTTCCTATTACTTTCAACATATCTGTGTTATGCTGGAAGTTTAATTGTACTTTGGAACGTCTTTCCAAATGTTTTCGATAAGAAATTGAACCAGAATAAGACGTTAGTTGAAGAAAATATCGCGTAAAGAGACCCCAGGCCTTTTTTCTGTTGAAAATCACGTTCAAATGAAGTTTTCCTCGTTTGATTATTTTTTCTGATTTTTATAGTCAAGGATGTGTTTCCACTCAGAACTCAGAATTTCTCAAAAATTGAGTGATCCTGAAAGTCAGCAGATCTTTTGAAAAGTGGATTTCAAGATTTTATGCTAGGAAATGAAGTTTTGGATTTTTTTTCTCGGGAAACAAAAAGCAAGTTACGAGTTTCGGAACGCATCTGACCAATTTTAAAAAAACCCTGAAGTTTCAAGAGAGATGATCTTTTTTTGATTGAGTTTGAGTGAACTGCTTTGAGCTCAAATAAGGGCGTTAAGAAAAAAATTATTTTTTTATAAATTAAAATATTAAACTTTTTAATGAATCTCAAAAGGAAGGTCGTTTTCCTTAGCAATTGGGAACTTTTTGATATTCAGCCAGAACACTCCTTAATGTACCAAGGAAAACTGTGGAAATGTTAAATTGCACTAATTTCTAGTTTTTGATTATTAGTGGCAGCTTCAAAATGACATTTTATGACGGCTTTTGAAAATTTTCGAAAAAAAGCTAGAAAGTTGTGTAGGTTAAAACTCCTAAGAGCCTTTTTCAGCACATCAAAGAGTGTTAAGACCAATTATCAGGAAATGACCTCGTCTTTTCGATGTCAGAAAATATTGAACAGAAAGGAAAAAATTCCCTCATTCGAATTTCTCAAGCGATTGAGTAAAATCTCTTTCTGCTGGAAGTTTCGACGCAAGGAGTCCTTAGATTCCTCTTTTCCTGCGCTCATGAGGGCAGATGAATATTTCGACGGCCGGGCTCGTTTCATATGCGTGTGAGCGGGGCAACCCGTCGCGATTTTTGCAACCGTATTGCCAGTTCCCAGAGATATTCTCGGCTTTGCGCTCGCAACTCTTCCCTCAACTTGCGAGTTACCGTATCTCTTTCTTTTTTTCCGTTTCTCCACTCTCGGTTTTTTGCAATGTGCCATGATGCTTTTATGTTGGAAATACGAGTTTTTGGAGAAGTTCAGCGTTGAAACTTGTGTTACCCATTTTAAGAGGGTTATAAATTTGTCTCAGGATAATTCCAAAAATATTGGCTGTCTATTTTCAAAAATCTCTTTTTGATAACGTACTCCGATTTTTAACATTCATAATTGTAATTTAACTGGAAAAACTCAACCTCGATCGTATGTGCATCTAGTTTACTATCTTTATACTTTACACAAGAATTTTTTTCTGAGTCTCAATTTAAATATATGCTGGCTTAAAATACAAAGTTTTTTTAAGACAGAAAGAAATTATATTTTCGAGTCAACTCTGGCCGAAATTCTCAGTTTTCAAAGAAATGATATTTTCTAGATTCTGTATTTGACCATCAAAAATCGTCATCGGAACATTTTCTGTTTTTGGATGAATCACCCATACAGTATCTTTCGAACAGACTCTATTTAATCTACACCTGAGCTTCAAAATGAAAACAAAACAGAAAACATCACTTTCTACATGATGCCATCAAACAAAGCCATTCACGTCAGAAGAAACTATTGGACTTTTTCGAGCCCATTTCACTCTTTTTCTTCGAAACAAGCGAATTCGGCCACTACAATGTAACGTTTTTGCACCACAAAAAATTGGTTTGACGTAATTTAGAAAACGAAAAAATTTTCCCTTGCAAGTCAAAAGTTCTCAAGAGTCGAGAATCAGAATATAACTCCACAGTATCCCTGAGATAAACTTTTTTTTTCATTTTTTCTTTTTCTCACTGCTCTCTTTTTGTCATTCTTTCAGTCATTTTGCAAGCTTCATGCTGTTCAGGTGAGATTCCGCTGTCTTTTTGAATAATGTATGACAGAAAGTCGTTCCGGAAGGTTTTAAATAACGCTCGTTTTTCGAATTTGCATGTTTGGCCGAGGTCATGTTTTCGACTAGACTCTGCAGCTTTTTTTCGGGTTGGTGGGGAAGATTTGTTGTAACTTATTATCGGTGCAGTAAAAATTTTCAAGCTTCAGGTTTATGGACTACAAAAAAAAGTTAACTTTTTTTGAACTCATTCTGGAGCGAACTCTAAAATTAGAATGAATCTCAAAATTTCGAAGTATCAGATTTCCTGGAACGTCGACAAAAAAGCAGGTTTCGGTTCTGATTCCAAATTTTTGAAGGCTAATTTATATGAATATCTTTTGGGAGGGAATTTCATAAAGCTACACAAAAAAGTATCATGAGGTTTCTAGACATCGAATCACATGAAGTTTTTATCAAACATCTCTATTTCGGAGAATTTGAATCCGCCGAAAAATATCCACTGGACTGGTGGAGTTCAAAATATGAAGGTGAACATTTTGACCAAAAATCATAAACTGGAACTTTTTTCTGAGCTCTGGAATCAGTAAATCTCTCAGAACACTCCTGCATAGTTCTATCAGAGTCTCCAAAGATCATGATTTTTTTAAGATTCATGAAAAAGGAGCCATGTCGAGAAAATATCTCATGTTCAACATTGAGGCGACTTCTCTGTGTTGACCTAATTTAGTTGAATCCGAACGAGATATGGATGGAGCACTAACAAATTCATTCCAAGTGGTGTAGTATTACCGAGCTGAACCCGTGGTGTCGTTGAGTTTTTCGCAACAAAAGGTGGGAGTCGGGCGGATTTGATTACTCGGCCCTGAAGGAGCTTCAGAATCCACGCACTTTCAAATTTTTTTCACTGGATTTCCGTGCGCCGAGAGGCATTTTGAGAAGTATTTTGCTGCCGACCGCACTTCTACACGTTTTTCATTCCTGTTTTTCATTTTTGCGTTTATTTCCCTCGGTCGTCGGTCAAAATAAAGAACTTTTCCCTTCCGATCCCTTTCTTTATGATGTTTTTCTACTTTTTGATCAACCAAGATGTTTTCTGAGCGTAGAATGCTTTTGACATCGTTCGACCCATTTTTACTCAGTCGGTAGGGCCAAAAAGCCTTTGAACGAGATTTTGAGATCATAAATTTTCGGATGGGATGAGTGCCCGAAAAATCTCAGAATCTTAATTATGGAAGGGCGAAAGAACATATGCGGTTCTATGGTATAAAATGTATCTTTATGCTCCAAAATTTGAGTTTTTGAAACAAGTTCGTAGAATTTCATGTGTATTTGAACAAGCGGAATTTTCCCATTACTATGGTTCAGAAAAAAATGAGATCTTTCTGCTTGGAAATTCCAATTCATGGAAATTTTTTTGGATCTTTCTCTCAGTTTTAGACAAGATTATTTAGGAAAACTTTTTTGGGTCGATTTGCCCTCCAGAAAGACTTCTAGCAAATAGATTTTCAAAAAAATGAATGATTTGAAAAAGTTTAATAGAACTTCTTTCTCTGTTGAGCCGAAAAGCTGAAATCATATTTTCTCAGAAAAGCGTTCATTTTTTTAAAGTTAAGAAGATCCAGTAGTTAAAGCTGAAAAGAAAATAAGCTTTTCCATACATTCAAAAGTTCAAGCGACTGAATTGCGACTTTTAAAAAACGTCTCATTCTCAATTCTCTTGACCCATTCAATCAACTCACATGTCAAGGAGTGTGAGACTTCTACCAAACGATATTAATTAAAAATTTAGCATGGAGTTCCGGGAACAAACGTCATTAGGCTCGTTTACAAGGTTCGAAGAAACAAGTGCATTCTGGAGGCCACGTGCTTCTAGTAGAAGCGGGCGGGAGTCCGTAGAGAGGAGGAGAAGGAGGCGTGCGCCTCTCCTTTTTGCCCGACGCCTTCTCAGCACTACAATTCCTGCCGAACGTTGTGAGAAAACTATTCCGTCTCTAGCTTACAATTCCTCGGATTGCTTGGCTATAACCTTCAAGACAACCTTTTGGCTTCTATCAGCAAGGAAAAAAATAAATTTCTTTAGACTTTTTCCTATTTGGATCCAGTGACTTATACGTTTGAGCTGGAGAAACTGCTCAAAGCCCGAAAAAATTTTCGGTTTGTAGAGAATCGAATAAAAATCGGTTTCTTTTTATCTGGCTTCAGTCTTTTTTTAGTTAAACCTGAAACTTTTTCTGAGCTGGAGCGATTGCTCATAGCCCAGAAAATCTTGCAAAGCCGCGAGGAATTGAATAAAAATCGTCCTTAACGAGTTTTTGATTTTGATTTTGTTTTATTCGGCTTTAGTATCTTTTCAGTTGGAAGAGCATTTTCCGCCTACATTTTCCTTTCTTTTTTGGACAAATAGTACCTCCATTTTTTTGATAACTTTTCTTTAATATTTATCCCAAGCTTTGAACAAACCAAATCGCTCAAGATACTTCGTAAAGATCAAACTTCACTTCGATTTATACTTTGAAAGGTTAACCAGGCCTTATGGTTTCATGAAGATGTGTCTTCCTGCCATTTCAACTCCAATCCAAACAAAAAATTCAGATAAATTGCTTCATTTTCAGCAGCACAAGACGTCAAATTTCGTGCCTCTTCATTAAAACAGAGTTTTTTTTTCCGAATTTCTCACCTGATTTTTTTTTTCTGTTGGTTTATCTTTTTTGACAAGAAACCCTCTTATTCAGAAAATATTATTTCCAATACGCAAAAAAAATGTTCTCATTTGTCGTTCGAAAAACCCAACAACATTTTTTGTGCTGTTTGCCGAGGAGATCGTTCTCCTAAAAGTTTGAATTTAGCTTGATCTCTGTTGGGACGAGGAACGAACGGACCCTTGTGTTTGTCTTTCTCTCGTAAATCTCTTTTTTTTCTTGAAGTGAACCTTTTTTTTTCTATTTTAAAAATATGACATCATTTGTATATAGCAATATCCCAGTTCGTAGTTTTGCTGAAAAAATTTCCATATGTGAAATAAGAGCACCTTTTCTCGTATTTCTAACTACCATTACTCGGCTCATGTCGGACAAAAAAAGCTCTTCCTGAATGGGGCGATGTTCTTTGTCAGAAGTGATCTTGGAACTTTGAAAAGAAAAAAAGGCTTTTGAATAAGTTTTTTTGATCGATTTTTAAAAAGGAAAAATTGATAAATTATTTATTTTTTTAATGTCATGAAATTATATTTTTGAAGAAAAAAAGTTCTTATAAAACTTGGATTTAGAAGCCGTACTCGGCCTGTGAAAGTTGGTTTTCAGAGCATCAGTGGAGGGACTTTGATAAATAATGTTTAAAATGATTTAACGTAGGATTTTAGAATGAAGTTGACGTGAGAAAAATATTTCGAACCATTTTCGACTTGCTAGAGAAATTTCACAATTTTCTCAATTTTCCACCAACTTCTGCCTTTTAACTATTTTCTTTACACATCCTTCCTGTGTATTTTGAGAAAAACACAGAGTTCTGCAAAAGAGTTCCATTTTGAGGGATCGTGGCAGGTCACGCACGTCGTTAAGGCCATGAACGAGTCGGAGATCGAAGCGGCCATGGCGGCGATGGAGGCCGAAGACGCCCAACTGCAGCCGGACTGGCTCTACCTGTCGTTGGCCGTCGTGCCTCTCGTCTGCATCCTCGGCAACTGCATGGTCGTCGCCGCCGTCTGGACCACCCGAAGCCTTCAAACTCCCACCAATCACTTACTGGTTCGCTTTCTCACTTTGTAAAAGAATTATTGTAAGCTTCAGGCTATTATCAGGGTGGCCGGTTGAAAATGAGCAGTTGTATTAGAATCCATATCACTATAAAAAAACAAGAATAAAATATATGAATCCGAGAAGTATTTTAAATCGGAAATATGGTTTATCCCTGGCGTTCATGCCAAGAAAGGGTGTCTTTCTCAATAACATCTCGTAAATAAAGATTGAGATATGATTAATCTAAACATGAACAAAAAAAATATATAAAGCTTATTTCAACCTTCTGATTAACATAATATTGTTCCAACAGTTTTTGGAAGCTTGCCAAATTTATTTGTATTCCAGTCGAAAACAGTTAAAACAAAGTTTTACAGCAAAACAGTCCCGATCATTATAAGAAACCAATTCTAAGTCATTTTTTTCGAAAATTCATAAATTACAAGGCAAAAAAATCCAAAAAAATACAAACCTACTGTATTTAATAATATTTCAGAAATGTTACCAAATCAAATACACAAAAAAATGCGTCATTTTGAAATCAGTATTATAGTGAAATCATAACACAAATTCAATTTTTGGAGTCTAACTAATTTATAAGTACGAAAAACCCTAGTTGCGACTGAAAAGGAGCTTTCTTGAGCGCTAAGTAAAAAAAAACAATATTGAAAAAACCAAGGTGCAGGAAAAAGGGAAAGAGATCACTAAAAAGGCGCCGGAAAACTTGCGAGGCCTTTTAAGTGATACCTTGGAGCGACTGCAATTGCCGCATAACAGTTGTGCAATGGTGCACGTTTTCGAAATGTTTTTCCTCTCCTAAGCAAGATGAAAATCTTGACGTGAGCTGAGGACTTTGGAAAAACAGAAATTCAAAAAAAAGAAAACTTTTAAAAACGAGACAAAGCTCAAAAAAAGATGAAAAAATTTGAAATTATACAAGAAACACCAGTATGTCCATCTTCTAGTTTTTGGTCGTTTTCATTGAGATTCCAGGAATCGCGAGGCTAGAGATTTCCGTTCCCAAGGGTTTTTCTGGGATTGGGGTAAGATTGTGATAATAATCAGCAGAAAAGCTTCCTTATGACTTTGTTTAGCTGATGATTAGTGTAAAGTTTCTTTTTTTTCGAATCAAGTGATTGTCGTGTTTATATAGTATTTTCGAGGGTAAAAATTGAAAAAAAAAAACTAACAAAGGCTTATAGAAAGGTCACAAAAAAGTCTTTTTTAGAAACTAAACGATTCATAAAATCGACTTTTAAAACTCTGAAGAAGTTTTCCAGGTATCCCTCGCCATGGCGGACCTCATTGTAGGAGCGTTCGTCATGCCTTTCAGTATTTATTTATCGGTGAGATTCTTCCAAATAACATGACATTCGAAAATGAAATTGAAACTTTTCCAGATAAACGGTCTTCACTGGCATCTTCCGCTTTTCGTGTGTCATTTCTACTGCGTACTTGACGTCGCGGCTAGCACCTCGTCAATTATCCATCTTGTGCTGATCAGTATCGACAGGTATTTCGTTGACATTTTTGAGCCAATCCAAGGCCAAAAAATAGAAAACGGGGTGAAAAGCAGTCTGTAAAGGCGACCTATACGTTGAAGCACATAACGAAGCGTAAGTCGTTTTGGGTCGGTTGAATTCTACTAATTTCGGTTCTTCTTTCTCAGAACCCGCTTCATATTTTTTGATATTGCAAATGACATTTAATAGAATCTTGCACCCGACCAAAACCGGCTTGGAAACACCAAAAAGTAGGAAAGCGAGTAAAATTGATTCTTTGAATTTCATTTTGATCCGATTTCTTTGGCCGTGAGACATCCAGAGCGAATCGAGTGCACTATAAGTTGCAGCGCTCCATTTTTTTTCTCACGTTCTTGGAACAGAAACGGCTAAAACTACATTCTGGACATTATTTCAGGCTCGTCGCGGCTACAAAACCGGCCGAGTACAAAACGATGAAGCACAAAAAGCGAGTCTACATCGCCATAGCAATTACTTGGATTTTCAGCATTGTTCTCTCCTTGCCTCTAGGTACCCTAAGAACAAAGATCACAGTGAAAAAGGAATAAAATTTCCAGGAACCGGATTCAACACAAGGACACGGCATTTTCTTCTGATTGAACATCACTGCGGAATTTACAACCCGATTTATATGCTCGGCAGCAGCATTTTCGCCTTTTATTTGCCTTGCGTGATTATGCTCATCACCTACGGCTACATTTTCTATACGTTGCGCAAGCGACTCAGGGCTATTCAGCTCCAGGTTTTCTCATTTCCCTTAATTCTTCCCATTTGTGAGAAAAAAATTTATGCCTTTTTCTCAAAGAACACATTTCTCACAGAACCTTTTGCAAATGAAAATTGGACTATTGGAATAGAAAATCTTACGGTGGTGGGAAATTACTTTTTTGCTGGATAGGGAAAACCAGTTTTTAAATTTCAATTTTGACAGTTGGTTTGCAATACCAGAAATATGAGAGATTCATGCTTCAAATATTTTTAAAGGGAGCTTTTCGGTTGGATAAGGGTGTGAAAACTTGATTTTTTTAAGAAAGGAAAAAACAGAAAAATTATCTAGCTCGAGCAATTGAAATGTTTGCAGGAAATGGCTGGAGGGCAGTTCCTCGGATTCGGCGCCGACGTCGGAAACATCACTACTTCCGCCATCCAGTCCGTCATTGGTAGCCTGGATTTCTTCGGAAAACACTAATTTTCAAATCTTCTGCAGGAATCGCCCCGAAAAACAGGAACATGATCACGTGGGAGAAACCGTTGCTCAAAAAGATCGAGGAAACTGCTGCTGAACATGCAAGTTCTCTGAACGACAGCGAGAGAGAACAGGTTAGTCCGAAAAAAACCCGTTTTGGTTTTAGAAAAAGACCAAATAGTATTGTAAAGAAATTTTCAGTTTAAAAAAATGGTTTTTTTCACATTTTTTTCTCTTCAATTTTGTGGAAAAATGTTTTCACCGCAGCTGTTTCATTTTTTTCTTTGATTTGAAGCCTTTTTTTCTACTCAGACAAAAAAATCGGAATCCTTGACATCTCCTCTGAAAGAACGATAATAGTTTTGAATACTTCGAGCTCTGAGAATTTCAAACTAACCAGTTTTAGAAATTTCTGGCACTTTTCAAACCAAAACCAATTTTCTCAATTTCTATCTGAATTTCACTTCCTCTAGAATCATTTTGCAAGAAGTCTAGATTTTCATTTTTGACGCAAAAAAACATGTTTCTTCCTCAGTTCCAGCTCTTCTCCAATGAGCAGCAGACCTCTGAAGATGAAAAACCAACCACTGTTCTTTGATGACACGCGAATCTAATTTACCAAACTAAAGCCCCTCCAGCTATTATTAGGAAGCCTCCGTTCAATTACACTCAAATTCATAAAAATGATCGAGGGAAGAAAAGAGCGTTCGACTCCGTGTGGTTAAGCCCCGCGGCTTTACCGCACTTTTTTTTCCTTTTCCTGAGGCTATCGCGCATGAATACCCTAATTAGGCAAGCTCAATACGAAATGAAATGGGCGTCCTGTGGAATTTCATACGTGCGAGATTTCCGCATACATTTTCGATGAATTTGCGCAAACGCCCTTTTACTCGCATATTCATCGCCGATTGGAGAAAGTGTTGCAACATGAGGCTTCTTCTCATTTCTGGGGGACTTTTGATTGATATTAAAAAATTAAATTCCGACAACATATCAATTACATCTTCAATGATTTAAAACTTGCCTAAAGCTATAAAGACAAACTTTGAATGCAGGAAATAAGCAGAAAATGTGTATAAAATTTTCGGCTTCTTTGGGTTTATTTTTGCTCAAGGAAGCGACGAATAAACCATTGAGTTTTCAATGGTGGTTATAGCAAAATAATGAGAAATTTGCCGTGGAATTATTATGACTGGCTTTTGGTATAGCCTGTGTACCACGACTTGGAATTTTACCAAACGACATTCCGCTGTGCCGCTGCGCGCCTTTGCGAACCTTGGTCGCGTTTTTTTTTATTAGGGTACTGTACTTTTATGTGCCACAGCAATAAAAATCAATTGAAAGCATGAACTAGATTCGAAAGACGCTTCGCGAACGCACGCAGCGTTCCGTGAACTTTCCAGTCGTGGCAAACAGACTATAATAGGAATTTAACTATTCTTTCCGACAAGGAACATTTTTGGAAGCTGATTCAAATTTAACGAGTTATGAATATTTTAGGCTCTTTCTCAAATTCCTGTCTAGTCCAAGTATTAGGAAGCAGTCTTTTCAAGAATTTTCTTTGTCAGACTTTTTACTCGTATAGTGAATACGACACCTTTCGAAATAGCTTGCAAAACAGCCGCATTTAACTAATGAGCTACGGTTCCAGTTGCAAACAATCCTTGAAGCGGTTCATCCATCATCTTCGGGAAGCCAGGAGAATACTACCATCGAGGTTTTCAAAAAAAACTTGAAAAGGTTAGGGTTTGAAAAGTTTAGGAAGACCCTGATCGACCGCCGTCTGTGTTACTGGAAGCTGTAACTTTGAGATGTGAAATCGACACGAGTGGTCCTGTTTTGGAGCTTCCAAGGCCGACGTATACTAAGAAGTATGAATTGTGATCATCTAAAAAAAAGTTCTGCAAAACCACAAAACTTACAGAATTATCATTTTAAAGCAACTTTTACAGTTTCATGCCTCATTTAAGGCTGGCTTGAGCCATCGAAAAAAAAAGGGTCCTGAAACGATCATTGTTTCTGAAAAGACAAGGCCTGATGGATGAAGAGGGCATACAGACCGGTCCTTTTTGTCCCCAGCTAGTCGTGAATCGACTACAAAGTTTTTCGGAATTTTGAAAGAAGGGAAAAGTCACAAATTTAAAGTAATGCTTTCAAAGTTCAGAAAAAATCAGATTCAGGTCAAAACATTTAAAACCTCCATGGATAATTCAGCATGTCGCGGAGGTTCTCGGACGCCGTACACTCAATTTCGCAGAGAGGCCGCAAGAAGTCCGTATCATTCGGAGTGGCCTCTCGAAAAAGACGCCATTCCCATCAACCAGACAGAACTAACGAACCTGTGGTGTCTGAAGAAAGCAAGAAACTTCATTCACTAAAGCCACCGTTGGTAAGAAATTGCATGGATTTTTGAATAACCAACATGTTCATATTTTCCTGAGAATTAAAATTAAAGTACAAAATTACAAAAATCGAGTTATTTTCCAACAAACCACCTTTTTGTTTAACTTTCCTATTTTCCCAAATACGTCCATTGTGGGATATATTTTGCTGTGAAAATTAGATGGTTAATAAGTTGGGTTTGCCTTGGCACAACTTAGTCAAATCGTCTTTTTCATGTGCACACACTCACCATTTCTGTTATTCAGTTTTGGTGCTTTCCCGTTTCAGCAGATGTTCAGTTTTAAAGAGGAATCTTTTTTTAGAAATCTTCGCATTCCCTTCCTCTCACCACGTCTTATGAATCAAGTCATCAAAATGGTCGTTGTGTGAGTGAAAATCACACCTGCATGGTTGGAATGGATTTTTCTTTTTCTTTTTTCATTCTTGTTTTTTGTGTGGTTTGCACCAGCTTCACGGAAAGAACCTCTAACTTACTGTGTCGATTTTATTATGAACGTAAGCCATATTCTGTGGCTTTTTACGCCGATTTCAAAGTTTCGCCTAGAAAAACCGAATTTTTTAAAAAAATGCTTGTCGAGCTCAAAGTTGAGGAAGATTTCTGGTCCAAGAAAACTTTTTTTTGTGTTTTATTAGATAAGTTTGAAGTCGAGCTATGATTTGTCAGCTTTTTGCTCAGAATTGGCTTTCAATGAACTTTCACAAAAATTCTCGGCACTCATTGCACCGAGATTTGAAACCCTTCGCTTAAGACAGTTCGAATGCTTCGCGCAAACCGCTTTTGGTCTGCCGCTTCATTAAGTACCTCTGGTACAGTAATCAAGTTTTGAAATATCTTAAGGCTGTATTTTTGTCCAATTGAACTTAGTGAAGTTTTTGAAAAGCATGTTTTTTTTTAAATTGGTTGATCCTGAATGAAAACTAGATTGCATGGTAGTTGCTTTTTTTGCTATTAAAAAGTTATTTTTCTAGCTTTTTCTAAACGCCATGGTCGCACGGAGAATGGTTTTCGATAAAATTTATTCCACGCATATATAATTTAATTCTGGGTTGAGCCCATTTTCATTGAGGCTATTGATGCGTAGTTCGCAAGAGTCGTATTCAAAATACTTATCAGTAAAGCCATTCCAAGTGCGGCCTCGCCAATCGAGTAAAAAACATTTTACGCTTCTCAACTAACAGTTATTTTGGCCTCGCTTCGCTTAATGATATTTCCACTGTGGTAAAACTGTCAAGGGCTGATTGTGTGGGCAAAGATTTGTTTTGAAAAGGCTAATAGAGTATTCAGGTGGAAAAGAGGAAGATGAGAAGGTTGTCGGAGATGATTTCCGATTGGGAAAGACCTTCGCGCAGTTCTATCAGCAATATGTATTTGTATGCTAGAAGGGAAAGTGTCTACATTGCCAGGAAGAAGTTGGCCGGATTGAAGGTTTGTAAATCCACTTTATCTGGAAAATAAGATTTTTCAGGACTGGGCTTTGGATTTGTTGGCCAAATTGAAATCAAAACAGGGAATGGCCATCCGACGTGAAACTCGCGCTACGAAGCTTGTGGCGACCGTTATGCGTATGAAGTCAACCTTTTGAAGTCATCAAAAAAACATTTCCAGTGGTTTTCCTGGCCTGCTGGCTTCCCTTCTTCACTCTCAACATGATCAAGATCTACAAGCTGATTTTCAACGTTTGGTCTTCCGACTTGGAGATCTGGTTCCATTGGTTCACAGCTCTGGGATACCTTAATTCTTCACTTAACTTCTTCATCTACTCGACTATCAACCCGGTAGGCGTAAAATCGAAGACAAAGCGGGGCTTGGAATGGGTAGCATCACGGTCACGTTTAGTAGAAAAACAGTTTCTGGAAGACTAGGAACTTTGCAGCTTCTCCGTACTTATTCCTTATGCCACCTCCCCTTGAAAGAAAATTCACAACGTTTTCTTTTCGAGACATTCCAAATGCGACCAAGTGTTTGGCCGCCATTGGAATGGCGCAAAGCGTCGCCGTGGCATCGCAAACTTTGTGAATGAAAATTCAACAGTCTTCTTGAACAATATCGGTGCCGGCGCGTCTGAAGAAGTTTAGATATAGCAAATAGCCATTCCAAATGCGGTCAATGTTTCCTTACAGAGAGGGTTTTCAGAAATTCCGACACTCCTTCCGACGACTTCTTGGTTTCAGACGGTCTTCCAGGAAACCTAGAGAAAAGTCCTGGATGTTGCCTCCCAAAGACAGCAGCCGGTAAAATTCTGATTATCCATTGATTTTCTAAACTTTCTTCACAGAGGACCTGCCAAATGTGGATGCGGATTCCATAAAATCGTCAAGAGCCCTCTTAAAAAAACGAGCTCTGCTGGGTAATTTTAATCATTTGATTTTTGGTTTTTTTATCTCGCAAAACTTCGAAATTGAAAGAAAAGCATTATAGCTCTGAGACGTCAAGTGTTGCACTCCCTTTTAAGTCCTCTCGCAGGTTCGAAATCATATTCCGTGCTCTCCGCTTTTCTTCAATAAAGTTCTTTGCATGGTTCTTCTAGGCTTTTAGAACTTCTCTAGGAAGTCATTTTCTTCTCAGCTTCGTCCGTGTTTTTGCTTTTTTTAATTTTTCAAGACTTTTTTTAAAAATTTTTTTATACTTCATTTATTAATGTTTTGCTCGGCACGAGTTGAACGCGAAAGATCAAGTCAATCTATTGAAGATCCATTTTCCACTCAAAATACTTGTTTTTGGCAGAAAAAAGATCGTCTTCAATGAATTGAAAGTAGCCTTTTTTAATGTAATGCATTTTTGTACACTCATCAATTTGGTCATTTTTCACTTTTCTTCATTTTCAGACCACTGAACCGAAAAATTTCCATGCAAAAGCCGGAAATCGTCATTGATGAGATCTCGCCCAATCGAATCTCTATTTCCGCTGGTGGAAACACAACTTTCAGGTTTCTCAAGGGTTTGAAAACAATCAAAAGTGAACTTGGAGGAGGTCTTCCGATGACTGCATCCGACGCAGTTCTTCTGAAATCATCGGAGGGATTTCTTTGCCGTCCCAGAGCAGCAACGAGAAACGAAGGTTCCAGTTTTTTTCAGGAATTCATCTTAAATTAAAGCTGGAAAGTTATTTAGCGGAGCCTTAGCTGTCAATCAAAAGCCAAAAAAAAAACAATTTGTAAGGGTTATAACATCCCCCTTTTTTGTCTTAATTTCTGTCCTATCACAATTTTTTTATCAGTGTTCATCAGGACGTTTATCAGAAACCGCAGCCTTATCGCCTCAAGTAGAAGCCTGCTTTGATTTAATGATTACAAGGCATTTTGGCTTCACAATGGCTTCAAATGTTCATTTTAAATTCATTTTTAAGAGGCTCCGGAATGTCGAACAGCTCGGCGTCGCTGCACATCCACGAAACGAGAATGACCTTCGAGGCCATGGTCCACGATCAGGTCGATGTTGAAATTTTCGTGTGATTTTGTCAGCGTTGTTTTTTTTTTTGAATTTTTCATCATCGTTTTTTGGTGTGTAACTAGACTAAAATGTACATATCTACTTACAATCAACTAAAAAAACCATTTTTAGTGGACTCCAATGTATCAGCTCAGAAGTGAGTAGGTTCCGATTTGTATGAATTTCCCCCTTCTTTCCCCATTAGAATTGCTGTTTTTTCCTACTGCTTTTCTTTTCTTTTTCTCCAGAAGCTTCTAACTTTTATTCTAAATCCCGCATGAGTTTCAGAAGAAAGTAATTAAGAAAAACGTCGTCGGATTATTGTGAAGTGTTTCAAATTGCAGTGTTTAGATCGAATGTAATGGAAGAAGGCAGAAACGTTTTTGAATCTCTCTATGAAATTCCAAAAAAACTTTTTTTTAACGTTAAGCGAACTTTCTACAAATATTCTGTTCAATTCTAGGCATGAAATGCATATTTATTGTTTCCCCAACGTGTTTCATTTCCAACACGACCATCAATTTTAGCCCACCATGCACCAGAGCTATGTGACGATTGCGCCGAGGAATGCTCACTATAAATCAAAAATATCTGCCGGTCCGTTTGTAAACGACGTTGGCTGGCCACGGCACTTGTTTATTTATTTATTTGTTTTTTTATTTTTATTTTGCATGCCCGGAAGTTGAGTTCCGTATAACAAAAAAAGCCACTTCAACCACAAAAAAACTTATAAATTGATTTTTCTGCTTTACAGAAAAGTATTGAATATAGAAAAAAACGTTTTTGATTAGAAGGAAAAAAAGTTTCTTAAAAAAAGACTTTTAGTATTTCACTCCACAAATTAGGCCTCAAAATATTATTATTCAACAAGAAAAAAACGCTCTCGGAATTAACTTGACAGTCAGATAGTTTGAAGAAACAGAAAAACTAGAAATTTGACTATCACACTTTCCCGTTTCTCCTTTCATAAACTTTCACAAACCAAAATAACTTTCCGGGCATGCAAATTCAACTTTTTTCAAATACATACATATTTGGTTGCAATTTTCTCGCAAATTATTTTCCATTGCATCGCACTTCTACTCCCTGTTTCTGTCGTGTGTTATTTATATTCATTATGTCGGCTTTTACTTAGTTTATTTTTCTGCCAACCGCACTTTCCCAATGATAAAAATATTGAATAACCTGCTCAATCTCAACCATCTGATCATTGCAAATAATTCACACATATCGGTTAACTTGATTTGATCTCTTTTTATTATTTATCAATTTTTTTCTTCTCTTTATTTTTATTTTTTTCCTTCAACCTTTGCGAATACTAAGTTCTCGGGTTATCATACCCATCAACAATATTCAATCGATTTTTTTGATCTCTCATACTATATATTATTCTGTTTTTTCCCTGTGTACATTATACGCTTTTCCATAGCAATAAAAGTCTCAAATTTGAAGCTGTACGCAATTTTTTCAAAACGATGATTTTCTTAACAGCATTGCTCAAACTGATTTTCCAACAAAAAAAAACAAGGTACAGAAAAAATGACGTTTTTATTAGGGTTCTCAATTGAAATCCTAATCGATGACAAAAGGAAAACAGAGGTCCGCGATTTGTCGTGAGCAAGTGTATGCACTAATCTTCGAGTGTAAATCTTTAACAGGAGCTGTTGGAAATGGCTACCTCGTCTTGTTTTTTTAACATGGATTTTTTTCTGATCTTATGTCACATCGACAAAGAACGAACAAATGGAAGGTTTCTTTTCTTAGTAAAAAATAATTCGAAAAGTAGGTCTGACATGACTTTTCTACTTGAAAATCTATCTTATTAAAAAGTGAAAAAAAAAAGAAAAATAACAACGAAAAGGAGAAAAACGAGAGAGTGAGAGGTTGTTACACATTGCCGCGGAACTACTGTAACACATTAACTCGCTGGGTGGTCCGGCGTCCTCGGAGAGAGAAAATTTGCCGCCCAGTACAGTGGAGAACTCTAAGCCGGAAATTTCTAGTGTCTATACCACAATATATATGAAATTTTTTTCAGATTTTTGACCGTTTTTTTCAAGTTTTTTTCAGTCCTAAAGGCTATCAAATTTTTTTCAAATGTAACTCATTAAAAAAAGTATTTGTCGATGAGCAAAAAAATAAATCAAATGGTTATCAGAAAAAGGTACCTTCTGAGCTCATTTATCGTTCTAAGTTTGCAATTAAAAAAAAATCAGTTAATTTGATAGGAATGCAGTCATTTCGGGTTTCAACTGTTATCAAGACAGAAAGCTAGGAATTTGAGAAGCTAGCAGTTTTTAGGATCTTAAAAATCAGATTGATTCTGTGTTTTCTCCTCTATACTATACGAGCAAACTTTGACTGAAATGACCTTTTTGTACTTTTATCAGAGTTTTTAAGGTCCCTCAAAAGTAAAGCATCTTATTCTTTTGTGATTTTCGTCCCTTGAAGTTGGTACCAGCACCTGACAAATGTGCAAGCGTAGTGTAAACAAAGTGTAAATGAGACGCCAAATCAATGCCGCTTTTTTCGCTTTGTGGTAGTATCAAACCACTCCACACGCATAACGATGGATACGTGAGAAGCAAACGTTTTGAAAAAAAATTAAGTTGAAAAAAATCGACGCACTTTGTCTTAACTGTGTTAGAGATCTTTCTTAAAACGAAGAAAGGTTGAATTTTTATGATAAAAAGAGTATAAGACAAAGAAAATGGGCGAGAAAAAGATTTTTTTGCATAAATCTACAAATTTTTAATTATAATGATAGAACAGTTCTAGCAATTTATCATAAGTATTGAAAAATTAAGTGATCTAAAGAGAAACAGCAAAGGGAAGTTTAGTGGCTTAAATTTGGCAAGGTTTAGAAAACTTTCAAACATCAACTTTTGGAAAATTGGACTCGCATTGTATAAAAAAGTTCGTTTTTAAATAAATTCTTACTTCTTCTCCTCTTTGTACCGCTTGAGCGGCGTCGGCGCCTGACACTCGATGAGACAAGATTCTATTCTGTTATCAGTGATAACCAGTAAACTGAGAAAAAAATCCTATAAAAATCTCATAAAAAGCCGAAAATTTTTTTTCGTAGATTTCGAAAAAAAAAATCAGTTTGAAGTTCAGGAAGGACCACTTTGCAAGGTCAAAAAAAATCCTGGTAAATTAAACAAGAGCATAAGGGCGGTCCCACGTTTTCGCTGGAAGGTTAAAAATACTCTATCATGTGCAATAACTATGGCCGCTGCCGCCAGTCAACGGAAGATTATTTTTTCTAAAAGGAACGTTTCAACAAGAAAAGTTGGTTATCAAATATTTTGATCATAAATTAGGGGGCTTTGCTATGCTCGGTCATCAAATCGGTACTTCAGACTCCCGCGTCCATTAAACCAGCCCTAACGTCTCCCGCAATCATCAAGTCGGCCCTACAGACTCCTGCGCCCATTTAACCAGCCATACAGTCTCCCGCGTTCATCAGACCAGCTCTACAAACTCCTGCAATGATTAAGTCTTCCCTTCAGACTTCCGCAATTATTGAATCAGCCCTACAGGTTTGCGCAATCATTATATCGGCCCTGTTGACTCCCGCGATCTTTAATCGGTTTTTCAGACTCCCGCAATCATAAAAATGTTCCCACAGATTCCTGTAATCGTTAAATCGTCCCTACAAACTACCACGATTATTAAAATGTTCATACAGTCTCCAGCAAACATTATATTGTCTCTACAGGCTACCGCGATTATTAAATTGTTCATACAGTCTCCAGCGATCATTATATCGGCCATGTTGACTCCGCGATCTACAATGGGTCTTTCAGACTCTCAAAGTCATAAAATTGTTCCCACAGACTCCCGCAATCAATAAATCGTCCCTACAGACTACTGCGATCATTAAATTGTTCATACAGTCTCCAGCGATCATTATATCGGCCATGTTGACTCCGCGATCTACAATAGGCCTTTCAGACTCCCACAATCATAAAATTGTTCCCACAGACTTCCGTAATCATTAAATCGTCCCTACAGACTACCGCAATCTGTCAATAAAATACGGCGAGAGGCGTGGAAAAAATGCCCCACGGAGGTTTTCTGCATCTCTTCACCGACTCTGACTGTCTTACAGGGCGTCGTTTGGGATTTCAAACTTTTGAATTTCCCTCACGTATCCTTGATGGAAAATGCATAATTAATTACCCTTCAATTAGTTATTTTTTGCTCTGGTGATTTTCTTGATACTTTAGGAGCTTTACTTAATGTTCCATGGCATAAAAGGAAAGCCTTCTCTTAAAAAGGACTTGCCAAGGAATTAGAGCTAAAATTTTCAGGTATTACTCCTCTTTCATTTGTTAAACCTTCATACCTTTTTCGTTTCACCTATTCTCAATAAAGTGCTCGTTCCACAGAGTTTTGAATGAAATTCCTAAAGAATTCGTGGCGAAATTACCTCCTTCCATTTTTTATGTTACGTTCTCCGTTTTTCTTTGGTCGTTTATACCTCAAAATAGATTTTTCCTGCAGGGGCAAGGCTATCATGACTGAAATCGTTCCGGTCCTTTCTGAAGAAGACAAGGACAGATTATACCAAACTCTTCCCACGACCTATCATGTGTACAAGGAATTCGATGCTCTTTTCGAGGTAAATAATAACTTTCCGTTCATTAAATGGTGAATTTTTTATAGAAAACCGAAGGGAAAGAAAAACGAACAGTCATATTTGATTTCCCAACCAGCCTCGTGTTCTGGAAAGATCAAGGCCAAAGGAGCTCGATTCATGGGCTCGCCCTGCTACGTTTATTCATCATGAATGGCTTTGAAGCCTATGGCGTCTTAACAGCCTACGGATGTCGAAAAAAATCGCGATTCGACGATATTGTCGCCAAGGTGAGTTGAGAGCCTTTCTCTACATGTAAGAAAATTTCATTTTTGCAGACTTTGAAAAAAAGCGGCCTTCTGGTCCAAGTCCCGCCGGGAAGTCCGAAAAAAACTCTTCTGATGTCACACGCTGAGAATTTGGATGCTGTTATCGTCACGAAAGAAAGATCAAGGTTTGAATTTTTGAAAGTAGTTTTCTATTGCATGAGGCGAAGTTTTTATTAGTCAGCCTCGAAAAATCTTAATTTTTCGATTTACTTATTTCAGATTCTTTATTTGAAGATATGAATAGAAGAAAAATAAATGTTCTTCTAGTTTTTTTTTAACTATCGCAAATTTTCTAGGCGCTTGGAATGAAAACGAACAAAACACGATTTTTAACATTTTCAGTGAAAAGTTGGAGGCACTATCGGATGTGTACCGAAGACAGAACGTCGTTTATTTTACCGCGCAACAAATAAAATCAAGCGAACGTCTATCTCGTACAAAAGACAATCGGCATTTTATCAGCTGCTGCAAATTTGCGTTCACTCCAACTCAATTCTCGACTTCAACACTGCAGGGTATTTTTTTCTTGAATTTTTCCGCACAGAAATTCTTCAAACTTTTTGGAAAGATTCCTGTGCTCCAGTAGTGAACCGACGTTCGAAAAAATAAAAGCAAGACACGCTTCGTTGGCTTCGGATTATCAGAAGAAGGCAAGTGTTTTTGAAGTTTCATTAAGCGTTTCTTTCAATTTTTGTAATGGTGCTTGAGGAGAAGCTAATTACGCATAGAAGATTTAGAACGATTTCTGATGATTTTTGAAACCGTCGATCTGTTTTGAAGGGTATATAAATATTTTCACATTAATCGAGATATGCTCGAAACAGGAAAAAAAGGCTAACAGAAAGGGCAAAACGTTGATCCGCGCTTTTATCAAAACCTATCAGCCACTGTGCAAATAACCTTCATCATTTAGGAAAAATCCTGATTATGAATTTTTACAGGCGCTTTTGGTGCTGAACGAACTGTGCTACATGAAGTCGTTTATCATGAAAAAGTGTCGGCAGGTGATTCCCTCACTTCGAGTTCGAGCGCTTTTGGGACCAGAAATCCAAAAGAGAATGACCCCGTCGTCAGGGGTGCAGACGCCGAAAAGGGAGCAGAGTCTGAAGAAAACGTCGAATGAAAACAGTTGTCAAACAAATCAAGAAAAACCAATTGTGAGACTAAGATTCATTTGAGATTCCATCTGACTAAAACAACCAATAAATATTATTGATGATGAGATGCAATTTGTTAAAAACTCGCACTGTTTTAGTTTTTTCATAAGTATACTTTGTATTTTCTAGATTTTGATATGCAAACTTATCTCTTCACACTTATTTTATTGCAATACTCACACAAGCTTTAATTCTCTCCCGATCATCAACCCGCACTTTCACATCAATTATTTTCTCTGAGATTATGTTTCTTTTATTTACTACATAAAATCGGTCTTCAAAGTTTGATAACTTCATCAATTTGAACAGTGCTGTTGATTTCTGTTGAACTTTGATTAAATCTTGCCTATAACTGTTTTTTTAATGATTTTTTTAATCAGTTATGTTTTATCTTCGATTGCACTATTTTTCTATGTCACTAATCATCGCTCTGTCAATAAAAAAATTTGTGAAGGAAGGTATATAATTTTGAAAATGTATTCGTTTCGTTCGAAAATTTATCGGATTTTTTTTTGAAAAATCACTGTGGAAATACCATATAAATAAGTAGATTTTGGCATATTTGGCCCCTACTGAATGCTCTTAATGAATCCCATAAACTCTTCAATTTGTCACGAAAGTGAAAGTAAAAAGAGGCAAAGAGCAGAGTTGCTGATAAGACGGGTCGCCCGTTGTCAAAGGAGCCATTTTCTCCTAGTTTTTCTACTAGGTCGTTTTTCACCTTTATTTTTTTCTCATTTAAAGTTTTGCGGGTCGGGTCTCTACAGGGCGACTATTTGAGCCCCGTCGGCAGCTCTGGCATAAAATTTTACCTTACAACCAAGTTTCATCATAATGTTTTCCTTGTTGGGAAGGACCCAAAATTCAAAAGAATTTTGAAACCCGTTTTTCATTACTCAAGGCTTTCTAGAGCAATTAATTTCAGAAGACGCTATCCGGAGCGAAGCAAGGAAAAAGCTCCCGTGAGGTTTGCCGCGAGACTACGGTAGCACATTAACTTGCTGGGTGGTCCAGCGTCTCCGGAGGAAGCTTGTGTTGCGTCAGAAAACTGGGTCGTCTGGCGTCTTTCCAACATCTCGCCTCACTGTAGCATTGAACCTCGTTATACCATTATACCTTCTTTCATTCTTTGACCTTTTGTTAATAATTTATTCCAAAAGTTTCAAATAATGAGCTTTTGATTATTCCCGTAACTGAAAATACTTTATTAAGAATGTAATTCAAATAGTCTCATGTAATAAGTCTTGTATTGATTTTTGCTGATAGTTAATTTTCGTACGAGTAAGTTGTCTATCAACTCTCGACCATAAATAAATGAGTATTGGCGTTTTCCGTCATTATATCGGCTCTACAGACTCCCACAATCATTGAATTCGCCCTTTAGACTCCCTCAATTAATTTTTTGTACATACAGACTCCCGCGACCATTAAATGCGCCCTACAGACTCCCACAGTCAATCATTTGGCCCTTTTGACTCTCGCAATCGTTAAATCGGCCCTACAGACTCCCGAATTCTGTAAATAAGATACGGACGATAGACTCGGAAAAATGACCCGACGGATATTTTTTGCACTTCCTCGCGCCTGTTGGGCTCCAACTGTCTCACAAAGCGTTCTTCGGCTCTTTCAATGTTTTTTGAATTCTTTCGTATACCAGTGACGCCCTTTTTTTTCCTTCATACTTTATCCTAATTTTTTCCAAGAACCAAATTTATTAAAGTTAATCTGTTGTACCTTACTTAATGCCTTTTTTGAAATGATTCTCGAATTTGCTTCTGAGCTTTTCTCGAAGCAATTCTTTGTGAATGGATGTCGTTTGGTCATTCTATTCTTTTCAGCTTTTCCAACAGCACGAGAGATGTCGCAACTGCAAGCCCAGTCATTCCTTCAAGAAAGGAAACAGGAAGGATCTTACGACAGTATTCTCAGGAACACTCAAGATTACAAGGAATTCGACGATTTCTTCAAGGTGAGAATCTAAATTTTTTAAACCATTTTTTAAACCAAGTTTTTTTTTTCCAGCATCGAGTGGATACTGTTAAAAGAACCATTATTTTGGATGCTTTTAGCGTCATGAAGTATTCCGGTAAGATTTAATTTTTTCTTCAAATGATGTGTGGTTCACATTAAATTCAGTCATTGAGTGCTTTTAAATTTTTTTAGGGAAAGAAGCGAATTTTCGGAATTTTTTAACACTTATCTTTTTTCTTCGGACTTTTATATGCACATATAATGATTTGATTGACGATTTGAAATTATAAATCTATAGAGAATGAGAAAAACAACCGGGCAGCTAGGAAACTTTTTCACTTGACTCTACAGAACGGTTCAGAAAATGATTAACAATAAAAACTATGAAAACTCACGTAAACTTTGCAATTTTATAGATGATTTTGCTGAGAATTTTTTTATTGGAAAACAAAAAAAAAATGCTGAGCATACTTTTATGAGCCAAATTTTCTTGACAGCTCCTGCTAAACTTAATGTATTCCCTTACAGTTAACAGTGGAACTCTCGAGATGGGCCCGCTGTTGAGTTTTCTTCGGCTGTTCGTGGTCAACAATTTTGAAGTTTATGGACTCCTTGCACGGAATTTCTTCAATCGGAAGAATACACATGAAGGTATTCTACTGAACGTGAGTTGGAACATTTATGAACATTTGACCTCCTCATTTTTCAGAAACTCCTGGAGAAAAAGTTATTGATAGCGGTGTCAAACGGGGAACAGGCGAAACAGGATATTTTCGCTCACGCTGAAAAGACAGACGGATTGATCGTCTCCAACAACCGATTCAGGTGTGGTTTTAAAAAAATGTGGAAACTTTTGATGCAAAACAAATAGTCTTAGCGGCCATCAAACCGAATCATATTTTTTTATCATCGAAAATAATTGAAAAAAGCTACTAGAGAAGTAGTTTTGTGGATGCGGTAAATTTAGAGCTTTTTTTCCATGCTTGACCTTTTTTCGTGCAACGCAGAGGGTAATCATTTTCATCCAGGATTCATATTTTGTTGATAACTTTCTATTTTTCTGGTGAATTTCCAGAAGTTTAAAGATTAAACTGTTCAAATATATCCTGAAACGCGTCTGAAAGTAACGGTGAATTTTCAGAGACATGAACAATGAAAAGTGGAAGCCTCTGCTTGAAAATAATCTTGTCCATTTTTACACGTTGCCTTTGGAAAAGCCAGATCGTTTCAAAAGAACCCGAGATCACAGACATTATATGTGCGACGTCCGCTTCGGATTTTTTAACAGCGATTTCACACAACGCTGTATGTCAGGTATTCCCCTACGAAAAAAAACCTCTGAATCAATTTTTGTTTGTTTTCAGAAACTTTTGTATTTTATCTTTATGATGCGCTCTATGAGAAGGCAGAAAAAGCAAGGCTGAGATGGTCGTCTGAAGTCAAAAAAGAGGTTGTTTTTGCCGGATTTCAGTTCTTAGAAAAGATTTTTTAGTAACAGCGTAAGCCAATTCGACTCTTGAGAGTTTTGGAAAAGTTCGAAAAAAAGTTTACTTTGAAGTAAAAAGATTCAAAACTGGAAACACCTAGTTTTTTTACAAATTCATAAGATTTTTGACATTTAGATCTTATTTCTTAGAAGTAGGAAGCGTGCTGTTGAAACTTTGAAATACTCTATCTGGTTAATCAAATAGTTTCTGCTCGATTTCCAGAAAATTCTCAACCCGTAATGATTTTTTTCATTTAAAAATCATATTAAACTTTTTTTGAAAAGTTTTTGGAACAAAAACTATTTGATGTCTTACTCGATTTTTTTCTCCTAATTTTTTTCAGTCTTACCATGGATTTTTTTCAGGCTTTGCAATGCCTTGACGATTTGATCTACATCCACACCGTTGAAAAGAATCGCGATCCTGAAGTAAACTCATTGCCGCCCGCTGTGGGAACGAATATGGGAAACAAGGAGGAGGAAAAGAAAGGAGAAGAAGAAGAAGTTGCCAGTACTTCGGAAAAAGTTGCCGGTACTTCGGAAGAAATTGCCGGTACTTCGGAAAAAGTTGTCGGTACTTCGGAAGAAGCTGTTGGTACTTCGGAAGAAGTTGCCGGTACTTCGGAGGAAGTTGCCGGTACTTCGGAAGTAGACCTCATCCAATTCAGCGACGATGAAGAAGATGTGGAAAACCAAGCAGGAGGAGAAGAAGAAGGACAAGCAGGAGGTGAAGAAGGAGAAGGAGAAGGAGAAAAAAAGGAAGAAGCTAGTGGTCCATGGGTCGACGATTTAATCACGTTTTGATTTGTCAATTTCCGCTCAACATGTCAACTCTGCTTCTTAATTACTTAAAAATAACTGTCCTTCCAAGTCCAAATTCTTGTTAATTTTAATTCCTTCTAGTTCTCCTTTTTGTTTCTTTTTTCCTCTTGCAAAGGAACTTTTTGAGTTTTTTTTGTTGAATTTACGGAATGTTCATTCATGATGCTTTTTTTCCAAATCTTGTTTTTTTTTTGGGAAATGTCTTATCTCAGAGTAGCATTTTGTTGGATCTTCATTCTTGAAGAAGGCTACATCTTCGTTTGATTTTCTTTCCCAAGTTTTGATTTCCCGTCACTTTTCATGCATTGTATTTGTTTCCGATCTTGTTCACTTCTATTGAGATTGCCTTCTGGTGCTCTTTTCTATCTGAATGAGCTTTTAAACCTTTTTCCGCTTCAACTCGATGAATGTTGTTATTTTTTTACCACTTATTGTTGTTTTGACAATTTTACACATTTCCGTGATTTTTTGTTGTTGTTGATTGAACCTTTTGGTTGAAAGTGAATAATTTGTAAAATTGGTAGTTTTATCGAATAGTTTTCGTGTGATTCGAGAATCGTTTATTTATTTCAAAGCTCACCGAGTCTTATTCAATTTTTTCTCTTATTCTGTCGCAAGTTTTTGTCGCCGCTACACCAAAAAAGGTTTAAAACGTCTGGCGAGCGTCTGGCGGACGTCTGGCGTCTCTACAACTATCCCCTCTTTACCTAGATATTCTACCATCACTAATCCTTATTTTTTCGCTTTTTCGGGCTATTTCAGTGAAAAGCTTCAAATTTTTTGAAAGCTAATGTACCTATGAAAATTTCAAATCAGAATAATTGTTAGAGAACACATTTTCAAAGAGTTCCGACAAGATAAATTGACTAACGCCTCCTAAACGGTAGATAATTAGTCGCTGGCCTTTTTGGCCTAAGCCGGATAATCCGATCTAATTACTTTGGCTTTATGGGCCCCAGAAATCTGTCATAAAAGTGTGATCGGAGCGTGAAAAACGCCTCCTTCCTTTCTTGATAAAATTCGACTGACGCTTATAATTACAAACACCTTCGTTATCCTTCATTTTTTATTTGCTTTTTTTCTCTTGACGCTTTATTTTGCGTTGCAGGAAATTAATTTAATTTTTTTTTATTATTCGGAGCATTTTAAATTTTCTGAAAAGTGATATTATTTTTATACTTTGTTTCAAATAACCTTCCTATGAAAAGAAAGAAAAACTTTAAGGAAGCGAACTTAAGCCTTAAATTCAGCCAAAAGCTCAAAGTTTTTTTATCTTTGATTCAAATTTAAAAAAAGCCCTTTTCCTTTTCGTTTCTTTAGTTCAAATTATATCATTAAAAAGTACAAATTCTTACTGAGAAGTATTGGCGCAAATCGAAACATTTACAAAGACCTTGTGCCAGCATGTCCACGTAATTAATCACCTCCCAGCAAGAGAACGTTTGGCGAGGAACTTTTTGACGGGATTTCCTGCCTATTGACTTTGAAAAATCGTTTTTATCAATTTTGAAGAGATTATAGAATTAGTTTCATAAGAAAATTACTTTTTTACTCGAGTTTATACTACTTTTTCTTTTTTCAAGCGATTTTTCTCCTTTTTTAGCTCATGTTTATTGCGATTTAGTGATTTTGCCGAACTTTCTTGGTTTCTCTACCTGGTAAAACTTCGGCTTTATCAATTTATTTTGCCATTTTCAACGATAATTTTTGTTCATATTCCTTTCAGATTTGCAATCAAAGGACTCGAGAAATGGAGCAAGAACTAGAGAGAAGACTTCACATGAGAGAGTTGTACGAGAAGATTCCCAAAAACTCCCAACACTACAAACATCTCGACCTAAATCTTCAAGTGAGCCGTTTGAACTTATTTCTTTTTCGAAATTGATTTATTTCATTCATAAAACGATTTTTTTCAGAATCGGATGGGGGCGGTTAAAAGGACGATCATCATCGATGCCCACAGCGTCATGAAAGGTTGGTTCGATTTTTTTTTTCGGGGTTTTTTCACTTTTGAAACCTGCCGTGACTAAACAATTCATTTTTTTTCAGTTGAAGAGTTCGGATATCTTTAAAAAAAAAGTTGAAAAACCGATTATTATGAAATGAAATGTCTATTAAATGTGATAATTTTGGTGGCATGAAAGAAGAAGCAGCAAAATTTTCAACGGCAATAGTTCAGATTTTTTCATATCACTAGAGAATTCCCCGACCGCGAAGTTTCGAAAAAAATAATTTTCCGACTTTTTTTTCCGATAAATACTTCGTTTTGAATTTTTTCATAAAAGACAGGTAGTTAATTGATGATTTAAACGCAAAGAATAAGGAAAAATAATGTTATAGATCTTACATAAACCGAAAAATATAAGGTAAGTTCTCTAGCAACATCGAAAAATCTGAAAAAAACGGCGTTGAAAAATTCGCTGGCTCTAATTTCCAAATATTCTACCAAATCCAAAAAAATAAGGAAGCATATTCAAAAAAACCTTAAGCTAAAATTGGTTTTCGTAAAAGAAAAACTTTATAGTAAAGATTATTTTCGATTTTTTTTTGCTGTTGCTAAATGATCCTTCACATAAGAAAGCTCGTGTTCGAAATTTTTTTACCAACTTAAAATTCTTTCAATAATTTCTTACAGCTGAGCGGGAAACTCAATCGGTTACGCCATTGCTCTCCATTCTTCGTTATTTTATTATGAACGATTTCGAAGTTATCGGCTTATTGTCTAAAGTATATCTTTGCCGACGTCAAACGTTCGAAGACTGGCTCTTGGACGTGAGTTGAAACTTTTCGAATTGTTTAGAATACATATTTTTTCAGAGGCTTTATGACGCTGGCCTCCTCAAAACGGTTTCGAATAAGAAAAACGCCGAGAAAGACATGTTCAATTACTCGAAAAAAACCAATGGGCTCATTTTCTCGCACAACAGATTCCGGTTTGATTTTTCTTATATTATAACTTTTTTTAAAGAAAAAAAGCTATTGATTGACCGGTTGAAAAAGAACGTTTCTGTATTTTTATTCAAAAAGGACTCGAAAAAGATCAATTTAAAAAAATGTAAAATTTTACCAACAAGAATGCTCATTTCTAACCGGCCAACCTTATGATATATAACCCTAAAATGTATCCAATCTGCTCAGATTACTCCTTAAGCTGGTTCAAAGCAATGAATTAGTTATATTTGTCGAAAAAGAATCTATTTCGGGGTTAACTGGGAGAATTCCAACTTTCAGAGGGAGTGTTTCGTTTCAAAAATCATTGGAATGTTAGATTTTGAATTTTTCGCTCGCGAAAAAATGACGAACTAAAAGATTTTCATTGTGCTGGTTTTCGAAAAATTGATCTTTGTTAAAATTTAAAAAAAAAAAAAAAAGCAAAAATTTTTTTATCATTTTTTTCATGTTTCAGCGACGTGAGCGGATTGCTACTAGACCATGTGAAGGCTGTGCGAGAGAAAAGCTTGTTGCATTTTTCAACAAAAAAGCTCCGTCCTGAAGAATGTTTTAAAATGACAAACGACCGTCAACACTTCATGTGCGAAGTCCGTTTTAACATTTTCGTGGGCAGGGGCTCGCAGCGAACATTAAGAGGTATGTTCCTTCTGAAATACTTGTTTTGTACTATTTTTCATTTTTTTAAGATATTTTTCTTCTCCACCCCGGAAGAAGAATACTATGAGAAATCTTGGTTCCAAAGAATGAAGTGGTCGGAAACCTACAAAACCGAGGTGATTTTTTTGATTTCTCTCATTAGTAAATCTATTCGAAAATCGAAAATTTTTTAAGCGTTTTCAATAACCGTTAGTTCATGTAATGTGCCATTAAAAATTTTTACAGGCTACTAAAAAAACTTTATGTTCCATATGAACGGAACTTTTCTGCAATGGAAACCAAAAAAACCTCTCAATTTCTTTTTAATAAACCGCTCCGTGTGTTATTTTCCAAAAAAGTTTGAAAGCTTCCGGGTATCTAAAAAAAATTTTTCGATTTGAATTGTCCTTAAATATTTTTTCGGAATGAAAAATGTTTTTTTTAACCATTGAAACTAATAGTCAATTCATCCCGACTTGTAAGGCGAGACGAGTAAGTTGGCAATGGTGAAGCTTTGCGGGTGCGACACGGCTTTTGGTGGGTAGTTCGATGTCAAATGCAATTATTGAAAATTTAAAAACGCGTTTTTTTATTATTTTTTTATACTTTCATTCGTTCGACTAAATTTTTTCGAACCTATACAAATTTACAGTATATTGAAAATATATCAAAGAAGGAGAAAAACCGTAGGCTTATATTTAACTCACGGTCCCCGCCGAAAGCCGCGCCGCACACGCAACGCTTCACCCTTGCCAATTTACGCAACTCGCTTTTCAAGTCGTGAAGGATTGACTATAACAAATATTTACGATTAATGTTTTTATTATTGCTTTCAAATCACTCGTTAATGAAAAGGCTTACCGTAAAACTTTCCAGGCGCTAATGGTTCTGGACGAACTCATCGCGATTGATTGTTCCGAAAAGAATCGATTACACCAAATCGATTCCCCGAGCGAGAGTCCGGTACAAGGAAGAGCCGAAGAAGAAGAAGAAGAAGAAGAAGAAGACGAAGAAGAAGTCGAAGAAGAAGAAGAAGCAGCAGAAGAAGTCGAAGAAGAAGAAGAAGCAGCAGCAGAAGAAGCCGAAAGAACCGAAAATGTTGAAGTCGTTGGGAACAGTGATAACGACGAGGAATATGATTACAATAGGGAGAACGAATTGAATCTCGAAAAAGAGCGAGCAATAGAAAGAGAGAACAATAACGAAAACGAAGTAAATGTCGAGGAGGAAGTGCGAAATGAGGATCAACTCAACGAACATGGTGAGCTCGAGGGGGAGGAAGAAAACTTGCCTGAGGAAAATAATGCGGTCGACGAGGAGCGAGAAGCTGAACCGGTAGAAGAAGCCGGCACAAATCAAGAAACCGGCCCTTGGGTTTATGACCTTATCATTATTTAATTTTTTTTACGAAGTCTTTTTTTCATTTTTTCAATGGTCCGACCTAGTGAATTGTTCATAAATCGACCTTAGAGTTTCAACTCTCAGGGAATCTCTCTTAGAATTCAAAAAAATCAAAAAAATTAAAAAGCAAGAGCAATTTTTCGAAGTTTATCAAGCATTTCATTATTTTTTTGAGATTCATCAAAACGCGTAAATTTTTTTATTTTTCGATTTTTTTGCTGAATATTTTTTTACGAGTAAGGCTCCCGCATGATAATGGTTTGCAACAATGTCACTTAACTTTTGGTTATATTTCATTTTGAAATTCTTACTTATTTATCGCTGGTCTATGGCTTTACAGTTATCCGAAAGTTGCCTTTTTCATTATTTTGCTTTTTGTTTCAACTTACTATCTCATTTTTTTCGTGTTTATTCTCATACTTGCCAGTAGTTCATTTGTTTTGAGTTTTCTTTCGTGTTGGTAATCTTTGTGCATTTGTTGTTTTTCCATGTCTCTCGTTGTTTTGTTCAAGAATAAAGTGTTTTCAAAAGTACTGACTTATTTGAAATTTTTCGTATGCTCGAAAATCATTATTTTACCTCGAAACTTATCCTTTGAATGCCTTCATGCTGTGTTTGAGTATTTGGACAGTGACCTTGTTCACTGTCTGATTGCAGATTTTCCATAGCGCCCTTCAAAAGAATTTGAGAGGAGATTTACCTCGTCGCGTGAATTTTTTTTTTTTAGGATTAACTTGATACTTTCCAGTGGCTGAAAATGGCTGCGGTTATAGAAACAAATAGTCACGAGAGGTTGAAACGGTAATCTTCACATATTTTTGACCTACTTTTGCGTTCTGTCTCATCAAATTATCTTGTAGAATGCCTCATTTCAAACCTAGCGGCGTCGTCAGAAGGCTTTCTCAAGCGATGGAATGAGGGGTCAGCCGGAAAAAAAAACCACCATCCATCAAGTCAAAGACTGGAATCGCTCTTCCGTAAGTTCCCATTGACGAAAATAATCAACTTGAAGCTTTTTTTTTAGTTGGTGAACATGGCGCCAGTTATCAAGTTTGGAATCGCTTTTCCGTAAGTTTCCATTGACTAAAATAATCAACTTGAAGCTTTTTTTTTAGTTGGTGAACATGGTTCCGGTTATCTACACTGGCTCAACGAATTGTTCTATCGGAATGGAAATTTTTCCATACAAGTCTCTAGTTTTAGTTGACAAAACAAGTCAGTTTCTATTTTTCAGTTCTAAAAGATGACCCTCAGTACCGGAAGAGACTTATCTCTGTTTTTCCGATGCGACCGCGACTTCATTTATCATCTGATGTTCTAATAGCTGATTTTTTTTTTGGTCGCACTGGGATTAACCGACACACTCTGCGCCACTGAACTTGTTTCACGCATGTTGCGACCATCAGCTGTAAACGTTGGTGAGGAATCGCTTCTTAACAAAGGATCGAAGATCGAAAAGAAAAGCCTGAAGCATTAAGATGAGTTAGCTAGCGGTTTTTGATCTATATGAAGGTTAATTTTTTTCTAACCTGTTTTATCAAAAAAAGCATTTCAATTTAGATAATTTAGATTGCATAGATGATTATATTCAAAAAGTTACTTCTCAGGGAAGTTCTTTCTGCACGTCGTCTTTTTATAACTGGATGAATAATGCTCCAAAAGGTCTATTGACTCAGTTTCAACTATTACTCAAAATTTGGTTAGCTCTAAAAATAGTTAAAAAAGATCTGTCTAGAATTTTTGTGTTTTCTAATGATCTTCTTTCTTTGAAAGATTGAAATTTTTCAATTCGCAAAAACATCATCTTAAAAAAAAGACTTCTAATCCGTGCTAATCTACCGATTTTTTGAATCAACTATTTTGAGAGCGCCAAGTTGAAGTTGATATACTGGATGACCCGAAAAACGATTCGCACACCGGTTTCTGACCATTCGCCTGCACGGAAACTATTGAGGCACATAAGTTGCCCCTACGAAAACCACAACACTCAAAAACATGTTAAGAACAAGTTTCGAAAGACTCTTTCAGTTGTGTAAATTTGAGAAGAAAATTTCTGTTTCGTTGTCTCTTTTGAAAATTCGGCTTTTTTTACCATTTTTTTATTAATTTTGAGAATGAATGAAAGTAATAGGCATGAAATTAAAAAAATCTCCAGTCATAGTATATTTTGAAACTTGAACACATTTTTTTGGTCGCTTTTTTTCATTTCTTCTTGATTTTTTTGAGGAGTCAAACTAACAAAAAAATCTATAAAACTAGCTTGAAAGTTGAATAAAAAAATTAATTTTTAATGCATTTTTGATTTTTAAATTTCCTGGAATTTTTTTCCAATTAGTTTTTTTTATTTTTTATGAACTTCACCATGAATAAAATACCTTTTTTTCCTTTGAAAAAAAATTCAATATAGTCACATGTAGACAAGAAAAAATAGATTTCGCAGTCTTTTCTCCTCTTTATACAATATGTGCCTATTATGGGGAAGTGAAGAAAGTAGAAACCGGTTAAGGTCAGCTGAGTAACCGCAGGGTTCCCACTCGACTGTAAGACAGGACCCGTTCTCCTCAGTATTATCATCTTTCTCTTTCTTTCGCTTATCCCTTATCTCCGTCCGCTGTATACTTTGTTCTGCCTACTAGATTGCTGACCTTCTAGTTATTTGCAAGAAAAAGTTTTATATACCGAGTTTTCAAATATCTCGAAGGTTTGTGAAACGACTTTCTACTCCTTTATTTCGACAACGTCAATCCTTTCGCGCTATTTTTTTGTATCGAAAAAGTCAGAGTTTTTAGGAAGAAAAAAATTATAAATAAATATACCATCTTTAAACCTTTTTCTTAACTAACTCTCTAGTGACATGAAAAACTTTTTTAATCGCGCAGTTAACCTTCTACTCAACAGTTACAAGTGAAAGACATCAAGTTTATCAATAATTTTCTACTTTTAGTTCTAAAAGTGAAACAGTACAATCATATATTACAGAACTTTTTAAGATCAAAGATCAGAAATAACCTCTTAATCTCCCCAACCGCCTTTTGAAACGGTTTCGAATGAACTTGAACTCTTTCTCAATTTTTTTTTCCTTATTAATGAGTTTTGAACAAAGTTCCGGATATTTTTCTAGAAAAAAAAATTTCATAACTATAGTGAAGATCAAAAAAACCCTACACACGTCAGATGTTTTCCTGAAACACTGAAACAGCTGTGCGACCGCGCTTCCTTTTTTCCAACTTCTCAATTTTTTGCAAAATAATTTCCTTCTTATTTTGAACGCTCTTTTTTTACAGGATAAATGACAAAAAAGGAGATTTCCGATGAGGACAGAGGCAAAATTAACAAATTGAGAGAGCTGGTCAAGGTGAAATTCTATATTTTCATATTCGTAAGGAAAAGAACTTTTACAGGCTGACCTCACATCTTACTATGACACCGACTTCAATATTTTGAGATGGCTTCAGGGCCATTCTTCAACAAGCCTTGAGGATATCGCTAAAAAGCTCACTCACCATCTGAAATTGAGGTTTGAACGTTTCTGAAAAAGTAAAAATGTTTAGTAACGTCAGTAGAGAGATCCTCACCTAGTTTTTAGTCCTTTGCTTCAAAATTTAATTTAGACAGAAAATATTTCTGCCAAGGAAAACGCATAAATAATAGTTAATACAAACGTGCACTGTTAATGTAGAACAGGTTAATTTTCATGTAATTGTGAAAACTAAAGTCGCCCTTGGAATGGCTTGTAGCGAGTTATTCGGGATTTGGCAAACTAAAAATACGTTTTAGTCATCCCAAGAGCGACCACGTCGTCAGAAATACGCAAATAGAGAATACAAATTTGTTAAGAGATATTGCGATAGGTGTTAAAATTTTTTGAACCTTATCAATCTACAAAAAAGTTCACATTGTTGACTGAGAAATAAATAAAGGTAAAAGTATATAGAGACCTTTTATTCCGTGTTGAAAGTGATTTCGTGTAATCCGAAACTGCCGCCAGAAAAAGAAAAGTATAACTAAACTTTGGAGAGTCAGATATCATTTCGCATTTCGCGGAAATCACTTTGAACACGGCATGACAGGTTTGTTTGAACTTTCAAAAATTTTTAAAAAAGATTCCGTGAAATAATATCTTTTTTCCTGACTATTTCTGCTTTAAAAAAAATTTTTAAATGACATTATATCTCTGTAAACCCCTTAAATAACCACTCCAACTTTTTATGTATTGAAACCTGTTTTTTTTTCCAGAAAATCAACCTGGCAGCTTGACGAACTTCACAAAGCAGAAAGGAACCAAAAAATTCATCATCATTGGAAATATGGAATCACTGGAGAATCGAAAGTATTGGAAAATTGCATTGTTAATGTGGAACAGGTTAATTTTCATTTTTTGTTTTCCAGAAAATTGAATATTTTCAGTGCGGGAAAACGGATTATTCGGGAATGATGGAGTCATTTTCCATTTCCGACGTTATGAAGGCGCGAATGGTGGATTTGGAACAAATGTTGAATCAAGTTATGAAGAAAGAAGAAGAAACAGGTTCGAACTTTTTTGATTACTCGAGTTTCCTCAACCTGGTGGAACAGCGTGCTTTAAAAAAAATTCTTGAATTTTTTCGAAATTGCATGAATGGATCGAAACGTCACGATTAGGCTATTTTTTGATATTGAACTCAATTAAAAAAACACTGTATTTTTTTCTGTAGCCTGATTGATCTTAAGCAGATTCTTTTTGGAGATCATAAAACATTGTACTTCAGAAATAAAGCCAGTTTAAAGTGACCGCCACACAACCAAGAAGCTTTTAGCCATTTTTTTAAGTGTCACGAGGTTTTGAAATATTAATATTCAACTCATATTCAGGAAAACAAGCTTGGATCCTCTACGTCATGGATGTCAGTGGCTTGGAATTCAACAAAAAGCTCTACGAGCTAGTGACCGGATCTATGCGGGCCTTGGCTGAATTTATGGCCGAACATTACGTCGAAATGATCAAGGTTTTTCTTTTTTTCTGATACAATTTAGGAAGGTTTTTAGTTTTTTGTGCCAGTCTGCGTGCCAAACTTCGCCTGTAAGCTTTACGTCTTAGTGCGACCACTTCTTCCGGAGAAAACAAAGGATAAAGTTAGTTACTTTTTTTTTTTGACTCGAAAAAAAATTCATTTCAGGTGAGATTGATCGCTGAATCAAACTGGAGGGACACAATACTCGAATACGCCGACGTGGACTCTCTTCCGTCCATTTGGAACGACGAAAACCATCAATTCTTCTCCAAACTGGAACTTCCCGTCCCTTATCCCATTGACGGATATTACTCGGCAAAGAAAGAAGTGGTGAGAAAGATTTTGGGAGTAGAGATTTGCAGAAACGGTTCAGAATGGAAACTTTTTGGGATATATTTAGTAATTTTTTAATGGTTTTCCAAATTTTTAAATTTTAACCTACTTGAATCAACCCTTTGATAAAATTTATGAATAAAATATTCAGATACCGGAAAACGCTGAACGTATCAATGTGGTTGCTGGAAAGGTCCACGTCTCGAAGATTTTTCGTGAAGGCCGGTTCCGTTTTTGACGTGGTGGGTTCAAGGCGACAGGAATTATGGATTCGGATGTTTCACGAGTGAGAAAGAAGATGTCCAAGATTACTACTTGTAAGTTCTTTTTTTATCTTGGAAATTCATAGTTTCTATGTTTTTTTCGCTTTATTTTCCAACAGTCAAATAATCTAATAGTCACTGAAAATAGGAAAATATACTGAAAAGGTTTCAATGAAGAAAAAGCGAATTTTTATGCTTGATCTTAAAACTCTCAAATACTTCTATTTATTTTTTCAGAGCTGACCAAGTGACGCCGATGTTCCCTTGGATGCCTATTACACTTGTTCCGTTGAACGACTCCATAGCTGTCAAAAAAGTGAGTGTTACAGCAAGTGCGCTCCATTGATAACAGGATATATTTTTCCAGAACGCATATTATCATTTGTGGGTGAGCAATCAAAGAGCTTGGTGGTTCCCTCTGACCGTCACTTTATCCATCTCCGTCGAGGAGAACGAGGCTGAAGAAGCCGTATAAAAAATTAAAAAATTGTATTTTATTGCTTGTATAAATAGTAAAAAATTGATCTTCGTTGTTTTCCGAACTTGTTTATTAGGGCGCGGAAACAGTAAAGAACTGGAGTACAAAACATAATAACGTTTTCGAAATGAAGAAAAGCTTCAGGATTTTCGGAGTCAAGTTGTCAAGGGAGCGTATAAGCCAAAAAAATTCAAAAATAATGGGAAAAATTAAAGGGTATAAATTAATATTCGGGCAGGTTAAGAAATCTTAAAATTGATAATTTATCACTAAGTTTTGGGACAAAAGTAGAAGATAAGTTATTAGATTCAGATTATCGTTACTAATGGCTGATACGGATTGTTGCTCTATAGATTGGCTCAGAAATCAGTGCGACGATCCTGGAGCTTGCTTTGAGCTTCCAGGTTGATCATAGGCCTGAAAGTGACAATTTTTATCGATTTTTAGAAAAAAATTTCTCAATATTAGGAAAAAAAGAATCGTTGACGTTATTTATGTTATAATCTGATTGAAACTGAAACCTGGAAGTCATCATACGACTGATCAACTATTTGGAAATCGGGATCGGCCATTTCCTCTTTAACCAGCGCCTGAAATTTAGAAATTGAGAGAGAATATCTTTTTTCGGTTTTAGAAGTTTCATTTCATTTGTCGTTTCAAGTTGAAATCAAGTACCAATAGCCCATTTCAATCTCATTGAAAGGTTCAGGGTTTACACACAAAACGGTCGCAAAACTATTCCGATTTCGAAGAGTGCCTAGTGAAGACATCGGAGTCCGTTTATTGGAATATGATTCATTCTTAAGTTCCGGAAAGGGATCAGAATATATATCTTGGTGTATCAAAAAAAGATTCTAAAAATTTTTCACCCTGAAGAACTTCTTAAATTTGAGAAATGAAGGATTCAAAGCCCCGGGTAGCCAATTTTAAAGATTTCGAAGGTCTGATCCGGCTTTGAACTAAACTTTCTCGAATGCCAGAAATTTTTTTGCAAATCAAGATCAAGACTTCCAAGATACATATTTAATATAATAAGAGGTGTTCAGGCTAGATTACAGAAAAATCTCAACCGCAAAATTGATTATCTTCAATGATTTCATAGGAAATGGATGCGGAAGAACTCCTAGACTGCGTCAATTATTAAAATCATGACAAAACGCATCGCGACAGCTTTGCATACAACTTGTACGGAAGGGAGTGAATATATTCTGAAAAGAACATTCAAGAGCCAGAGTACAAACCTGAGAGTGATCAGAAGCCGGATCCAGTGTGAAGAACAACTCGCCTTTGTCGTCTCGGAGCCCGCTCTGAAGTTGAAAATAAGATATCAAAAAAAAAAATGGATAAATAAACTCCTTGAAAAACGATGTCGTTTTTGTATTTTTTGTTGATTTTCAGCATGCCGTTGAAAAACTCGCGACATCCATAGGCGAAGCTCTGTTCGCCGGTGATTGCTCCCTGAACAAAAGTTTGATAGAGTTCAAAAACAAGGGACCCCGAGTATTTCAAACACTTTCTGATTTTCGGAAACTGCGACTACTTTAAATTAGAAGTTCTCAAAGTCTCAAGTTGGTCTATTACTAGCTCTTCTTAATTTTTGTCAATTTCAAGGCACAGGCTCTTAAAAACTAGGAAATTGGGCGGTTAAAACTTTTAGGCTCTTTATTCATTGCGACAAGTACCTTTTGGTATTATAGAAAAAATCCAAAAAAACCCCCGACGGAGTAATTTTCAATTCAAGTTTTCAGTCTTAAAAGCGAAAGCTTCTTTTCGGATTCGAAATTTAATTTTTTGAGTAAAGATTGGTGAAAAGTTGGAACATCATAGAAATTTTGTTCCCCCTTAGCGGACGTCATCTCATTTTAGGGCACTTGGTGAGTTTTTCTCCGAAAAAAAAACAAAAATACCTCCAAGGTCGCAGAACCCTCAGTCACAGGAAGGACAGCCGAATTGTTTTCTGGACGAAACAGATTCATATGATTCTGACCTACGGCGATCAGGTTCTTGAAAACGGCTACAGTGTCTGCGATGTTTTCCGGTGGCAAGTTTGAGAGGCGCTGAAATAAATTAAATACAAAAAAATCCCTTTGTCTTTTTTTGCCGCAACCGTGCATAAATTTTATAATTTTTAAACTTCCTTTTCTAACTTTTTTTCGAAGTTTATCATTCCGCGGAAATTCAAAAAAAAACCACCTCGACAAGGTGGCGGTACTTCTTCATCGCCTTGTACTGCTCCCAATCAACGTATTCCACCGAATAGCCAATGTGGCCGATTTCTTTGGCGCCCTGAAATCGCAGAAAAAATTGAAAAGCGAAAAATGGGATAATAATTATTCATTGAGATATAATATCAAAGATACAAACCTCATTTGTCGAAGTAGCTTCACGGTACAAACGAGAAACTTCTTTGAAAGTTGGCTTGGCTTCCTCCGCGCTCAAAAGATTTCCCATCACTGAAAAGCTGTCTTTTACCAGGGAGTTAGTCTTTCAAAAAATTTCGTTTCCGAAATTAAAACTTTATGCTTTTTGATGTGAACGATAAGAATCCTGGAAGTCCCAGTTTGCATTAAAAAAATTATAACTGTCTAAGAAAGCAAAAAAAAAGCGATCAAATGCAGGTTCGATAGTAGTTTAGCCCTTGTATCTTCAAGAAAAAATCGATTACAGGAATTTGAGCCTTTCGAAATAATTTAAAGGTACATCAAAAATTATCCCGGAAAATCTGCAAATTAACCAATTTGTACAGTAGAAAGACCCCTTCCCGAAATAAAGCTTCTGGACAAGTTCTTACATCAATTTGTGCCGAATTTGTGTTTGAAAGTTTCAAGAAGACTTGTTAAAAAATTTTTAACTCAATTTTGAAAGGAACAGCTCACTTAACATGAAAAAAAAAATTAGTCTCTGTCAGGGTGGACGATTATTATTTATATTAGTCCATGACTAAAAGAAAAGAAAAAAACCGCGAAAGAATGATCGAGAAAAGAACAAAAAATGAGACATCATCACGCGGAGCGATGTTTATACGATTTCTGTACGCAGATTTAGAAAATGTCATCGCCTACATGATTCATGCTGATCGGGCCATTCGATGTCCTGTCTGGAGTCATTTCTGCGGAGAAAAAAAAAATTTTGCTTCAAAAATTTTATACAAATGAACATGATGCAATACTTTCCCAAAAATATTTTTTTTTTGGAAAGACTTTTTTTAATTTAGGCTTATAAATCACAAAATGCAAATGCTAAGGAATCACACTTTGGTTTCCAATACTTCAAACAATCTTTCCAAAAGATCAGTAAATGAGACCGTAAAAACTTTGATAACCATTATTGACGAAATCTCCGTGTCAGAATAAAATTTTTAAAGCGCTTCAAAGAAAATTTCCATTAAAAAAGCAAGATTTCGAAACCAATTTTAGGTCGTTGTGAATCTGATCTATATTGCAAACAGAAGAAGTGGTTTTACCATGAAAACTAATGATCATTCCTGCTCCTCAATAGTAAACCCATTCCAAAAGCAATAAATTGGCGGAGCTTTGGACATGAGAAACCGTGGCGACGCCGATCTTCTCAAAACACCATTGTCAGAAGGACCTTTAAAAAATATTTGCCTGAGCTTACCATATATCAGAAACCAAATATTTTTCAAAGAAAAAAAAATTTGATATCCGGTGTTTAAAAGTTGATTTTAAGGTTCCTGGAAAAAACATCCTTTGCCGTAAAACCTTACAGAATATTCATTTATTTTAACATAATCACAGCTCACATGTTTTTTTGAGAGATGTAATATTATGAAAAAAAGAGAAACTCAAAAGAAAATCTCATTTAAAGATAAAGATAACGGTTAGTAAAATGGAGAAACATACAGTACCGCTCAAAAAGTCTATTAAGTTTTTGGTTTTTTTGGGGATATCTCAGCGAGTACTTATCCGATTTATATATAACTTTCAGGGATAATGTAAAATATACTTTGAAACATATACGTTATACAAAAAAACATGTCCGCAATGACTGTGACGCGTTTTAGGCATTTTTTTATTGAATTTCATTTTTTGTTTTTTTATGCTTTTTATTTTTTTATTTATTTTTTTATTAAATTTTTTTAAAATTAATAATGTTGCCATATGATTTTTTTCATGTTTTTCAGACATGGGAAGAACCTTTGGAAATAAGAATTTGACTGATAACGACAAAAGAGCCATCGTTGTGGGTCGTCAAAATGGACTGACCATGATGACGTTGGCAGGAATGTTCGGCGTGACAGAGGCGGGCATTTCTCAGTTCCTAAAGCATCAGAAAGCTCAAGATGGCTCTACTAACAGCCAACGCACTGGAAGACCACGTGTCACTGATCGTAATGACGATAGGAACATTTTGAAGACGTCTAGAACCAATCCAAGACTCACCGCCCCTGCGATCAGACGGGAAGTTTTTCTTGAATTCGCCATCTCCGCCATCCGTCTCGACCGTGAAACGACGTCTGAATGCTGCTGGAATCATGGGAAGACGTCCAGTGAAGAAACCGCTGATTTCTGAAAAGAATCGAGCCGCCAGGGTGAAGTGGGCGAAGGAGCATCTCAACTGGACCCGTCAAGACTGGAACAAGATTCTGTGGTCCGACGAAAGCAAGTTCCTCCTCTTCGGGAGTGACGGAATTCAGTGGGTTCGTAGACCAATTGGGTCCAGATATCATCCGAAATACCAATTACCCACCGTGAAACATGGTGGAGGTTCTTGCATGGTGTGGGGCGCCTTCTCTGGAAGTGGCATCGGACCGCTTCATCGCGTGAACGGCATCATGGACAAGCACGTCTACAAAGACATTCTCCAGAACCAGATGTTGCCGCACTTGAGAGCCATGGGCCGTGGGAGTGTTTATCAACAGGATAACGATCCCAAGCACACTTCACTGTTCGTCAAGGTGAGAAAAATTGACAAGTAATTCGTATGGTTTTTGAAACTCAGGACTGGTTCAAGAGCCGTCGGGTCAATGTCATGGGGTGGCCAAGTCAATCTCCGGACCTGAACCCGATCGAACATCTCTGGGAAGAGTTGGAGCGACGTTGTGCCAATAAAAGAGCCAAGAATTGCAACGAGAAGTTTTCTCAACTGCTGTCTGAATGGAATCAGATCCCCATGTCTACCATCGACACTTTGCTCAATTCTATGCAGAGAAGATGCCAGGCAGTGATTGACGCCAGGGGCTTCGCAACCAAGTACTAGGTCCCGAATATTGTTTTCAACAATGTTTTTGTGTTGATAAAAAATTTTTTTGTTGAGCTATGATTTTTTTAATTGAAAATAGCAAAAAAATTCGATTTTTTTCGAAAAATTCGTTTTTTTCTCGAAAAAAATTATTATTCTTTGAGCTAGCAACTCGAAATTTTGCCAGAACACGTATGTCTCTCTCAGAAAAACTATGAAAAAAATTTGAATCGATATCGCACTTCAAAAAAATTTATCCCCAAAAAAACCAAAACTTAATAGACTTTTTGAGCGGTACTGTACAATTTCATGATTCAAAATGTGAACAGATTTTCAGACAGGTTTGTAGTCTTTTGGTGCGGACGCCTGGGTGTTAGTAGCACTGCGCTGAAGGATCTGCTGAAATTAATTTTGCATCAAAATTCTGATAACTTCGTGCTTTTTCGACAATTATTCTTGGTCAATGAGAACAATTTTCAAATCAGGGTTAAAGCAAAAAATGAAGCAAACCTTTTCCGAATAAAATTAAAACTCATCCTTCATCATGAAACAGGAAATTCTTGGAAACTGACCATATTTCTTGCTTGAGCCTTCTCTTGAAACATCTTATGGGTGTCCGATAATTTGAAGTGTGCCATTAGTCCACGAGCCGTTGGAAAGTCACGACGACATGGGGCACAGAAGAACCTTTCCAGGACGACTTGCGGCTGAAAATTCTTTTTCAAAGTCGTTTCAATTCATATTGCACATGCTATTTTTTCGAACTAGTTGAAGTGACTTTCAAAACATTGAAAAGGATTGTCACCAGTTTCGTAAGCAATCTTTTTTGGAAAAAGAAGAACCTGAATTCAAAGTTCACCGCTTTGAATCAAAACGCATTGATAGCTAATAAAATCGGAAAAATAAACCAAAATCATTTTCTTATTTTAGTCCAGTAGACCTCAAGCATGATCATAGCTTCTAAGCGCAATATTTTGCATATTCTGGTGTTGAAATCCGTGGTTTCAAAGCAATAGCATCTCTATAAATTCTAGACAAGAAATTCGACTTACCCGAGAAGTCTGAATCTCTTGGCGATATGGTTCCGGTGCCCTTTCCACCAGAAAAGGTTCGGATAGAATGCCCAAAAGAGCCTCTTCGTAAACGAGCACATTTTCGAGTACTCCACAAGCTGCCATCATCTTCTGCGGGGTTAAGTTCTTCATGCTCTGAAAATAGTTGTTCAAACCAAAAAAATCTTGAAAATTTTTAGGTAGCAGTACAGTACCATGTCTTCATTTTTTTTTCAATTTTTTATTCATGTGATCTTGGCTAATATTTGAAAATCGTTAGCTTACTTCCTACTTCGCTGATGTATTTTTGTAGTTTTTTTGCTCTCACGTGTTAGGCTACAGTATAATTGATTATAATATCCGTTTTTCTTATACATTTTCAGGTAATTTTTTCTGACCTCTGCGATTTCCCAACAAGGCTGTATGGCATTGAAATGCTCTTCGCTGACGTACGGAACCGAAAAAGTGATTTCTCCGAGCTTCTGTGCCTCCTGGAAGAATAGTTCTCACGACAAAGGATCGAGGTTAGCTTACGATATTAGTTACAGTGAGCTCTCGGAACAAGCGGGAGATTTCAGGGAGGAGAGGTCCAGCGGCTTCGATGCTCACGAAACTACCCATGACTGAAGATATCCAGTTCACTTTTTCGCCGAAGACACACTGAAATTTTACTAATCCTGTACTTCAAAAAATGCCGCACAAGAATGAAGGAAAAGTTTGTTAGAATTTTTGGAGTAAATTTCGAAATACTTTAATATTGCTTGAAAATAAGAATTATGAAATTAAAATTCTTCTCTTCAGGTGCCAGATAAAGGTAGCGTTTGGCGTAGAAACTATGACTTTAAAAGTACATAAGATAGTTTTGAAGCAATTGCCTTGCGCTTCGAAAAGGTGAAGAAAATAAATGTTCTCGTTTATCAAAAAGCCAGACGAGCAAAAAAAGAAAAGTGGCGGAAAAAAATGTTTTTTTGAGCACTTTTTGATATCAACGAAAAAATAAATGCATAGTCTCCACATTCGACTTCTTTTTCTTCGTTCTTCGATGTTCGATTCTCAATTTTTTTGTAGCTTTCTCTGGAAAAAATGATTTAAAAATATGCACATTTTCTATAGGTTCCAGATACACTTCGACCAGAGAAGATACGAAAAACGATTTTTGACCACGACTTTTTTGCGTGAGGTTTAATCTTTTTAATTCTCATGATTGTGACTGTGAAGCCGGACGGGTGAATCACTCGGGTCTCGAACCGGCGCACATGTTTTTTTTTCTTCTCACCTTGTGGATGAGTAAATATATTCTTATTAACTCCTTCCTTCAAACGAATATATTTGTGACACTGTTGTGAAATTTAAAATTGCGGGAAAAAATTCGCAGGTTTTGAACCTTTCAAAAAGATTAAGCTCCGTCAGGAAGTTCTGAGCAATCATTGTTTTTGTGGCATTTCTAAAAGTACCGTAGAAAGCGTGCAGCCGAGGAACTTTTCTCTGGAAAAAGGCTTAATTTCGAATACCGTAGGCTCTGTGCCTTTAAAAGGAGAAAAAAAAAGAAAGAAGGAACACCAAGAAAGCAGAGAAGCAGAACAAAAAAATGTTCATTGCGCGCTAAGAGCGCATATCGAGAATGTTCCGATGACTAAACCATCGGGGGGGGCGAACGGAAAATTTCGTGTCATCTCGCACTATCCGAGACGCTGCCCCTTGGCAGCTACGGCAGGGTCCACCAGTCGCGTGATTCTTCCGCGCCGGCAGCCTTTTTTTCCTCATCTTCCTCTTTTTTACTATCGTTTGTGGAGGCATATTGTTACAAATACTCGCATTGATTTGATGATTTTTTAGAAGATCCATCTTTCTAGACTTAAAAACGCTGTGATGCCTTGAGGCTGATTCGAACGCAAGTCGATCCCGAGGCGTTTATTTTATCTCACTACTTCGAAAGTTATCGTCCATTAGGAATTTTTTTCTTCTTCTTTTTGAACGCCAAAGTTTTTTTGCGACAACATTCAATTTCGAACTTTAAAAAAATATTAAAATTGAAGAGATTTTTTTGATTTTTTTCTTTCCCAAAAAAAGGCTTGTCGGTTATCAATTTGTCAACCTTGTATCATAGCTCACATTCAAATATTCAAACAGTGAATTTTCGCACTGATTTGTGAAGATGAAGTTTTTCAAAAAATATTCCATACAGTGAAATGAAAGTCCAAAGAGCATCGAGCTGCCGCGTGAAGGGAAGTGAGAGAAATAAAAAAGCCTTTTTTTTCTGACGTCTCTTCAGAGTGCAGCTGATCTATTCGGTGTGCATTTTCATTTCTGAATGCTTTCACGACCATTTCGAAGGAATCCCAACCTCGCCCGCTTCTTTGTATTCACCGTTCATAATTTCCGAAATAATCATTACATATTTCTTGCCATTGATCGAACTCTTCGTGAGAAGGCTTTGTCACAAAGCAGTGAACTAAGTTTTTTCTGAGATTAGAAAGATCATTTCCAGCCATTTTTTGAGCTTTTCTCCTTCTGTAACTCTATAGTTTCGGATCACTCACACCTCGCTGAAACATGTGGCGGGATTGACCTCTTGATTAACGCGAGACGTAATATGCTGATGACGTGATATCCTGTTACCTAGGCTACAGTATTACATTGCTCACTTTCTTATAAACAAGTTGGAGACACACGTAAAAATACCTGGAGACTTAGTGAGATCAGTAAGATACCTCATGTGAACATTAGAGCCGAAAATTTATTTTTTTCTCTCAAAAATTTTTTGCTTTAACTTTTTTCAAGAAATGTAATCGGCTTTCAAATTCTTACTTCTCACCTTCCTCCACAAGTTATTCATTTCTTTTTTTAGTGTTTGTCAAAAGATGATCCATCAAACAGTGCCCGAGGAAGCAGATCCACGTCCCCTTACGAGAAATGGTGATTTTTTTCAAACTATATATTTTTCTCCAATTCAGAGAGAAAACGTCTTTTTTTCGAAATTTTGCTTTCAAAGGTGTTTTTCGACTTTCAGAGACTCATTTCTCACTTTTCGTGACATATTATTTATTCAATTTTTTTAAGAACTCGACGTGATCGCCATTGAAGATCCTGTGCAAGACGTGGAGGAACCTTCCATCAAAGACGGTGATACTCAAAATAATTTATTTCGACAATGATTTCTTCACTCATTTTTCTGTATATTTATTATTTAGAAGGGAATCAGCGATCGATTGATGACGCCTCTGGAGTTCGGATGCCATCAGAACAGGATGGTGATTTTTTATATCATTTTTTGATATCAATCTTTTTGACTCATTCTTGTTCAAATTTAAGATGATATTGACCTCGTCTACGACTGGAAACCTCCGCTTGATAAGAGAGAAACTGAACTCGAAGGTCTCACTGAAGAAGAACTCGATAAAAAGTTGTGGGAAGAATATGACTTCGTAAGAAGGACATTTGGTGACCGTAAGTTTTCGAGAGCGATAAATCATCTTAATTTGAATTTTTCGAATTTTTTGTGAACCTGATTATGAGCTAGTGCAAAAAAAAGACAGTTTTCCGAATTAAACCTCGTTCAAAAGCACGGAGAAGGCGAGAATCTTTAAAAAGGCTGCGTTTCAAAAAATTTCGAGAAAAGTGTTTTTTTCTTGTTGCTGATGCAAGAAAAATTTAAAAACAATCTAATAAGACCAAATTTCTGATAAAATCATTGTTTCGAAATACCAAAAGCTTTCAACAACAGTTTTTTCTTCGATACCTATAAGAATTAGCAGACGACTTTTTTTCCTAGCCAGATACAGTCTTGCGTGAGTATTTTTTGGTTATTCATCCGTTACTTCGTCAGAAAAAAATCTTTTTCGACATGAAATTTCAACCAAATAAGTAAAACGATATTATTTCATTAAAGATTTGAGCCGACTCAAAAAAACTTCAAAAAAATGAAAAAACTTCAAAAAAACATGAACGAAAAAAACTAAAAAAATTTAACATTTTTTTGGTTTTTTTCGTTCATAGGGGAGTCTGAACCTGGCTCCTCAAATGAGTGGCTGGTTGAAATCATCATTTGTAAAAGCCACTCTAGAAGACTTTTTTTTTACTTAAAATTTCTCCCTTTTTGCGCATTAAATGTCTAGAAAAAAATTTCAGACCATTTTTGTGTCCCAAACAAGAGGCCAGCCGTACATCTGACAAACGCGATGCTCCAATTTTTCATCTCTGTTGACAACTTTGAAGATTACATTAGTGAATTCGCAACATTACATCCAATGGATAAGCTTCTGGCTGAGTTCAAACAAATTGTTTGCGAAGAAGTCATGGAAACCGAAGACTTTGTAACTCAGCTTCGTCGTCGACTTCCGAAAAAATATTCGCTGGAACAGTTTTTCCGAGTGAGTATTTTTTCTCTGGTTCACGGTTTAGACTTTAATTTTCAACCTTCCCGTAGTCGTGAGAATTTTTTCCATATCAACCTTTTTTTTTTTGTCACTTCGAGTGCTTTCTCAGAGTTGAAGTAGGTGGAAAGAATTCCGAAAAAAAAAAATCCTGATTGCTGGATTCGCCGTAGAGTCCCTGAGTCAGTTCGAATTGGTATTGATGAATAAATTTTCAGATTTTGCCGAGATCGATAACTAAGCAGTTTGAAATCTTAGCGATGGTGCATTATTGCTGCCCTAGGGATCACAGTCAGTGCAGAAAAGAAGAAGTAGTAATTGATATCGCGGAAATACCCTGCCGCGATCTTGGCTTTCTTGAAGACTTCAAAAAAGAAATTCAGGTGAGTTTTTCAAACCGATAATTAGAAAAATAACATTATTCTGAACATTTGTATAATATTTCATTGACAGATCAACGTGAACCCTAACAAGTTCACTTGGATCTAGAACTTGAGAGAGGACATAATACAGTTATATTTGAGTCTTGGGGGAATAGATAAGAAGATCTCGTGCAATGGTAGATTGACCAGTAAAAACGATTAGCTAAGAAAAACCTAGATTTGGAAGGTTAATAAAAGTCAAAACCTCACAAAAATGTTCGGGATAGTGACGATACACATTTGTGAAGCGGTGGAAGGAAACTTTTTTTGAAAATCATCTCACTTTCAGCTAAAAGAAGGCCCTTGTCGATGTGGGAGATTGAAAAATATCTTCGTTTGCGCTCGACGAGCTAAAGGTACCCTTGCAGAGAGTCTTTTTTGGAAATGTCTTGTTCCAGATTCGAAATATTTTCTTCTAGACCTCAGCAAGACAGCTCACGAGAAAAGCCGCCATCTGCTGGAGGCGGAGAATTTATACCTCGGTGAGCATTTGAAATAAGCTATAAAAACTTTAAAATTCTGCATTTTCAGATTTTTTTGGAGTTAGAATGAAATTGCTTGCAGTGATTTCATTGTACCCCTACGGTTTTAAGAGTTACATGTGCTTCAAACGGTCGTCCGAAGGATGGGCCGCGTACATTGACGAAGGAGACATTCATTTCCACAAAGAATTGCCGAAAATTGGGGAAAAGTTGCTTTATATCATTTACAAGATAGTCGACCCCGAACAACCGATGAATTCTTAGGCTGGGTTCCCGAAACGTCCATTCCTATTAGGTTGTCCAGTAAGTCGATTCACTTTTCTGTTTGTTCTCTCTCATTTAAATATTTTTCGAAAAAATAACAAAAAAAATGAAATATTAGTTGATGTTTGGCTCATTTATTTACGTTTTTCGTGAAGTCGAAAAATGTGATCCCAAAAATTTGATCAGCTTGATCATCAAGAGATCGAAGAACCAAAAATCTCAAGATCCTTTTTTCTTCTCCAATAAGTCTTGAGCTACGAATTTGATAGTATAATGGGTAATTCTCATGTTATGAAATTGCCAATGAGAACTGAACATTTCTGTGAATTAAAATTTAGAGCTTTTCTTTCTTGATTAAAATGCAGAGAGAACAACAACTAGAGTAAATTCAAAAACAGAGCTCTCTTGATGATGAAACAGTAAACTGATTAACAGTGTAGTTGCTATATTTTTTATTCCCTAAAAACAAAAATTTAAAGGGTTGTTCTGGGCTATCTACTTCTTTTTTTTCCAATGGTTCTCATTTTTTGTTTGTCTCGTGTGTTCTGTCGTTTTGTTCCTTCGCTGAAACGCGTTTTTCAGATTTTCGTGCCTTTTTCGAGACAAGTTTCTTGGTTTTTTTCCCTCTTAGAAACAAAATTACTCGTTTTTCTGCTCATTTGTTGAACCTTTTGCATGAGTTTTAAAGGTTATTTCATTACGTTTTTTCCAGCTTTTCAATTTCATCACGCGTCTTTTTTTTCTTACTGTTGTCCCGGTGGTTATTTTCTGCGTCTACTTCGTTATTCGTCTTCGATTTCGCCCTATCACAAATGTTGAAACTTTTTATTGTACGCCGACTTATTATTCCTTGCTTGTCTGATATTTTTTTTTGGCATCACACAAAGACAGTGTTTTTGTTTCTTACTCGGAATCCACAAAAACTTTTTTTCTCAGTTTTCACTGAGAAATCCTGGATGATGTCTTTTTTTTTTGATCCCTTTTTTGTTGCTTTTTTGTTTGAATAAAATTTTCCTTTCGGAGAAAATTTGATCAAAAAAAACTGAAGGTCACTCACGGAGTTCTGAATAAATTCGAAGAAGAAGAAAATATGAGGGATGGTCTTATGGTCCTTCGCCTCGTTCTTCTGCACGTAGTTCATTCAGTTACGACTTGACGAGCTCAGAAAGTAGCAAATGTTGTTGCTGGAGCCCGGAGACTGTGTTCTAAGTGGGAAAAAAATTGAAATGAGAGCAAAATTTTACACGGAGTGTTGATTTTTTCTTCTCGTGGTGTGTACCTTTTTTCCAGCTGAGTTGGAATTGATAGGTCGACGTCTCTGTAGTGTTAACCATGTACCTTTCACCGGAATAAAATAACAAAAAGTTCATTGACACAGTCTGAACAGAAAAAAAAACAATTTAAAAAAATTACACAGCTTTGAGGAGTTTGAAAGAAAAAAATACCAATCTTTCCAAGAAAAAAATGATTTTTGTTTTTTCACACTGATTTTCGATTTCGAGACGAGCTTTTTCGATCTCCTCGGCAGATTATATCAAGAAAGGGAATCTCCGAGGGATTTTTGACTCATTGAATAATTAATTAATTTTTTTCCGAATTTTTTTATTCTAAAGATGTCTACAGGGTGCGCGCAAATCACGGAAGCAAAAATAATTGACAGTGAAAGTACCGTAGTTTTACCGTATTGATTCAAAGTTTTGTGGATAGTTTATTTGAAGCAATAAAAATAACATAGCAGGTCTTCAACGAGACCACCGCTATTACGAACGCAGACCCGAAGGTTTTGAAACGTTTTGAGCGTGGCGGAGGGGTAATCGACATCAGTTTTGACCCATATCGCTCAAGGGACGCCATCATAGGCTCGATCTTATGATGTGGTGAAGTACAGGCCTTGGACTCAAGATTGTCCCATACAGAGTAGTTCAACGAATTGAGATCCGGCGAATAGGGCGGCGAGTCAGAAGTGTAGATGAAGCCAAAAAGCCCCTTCTTGCATCACTGTTTAACGATATTTTCCTCTCAGTCTTGTTTGAGAATCCATGGTCGGTCTCCAAAAATTCACCTGGCCAATGGGAGCAGTCCTCTTTGCAGAACGTGTTCCTTATAGTTGTACGCGTTGACCTCGAAGTTCTGCAGCACAAAAATCAAAAGGATCTTGTTTGTTGCGTGATTGCAGCCCAAGCCATGACTGAAGAAGGAGAGCTCGTGGGACTGACAATTCTTTCACTTGAATTGACAGCTTGAGTTTTGGGGTCAACAATTCTATAGTTTCGATGGTTCACGACTTCTCCAACAGTTAAATTTTTCCATCGTTAAAGTCTATATCAGCGCAAAGCGAGAAAGCAACTCGCGACTTCGATCGACCCTTGTGGCTTTCATCGGATTGCTCAGGATGTGTGCTTCCTGTATATTGAGCTACATTCTACGTAGTTTGCTCGTGACAACTTTTCGGGCGCCCGTCGAACTCATTTTCATCTTCTCAGCGAGTTTCCTCATAGACCTTCTTGGATTTTGACGGATGAGATCGCGGACTTTTTCGTATTTTCTGCAGATGTATGAGTGGCTTTGACACCAACGACGAGCGAACGTCGAATTGTTGGGAGATGAAAGAGTTGCTGGGACCGTCTTGAGGGGATTTCGGAATTGCGCATGAAACTTTGACGCTTCATTCTGTATAATCTAAATAAATTTTTAGTACTTCGATATCAAAAGACGCATAATAGTTCGACGAGTCCCATAAACAAAAAAAGAAAGAATGAGAATTAGGATGCCTCAAGTCAGGATCATTCATCCCTTTTTAAAGCTTTTCTCCTTAAATCAGTAAGAAAGACCGGAAAAATTAGAAAACTTTTTCTTAGGATTTTTCAGTCGCAGTTGAAAACACTTTAAAGGCTTCAAAAATACTTTGAAATCAATTTTAGGTCGTTGGGAACCAGACCTGGAATGTGAACAAAAGTAAGGTTTTTACAATGAAAACTAAAGATCGTTCCCTCTTCTCAATAATAAACCCATTCCAAAAGCAATGAATTGACTTTGGACATGATAAACCGTGGCGACGCCGATTTTTTCAAAACACCTTTGCAAAAAAGACCTTCAAAAAATATGATGAGCTAACCATTTATCGGAAACGGACTATCTTTTTAAACATTCCTCAACAATTTTTTGAAAAAAAAAAATGATACTCGGTTTACAAAAAATTTATTTGAAGCTTTATGAGAATGATTTTCTTTGCTGTAAAACCTGACAGAGTATCCCTTTATTTCAACAAAATTAAAGCTTAAATAATGTTGAAAAAAATACAAAACCGCGAAAAGTGAGGAAAAATTTAAAGAAAAGTTCATTTGAAGATTAAGATAACGGTTAGTAAAAGGGAAAAACATACAATTTCATGACTCAAAAAAAAGAACAGATTTTTCAGAAGAAATCTAACTTTTCGGCGTTGACGGCTGGGTCTCAGTAGCACTGCGCTGAAGGATCTGCTGAAATTAATTTCACATCAAATTATGATAATTCCGTGCTTTTTCGACAATTATCCTTGATCAATGAGAAAACTTTTCAAATCAGGGTTAAAGCAAAAAATGAAGCAAACCTTTTTCGAATAAAATTGAAACTTATCCTTCATCATGAAACAGGAAATTTTTGGAAACTGACCAAATTTCTTGCTTGAGCCTTCTCTTGAAACATTTTGTGGGTGTCCGATAATTTGAAGTGTGCCATTAGTCCACGAGCCGTTGGAAAGTCACGACGACATGGGGCACAGAAGAACCTTTCCAGGACGACTTGCGGCTGAAAAGTCCTTTTCAAAGTCGTTTCAATTCATATTGCACATGCTATACTTTTTTTGAGGATTGTGTTCAGTTTTTAGTTAATCTTCTACCTTTTTAGAGGCAGAAAATCACAATTTTTTCAGTTTTCGCAGTCGTAGAAAACTTGTATCATAAAGTAAATTTGAAAGATTTCAAATTTCTTGACTTGAAACGATCGTGACGAATCGGAAAAAGTCCGGACCCATTTTTTTCAGGTCACCTGACTTCAAGATTGATCTTAACTTCTAATCGTAACGAGTTTTGAAGACTCGTGTTTTGAACCAGCAATTCAGATTTTGAGGCAATCCTGAAATTTCGAAAACGAATATCCGACTTACCGTAGTCTGAACCTCCTGCCCATATGGTTCCGGTGCCCTTTCCACCAGAAAAGGTTCGGAAAGAATGCCCAAAAGGGCCTCTTCGTAAACGAGCACATTTTCGAGTACTCCACAAGCTGCCATCATCTTCTGCGGGGTTAAGTTCTTCATGCTCTGAAAATGATTGTTCAAACCAAGAAAATCTCGAAACATCTTAGGCAGAAGTACAATTTCTTGTCTTCATTATTTTTTTCATCTGAATCAAATTGTGGTTCAAAATTTTTTCTGAAGATTTCCTACTACTTGAGCCACAGTTGGTACAGTGTCTAAGAGCTTAGAGAGCGGGTTCAGAAACAGGACATCTTTTACTCATGGGTTTCAAAATGAATTTTTCTGACCTCTGCGATTTCCCAACAGGGCTGCATGGCAGTGAAATGCTCTTCGCTGACGTACGGAACCGAAAAAGTGATTTCTCCGAGTTTCTGCGCCTCCTGGAAGAATAGTTCTCACGATAAAGGATCGAGGTTAGCTTACGATATTAGTTACAGTGAGCTCTCGGAACAAGCGGGAGATTTCAGGGAGAAGAGGTCCAGCGGCTTCGATGCTCACAAAACTACCCATTACGGAAGATAACGAGTACGGTTTGTTTTTCGGAAGCTCACTGAAACTTTACTAGTTTTCTCATTAGAAAGTTTCTAAAGTCTGAAAAAACGTTCGAATTTTACAAAAAGGGCAGGAAGATTTGCCTTGACCAAAGAGTGTATTTAGGATTTATTGTGTCATTTGTCTTGTGCTCTTATCATCAAGAGAATAAAAAATGTATGTTCTTCAACAAAAAACCGAACAAGCAAAAAAGAAATGCGACAAAAAGTGTTGTCAACAAAAAAACAAACGCTCGATCTAATTTTTTTTTCATTCTGCGACATTCGATTTTCGATTTCTTTGACAGCATTTTCTAAAAATTATTTTTTTTGAGAGATAAAAACTTTTTTCCAGATAGTAGGTACAAATCCTCAGAAAGTATTTCAAAGAAACTTTTTCGATTGCAACATCCTTTTATGGAGTTTAGCCTTTTGATTGGGACTGATAAATTTTGAACCCGAAACGGTAAACGCCTCGTGAGGGTGACTTGAACCGTGCACATCGAATATATTATTATTAATGTTTTCTTTCAAAAAATTTTTAGAGACGTATGATGAATACAATTTGTAACATTCTGCTGGAATTTAAAAAAAACACAGATAAAAAATTCGTAGCTTTAGGAACGTTTAGAAAGATTGAGCTTCCTATAACGAAGTTTTAAGCAAAAATTGTTTTTGTAGCTTTTCTAATGGAAAGCGTGCAGCCGAGACACTGTTCTCTGGAAAAAGGCTTAATTTCGAATACCGTAGGCTCTGTGCCTTTAAAAGGAGAGAAAAAAGATAGAATTAACACCAAGAAAGCAGAGAAGCAGAACAAAAAAATGTTCACTGCGCGCTAAGAGCGCATATCGAGAATGTTCCAATGACTAAACCATCGGAGGGCGAACGGAAAATTTCGTGTCATCTCGCACTATCCGAGACGCTGCCCCTTGGCAGCTACGGCAGAGTCCACCAGTCGCGTGATTCTTCCGCGCCGGCAGCTTTTTTTTTCTTCATCTCCCTCTTTTTCACTATTGTTTGTAGAGGCTTCTTCTTCAAGGCTTCTACCATCTTTGAACTTCGCCTTTTTTCTTGGTTTTCATAAATTTCTCTACCTATCTCTTTACCAAAAGTTTTACTTGAATTCGGATTTTACGTCAATAAAATCTTTAATTGTGTTGTTTAGTTACATTTAATCGACTAGATGGTGAACTTTAAAAACTATGACGAACAATCGCCTTTGGCGAACTAGACGTCCAAACGTGTAGTTTTTCAAGAATTTTAATTGTATATTAATAGATATACGGACAGAAAGTATCTCAAAAACTAGTTCACTAATTAAGTGGCTGCCGAACAAGTCTTTCCCATGATAAAAGACGTGAATAGGCGAAAGCCGGTGCAAGTCGGGACAGCGGATTCCTGATATCAGGAGGCCGACAATGCAACGTCGCTATCACCATACTTACCAAGATCATAGCAGGAGGGCTCGGATCGCCGCCTCCGCGTGGCGCCTTCTGGGTGAGACCTGGTCTCAGCTAAGAGCGGTCCATTTTTGGTGAAGCCAGCCTTCGGGCTGGCAAAAAAGTTCTCATATAATATAAACTAACGGAAATCGTTCTTCAATTATTTTCTTCATTGAAATGCGGCTAAAGTCAAAAACTTTACAAGCAAAGAAGTTCATAAGATTTTCAAACCAATCAATCTAAACTTCAATTTTGTTCTTTAGTCCCATGTAATCGACTAGACCGTGAACTTTTTTAGCTACATATAATGAACAAACGCCTTTGGCGAACTAGAAGTCCAAACGTTTAGCCGAAAGAGTTGGAAGCAGGGTCTTACGGTTCTTCGCCTCAACCTTCTGCACGTAGTCCATCCAGTTGCGCCTTGACGAGCTCAGAATGCAGCGAATGTTGTGTTGGAACCCGGAGACCGTGTTTTAGATGGGAATCTCAAAATGAAAGCGAAATTTCACACGGAATGTTTGTTTTTTCCTTCTTTTAGTGTGTAACTTTTTTCCAGCTGAGTTGGAATTGATAAGTCGACGTCTCTGTAGTGTTAACCATGTACCTTTCACCGGAATAGAATAATAAAAAGTTCATTAACACATTTTGAAAAACACAGCACAGAAAAAGTGAATTGAATAATTACACAGCTTTGAGAAGCTTGTAAAAAACAGAAAATCGATTACTCAAGAAACAATTGAATAAGATATATGTGAAAAAAATGCTGATATATTCTTCGACACAGATTGAAAAGTTACGGGCTATTGAAACGAGCTTTTTTTGATCTCGGCAGTCGATTCGGACTCAGAAGCGCTTGCCAGAAGGGCCTTCTAAAAATCTCTTTTTTTCCTGAAAAAGTTTTGAACTTACGATATTTTCTGATTGAGTCTCTTCCAGACGCCTTTTATGTCTTTTTGAAGCCGTTAAGTGGACCTTCAGGCCCTGAGCACTTTTGAAGGTTAGACCGCAGATGGCGCAGAGAAGATCTTCACGGGGAAGTTGGGACTGAAAAATTGAGATGTTGTGTCCCAAAAATGTATGAAAACCTGGCTATCACAGCTTAAACCAAGCCATCCGGTTTTTTGAATTTTCGTTTTGAATTTGAAGCCTACTTTTTCATTTTTCAGTATTAAATAGAAACTTTTTTGGTTTCGTAGCAATCCATCATTTCGCATTTTCATTTATAAAGTACAAGATTATAGCCCCGACCTGAAACGACTTACACTTATGTGCATCAGCAAAAGAAAACTAGTATCAAGATATTCTTCATATTTTGAATTTGAATGAAATTGACCAAATCGCCGTTTTTTGAAAACTAACTCGTTTTTTCAAAGCTCTCTCTGGAATGAAAGCTTCTGGGGTGATCGCCAGACTTTTTTCTTGATGAGAGAGAACACTTTCGATGAGATCACAAGCCGTCATCAGATGCTGTGAAGGGGAGTCTTTCAAACTCTGAAATTCTTTTTTTGAATTGAACAATAAATCCCACATTTTGAACGACGATATAGTTCACTCACTAGCCTTTGAGAAAAAAAATCAGAAGCTGAACTGAACTTGAAAATTCGCTTTGATTAACAAATTGACTGACCTCAGTGAGCTCCCAGCAAGCCTTCATACCGTTGAAGTGGGCTTCATTGACGTATGGAACCGAAAAAGTTATTTCTTCAAAAGCTTGGGCTCCCTTGCAAAGAAAATGGGAGGGTAATGAGTTCTTGGGATTTTTCTTACTTCGTGAGTCGAGGTGAGCGGAACAAACGGGAAACTTCAGGAAGAAGGTCTCCAGCGGAGTCGATGCTCACAAAACTACCCATGAGTCACGATTTCCTGCAAAATTTTAGTGTCCCAACTAATTTCCGATAATAATCAGAAAAAAAGAAACTAATATTCGGAGCTCGAAAAAACTTTTTTGGAATGTAATTCAAATTATCTTGACAGCAAAAAGTGAAAGAAAACTTTTCTTTCCAAGCGCTTCAAAAGTTTCTTCGATAGCACTTGTTGGAAATAAATTGATTTAATTTGACGACCCTTCCTTGTGATAAGTGATTTTTCATGATTGGATAGTTTTTAAGAAATTTTTTTAAAAAAATGTTTCCGTCTGGAAAAAAAGTCTGAATTTAAAATAACCTATCCATTGGCTGTTGATAGAAAAGCGTATGATAGCCTTGTTTCAAACCATTAAAAAAATATTTATTAAAGGTTAAATGAACTAAATAAAGTAACTTGCGATTGGAAGGAAACAAAATAAATCGAAAAACTTGGTATAAGCTATAAAAAAGAGAGCAGACCAGAAAAAAAAAAACAATTGTTTCTGTTGCGCGTAAGCCGAGAAATTCGCGAATACGATGATTCAGAAATGACAAAAATAACGATAGCCCACGCGTCCTTCCGTGCCCTTTTCGACCACCCGAGCTACCAAAATCTAATCTTTTTCGAATTTTCTTCGCGCCATTGGGATTCCTTTTTCTTTTTTTCACTTTATTCCATCATAGTTTGCTTCTTACGAAGAAATGTGTGGATTAAGGGCTGCCAGATTTTGAGACTGCCAGATTTTGGGGCTGCCAGATTTTGGGACTGCCAAATTTGGGACTGCCAGATTTTGGGACTGCTAAACTCGGGGCTGCCAGATTTTGGGACTGCCAAATTTGGGACTGCCAAATTTGGTTCTGCCAGATTTTGGGACTGCCAAATTTGGTTCTGCCAGATTTTGGGACTGCCAAATTTAGGACTGCCATTTTTTTGTACCGCCATATTTTGGGACTGCCGAATTTGGGACTGCTTATTTTTTGGAAAATTTCGATTCAAAATTCAGTTTCGATCTCTAACTAATCAGGAATGATTAGGGTGTCTTCGAAGGAGTCAAAAACACATCCTCATTGAACACACATTCTGTCTGCGCCTGACTCGTTTTCCCAAAAATTATTACAAAACACAAACTCAGCGTCGTCGATATACGAATTGATAAGATAAGCACGTGAAATGATGGTCGGCTGATAAGACAGTTCATTTCTGTTCAACCAATCAATTTTCGAAATATTGCTGATGCCTTACTTGGACCATGCTGGAGCGTCTCTTCCTTCTGATGAACAAATGGCAGAAGTTGCTAAATTGTACTCTGATAGTCGTCTGGCAAACCCTCATTCACACCATCAAAGCGCCGTCCGTACAAAACAGATTGTGGATTGCGCTCGATTGAGGTTATTTTATCGGATTTCTAGCTTTCTATGGAACTATAAAGACTGTTGGTAATTTAAGACTATTTCGAAACTTTATCTTCATAAGCTCATAAAATTGTTTTTCGCCTCCAAAAATCACTAATTGGCGGTTTTTCCTGTTAGAGAAGAAAAATATTTTTTTGAGATAAAGAGAACTGAGGTTTCGAAGGCTTTGCGAGAGGTTCAGAGATTCTCTAATCAAAAGATTCTTCCCTATTTCATGAGTTTTTCTCAATTAATTTTTTTCTTTTTTTAGAGTCCTCCGAAATTTCAACACAGAATCTTCGGCCTACTATGTTGTTTTCACAGCAAACACTTCTCATTCGCTGAAAATCGTCGCCGAAAATTTTTCCTTCCGCTCAACTGGTGGAAAAGATAAGGAAATACAAGATCATTTGGTGACGGATGCTTCACAGTTTGCCTACTTTCAAGATTCACATCATTCCATAGTTGGCTTGCGGGAAATCGTTCGAGAGAAGGTTTCTAGCTTCAAAAAATTCTAGGAAAAATTGATTTCAGGTGGACTCAATAGCTTGTTTACCTGATGATTATCCGAATGAAAATGAAATTCCAAGTACTTCAAAAAGCCTTTTTGTAATGACAGCGGCGAGTAACTTCTGTGGCAGAAAATACCCTTTGGACTGGATTGAGAGGTTCCAAAAGAAAGGTTTCTTGATGAAAAGCTTTGAAATTTTTTCTTTGATACGTTTTTTTTATTTTAAGTCAGAAAAATTCTGTAATTCAATAATTCAGGCTGGTCTGTATGCATCGATGCTGCCTCCTGGGTCTCCACCTCTCCACTTGACTTGAACCGCTACAAACCCAATTTTGTCGCTTTTTCCTTCTACAAAATATTTGGATATCCAACAGGCCTTGGAGCCTTGCTGATAAGAAAAGGTTCATCATTTTTGTAACCTAAAACTTTTTCTTTTTACAAGATTCCATAAATCTTCTCAAGAAGACAAGCTTTGCCGGAGGAACTGTGGCTTCTCTTCTGGAAAAACTCACACTTTTCGATCCTTAGAGACGGAGAAAGTCGTTTCGAAGAAGGAACTTTTAATTATTACGCCATAGCTGCCTTGCAGAAAGGGTTTGATGACATCGAAAAATGCGGTTTGAAATGAATTTTTGATAATCTTAATTTTTTTTAAGGCGGGATGAAAAAAATTCAAGATCACGCTTATCACATAGCAAAGTATGCCTACCGAATGCTTGAAAGTAAATCTCACTACAATGGAGAGAAAGTTGTTGAATTTTATCTCCGAAACAATAAATTTGGTCCAAAACACGAGCAAGGACCACTTATTTCCTTCAATTTGAAGACGTCAGCGGGAAGGTATCACGGGTACAAAACGGTATATTTTTTAAAAATAAGAAAGTAAACTTTGAATGTTCAGGTTGAAAAGATCTCGGCAATTTTCGGCATCGAACTCCGTACGGGTTGTTTCTGCAATATTGGCGCATGTCGTAAATATTTGAATTTGGCGCCTGAAATTGTTCGATATAATCAAATGGTAGGGATAATGATAAGAATGAGACAATTTTTGATGGACGTTTTAGAAAGGGAAGAAATGTGGCGATGATATGGACTTGATAAATGGCAAGCCAACTGGAGCCCTCAGAGTTTCTTTTGGTCGCCGTTCCACACTCGAGGTCAGTTTATTCTTTTTTGAAGTTTTTTCGATCTGCTGAAACGTTCAAAAATTATATAATGCTTACGAAAACGCTTGAAGGACCTTTATATGGATTGAGACATGAGCAAGCTTCAAATTTGAAAGCTCAAGAAATGTGATAAAAAACTTTTTTGAGCCAACCAACTCACTTTCCAAAAGATAAAAAAAGTTTTAGTGTGTCAAAGCTCTGGAAACCATGATCGACTTGTGCTTTGTTGAATCCACCATAGCTAAATATTCTGCTCCAGCTCTACCAATTGAATCTTACCGACCAACTCTTGTGAAAATTGTGAGCTTTCCTGTGAAAAGTGTCATGGGCATCGAATATGAAAGGTTTTTTGATTTGTTTTCTTTTCTATTTTCACTTTCAGGTGTGAATTAACCCCTCGAGGGCTCATGTTTGACAGAGAATTCATGATTGTCCAAAATGACTATACCTTGTCTCTGAAAAGTCACCCTCAACTGTGTAGATTAAACACAAATGTGAGTTTTTGTTTTCTTATATTCTCCTAATTCTTTCGGTTCAGATTTCTTCGGAGTACTTGGAGATTCGGGTGAGAGGCGAAGACGAAAAGTTTCGAATTCCGATGGATATTTTAGAGATGAATGGAAATGACAACATTGTCTGCGAAACTGCGTAAGTTAAGGTTTTTTTTTCGAGAATTGTAAGTATTTTATCAAGGGTCAAAACTATTGACTATGGTGACGATGTTGGAGAATGGCTTGACGATAGTTTGGATCTCAGTGGTTGCCGTTTGATGAGAAGGGCGGAAGGTTCGTTTTTCCTCAATCAGAATATCCCTTTTCAAAGTTCAAGTTTAGTCACTGAAAGAAATTTGGTCAATGATTCGCCTTTTTTAATGGTCAACGAATCGTCCATGCTTCTTCTACAGCAAGCTACAGGTTTTTAGAAAATTTTGAGATTTCTTGGACCTCTGAAAACTTTCTACAGGCCTTGAAATAGAAGAGCTCATAAAAAGATTCCGATCGAACTTTGTCATACGAGGACTCCCGCCGCTTGTTGAGGACTCTATGAAATCTGTGAGAATTGGCGATTGCATTTTTTTGATGTGAGTTTATAAACTTTCATTTTTCTATATAGATTTTTCATATTTCTCAGGTCAAAAGCTTGTGCACACGTTGCGAGATGATTTGTATCAATCCTGAAAACGGAGCCAAGGAGAAGGAGCTTTTGCTGGCTCTGAGAGAACTCAGGGAATCTTCAAAAGTATGAAAAGAGTTTTTTGCTACGAGAAAGCCTCGAGAAACAGTGATCTAATCTTTCAAAAATCAAAAAATTGTTTTAGATGACATTCGGAATCTACTTGGCTCAACGGAATCATCAACCAGGGGACTTTGTTGAAGTGGGATCCGACGTTACTGTTTCAACTACTTCTTGAAAGCCTAGCTTCAATATTTTTTCTACTCCCCACAGCTTTAAATGCGATTCAATTTGCTCATAATTTATTCATGCATTGGTGAATGACAGTGATTATTTACAACCGCAATGAATGAAATGATCGGAAAATTGGAGCTACACGTTTTGTAAATTAGACAGGGACAGTGGAATTGGAAGCATTAGCGACGGAGCGTTTCTTGCGTCCATTTCCGTAGGGATCGTAGAAAGGTTGAGCTCCTGCTCCGCAAGTAGAGCATGGGGCGATGGTCGGCTGCTGGTTGCAAGTGGTGCACGTAACTGGAGGCGGGACCGGAGCCGAGCAAGTGGTGCACGGTGGTGGCGGCGGTGGGGGAGGGTTGTACTGCGGCTGACAGGTCGAGCAGGTCGTTGGACAGGCTGGCTGGTTGGAGCACGGCTGCTGCTCGTTCGATGTTCCGACGCACTGAAAGCATTTCAAAAATTCCTACTTTTTTTTAAGCTACTGGAGATTTTTCCTTATTTTCACCAAGTTCCTGGAACTTTAAAATTCTCTTTTTCTTGATAGGGGACTTTTCACTCTGTCACAATTTTTCACGCTTCTCAATATTATTTAAAGGTTGTGGAATGACTGTACAAGTTTTGAAGAGGTGTCAGACTCGGATTGGCTATTATTAGGTTCAGCTAGTGTTGAATAATCCTTAAAAACCTAAAGGGCCTCTAAAAGCTTTTCTTAGAACCTTAACTTTCATAAATTTTTTTCAAAAAGTTTCTGACTTCTCGTATAACAACTTTGGCTACCCCTGAATCGACTCCATGTACCAGAACTTTCTAAATTATGTCTACAAAACTCGAGAAAGCATCAAATATTTGTTCAAGAACCAACCCCGGAATAGCAGCTGCATTGGCGGGATCTGGTTATGACACCATTGTTGCCGCATGAGGTGCTGCAAGCCGACCACGAAGACCACTGAAAAAAGGCTTTGATTTTTTTCGTTCAATCGAAAAGTTATTACCGCGGTCCAGGTGCAGCAAGGCTGGGAGTTGCACACTTGAGTTTCAGAACTAGAGCCGACGCATTGGCAAACGCTGCAGCCGTTGTTGCAAACTCTTGTTCGGGTCATGCTTCCGCCTCCGCAGGACGCACTGGGAATGGATCGGTTTTTAGTCAAAGATAACTTGATTCGATAATTAGATCTTATATCAAATGATGTCAGAATGACTTTTCGGAAAGGAAAAATATCTCTCTCTCTCTCTCTTTCATAGACGTCTGAATCAAAAAAATCTCAAGTTTGAGCTGTTGATCTAAAACCAATCGCCTCATCTCACCTCACCTCATCTTTTATTTGACTTTTTGAACGGTTTTTCGCGAATGAAGGTCATTGGCAGCGAGCAAATAATTGTCCTTCAAGCTACTAATTTCTCTCTTATTTTATACCGTATCTTTTTCGATGAGGCTAGAATTACCTGCAAGAGCTCCAGGCACCCCAGGCGTTCCATTCTGGAGTCGGCTGTGGGTCGTACATGACACAAGGCTTGGTTTCCATGCTGGAACCGCCTTGGCAGTTTCCGGCTGGACAGTTTCGAGTTCTTGACTGCGTTGGGGCTGAAAGTTGTAATATGAATAGAATATAAATATATAATCGAGAGTCGAAGATTTTTCCAGAAAGTGAGAAATTTGTCTTCGGATCGAAAAAGTCGAGAACTTAATTATAAAGTTTTTTTATTGGTTTCGTGGAGTCCTGATTTTTCCCGATTCATAGAAGTTATAAGCGTAGTAATAAGACGCCATGATAGCCTATTCGACTCCATTAAACAAAAAAATCGGAAAAAAACGCACTTCCATAAGCCGTACTACAGGCGGCCCATTCTGACCAGGTACCCCATTGGCTGGTAGGTTGTTCACAGACAACACAACCGTTTCCATTTGGAGAGACGCCAGTGCCAACGACGTAGGCGGAAATTGCTGTAAGTCGATTTATCAAGTAGGCAAAAGCTCAGTAATCGGTGAAAATTGCATATTTTGTTTTAAAAGCGTAAAATCTTCACATGAAGACCGGAAGGAAAAAAAAAGAAAAAGTCGTGCAAATTATTTTTCAATAGTAACTGTCACTTTTTGAAGGCAAAAAAACCTTTTATTTTAATTTCGAAAGCTCTCGGTACTCATTCCTGAGCCTTGAAATTGCAGAAAACTGTTTAATTATTACAAAGTTTCAAACAGGAAACGCTTCTAAATAGAGATAAATACGAAAATTCTGCGTTTATGAGGCTTTGTTGACTTTTTTCAGATTCAGAAAAACCAACCTTGGGAAAGAGCCAGGAATAGGAAGACGGAGATCATTGCGGTTGCTCGGAGGCCGTGCGGTTCACCGGTTCGCCATGGCATTTTATATTTTACTCGTTGTGTATCTTGCTTAGTGACAGGTTGCGATGAGCCACCTCACGATTTCAGTTATTGTTTGCTCGCCGTCCACGCCCACTTACTCGATTGGCAGAGTTGAGTTAGCGGTTTTTGGTAGTGGTGGATTTTTGGAGGATCAAAAATTGAAATTTTGTGAAGATCTACGGAAGTTTGAGGTTACTCGAAGATCCATCGGAAGATGTGAAGATAAAATGGCTGTTCGCAAAGAAAGTATAGACCATTCCGCGCCAGCTTGTCACGTTTTTCTTTCCGCCAAAAGGCCAGGTCAAACTTGACCAATTTCGCTTCAAAACCTTTGGTTCTTGCCGTTATAAAAACAGAAACGGTGTTTTTTGCGGAAAGAAAAACGTGATCTGGCTCGGAATAGGCTATAGCTACGGAAAAAGCCAAGAAAACTGTGGAGTGGGGTCCTTAAGCGACAACGCGTGAAGTTGGACGATCGAGGCCTTGGTGGCGAAATTCTATTCTTACATGGGAGTTCGTTTTAGCGTAGGGTTCAGAATTTTTTTATAAACATGCTCAAACAATCTTTGATGCAGCCACACTCCTTCCGAACGGTGTCACATGCTTAAGGATGGAAACTTTAAAAATTCATATCTATAAAACCAGAAGTTTGCGCAGATAGCAACTATGAGGAATCGAATCCCAGTGCATCAGAAACTGTTTGAGCAAATTTATGAAAATTTCTGAACCCTACGCTGAAACAACCTCCCATGTAAGAAAAGAATCGTCCAACTTCACGCGTTGTCGCTTAGGGACCCCACTCCACAGTTTTCTTGGCTTCTTCCGTAGCTATCTTCTTCGCGAACAACCATTATCTCTTCACTTTCTAAAACAACCTTCCTTGTTAGGGAATGATCAACGACAGTTGCGCTAACTGAGCATCTATTCGAATATTCCATTTTTCAGCAGATTTATAAGGTCTTAAAAGTAATTTTTATGTTAAGTTTTATGTTACGCGGACAAAAATTTCAAAATGCATTGATAAACCGCTGTGAAATAAACCGACTTTGTAATAAAACCCAGAAAATTCTTCCAAAAGACGGGATGTGAGTAGGTATAATTTATCTTAAATTTTCCGTTTATTTTTTTAATTGTATTGTACGAAGAAAAAAACCGTTCTTAAAAAAATAAAGTTATTCCGATGATGACGCATATAAATAAATTACAAAGGAGCCTTTAGTAAAAAAATCAAAAAAATTTTTCTAACGTAACGCATTTTTTTACGCCACAACACTGTCAGGAAAAACGTTTTTTTCTTCTCGCCTTTGTTAAAAAAATCGAGAATTTTTTTATTGTTAATAAATACTTTTAGAGGATTAAATTCTAGTTCCAATTACAAAATCTTCTTTTTCCTTTCGCGCACCAAAAAAACTTCAAAGTTTCTCGATTTAATATCAAATTAAAACATGATTAATTTCATTCGCCTCTCGAGTGACACCAAATTCGCAACAAAAATTTCACCCAGCTTATTTTTATTTTGTTTGCATTTGAGTTCAAAAAGCTACATGATCTATTTTGATTGTCACAGTTTGAAGAGCTCTTGGTCGCAGTTTGAACTTTTCGCGGAGCCCAGGGAACCGGTATTTCTATGAGTCATCGCTCGCTAAGATTTGATCCACCTTCTTCAGCAAATCTTCAAACGTCGTGATTCAGAAAGAACCTTTTTTTATTATCACTCACCGACAAAAAATTTGAAGTAGGGAATATTTGTTTTCCGGTAGGTGGATTATTCATTTTATCCTCTTTTTCTTGCTTTGGAAATATTTAACAGAGTAATCACTTTATTATTAAAAACTTGATATTTGCACAGACGTTGATTTCTTGCGCAAACCGTAAAGTTATACATCGATGTTGTATTCAAAGATTAAACACAAGAATGGGAAAAGTTTGATGAGTGAATGACTTTTTTGATATTTGACAAGAGTTGCGATTTTCAGAGGTTTCTTTTGATTTATTTTTCAGAACATTTGACGTTTTTTGGTTTCTATCACATCCAGGATTGGTTGCCGCTTTGTTTGGTATCTGTAAAAATATTTATTAGTTTTTTAAGAAAATGTAAAGTTGGTTATAACCTTCTTTGAAGTTCGGTCAGCTCTTGATCCATTTCAAAGTCCAGATTTTCCTTGCGCTTGATTAGTTCATCCAAAGTGATTGATCGAAGCTAGAAGAGGACCTTTATGATTCTTGGAACCTTGAAAAAACTCACAAATTCGTAGTCGCCATCGACCATCGCCCGTTGGAATCGATTCTCGTACTCCGCTTCCGTATTCACTATAAATTAGAGTCTTTTGAAATTTATAAAATATTTAGGTCTTGAAATTATTGAAAAAAATTATCAAACTTTCATTCTAATTATAATTTAAAAACAGGGAACTCTTTTTACAAACCCCGGGAGCTTTGATAGTTTGGAAGTTTTTTTTATTCCAACAATTTTCTCCTTAAATAATCTGTTCTCAGGATTTCGCTCTTATTTTCAATATCGTTTTCGACAATCAACTCATCATCAAGGCCAATTAAATCATCCAAAACAGCTAGTTGAAAATTTTCAAAGCGTTGAAATTTTCATTGGCTTCAAGTTGAAGCAAAAAACGACCTTCCTCCTCAAAACAGTTGGAAATTTTTCGCTTTCTTGAATCGATCAATAAAGCTGTTGCGAAACATTTTCTACAAGCCCCCTCTCCCAAAAAATAAACGAAAAATAGTTAAGAACAAAATTTAAGTCTCACGCTGGCTAGCAGACGAGAAGGTGCTATCCGCATCTCCTTCCGCTCCGACCGCAAAGTTTGGACCAGTGCCAACGTTGTTGAAGGCGTTGGCGTTCCCTTGAAGGGCCGCGATTCCAGCAGCTTGGGCGTTTTCGTAAGGCGGGGGAGCGATGCGGGAAGAGCCTGATGAACTCGCAATTAAAAAGCGTGTTTATAAAGTAAAACTGAATGAACATGTAGGAAACTGAAATGAGCTACGGATTGTGAAAAAAAATGTCATATGGGATTCGTGTCATAGGAATGTTTAAAGAAGATTATTTGAATAATGCCTAGGAAACTTTTTGCAACTAACTCTTCGTAACAATTTTCCTGTCATAGCTAAAATTTTGGTTTGATTATGGAACAAAAATAAAATAAAGCTTACTCATCGCAGAAGCCGGAATTTCGCCACCAATTCGTAGGCTCTCCATTTGACTTTTCAAGCTTTGAGCAGTGATGTAACTTTCTGAACGTTTATTTTGTTATAATGAAGGTAAAATAGAAAATGTTACCATTATGGATCAAAGTAGCGTCATATTGACCATCGATAATTGTGGTTCCACCATCAACCATCGTGGCCTCAGTGATACTAGCAGAAATTGCCTGAAATTGATAAATTGATAAAATGTAAGATCGAAAATACAAACCAATGCGTTTTGGGAAGCCGCTTGGATTTCTTGAGCGTCACGAATCATCGCCTGCAGAACTTCACTTCCCGGGGCTTCAGCAATGAATTTGTGCTGAAATCGTGATCTCAATTATTTTTCTATTTTTCAAAATTATGTTTTGACAGAGCCGGGGATTCATGCGCAAGTTTTAGTTTTTTTGAGTTTATTATTTTTGAAGTTTGAAAAATTAGAAAAAAATCGACTAGAAGTTTGTGCAGGTAGCGACCAACAGGGATCATAAAGTGAATTTTGTGGAAAATTTCAAACCGCCAAGTAAAAATTATTTTTCTTTGTGAGAAAAAAATTAACCTCAACAAGTTGCGAAGCGGTCTTCCGTTCATCCGCCTTCTTCACTAGACATTGGCGGATGAAATCGTTGAATTCGGGGCTCCATTCTTCGGATTTTTTGAACGACGGTGGAGGTTTGGTTGGAATCATAAAAATTGCCTGAAAAAAGTTTTCTGAGTATGAAAAAGGAGAAAAAATTAGGTACTGAATGAAAAAAGTTTTTTTCCGATTTTTCGTTCAAGAATATTTAATGTTTTCATTAGGTTAATTTTGAAGATCTTTCTATAAATTGATTTTAAAAAAACTCTGCTTACAGAAAATGATTTATTAGTTTCAGTTTGATAGATTTCAAGATGTAACCTATTTTTGTGAGAATCTATTATCTTTCTTCATTGTTTCCCATTTTTCAGAAGACATTTAAAATAAAGAAATATTTTTTTGTTCAATAGTTCAAACAGGAGATTCCCTATTATATTCAAAAACAGGGCTTTATCATTTTCATTTCAGCCGAAAAAATAAATAAATGTACCCTCATCGGATGGATATCCGAATACGGCGGTCTGCCTTCAGCCATTTCGATAGCTGTAATGCCGAGAGACCAAATATCGGCTTTGGTGTCGTATCCGATTTCTTCTATCACTTCTGGAGCCATCCAAAATGGCGTTCCAATTACGGTGTTCCTTTTTCGCCATTGTATCCTTGAACGAAATGTTCGAATTTTATTCAAAGGAAGAGCTTTCTTAGGTTTTTTTTTTATAAAATCTTGGCGATTTGAAATAAACGAAAACTATTCCATAAAAAGTTTTTAAACGATCAATTGTCTAACAACACGACAAAACAAAGTCTAAGAATTACTTCTAGTAGTTTTTTTATGAAAGAATTATATTAAGGATTTTTCTCTCAAATAGTACATTTTTATGTTATTTTTGAAAGTTGTAAATAAGAAAAAAATCGATTTTTTTGTTCGATCGTCATTTTTTTTACACAAAAACAAACAAAATTACCGTTAATTGCCCAGCAACGCCAAAATCAGCAAGTTTTGCATGGCCTTCAGTGTTCAACAAAATGTTTCCAGCCTGCAAATTACATATAATATTTATATTTAAAAAGGACAAAACAGCAATTTGAAAAAAATTGCTGGGTTCTTCAAAGATATGTTTTTCAAAGCGCGTGGTTTTTAAAATGAAAAAGGGCTAAAAAAAGGTTTAACGATTACTTTGATATCTCTGTGAATTTTTCTTGAGGTCGTGAAGGTAACGCAGCCCTTTGATTGTGTCTCTGAGAACGGCGCGAATTTCCGTCTCCGTCAGAGTTTTTTTCGTCGAACACGCATGATATCTGAGACCGATCCAGCACCACAGTATTCCATGACAATCTGAAAAAAATCTTTTGGAATGAGTAAAGTTTTTGTAAAACACGAAAATTCGATTTTTTCAATCAAAACTAGGGGTTTCAAAGAAAAAAGCATTTATTGGGAACGAAAATAAGTTTTACTTCAAAATAAATAATATTTTTTTGAATTGGGAAAAATCTTGATAACGAAGCCATAAACTTGATTAAAATTATTTAAAAATCAAAAAAATTTATCGTCGTTTTTTTGGCTTTCAGTTAGGAAAAAAAGTTCAAAAATAGGCACCTTGCACTTTTTTTCTTCAAAAATTGAATTTTTTTAATAAGTTCTCCAAAAATCATTTTTTGGTGAGTAGCATCATTCTGATCCTATGAAAAAGACATCATTAATGAATTTACCCAAAGGTCGGAGTTCTTGAAGTACGACCCATAGTACTTGACGACGTACTTGCTGTCGCACTGCTGCATTATACTAATTTCCTTGATGATTTCCTGGAAAATGATCATTTTTACTTCCATTCTACGAAAAAAAGGAAACCTGAAGATCCGTGTCGACAGGAACTTTTTTCACGGCCAGCGTGTGTCCCGATTCTCGGTGAATTGCCTTGTGGACCGACCCATAGGACCTGGAAATTATTGAAAAGTTCAATTTTCTTGAAAGAAACTGATACTGACCCTTCACCGAGTTTCCCAACGATGTCGAAAACTTCCTCCGGTTGCTTGTTTAAGGCATTGGAGTCAAGTTTGAAGTAGTCACTGTAAAATAAATTTTGAAAATGGTTTGGCTGTATTTTATACACTGCTGCTAATAAGTCGTGAACACTTTTTTGCGCATTTTTCGCGACTCCTTTGGAGATTTATCTCTAAATTTTGTCCCTGGGGAAAAAATTATAAATAAAAAAGTAAGAAAAAATTACCAGCAAGCCTCCTCGGAGTTCCTTCGAGCTCTTTCTACTGATGGCGGCATCGTCCCTCCGAGAAATCGGCTGTTTCCTGAAAAAAAAGGTACGGAGAAATATATGAAAACCCTTCACAAAAAATTATCACAAAGGGTTCAAGAAATTGACAATCAGAAAGGTTGTGAACTATTCAGAGCGGTCAGCAAGAAGCTCAAGAAATTGTGAAGTTGCAAATTTCAGAAATATTGCCCCAGGCCCCGCCCTATTGCAAACCTTTAAATTAGCCGAATGAGCAAAAAATGAAATCCAAACTGCTCTTTTAAACTTTTCGAATGAATAATGATCAAAAGTCTTTCGAGAACAATTTTTTTCAAGACATTCATTTCTGCTCATTTTAATCAGGAGAAATGTTGAGAAGACGACGCAAATAGCAAATTTTCATGCATTAGAAATTGAGCGGAAACCAAAATGGCTTCATCGAGCGAACGGCAAAGACGTGAACAGCCGGGATAATCTCAAAAATCTTCAGTTTTTTTCTGATTTCTCGCAAAGACCTGAAGAAGTGGGAACAAACGTCACAAGCTTGAATTAACTTTTTTTCGAAAGATTTTCCAAAAAATGCTAAAATTTCGTATCAATTTAGACAGCGGAATGCATTTCGATTTTTTTTTCTTATAACTGATGTTGGATAAAAAATTAACTGATTAAGTCAAGATCAAAAACCGGCAATTTTCCAAAAATGAAAAAAAAAGAAAAATGCCAAAAAAGAGCTTGATTCTCCAGAAATCTCGGAAAGACCTGTTGAAGAGTGGAAGAGACGTCAGAACCACAAATTAGCTTCTCCGAAAGCTTTTCTAGGCAAAAGCCTAATTTCGTATTCGCATATTTGATAGATTGTACTCTCTCTGCTTTTTCCTGAAATTAGAATCTGAACATTATTTTTTTCTAGGATAAAGCTTTGACTATTGAAACCTGAACCAAAAAATAGTCTTTTTTTTTCTTTTTACAAGCAGATAACTTTTTTTATCAATTTGAGCCTTATATTACTGTTTCCTACCTTTCTGAAAAAGATATTTGGGAAAAATTTAGATTAACTTGAATCACGTTCACACCAAATGTCACATAGTTGATTTTTCGATTTTAAACTTAGGCGAATCCTGAAAAGGTGTTAAGAAGATTGGAAGGTTTTGTGAAGGGAAGAACAGACAATACTCGGCAGGATCTTTTCAGAAGCTTGCTGATAGGCATCCGGCAGGCCGTTTTTTCAAAGAGAAGGTGTTGGGAAGCTATTTGGAAGGCGTTCGACCCTTTTCTGGGGAGCCTCCAAACGCCTTCCGAGGAACCAAAAGCGGAAGCTTCCTAACTTTAACCCGAGCACAAGAACTTTTCAAATTTTATGCTATTTTTTTCTCATTTTTTTGAATGCGGCAGTAGCGGGTTTTGTTAGAAATAGAGCTAAAACCCGGATTCTTATCAAAAAAAGAAAGAGCAATTTTTTTTGATATCTTTAAAAATGTGGAAAGACGTGGAAAGCACAAATCCGCTTTTTCCGAAATACAAATTATTTTTTTGCAAAACTCAAAAACTCAGTTTTTTTCTGAATCTGAATAGAAAAAAAGAGCAAAAATTTCTCGATTTTTTTATTAAGGATTCCGAAAAAAACTTTATTTTTTTCTTTTTAAACTGAACTCTTAAAAAAAGTTTCTTGCTAAAATCGATGGTGCGAAACACAGCTGATATCATGCAAAACTTGAAAAACCGGAATATCAAATTTCGCCGTGGGATACAAAGAAGAAAAACCTGCCAGGAACAATTCGGTCTATTAGTTGGAATTTAATAAGATTTTCTGGGCCTCACGCGCCAAGGCGGAAAAAGTTTTAATCGATTCTGGGGCGAATCTTGAAAAGGGCTTTTTCACGCCATACATAGTTTTAAGTGAAACTGCAAATCAATAAAACTTGCATTAATGGCCAACTTACGAGACCCCCAGAGGACCGACTTTTTTTCCTTTCATTTGTCTGGGTGGAGACAAAAAAAGAAGTCGACCGCTGGGAATAAAAATTAAACTTATCACTTATTCATCATAAAATAACTGGTTATCTGAAGTTTGAGAGAGTAAAGTTGATCATTATGAGAAAAAAAGTTGAAGTTTGAGAAATTAAAGCTGTCGGATGATTATTCCTGTATCTCATTTCATGACGATATTTTTTTGATAAATAAAATTATTATAAAACAACTCGCCTAAAACATTCCACAGAAGAAACCTAGGTGAACTGAAAAAGCAGAAGATTTTCTCGAATTCCCAAAAAAATTTTGTTTTTTTCAAGTCTCAATAAGAGCTCAATATCTATCGATTCATAATGAAATTTGCAATCCAGCTTCAAAAATCTGAAAGATACACTGCGTTCAATAAGGATAGGACCCCCCTCGATTTTTGGCTTTCTGGCAAAATACAGAAAGATATCAAAAATCTGTGAGTGCCATTCGATTCAGAGTACGAAATAACCCCCAGAGCCAAACTTTCATTATCCTAGCACTTTTCCTACGAAAATGCCATCGAAAAATATATTCTTGCCCAACTTCCATACAATTCTTGCCCAACTTTGCCTCTTTCTTTGTAGCTCATGTTATTTTATGTATTGGAGTGAAATAAATAGTTTAATAAGGATAGGACCACCTGGAAATTTTTGACTTTCATTGGTAGTTTTAGGTCAATTTCTCTTTTTGATGAATGATTTTTTTGTTTTTCATATTATTTTTTTCTCTATTTTTCTACGGTTTTTCCTTTCGTATCTTCCAGGTTTAAAAAAATATTTTTATATCGAAAATAGGGAAAAAAATGACGTTTTTTTCGAGTTTGCATCAAAATATTTGAGCGAGTGATTTTTTTCCAGTACTTTGAATGAACTTATCTTATTAATAGAGACATTTTTAACATTCAAAAAAATAAAAAAAGTTTGAAAAAAACATTAGTTTAAAAAGTTAGAAAACCAGTTAGAAGATGGAGGATCATGACCGAATTTCCGACTGTCGTCGTTTTCGACCGTTTTTTTTCTGTATGTAGTCTGAATGGCGGTGTACTTTTTTTAAAGGATTTGTGAAGGTGCTCCCATCACAAAAAGACATTTAGTTGGATTGGATAAAAAATATCGATCTTCGAAATCGAAGGGATAAACACCCTTCCGACTGCTACTCGAACTTTTTGCGGTACATGTAAATAAATCATTAAAAAGTTTTAACTCTAATGAAAATTGTTTTATTGCACGTATTCATTTTTGTTTTATTTAGTTGAAAAACTAAAAACCCGCCAAACGCTCTTTTTGAAACAATACCTTCGATGAGCGCGGGTACCAATTTCTCTCCACATTTTCTCGGCAATCTACGTAGTAAATGAAATTTTTTTAGATTATTTTGTTGATGAATTATGTTCATAGCACCTTCGCGAGTTCTCAAAAAAAAGTTAACCGCCATTTCGACTACATACAGAAAGAAAAACGGTCGAAAACGACGACAGTCTGAAATTCGGTCATGATACACCATCTTGTAACTGGTTTTCTAACTTTTAAACTAATGTTTTTTTCAAACTTCTTTTTTTATTTTTTTGAGTGTTAAAATGTCTCTATCAATAAGATAAGTTTATTCAAAGTACTGGAAAAAAATCACTCGCTCAAATATTTTGATGCAAGCTCAAAAAAACGTCATTTTTTTCCCTATTTTTCGATATAAAATATTTTTTTAAACCTGGAAGATACGAAAGGAAAACCGTAGAAAAACTTGAAAACAAATAATATAAAAACAAAAACCACTCATCCAAAAAAAGAAATTGACCAAAAAAACTACCAATGAAAGTCAAAAATTTCCAGGTGGTCCTATCCTTATTGAACGGTCAAAAAACCGTTTTTTCGATGGCATTTTCGTAGGAAAAGTGCTAGGATAATGAAAGTTTGGCTCTGGGGGTTATTTTGTACTCTGAATCGAATGGCACTCACAGATTTTTAATATCTTTCCGTATTTTGCCAGAAAATCCAAAATCGAGGGGGGTCCTATCCTTATTGAACGCAGTGTATGACAAAACTAAAAGTTAAAACAACAAAAATTACCGAAAAACCATAGAAATTATACTGTTGTCGTGGGAATTTTTGTAAAAACGTCCCTCAAAAAGCACGAAAATTGTTATTGTTTATGTTAATTTAAATTTGAAATAAAATATTATGACATTTGGATTTGAAATTTTTTGAACGAAAAATTGAAATCAAAATTATTTGTCGATACACGAAAAAGCATAAAAAAACTATATAAGTTTAATCTTTAAAAATATTTTTGAGAGACAAATATTGCCCTTGATTTGGAAATAGCATCTATTATTTTTCACATTCTCGAGATGGCTTTAAAAAAGTCCAAATTTGAATCGCTCAAAAAGTATCCAGAGGAAATATAAGGGCGATAAAACCTGCAAAAACTAACAAATTGTCTTTTTTATCATGAATGTAGATAAGATTAAAAAAATTTTTACGGTTCACAGGGTCAACTTCGCCCAAGCTGAGTTCCAAGCCGGCTGAACTTTTGCGTGAAGAAGTCTAAAAAAGCCCAAAAAAGGGAGGCAACTAATCAATCATGATAACACTGAAAAGGAAATGTCGTTTCTGGCGAAACGAAGACCGGTCAAAAAGGGAGTACTCAAATTTGGTCGACATTTTCTTTAAGAAAAGCACGAATAAAATGATCAAAATGAGTAAATTGAAACTCGGACAATCATTAAATGGCTAATGAGAATGAAATTCCCGATCTTTTTCCTAATATTTTTAAGAAAATGCCTGGTCAGTTAAGAGAGCCGAATGCGTCATAGGAGAGGTGCCAAGCCAAAAAACAAGGATTGGCCTGAATTTTCGCTGAAAAAAGCCCAAATAAGGGATGCAACTAATCAATCATGATAAAACTGAGAAGGAAATGTCGTTTCTGGTGGAACGGAGACCGGTGAGAAGAAGAGAGTAGGTTGGTGTCGAGTCGTAAAGTAGTGGCCTTCGGAACAACGCTCAGACCCCTCTCACGAGGCGAGACGAACGCTCAAACTCACCGAGAAAAAACGCTCACAGGCGGAATGACGCGCTCACGTCGGGGCACAGTGAAAATGCACCCCCGCACATTCTAGACAGGACAACCTCCGCGACCCCCAGCCGGTCCGGCCGTCATTTGCACGTTTCCCTACTCGACCAGGCTAATAGGTGTTATCCCCCCCCTTTTTTGGGCTCATCCAATTTGGCCAGGTATCTAATGACATACCTGTTGACCTTTGCTCCAGCTGTTTGCACAAAAACAATTTTTGTAGATTTCTCAATTTATTTGAGCTTTTCCTTAAGCGATTACATAAAAATATCAGTGTATCCTCTACTTTTGGCTTATTTAAGTTAGACAGGTACTTAATGACATACCTGTTGACCTTTGCTCCAGCTGTTTGTTCAATAATTTGCAATTATTCTGCTGGCTTTTTCCATCAGAAAAAATCACAAAAAAATGCTCAAAATTTCCTCGTCGAGTTCAATCCTTTAGTAACTCTCTGAAAACTGCGTTTCATCCTACAAAATAATCCAAAAATCGTCGACTGCAGAAAAATCTTAAAATCTAATTACTAGAAATTCGGTATCTTTTTTTGTAATGGTACCCTTCTTGTTTTGGTTCATCCAGTTTGCCCAAGTCTTCGATGACCTTCTTGTTGACCCCTGCTCTAGCTGTTTGCATAATTATCTGGCATTATTTTGCTAGTTTCCTTAATCTGAAGCCTATGAACACCTTTTGGATGAAGTATGGGAAGTCTGGCTTTGGAAAGATCTTTCCAAAAATCTTGTCGTAACGATTTTCTTGTGTTAACTGTCACTAACCTATTATTGTTTTTTATGGTTGTTTTTTTTTAAAGTTGAAAAAAGCGTGAATACCTGCTAGTTCAGTCTTAGGTGAATTTTAGATAAAAGTCACGGAGCCTGTTTTTTGAATGAAAAATTTTGACCTTTCATAGAGTTGATGGCATCATTTCGGACAAAAAAGAAAGATAAAACTCACTTAATTCCCTCGAGATCATTTTTTGAGAAATGAGGATCTGATTGAAGATATTTTCTCTCATGAGACAAGCAAAAAGAAAAAAATCCAAGTAAAAAGGTCCTATGAGTGATTCGATTATTTTCAATTTCCCAGTTGAACAAACTTCTCTGAAGCATGACTACTTTCAATTAATTTGTTTTGCTCAAAGCAATTTCAAAAGTATCCAAGTTAACATATGTAATTATTTCAATTAACTTGTTTTTCGATAAGTTCTTGTTATCATTTCTTCGTGTTTATTCAGATTTTTCAACTTGGATATCAAAAAAGAGTCGAAAGTTTGAGATTAAAAAAACGCTTTTTGAATAAGTTCAAAAAGTCGCAGACAAAAATGGCCTTGAAACATGTTTTCCATTTCTTCTGAATTTGCTTGAAATGCGTCAGCTTGAGAAAAAAATCTTCGTTCAATTTTTTTGTTGAATAAATGTAATTTTTCTCATTAGGAGTTTCGAAACGCCAGCCAAAAAAACCATTTTTCTTCAGAATTTCCATCTTTTTCCCACTCTTTTCTCAAAATTTTCAGCTGTTAGTTCCCTACTTTCGTATTCCCAGAATCATTTTTCCGCCCAAAGAGTTTCAGAAAACTTTTTTTACCATCGTCAAAAAAATCACGAAAACATACGAAGACTGGCGGCTGTTCAAAAAGTTGTCTTTTTAGTTTCTTTTTTTGTTGGATTTTTCAGTGCTCTTTGGTCTTGGCAACTGCTGCTATCAAAAGCTCTCAGGGTTTTTTTATTTTTTTGTCGTTTCAACATTATGATGAAACCGGGGCATAACTCCACATTTGCATTCGAAAAAGGGCTATTTTTTTATGAAAGTTATGCAAAATTTTCAAAACAAAGAATTAAAATGTGGCGGTTTCTATCGCTGTTTTTTTATCATATCAGCTGATTCCATAAAAATGTTGGTACCCGTTCGGGAAGTTTTTAGGTTGCAGAATGTTCCAGTTTTTTTCTACTTTTTTTCTTCAAAATGAACAAAAATTTTTGAATATTTTTTTCGCTTCAAAAAGGTTTTTTTGAAGATTTGTTTCTAAAAAAAATTCAAATTCGCAGTTTTTTTGTGGCAATATTTGTAACAGTAAATTGATTTTTCAAACTTGCTAAATTTTTTTCTGATATTTTTTTCGAGTATTCATTAAAATATTTAGTTACCTATTTTTTTCTGAACTTATGATAAACAAGACATCAAAAAAGTTTTACGGCTTTTTTTTCCACCGCATAGCCTCTGACAAATTGTCAAGAAGCTCTTTAACCGGTTTTCCCACCCACGTGCTTCACTTTTTTCTTACAAAGCTCAGCGATCGAACGTAAACTCTGTCGAATAGCTGCTCCTCACATCATTTCCAATCTTCTTTTTCCGTTATTTTTCCCATTTTTTCGATCTTGATAACAGAGAAAAACACCTACTTTTGAGTCAGTTAGGCCGGTTAACCTTCGCTAAGCGGGAAATGTACATTTCGGCTCAGTCAAGTTTTTTTTTTCGTTTTGCCGTATTGACGTCAAAGTTGAGAGCACAGAAAGTAGATCAAGATAAAATAAAATACGAAAACATTCAAGCTTTTCATGAGTTTCGGCTTAAGTTAGCGGATAATAGTTATGAACTTGTTTTCAAAACTGGGTGAAGGGTGAAAATGCCCAAAATTTGTTCTGTGATTTTTTTGCAGCAAAATTTCACGGTTCTAAGAACTTGAAAGAAATAGTCATTTTCAAAGATTTTTTTCATTATTCTAATTATTGACGCTTCAAACAAAACTCGGAAACGTATAAACAATCCCTAAATGGGCTTGAAAAATTTCCTATCGATTATTTTAGAGAACAGGAAGATGAATGCCATTAATTCAGAGCACAATCTCAAATTATTCTGAAAAAAAGACAAGAATAAAGTTTCAAAATCAAAATTCAGAGAAGATTCTGCAGAAATTGTGTATAACTAAGAACAGAGAATCCGTCGTAAGTAGGCGTTGCGACGCCTCAGCTGCAGATCAGCTGTCGATATCTTCGGCAATCTCTCCTTTTTTGGTCTGCGTACACAGCCGTTTAAGTCCGCAGATGCGTGCAGCTGCCTCGGGAGAGAAAAGGGCAGGTCCTTAGGCAGTGCGTAGAAGCTGGAGAGTACGATTCTGGCCTCTCCAAACTTGCAGGGATCTCTCAACGGATGTATGCGCGCAGGCCTGCGGTTTCCTTTCTGAGGAGGGAAACTTTTGAACTGAATATTGCAGATCTGGCTCATACTTATGAAATAAAAAAAATATCTGTTAAGCGCAATAGGGAACAGAGACAAAAGCTGTCAAAAATGTACAGGAAAAGCTCGAAAACTGATTTTCTTCAGACTTTTGTTTAGTTTTCGAGCACTTCCTCTTCATGTTTTACCTGCTATTTTGCAGAACCCTACCATATTTTTTGAATCTATCTTCATATTTGCGAGAATTCATACCTAAGACTACCTACCTCAAATTTTAGAACCAGATCCGCAATATTCAACATACTTTTCTCATAGCAAAAAGCGCAAGATTTAGCCGACTCCTCAAAAAATAATTCCTTGTTTTTCTTATTTCAAAAGTAGTTTTTTGATTCGAAGATGTTTTCCCATCTCAAAACGTGCCCGCCAGGAAAGGGAAATAGAGAAGAGTCGCGTGGGCAAGTGATAACACCCAAATTTCGTCCATTTTTCAAGATCGCTGGTTATTTGGGTGCTTTGGTCGACGGCACGACACACTGTCATTCAGGTTTCCTTGAATTTTTTGTTTCGATAAGGCTTCTGAAAAGAAAAACGTGGAAAAGAATCCTTCAATGTCTTTTTAACGGAATCGCCTGTTAAAAATGGAGTTCCTTCTAGAAAGTTTCAATTCCGAAGGTTTTCGAGGCAACATAAATCTTTTATATTGGGTCGAAAACCTTCAAAACATTCTTATTGCAATTTTGAGTCATTCTGATTCACAGTTTCGATGAATAGGTCCTTATATGAAGCGGTTCTCATCAAAAAAGCTTTAGAAAGTGTTTTTTTTTTTTGGTTTAAATCTTATATGGGGTTCAATTTTTAGACACCTTGAGATGCAAAATTTGAATTTTATGTAACCTTTCAATGCACTTTTTTCTCAACTTCTCAAAAATCTTCAATAATAAAAGCAATGGAAAACATTTCTGATGATAAAACTTTTATCGGAAAAAATGTCCGAAAGTTTGGCTTCAAAAATTGTATTCGGATAACAACAGCCTCAACCGACATTTTCTCTTTCTCAAAATCCCAACGCACATGAGAGAATAAATTTTCTTCTCACAACCAAAACTGACTCTCATTTTTTCTTCCTTTGAAGCCTCGGCGCCCGACGACAATATCGGAGAATGCTTGGAGCCTGAGAATCTTAAGCGTTTCGCTCTACGAGCCAAATGAACAAAAAAAAGGAGGTGGAAGGTCGGCCCTCCTATCTGTTTCCGCCAGTTTTCCTGCGTTCAACCTTCTTTAACACCATTACTTTTCTGTTTCTGTTTTTGTTCTTCAAGGAAAAATTGGAAAGAATATTCAATAAAGCTTGGGAAAGGTGTCCGGTTGAGGTTTCAATGAAACTTGGTTGATGGATCTTCTGGAACGCTCTTTTTTTTCAGATCAGCCGTGATAAAGTGAACTTTTCGTTTCTCAGTTTCTCGGATAAATAAAAAATGAGTATTCTTTTTTTGCGTCTTTCAAGCTCTATAACAACACTAAAAGGCGGAAAGCGCAGTTTTTCCCTTATTTTAAATCAGGATGCTTAAAAAAACTACTGAACCAAGATCAATTAGATTCAAAACCGAACACGAAAATTGAAAACCTATTTTTTCCTAAACTCTTCGTGTTTTTCTTCTGTTTACTCTTATGAAAAAGTTCCTTTTCCGTACAATTTCCTCCCTGGCTGCAAGTTGGAGCTACTCCGTGAGCACTCACCTTAAAAACAACATCTAATTATAACTTTTCCCATGAAAAATAGGTTTTGGAGTCTACTTTTATAATATTATGTGCACTAATTTGCACGTTTTACAGCTCTCTTTGGCTTTTTCCCAACTTGTTTTCGACGAGAAAACGAATCTTTAGTCTTTGCCGCACTCCTTATCTTACTTTACCTTTTTTAGTATTGGCTGATGAAGCAGTTTTTTCCGATTGTCCATTTAATCCGATAAGATAAGCGCCAAATCTTTCCGTGTTCGCGGATCTTGAACAAAAAAGGAAAGTTTGCAAAACTTCAAGTCACAAAACTTCGCTTAAAAACCCGATTTTCGGAAACAATGAAGTCTTGTCACTGTCAAATGTCATTACCATCACTCCACTTGTTGATTTTCTAGACTTCTGTCTTTCTGTCAGTCTGAGAGCTCATTTTGCTTCATCGAGACGTTCTCGTTTGCTTTGTTTTTCCATGAGTGAGAATCTCTATGACCTTTGCTTTTTTCAGGCCGTCGCAAAAACTCTACTCTGTTCATCAAAGTTCACTTCGAAATGTCTTCTCGTATTTCGAAAGGTTTGTACTTTCATATATACTTTTAATCGCGTTATTGAGGGGTCCAGAAAATGAATAACAAAATGGAAAATTGTTCAGGGCGTAAAGTTACTTCAGCGTGCTGTTTTAAACAACAAAAAAAGCTTTTCTCTGCTTTCTAGTCATTATAAAGCTTTAAAATGCGTTAAGAATCGATTTTATTAATAAATAAAACGTTTTCTGGTATTTTCAATCCGCAATAACATAACTAAAGAAAAATTGATTTTTTTCGACCCGTCATCAGAAAAAAATTTATTAATCAACTTTTTTTAACTACTGAAAATAAGGAAAAAAACCTGAAGTTTTTCTCTGCTCTCCAAAAACCTTTTCCAGACTTAATCGACAGCATGGACATTTCCACGCACCTGCAAGCCGTACCAATGCTCGGCAATCAAATCGTCCCAAGTAAGCTCGGAATTTTAAATAATCCTTCATTACGATCGCAATTCCAGAAATTTGGGCTCATTTGGAGAAGAAAGGTCTGACCGAAGAGGAAATGATGGCCAACATCGAAATGGCACAAATCGAAGCGCGACTTTCGTCCCACAGGAATGCTTCATCCTCACCTCAAATTGGTTTTCCCCCAATGAGAAAATAATTAAAACAGAAAAAGTTCAGCTCGCCAACAACCAGTTCTCCCTTCGATTTCGTCGACAGAAAACGCCCATGAATTGAAGGTAAAATTCGAGAAGATGTCTTTTTGGGACGAAATTCTTGCAGCGCTCCCTCGCCTTCGACTCTGAGAACATGCCCGCCCCGAAAATCGCCAGAAACAAGCCGTGAAATCCAACGGGATAAGAAGAAAACATTATTTGGGAAATGATACTTGTACCGTTTATTCCAAAGCTCATTTGAAGTTAACCCTACTGAATTTTCTACTGAACGCTTGGGAAACTGGATCAATCTTTCTTGATACTGTGAAAAGGAATATTTTTTCCCTTTCAACAATTAAGTCGCATTTTCGTGCCTTGCTTTTGACGGCTTTTAGGCTTTTTTTTTGGAAAACTGAGAGTGATGCAAATCAATATCCTTGAAAATCTTTTTTTAACTTTAGAACAATTCAACATACCTTAAAAGTCCCTAAAACCTCAAATTTCTCGATTTTCCAAGCGTTCAAAGTGTACTTCCAGAATAATTGAAAGAAAACCTTACTGGTGCCTGTTTTTTTTACTATCTGTTATCAAGTTCATTCTTCATGACATCCTCGACGCGTAGCCACTCCAAATACCATAATTCCATTCCTCGAACCAAAACTATTCATTTTCTGAATTTTCTGAAACGGTGTTTCTCGGGTTATTTCCTCTGATCTGTTTTCACACATGACATTTCAATTCATATTTTGCTCTTTTTTTGATTTCTTGTTTTTTTATTTTTCAATAAAGTTCATTCAATGGATTCGAAAAAAAATAAACATTTTGTTGGTTGAAAAAAATAACAGATTTGCTGGGTTAAAAGTCGACTTTTCAATTAGAAACCTATTCTTGACAAGATCGAACTAACAGAGAATGGAAAATATAGAAAAAAAGTTGTCAAATCTATAAAATTGATCAAAAGATCAGAAATCCATTAAATAGCCCTCAATTCTAATTTTTCTTTTTCAATTTTTAAGATTTATCTTCGAAACTTGCGCATTAGATTTGATACTAGGAAATGAACGGATTTTTTTAAAATGTTTTCAGTTTCCACAAAAAAAATATACTATCTATTAAATTTTATGGTTATATATTTATGAAAAAAATGGAACAAGAAAAAAAGTTTTCAAACTCGTCAGAAGATTTTGTCTCAAAATTTATTTAATATTTTTTTCTCCTCCTAGAAAGCAATCAATTATCTCAGTAAAAAAACTTTTTAAAAATTTCTTGGCTTTTTATTATATATATCAAATTAATAAAAAGTGCACTTCTGACTCTTGTTTGTATGTAATAATGAGAAAAACGTCTTTTTGATAAAGTTTAAGGAAATTATTCCTGCTGAAAAAAAAAATTCTGTCCAAAGTGCATGAAACTTTTGTTGGTTCATTAATCTTCAGCCAGTTCAAAATAGTGAAAAGTGTATATCAGTTCTTATTAAAATTATAACAATAAACCGGTTTTACTGACCTTGAAGGCACTCTGATAAGGAATGTGCGCTCTATTGGACACCCCAATCAATACCCTCGATTTACGGCGAGGAGATCTTTATAACTTAATTTTTTTATTTGATGAAGTTCCTAAGTGTACTTTCGTATTATGTATTTTTTTCCACTTTGGATTGCGAGGATTTACACTTCTGTCTGTTCTAAGGTTTTATAATTCCTTCACTGAAGGACAATAAAAGACGGGAAGTTTCTCTTGTTTCGACATAAAAGTTTTGATTGAAAGGCGAACACAAAAAAATTTTTTTATGTCAATCTTCCTGTTGAACTTTTTAGCCAAGAAACTTTAATATGAATTTCAGAATCTAAATTCAAAAATAAATAGCTAATAGGCCCCAAATTTTTTTATATTTTGATATATTATCCTAATTAATTTTTTTAAGGTTTTTCTCTCATAAATATAGCTTTATTTTTGGTTGCTTTTTTTGAAGATTTTTTTGTTGATTACGTGAAAAATTTCACAGTTTTTTTATTGATTTTGAGAAAACGAACCTTTTTTTATTTTTTTTTTCTAGCAATATGGCTTCCGATTTCTAGCCAAATTGCTCTCAGGAAGTTCGGATTATCAACATCAGTCATGTCGTTTTGGTAAATAACGACTTGGACGCAATAGTTTCTGACTTTCAATCATGATTTCCTGTCAAAAAACATCTTTCAATGGATAGCTCAATAATAAAACAACAAGTGAAACGGATTCCAGCTGGTCGGCGACATTTGTGAGGTCTGACGAGCTATCGAAAAATTGCTTTCTTGGGAAAATAATAGATCCAAGCGACTCGCACTGACTTTATATATCAGATTAAAAAAAGAAAACTCTTGATTTTTCGACCATCGTTCCGTTTTTTGAAATGGAAATCCGTTTGTTGAATTTTGTATCATTTTTTCTTTGAGATTACGGGTTTCTACTAACGGATTTGAAAAATAAAATGCACCAATGGAATTTTTCCACCCTGTTCGAATTTTCTAAAACTTTCTCAAGGCTCAGCCCAAATGAAAGTCCTAAAGTTACCTCTCCTTTTCCGAAGTTCCAATTGGACAGGTTCCTGTCATTTTTTTATACTCTCAACGCTATTTTGATTATTTTGATTGTTTTTTGTTCAAATCAAACCCTGGGAAAAAAAGAACAAGTTTATCAAAAAACAAAAGACAAGAGAAAAAACAAAACACAGGACCGGAGGCGAAAAAGCACGCGAGGGCGACCTGAAAATTCAAATTTCCGTTCATCATCGACAGTGCATTCAAGCTTCGGAATTCGCGTTTGCATTGCCTCGAAAATTATGCGGCAAGAGCTCTATGCAAGAAATTTAAATTTGAGACTAGTTGAATCTACCAAAGTTCTAAATGAAAAAATCTGTCCGTAGTATGAGATTGGTGGACGTCAAAAAAAAATCTCCAACTTTAATCGATTTTCGACATTCAACCATAGAGAAAATCTTTTGTGCTTTTTGCAAGACGGTAAGAAACTGACCAAAAAGAGAAAAAAGAAAAAAGCGGCGCCGAACGACGGGAGGCCGAAAGCCAAAGCCAACCGGCCAACTGAAAAGTTTAAAATTGATATTTTAATACAAAAAAGCCATTTTGATACAAGTCCTGGCCTAAGTTTTGCATATCAACTATTATATAGACTATTTTTGATAAAAACCAACCAGAAAAAAAACAAGAAAAGGCGCCAAACGAAAGCCCAAAGGCGAGGAGAAAACGCGGCACCAAAGCCAGAGGCAACGAAGCCTGGAAAATTTATTATTCAACCGTCCGAAAACAGTAGAAACGAATTCTAGATTTTTTTGAACATTTAACATGAAAATATAGAAACTCGAAAATTACAACAGTTAACTTCAAATTTTAAATAAATTTGAAAGGAACTAACCACAAAAAAAAGAGACAAAGCGCCAAAAAAAACCCGGAGACGGGAGAAAGAACAAGGCAAAAAGCCAGACGCGACGCCGGCAACCTGAAAACTTGACTATTTGATGGTCGAGAAGCAGTAGAAACTAGAATTCTAGATTTTAATGACACTTTACATAGAAATATCTTCGAAAGTATTTATCTCGATAGTTGAGAAGGTCAAGAAAAAAAAACTAACCAAAAAAACGAAGAAAGGCGCCAAAAAAAGGAGCCAAAAGAACGACAGAAAAGAACAGAAGGCGCCCGGAAAACTGAAATTCAAGCTTATATTGACACCTTCCATGTAATTTACGTCAAGACTGCTTAGTATATATCTAGGTAATTTTTTTAGAAATACTAATAAAAGAAAAAAACGAACCTGAAAAAAACGAAAGAAGGCGCCAAACAAAAACGACGCAAACCAGACACAAAAACGGCCGGACTCTGAAATTAAAGTTATTATCCGACTGAACAAAAATCATTTTGGTTCAAAAATCTCTTCTCTATCAAAAAGTATTTGGAAGTTTTTTTAACAGAGAGAGAACTACGAATTTCAATAAAAAAATAATTTAGAAGTTATAGGATGCGGAATAAAAAAATTAATATCCCAAAAAACAAAATTCCAAAGCTATGAAGACTTGGAAGAGCATCGTTTTTTGTTTTTGTTCTTATAAGAAGTGAAAAAAATCAACCAAAACACAGAACGAAAGACTAGATTGAAACTTCGATTTATGATACTATGCTCTTTTGAAGTTTGAAGTTAACCACTTACCACAAAAAGAGAGGAGGCCTAGAACTCCGGCGGGCCGGTAGCAGCAAAGGCGCGGCTCCCGGGCTGAAACATGTTCGATTATTATTCCATTTCCCAAGGTTATGAAGTGAAAAGAAATTGAATGAAGAAATTCAAGTACCTCCAGAGACTCCGGCAGAATACCGTAAAGGTACTGCAAAACGGCAGTCGCAACGGAAAGATGGTAGCTAGCCCAACGTTTTAGTTTGATTGCTTGTTCCAAAAAAGGCGAGCCGAGCGGAGCGATGTTCTCCAGCTCCATGGTGCTGTTCAGCAATGTGTTGGCCATTTCAAGAACCTGGTTTGCGTGTTGGATCAGTTCAATCTGAGAAGCCATGTTCTCTGAAAATATTCATTTTTCACTTTGATTTTCATTTCTTTTCAAACATCGAGCGCGAGAAACAGAAAGTACCTAGGAATCAAAGACGCAGAGACGCTTTCATTATCAATTTGTGTGATTCTTGTAGGATTTTTCAGATTTTCATATCATTTTCAAATAGAAAAGTAACAATAACTGACTTGGTATCCATTTTAATGATTTCTCATTGAAAAACTCACTTCTTTACAAAAGATTTACGTCCTGAAAAAGCGTGATTTTCTTCTATCATGTTGTAATAAATGGAAAATAAGCTTTTAGAAGTACTCAGGTGTCTTGTTAACACTAATTCCATTCTAAAACTCCAAAAATCTGAACTGTATTCAAAAGCGTGATGATTTGGGATTCGTCGTGAGCTTATAAGCGACATTTTTACAGCTTCGCTCTTTTTTAGAACTGAATTAGGGTGTATTATCCGTTATATAGTCTTCTGAGCTACCTAAAAATATTACCTTAATGTGTGATCATAACTGTTCACTCTTAAAAACTTCGAAACAGTCGTCGTAAAACGAATCCGAGCAGGGATTCCTTTCGTGAGTTCAGAATACAGTGGTTTTTTAAGTTTCTCACTCTTCTCAATGAATTGAACTTAAACATTGTTTTTAAATTTTTCAAAATAAAGTTTTATGTGTGAATGACATCTTATCGAGTTTAACTCAAGAAGAAAATTGCAGAAAAAATGTGCGAAAAGACGGGAAAACGTTAAAAACCGCTGTAAATGGCTGTTTCGCAGTTTTTCTTGTTGTATCTCATTGGATAATAGTCTCAAACTGTTATTTAATGTTAATAAACACTAAAACCAACAAAAGAATAAAGAAAACCATATAAAAAATCATTTAAAATGAGAGAAATGAGTCAGTTTTCGACGTTAAAAACGCTCATCGGGCCACACACCGACGCAGCACTGCACCAAAGGCACCAAAATAAATTTCATGTTTAAATACAGTAAAGTTGTGTTGTATTTGTGTTTTCTGTGTTATTTGTGATAATCTTTCAAGATTTTCAATGTCCAACAGAGCGAGGTGAACCTTTTCACAAACTTTAATTACTCGAAACCTAGTTTTATCGTGTGATGTGTCAATGTTCCGATGTTTTTTGCTTGAGTTCATACTGTTATCAATGAACAAAGAAGTTTTTATGACTTATTTTTTTAGTTCAATATAGTTTTTTTAACATACTATGAAGTTAATTACCTTTCAAACCGAAAGCTTTTTCGCGGAACTCCTAATGTTTTTCAGTGCTTAACTGGAAGCATAGTGTTTTCTCAAAATTTTTGCTTTAACTTCATGATAGAATAAGACAAATCTTCATTTCAAACGTTCACTAGCATACTTCGTATGTTACTGATAATTTATCAAACTCAATTCAAAGAATAAATCGTAGAAAAAAGATGCATGGACACAAGAAAACACTGAAAATCGCTGTAAGCGACTGTTTCACAGTGTTTCTTGTTGTATTTCAATTGATACTAGTCTCAAACTGTTATTTGATGTTTATAAACACTAAAACTAACAAAATAATAATGAAAACAAAATAAAAAAATCATATAAAATGAGAGAAATGAGTCAGTTTTTCGACGTTGAAAAACGCTCATCGGGCCGCACACCGACGCAGCACTGCACCAAAAGCGCGAAATTAAATTCAAGTTTTGAATACAGTAATGTTGTGATGTATTTGTGTTTTTTGTGTTGTTTGTAATTGAATGTCACAATATGTAATGTCTAGCAGAGCGAGGTGGACCTTTTCAAAAACTTTAATCACTCGAAACACAGTTTTTCCATGTGAACTGCCCAAGTTTCGATGTTTTTTTTTGCGTATATTCATATGATCATCATTGTGCACGGGGTTGTTATATCTCTGTCGCATTTTTATAGAATTATTGAACGAATAAAAAAAGTAATTCCTTTCGAAACATGAGAGTTTTCAACTAACTTCCTAATTTTGTGCACCTTTTTCGTTTTGAGCCATGAAAACACTTCAAAGTTCATATCTGTCACGAATTTAAAAAAAAAAACAAAAAAAACAAGTTTCCCATTTCGAGTCAAGTTGCAATTTGATGAACTCAGTTGGTATTCCTCCAAACCTCATAGGTCCACTTTGTTTTTCACTCATTAAACTTTCTAGCTAGTATACATTCCGATATTTTGACAAAAACTATCCAATCTGTTCAGCACACACTCCACTTTGAAGCTGCAGAATAATAAAATACTGCTCACCAAATCCTTTCAAAATAACCTACACCATGAATTTTTTTGTTATTGTTGTTTTCTTGTCTCCCAATCCATATCCATAGATTCTTCCATTTATTTACTTTTTTTGCATCAAGGTTATCCGAAATATAAAAAATAATAGTATTTAACAAGTTAGGAACAGATGTTCTGAGTGGCGATGACGCTGTAGGCCTTCCAGAGGAAACTGCTCGAGATGCATTCAGTTCCTCCACCGCGGACGTACTGCGAGGTCTGGAAGTATTTTTATATTGTATTATTTCTAATATATCTAGAAAAAAATAAGACTTTGATCTCGATTTTCCTCAATTTTCAATTCACAAAACTTTACAATTTGTACTGAAACAGTTTTTTTCTTGCTGTTTGAAGCGAAGTTCAAAGTTTAAAGGCATAGGGGCAGTAAAAAACGGTGTTTCAGTTCAAAACAGTACTTTGTAGAGCTTTTCATTGCGAATCGAAGGTTAACTTGAAAAACGTACAGAAGTTCCTAGTTTTTGGAGAAAAAAATAATTCAAAGTTGGAGAAATGAAAGCTTGAGTTCCCGCGAAAAAGGGCGCTTTGCAGTAAAGTCGCCCTATGGACAACAAGCATCGCCATCTTCCGGATTTTTCGCTTTTTTTCTTCGTTTCTTTCAATTTTTCAATTTTTTTCTGTTGTCACCAAAGTTCTTTTTCGTCACAAAAAGCTTTCTATTCATGTATAATTTGCAAACTTTGATCGCAAAAAAATGCTTTTTCTGGTGAAAAAAATGATGATTTTTACATAGGTTTCGATTGGGGTAGCGATTATTTGTGTTTTTCTTTATTATCAATGTGTGTTTTCTGTTTTTCTTAATCGATTTTTTTCAGAGAAAAAATCCTTGATTTGAAGCAGATATCCAGTTATTTCTCACAAAAAGCGAGTCTAATGAGACGTCCGCAACATCGCGTGCACGGCTACTGTAAACATTTGTCCGTAGACCGATCCAAAGCTTTTTTCAAAATTAAAGGCGGGAAAGTAAAATCGCATTTTTCTACTAAATTTGTCACATCTGTAATTTTTTTGAGTACACCATCCGATTCGCAAAGAAAAACTGTATAAGATACTGCTTTCACCTGAAACCCCATTTTTTACTGCCCCTATGCCTTTAAAGGAAAAATTTTCTTTGTTAGAGTTGTTTTTTGTGGGATTCCCTTTGTTTTACTCACAATCAAGTCGATTTCCTATTTTTCGCATAACTGAAAAAAGTTGACTCGAACTATGAGCGAGTTGAAAATAAAGCAATTTGAGGCAAAAAAGAACCATTCTATTGATATCGCCGATGCAGACCCAGGGCTTGGTCATATCAGTCGAGTGTGCCATTTTTGAGTGATCTTTGGTATAAGAAAAAACGCCAGTGCTTCCGACCTTAAATAAGATTTTTTAAAAATGACTTCAAATTTTGACCAGCCTTGATTGAAAGAGCATCATTGGCATGGTAGGTGAGCTTGCAGGCAAGCGGGATCTTAATAAATTTTCTGAAAAAGGCTTAAAAAAAAGGGAAAACCTCGCTTCCTCGTCTCCAGGATTCTACGATGAGGTCGGTTTTCAAGGTTGGCGCGACCAAAGTGTCGTAAAGGTCTGTAAAATTGGAAAATTGACTTTGAAAATAAATATTTTTCGTGTTTCCTGTCTTTAATTATCAATCTCCGAATGTCTTGGTGAGCTTTCTAGACGCTTTTTTTGAGATTAAATTTGAAGAAAAAGGAATTTTCCCATGCCTTGAGAATCTTTTCAAGAATAGCGTCTCACCGGCGTTGAACTCCTTGGTCTTTGCAAAGGACTTAAAAGTGTAGCCTCCGGCGGTAGTGAGGTCGACAACGTTGCTGAAAGGCTGTCCCTTTTGATATTGGCCAGCGATTGCCTGATAATCAATAATCAGTTGAGCGATCAGCTGACAAGTTTTCACTGGAATACCTTAGCAAGGTCCGGGTTATCAGCAGCCATCGAAGAAGGCAGCTTGGAGGAATAAATGTTCGGACGGTTGAAGAATAGTTGAGTTCCTGGAAAGGAGAAGATAGCATTATCAATGGAAAAGCTATTAAACTAACTAATTTTGAATTGGACCCTTTAAAATTTTTTTTCAAAAAGAAGAATCTATTTTTAGAGGCCAGCAAAGGTTTCGCAAAAAGTTTTCTCATCCCAAATTTTATTTCTCCGCATTTTAACCTTTCGGCCAGCCAGCCTCAAGCTTCAAAAAACCAAAAACTCTCTTTTTTTCGCTGATTTGAAACACCTAATTTGAATTACTCAGCTCTACAAAATGCAGCAAAGGCTCAATTTATCACAGAATTTACCTATGCTTTTTAGTTGCGCATATTTGAAAGTCATGCAAAGCATCGTCTGTCCATAATCGTGTCCAGAAACTGGGTACTCGTAAGTTGTTGGGTTCGGGAATTTTGGCACGCTGTGCACAAGCCAAACACCAGACGTTGCGTCGAAGAAAATGGTTCCTATAATGAAAATGAGCGTTCAAAGTTTGACATTGTTATATTACTCTTCAATACTGCGCTTTTTTAGGTATGGAACGAGTCTTTTGAAATTTTTTTATATTTATGCGATTTGGCAAGACCGTTTGAAGCTTCGTTTTTAAAGTAAGAAAATTTCGAAAACTCCGGCTAAACATCTACAATAAATCAGAAAAGCTTTCAGCCCTCTTTCAAAAAATCAAAGCTCAAAACTGAGCGGAAATTCTCCTAAGTTTCGATTAATCAACACTGAGCGATAGAAATTTCACCTTTCGTGTGTCCATAATCTGAAGCACTGGCTAGGTTATACGTTCTATTAGAAAAAACTCTGTTTGACAGAATTTCCTCCAAAGATATCGTTGAACTTGATCCCCAAGGCTCGTCATTGTACATCGTATGGAAAATAGTCGGATCCGATTGCTTGTCGTAGTACTGTTGAAGAGTGTAGGCGATTGCCTGGAAATAGTTTCATTTTCTTTTTCTTTTCTGAATTCTCCGGAATAATATTCAATCGAATCAGTGTTGTGATATCCTTGCTTTCCAGACTCGAGTTAAACAAGCTTTATATTTCTCACAAAAATAAATAGAAGAGAAAAAGTTTTTTTGCTTGAATCAAATTTTTTTAAACGTCTGTATTATCTGATTGACATAATGCGATGTAATAAAACTTACGAATGTCACTTGGACTCTCGAAAAACTTTTCCAGGTGACTAAAAAAATAAACGATCGTTTTTTTCAATGATATTCAGGGATTTCAAATGAAGTATAAGCAGTTTAAAAAAATTCAAAATAAGCCTTTTTCTAATTTTTCAGTAAGCTATTCTCTCCAAAGGCCTTCAAAGTCACATGAAGGTAAAACACAAAAAAGAAAAAGGTTCACCTGATCCTTGTCATTCAAAGTCTTCAAAGAAGGCTGCAGACTTCCTTGATTGTTTATGTCGACATAATACCACGCAACGCCGTCTTTTATCCCAGGAACGGAGTTATCGGCGCTTTCGATGGGCATTTTGTACACTGCGAACCTCGAATGAAATGTCGTAAGTTTCACATTTTCAAATGAACCTACCAATCGACATCTTTACCATTTTGATCCTTGCAGGAGAACGCGGCAAACGCAGTGCTCACGCCAAGAAGAAGAAAAATCGCCCACGTTTGCATCTTCAAAGAAAAAAATGAGTGAAAAAAGATCAGTTATCACGGGTGCAAAGCAAACGACGCAATAGACAGTGGAATGGCATAACTCGCGAGGTTATCTTATCAACCAGATGTTTATCAAGTCGCCACGTTTTTAAGCTCAAAATGACGACACACCGGTCGTTGCAGACTACATGCTAGAAAAATAAATCAAAAATGAGGACCTTTTAGAAGGTTTTTTATAGAGCTGACATTGAGATATTTTGCATTGGTCAAGTTGGTTCCAAAAAAAGTACATCTTTCAAAAATTTATATATATTTTTGCTCAAGAAAGATTTTTTTCTGTAGTTTCATTATGATCCAAACAATTTCTCAACAAAAAGCGAATTTTTAGTGTGATCAAAAAAAGCTGTATTTCAAGTCTTTTTCAAAAAAAAATTTTTTTGTCTCGAGCCGCATTTTTTTCAACCTAAAAGTAGACTTTTAGATAAACTACTGATTTTTCCAAAAAAAAATCCTCTCAAAAACTACCTATTTTTCAGAGTCAGAAGTCAAGTAAAGCAATCGTCTTTTTGCCGATTTTAGTCGTCTGGTGACGGTTTGGACCGGCATTCTTTGATTTGTAGTAGATGGTGTGTTGAGGACAAGGCTCATCGGGCTATTTTCAATCTTTCTCAGCTATTGGTTTTCCAATCTTCAATTATTGAGATTGGTAGTTTATGGCTTTTTCCAGCGTTTCATGAGACTATCTCTCTTTTAATTACGTATTTATTTTTTAAGGCAATTTTGATACAATATTTGAATACGACCAATGATGTTATGGTTGCTGAGCCAGAAAAGAGCGTCTGAAGTCGACAAGATATAGAAGAAACAGCTTTCGAAAAAAAATTCACAAGGATAATAGAACAACAAATTTTGATTTTCTTGATAATGAATAGAATCATTTGTCATGAAAACATTTAATAAAACAGGCAACATTCAAAAAAATATAGGCGACGAAAGAAAAAGCTGAACAAAAATGAAACTTGGTGAATCTTGGCCGAGCGCTCGTCAACGTCTAGTTCAGCCGCCCGCGGGGTTAAACGCGTATTTGACCTTTCCAGCGTGTTATTGCTATCCCTAGAGTTCAGGAATGTTATTTTGAAGTTTGACATTTTTTCGATTATATTCTTTCTTTGCTTTTTTTGAGGAAAATTAATAGAAAATTAACACTGCTTTTGTCGTAGAATGAATACTTTCAGCTTTCGCAAAAATCATCAGTACATGTTTTTCATTTCAGGCAGGCTGGGTTATTCACTCGCAACAGTGTCAAGTTCTGCTGTTTTCACTCGTCTCGTAAGTTACTCAATTTTAAACAACATGCAATAAGTACAAGATTACCGTAACTTTCGATAAACTTTTTTGATGAGCAATCGCATCGAAAAATCATTTTATCAGAAACCAAATACAATATCGATGTGCATTGCATGAAAACTATTTTTCTTCTTATTATGAAAATAAATCGATCATTGTGGTGTTTTCAGAGCGTGCTGGAAGAGAAGGCTCGGCACAGTCTTGACAACGGAGAAGAAGCAAGATAAGTCCCTTCTCAGGAGCAGATGAACAAGTAGGTCGAGAAGTCACCGCTCTCTCATCTTTTTAGAAAGGATTTTCCGAGCTTCTGAGAAGAAATGACAGTTCACAAGAAGGCTTGTCGAAGTCATCATGGCAATCAACCATAACCAAGACGCATCAGGTTAGCTTCTTCCCACAAAATTAGCAAAAAAGAGTTTCTAGGAGTTGTGGTTGATATGTTGAGGTTTCATCCTGTCAGGCCTGCCCCCGCCAAGGCTGATCTTCCACCATGGATCTTTCTCCGGAATGGAAGCGCATGGGAAACACCTCCTTCAGCCGTTTTTAAACAACCGTCCCTCCTTGTGAGTTACCCGATTCAAAAAGTATGTAATGAGTATAAGTATGAAAAATTTCCCGTTTTCGAACACGCATCAAAAAAATCTTTATTCTTTTGATAAAAATGAATTTTGGAAGGAATTCAGGGGTGAGGACGTTGAAGTGAACATTCCAACGGAAATTTCGGATCGGCACGAAAGTTCGCGGCAGTGAAAGAAAAAAAGGTTAGTTTGAATTTTCGAAGAGCTTGAATGGAAAAACTTGTGTTATCAGTTTGAAAAAGTTTGGTGAACTGTTGAAAAATCGGAGAATTTCTTTAAAAAATGATGAACGAGTAAAAAAAAAGTTTTCAGGAATGTTTCGAACAGAAGAAGAAATGGAAGGTCAGCCTTGGCGGGGGCTGATCTTCCACCTCGAATCGCCCTCCGGAACGGAAGCAGTTGGAAAGCTCCTCCTTCAGCTTTTTCCAGTCATCTTGTGAGTTAATCAATTTGATCACATATGTAAGTTCAAGGTTATTCAAACTCCTAGTGAACTTTTTTTGTTGAGCAATGCAGGGAAGCTATTTTTCTTTTTATTTTAAATATAAATCGTTAATCTCGGTGTCTTTAGAGACTGCTGGAAGAGGAGGGTCGATACAGTTGCCGGGGAAGTAAGAAGGACGTATTGGGTTTCTGGCGGCTTTGTATTCGTCCAGTTGCCATCTAAAGTGCAAAGGAACGATGGCTGATATGGTCAGCTTTCATCTTGACCAGCCTTGGAAGATCAGCCTTGGCGGGGGCTGATCTTCCCCCATGGATGAGGAGGCAGCAGTTTCCAACCAGCCTTCACTCATTTCGTGAGTTACTTAGTTCGAAGTACATTACTGTCAGAAAAAGTACAAAAAAAAAACGCGATTTTTTGGCTGCGATTCTCTTTTAAAGAGTTCAATCTTTCTCATAATTTCTGAAGCTGCGGTTTTTCTTTGAACTGAAACTTACACAAAGTGTTAGAAAGAACTATCATCACAACTACAGGTAGTTTCAGGAAGTTTGAATCTCTCACAAGAAAGTTTTCTCCGAACCCCGTTTTTTCGAATTTTTTCTGACGGTATTGTATGTGGTGAGTATGAAAAAATTATGAAATATGTTCCGTTTTTAAGTTTGTGCATCAGAAAATCTTTATTATTTACGTGAAAATAAAAGTTGGAATCCATTCAGGTGTGAGGAGCGCGAAGTGAACTTTTCGACGAAAATTTCGGATCGGCACGAAAGTTCGCGGCTATGAAATAAAAAAAAGGTTGGTTTGAATTTTCGAAGAGCTTGAATGGAAAACTTGTGTTATCCGTTTAAGAAAGTTTGGTGTAATTTTGAAAATCGGATAATTTCTTGAAAAAAAGAAATGATGAGTGAAAAAAAAAGTTTTCAGGAATGCTTCGAACGGAAGAAAAAATGGGAGGTCAGCCTTGGCGGGGGCTGGTCTTCCACCACCGATCTTCCTCCGGAACGGAAGCAAAGGAAGGTTACCCGTCTCAGCCGTTTCAATCAACCGTCACTCATCTAGTCAGTTACTCGATTTTTAAAAGTGTATAAACAATGTAATAGAAATCAAAAAAATATGAAAAAAATTTCCTGTTTTTCGAACACAAATCAGAAAAATCTTTATGCATTTCATGAGAATAAAAATTGGAATCCGTTCAGGTGTGAGGAATGCGAAGTGGACCTTCCAATGAAAAATCAGATCGGCACGGAAGTTCGCGGCTGTGAAAGAAAGTCGGTTGGCTTGAAAAAATGAGTAAAAAAAAAGTTTTCAGGAATGCTTCGAACGGAATAAAAAATGGGAGGTCAGCCTTGGCGGGGGCTGATATTCCCCCCACGGATTGTCCCCCGGAACGGAAGCGGTTGGAAAGCACCTCCTTCAGCTTTTTTCAGTTAACCGTCACTCATCTTGTGAGTTAATCAATTTGATCAAATAAGTTTAAGGTTATTCAAACTCCCAGTAAACCTTTTTTGATGAGCAATTGCATAGAAACATCATTTTATAAACAACCAATTTCAATAGTGATAAGCAATGCATGAAAATTATTTCAGTTTTTATTTAAAAAAAAATCGTTAATCTCGTTGTCTTTAGAGACTGCTGGAAGAGGAGGGTCGATACAGTTGCCGGGGAAGTAAGAAGGACGTTTTTTTTTATTTCGGATCGGCACGAAAGTTCGCGGCTATGAAAGAGAAAAAAGGTTGGTTTAAATTTTCGAAGAGCTTGAATGAAAAACTTGTGTTATCAGTTTGAGAAAGTTTGAGGAACTGTTGAAAAAAATCGGGGAATTTTTTTAAAAAAATGATGAATGAGAAAAAAATTTTCAGGAATGCTTCGAACAGAAGAAACAATGGGAGGTCAGCCTTGGCGGGGGCTGATCTTCCACAATGAATCGCTCTCCGGAACGGAAGCGGTTGGAAAGCTCCAGTTTCAGCCGTTTTTTTAACCAACCATCACTTATCTCGTGAGTAACTCGATTTTAATAGTATATAATCAATGTAATAGAAATAAAAAATATGAGATTCTCCGTTTTCAAGCACGCATCAGAAAATCTTGATTCATTTCATGAGAATAAGAATTGGAATCCATTCAGGTGTGAGGACAGCGAAGTGGACCTTTCAATGGAATATTCGGATCGGCACGAAAGTTCGCGGCTGAAAAAAAAAGAAGGTGTGTGGTAATTTTCGAATTTTATTGAGCAACTAAAGCTTAACTTTTATTCTAGGAGGATGAGAACGACAGAAGGATTGAAATGAGGTTCGCTCTTCTCAGAATGGGAATCCCTCCACCGAAACAGCTCGGAAACTTTCGCGGCATCGTCGACCTGAGTTCCTGGTTTCTGCTGGGTCTTCAAACTGGGCTGAACCGAAATGATCTCCGGTATGGTGCAGAGTTCCAAAACGTAATTGTTGGAACTGGTGACAATAAAAAAAAACTTCTTGATATCATTGTTAGTTTTGTATAATTTTAATAAAAAAACGTTGAAAAATATGATTCGATTCCAGTTCACGGCAGAAAAAAAAACAAAAAAATTAATTGGTAATTAAGAATACCAAAATCATACATATGTGTTGTTCGAAGGCTAAAATTAACCTTTAAGTCAAAAAAAAGCTGGTTTCTGCTATGTAATAGGATCTATCGGCTTAAAAACCTTCTTGGACTTTTTTTTTCGTTCCGATGCGAAAATCTTAATAAAGAAGAAAGGAAACGTCGGTATCTCAGCTATTCAATATTAAGTGACTTTGAAACTCTTGGAGAAAATTGGGCGCCGGAAGAAAGTAATGAATACGTGCACAAAAACTTTCGGAGCGATTAGTTTTTCCTTAATTTTCGTTTGGAGGTTCACCAAGGGGTCTGAGTGAAATGTTTTTTCTTTTTTCAGAAATTTGTCGACTTTCGGAAAAAATACAGAAAAAAGGCCCGAATGGATTTTTCGAAGTCTACAACTCGCAAGATTTTATGCGAATTCAGCCCAGTACCGCAAAAGCAGGTAAGTGAACAATTCATAGTTTTTTTTTCAGGGAGTTCTAGGTAGGACCCCAAAAGATCGATAAAAGAAGCTCCCGAAGGGTTTTTTTTATGTAAGGTGCCAAATCAGGACCCAAAGAGCAGGTAAGCCAACCATTCGTTGTCTCTTTTTCAGTCCATTATTTTTCAAAGAGTTTCGTCACACTTTTTGAAAAAGATACAAAAAAATACATGAAAAAAATGGCTTTTTACATTTTTTTCGATGGCTTCATGACAATCCCCCAAGTTTTTCTGTCATCAAATCCGCGAATAGGTTAGTTTCAACTTAGAAAAAGAAAAACAAGGAAATTTTTAGGCCTGGAACGGTGGCTGATATTGTCCGTTATCTATTTGCTCAGCCTTTTTCACCTGGAAATGGCTCCATAGAGCTGAGCAAGATTTTTCCAGAGACGATATATTTAGATGCGGAAGAGGTCATAGGAAAGAAAAAAAAACCGCAATTTGTCTCTCCAATCGCCTTAGTGATCAATAAAAATATTAACTTCAGTTTGAGCCGTCAATCGCCAACTCCGCAATCTGTCGAAAAAAAAAGTGGACTTCGTGTAGCTGAAAAAATTTTCTTCTAATTGTTGAGATGTTTTTCACAGAGCGACAAAAAAAACAGAAAAGAAGTGAGCTGATTATTTTACTACTAGTTTATTTATAATCTCGTAGTTTTCAGCTCAAAAGGAAGGTTTTGAAGCAATAAAAGCGACGCAAGACAAAAAGCTACGGGAAAAAAACCAATGAAAAAAACTGGTTTCTTTCTTTTTTTATTTTATTTTTCTAATTTTTTTGGATAAAATTTTCAGGCATAATATTGTTTTTATGGTTTCTTTCCATTCAATGATAAGATTTTTAAAAACTATTTTTATCGCTCAGATTCCTTCTCGAGTTCAAGATTATAATTTTAGGGGAGCTTTTTGGTTTAAACTTCCATTTTAAAAAAATTTGAAAAAAACTTTTGAACTTTTTTTCAAGTTTTTAGTTGTAAAATTCAAAAAAATAATAATAAACTCTGAACTATTGATTTTTCTTGGCTGCTAAAGTTTTTTGACACTTGTTTTAAATAATTTTTGGTTAATAAAATGAAGATTAGGAAAGTCTCAAGAGCAAGTCTCAGACTAAAGTTTAAGCCAAATAACAACATAAATATAAACTGGCGCGAAAAAAGAACAAAAAATTACAGAAGTTTGAAAATAGAAGTAGTTCGTTCGAACATCAAGTTCAAAAAGGTTTTTTCTTCTAAACAAAAATAAGTCCTTTTTCCTTTTTTTTTTGACTTCAAGGTAGATCTTCGTCCCGGAACAACACATATGTATGATCTTGGTATTCTTAATTGCCGATCAACTTTCTTTGTTGTCTCATTTTTTTTCTGCAGTAAACTGAAATCGTATCATATTTCCAACGTTTTATCACAAGTATAAAAAAGTAACAACAGAATCAATAAGGTAGTTTTCTGTTATAAGGAGTTCCAACATTTATGTTCTGGAAATCCTTACCATAGGGATAGACTTGCAAACGGTAGACTATTTCAGTTCCTCCCAGTTTGAAGGCCCAGCAGAAGTACGTATAAACCGGTCGTATGCGCTCCAGGGACGTCTTCCAAACCATTTCGGTCGGGGTTATACCCATTCTCTGAAGGGCGAACTTCATCTTCGTCGCGCTGTCGTCATCGCTCTGCTGGAAAGGAGAGTGGATCTCGATGTAGCATCGTGGCACCTGGAAAAATTTATTTATATATTTTTATAATAATAATAAGTTACAGAACCGTCAGAAAAAATACGAAAAAACCGGGGTTTTGGTCACATAAGAAATGCAATCTTTCTGAAAGTTCCTGAAGCGGCTTTTTTTTCTGTGAACGGAAACTGCTTCAGAATAAAACAATAACAGTCCTCAATACCATATGAAGTTTCAGAAAGATTTAATTCCTTTGAAAGTTGGGACCGATACCCCGGTTTTGCAGAATTTTTCGGACGGTACTGAATTCGATTGAAAGGATTTTTCCCAAAAAATGATTTTTAGAAAAAAACTTAAGAAGGTTATATTATTTTCCTACTGTAAAGGATGGAAATTACTTACTCGTGTTTCTGCTCCGTTTTCTTCAGTCTCCGGCTCTCTCGACTTGTACTCCGTACAGCTCCATGCGGCAAACTTGAAAACAAGAATTTAAATAAGATTTCACTGAAAATGTACAAATACATCCAGGAACTCGATGACCTTGTTGACATTTGCCGTCAACTTGCACCCCACTTCCAGGACGAAAACTTTCAATGGCGTCTTTTTGAGCCGGTGCTGCTCCATTATGAAATCCAGGCAATCATCCGTCATGATGACCTCCTCGCTCACGTACATAGATATTCTGAATCTCTCTTATGATAGGAACTAATTTTTTCAATTCACCTGAAAAATTCGGCGGCTGGGTAGTGTCCGATGAACTTGCGGAAGGTGAAAACCCCCCGGAATTGCTTCCTGACGGCCAGCGTGCCAATGTGTCTCTGACCATCGAAGCGGTAGATGTTGGGGAACCACTTGCCGTAGCTCCTAAAAGCCGTTCGCTTGTCGACGTCAAAGGTGAGCTGGAAAAGATTGAGTTGAGGAAACACAAGAAATTTGACAAGTTGGTTTGATAAAAATAGTTTTGACAACAAAAAATTCGATATTTTCAGTTTTATAACTCCTTTTGACACGAATTTTCTTCTAGAAACCAAACATAGTTGTTCTACTCTTCGAAGTGTGAAGTTTGACAATCAATGTACTCAAGTTGAAATCGGTTTTGGCAAAGAATAAGAAATGGTGTCTAGTTATTTTTATCGTCCATGAAAGCAGGGAGGAATGGAAATTCACCGTCTTGGTCTCCCGGAAGAGATTCGTCTCCACAAACTTGGCAAAAACTCCTGTTCTCTTCAAAAATGAAGGGCTCATCACGCACAGCACGACATGTGTTGGGATGAACTGGCTCAGCTCCGTGTACAGATCCCTTACATAGCCTTCATGATTTTCCCACTGAAAGAGATATTTTTGAAAAATCGGAAACGACTAGAAAAAAAAATCAGTTATAAAATTACTTCGAACGACTTTCTCTCGTTTTGAATGTCAACCACGCAGACCGCGTCACTCAAACGATTTTTGTCGAAATCAAAAAAGACGGTCGCGCTGGTTGGCTCCTTCCTTTCTCTGAAAGCATGAAAACTTGATTTCTTTTTTTTCCCGATTTTTTTAACGGCGTTTGTGAAAAGTAAATGTTTTACTATCGCGTGATTTTAAAGATTTTGTACCAGCCCAGCGATAGGAGAACCTTCGACCACGCCCCCGCGTGGGCGAAGGTTCCTCAGGTTGCTGGTTCCGCGTGTCCCCTCTGTCTTTCCTCGACTCCTGCCTGCCTGTATTTCCCTGTGTCAAGCAGCTGACATCCCAAACAGGAAGGTCCAATACGCCAACCTTTAGAATTGTATCTGGAGGGAGTCTCTAGACTCTAAAGGCGGGAATTTGGAATAATTTTTTAGAATCTTTCTAACGATTTTCAAGCCGTCAAGGATTTTATTTTTCGTGTCTAATTCAAAAATGAAATCATTTTATTGTGAGGTAACGTACCGCAGAACAGACTCGGCCACATATTTAGCCGTTGTCGAAGATCGGGAGAATCTAACCACAGACCGATATTCGGCATTATCCAGGATCTGCTCGATAATGTTGAGCGTGAGAGGCATTTTGTTCACTGAAGGTAAAAAATCAAAAAAGAAGGAAAAATGAACGATTTTTTCCACTGAGAAGTGATTAGATAGAAATATTTCTTGTGAAATCGATTAAAGAAAAGTGAACTATGAAGAAAGATTCAGTTGCGCTCGAGTTGGAAAAAAAGGTAAGAAATAAGAAAAAAATTGATTTCATAGCTTAAAAAGGGAAGGTTGAATTTTAGAAGAAAAAAATGATGCAGATGGTGAATAAAAAAAGCTCACGAAATTTAAAAAAATCTCATGCCTGAGGTCTTTTTTTCTCCCGGACTTAATTTGAACGAAAAAAATAAATGTTAATGTTTTTCAAGACAGAAAATCAATTGGAATTATCAACTGAAGAGCCAAATCGCCCAACTCGAACATGGGTTTGTTGATCGGCCCCCATTTTTTTGACTCAAATTTTTCGGTTCAAAACTTTAAAATTATAATGACTATGAAAAAAATATGTTCTTTACAGTTCTTTACATTTGTGGTTTCTCTATTTCATTTGCAGATTTCGGATTTGACCTTCTTAAAAAAAGTATTGACAAAACATTGAAAAATAAAAATTCTGAACCCTTGAAAGTATCCTTCAAATAAAAAAATATCGAAAAAAATTATTTTTCGGAGAAAAAGTGAAAATTACAGTAATTTTTTTGGTGGGCTAGGAACATTTAAAAACAATTATAGTCATAATCAAAACTTTGAAAACTGGAAAGTATGTTTTAGAAAGTGATATAATGACTCAAATAATCGAGTTCATCAGTAAATAAAGAAAAAGTATAGAAAGAAAGTAAATGAAAAAAAAATTATCAAATAATTGGAACAAGTCGGAGGAGAGTTGAACGACTGTAAAATGATAAAAATGCTCTGCTGCTCCAGATTTTATTAGTCATAATCTCTTAGATAGTATGCCTAAAAGATTAATCAGAATAACTGAAGTAAAACATCGGAAAAGCTTATTAACGATGAGCTCCCATCCTTAAGAAAGCCGTTTGTGGTAGTTGCCGATCTTGGGTGTAGATTTTTTGAAGTTTCAAGTTGTGACTTGATACTTATCTAGGTACTCTTTAGAAGCGACTGGTATCTCTCTTTTTGACACAAGCCTTAAAATATTCTGTCACTAGTGAAAAAGACGTCTCCCTTCAGTTTCGCGCCAAAATTTCACTTTGAAAATTTTCTTCAGGTGGCTTCGAAAAAACGAATAGGAAATTATTTCTGTAGCGGGATTTTAAAGAAATTTCTCGCACATTTTCAGAAAAGTAGCCCTGTGTTCAATATGAATATGTTTTTATGTGTCCTTCTATACTTTTCAGTTTTTTTTCTGTGATCGAAACAAAAAAACAGACGTCGATACATTCAAATCATCATATCACATGGAAAAGTTTCTTTTTAATTTTATCAGCTGGCTGAGTTAAAAGTAGAAGGATATATTTGGATTTCACGGCTTTTTCAATTTGTTCCAACTGTCTTGTTAAAAAAAGCATACGAACAGCGGCCCGCCGATAGACGATTGGAAGTTTCTTGATTTCAGAAGAAGGTTTCATGTTTTTTTTCAAGAAAAGTTTTAGTGGCGTTTTCCTCTAACATTGATAAAAGGATGAACCAGTTCAGATAAATTTAAACCTCTCAATTTTCTTCTGAGATTCTGGTTTCTTGTCACAATCGTTTATTTTGGGGCTTTTTGCCAGCTTCCCCATCAAGTACCACCTCTACGCGGTGATGGGGAGGCAACGCCATTTATGGCGGCTAACGGTACACAGGTCACACAGTTGGGCTTGATTCTGCTAACAGAATGGGCGGTCTTTTTTAGCCCTGGCAAGGCAAAAAGGATAATCAGACCACAATTATGCTATAACAGGCGCAACACCATGAATGGAACTTTTTCGCAAGTCAACCAGGTCAAAACTGGATGACCGATTGCATAAGACCGGACCTTCTGGAAAACGTGTGGTCCACGCTTCGACCAATCAAAGAAAATAAAAGATCGAAAGCGAAGATGGACCATCTAAGTATCCAAGTAAGTAAGTTTGGCAAGCTTTTTTTTCGATTACTGTATCACAGGTATTATGAGAGGGTTTTCTGTCATATTGTAAATAAGGTTTCTTCTTTCTACATGAACATGAAACATTGGGAGTCCGACTTCTAACAGACGAGGTTGAGCACTATAAAAATTTCTTAGTTCGTTTGCCGACTTCAAAAATAAGAACGCCTCGAACGAAACGTCGTCATTTCAATTATAATGATCTTTGAGCCATGAATTTTCTCATAGTGTTTTATTTTTAAGCATTAAGTCTATGAACAAAAACACATAGAATATGAATTTGAAAAAATCGAGTAGCGGTGCTCAGTACTTCGCAGTTTGAGATTCTCTGTTAAAACCATTTTTGAAGGTTAAGAGATCTTTCATAGTCGCTACCTCGTCTAACTTCTCGCTTTTGGAGTAACCATTTGAAATATCGAAAATTAGGCTTGCAACCCGCATCGCGCAAGTTCAAAATTGACATTCCATGGATGATTTAAAAATATATAATGATTCAAACAGTCAAGTTTAACAAGAGATAAGGCAAAAGTAGAGAAAAAAAAGAATATGAAAAGAAATTGTTAGACAAATGAAGCAAGTCGAAGGAGAGACCTACTCCGGAGCGAGTCGGTATAAGAATGGCTAAATCTTGATACGAAGAGGAGGAGGTCGCAGGTCACACGCCGATAGGAAGAGCTCGACAACGCCAATATGGCGTCCTAATTGGGGCGATAGCGTCATCTCAGAGCCTCCTCAAGAGGTTCTTATAGTCCTTGATTGTGGTTTCTGCTCTCTCATAATGAGTTGGCTCGATTGCTCAAGAAAAAAGCCCCACCTTGCTCACGGGAAATAGCAAAGTATAAACTACCATAAAGAATCGCTTTGGACCTTTGAATGAGACTATATTTCAAGATGCCGTTGTTTCTTCAAGCAGATTCGAAGTCTGTACCGAGTAGTTTTCGAAAAGGTCTGAGAAGAAAGCAGCGCTCATAATTTGGAAAAGTCTCATTGAAACTGTAAGAAGAGCTAGTTTCATTGGTTTGGCTTCCCAGATCCTTTGGTAAGGAATCGAAAGAGCTTTCTAGGCTTTTTACCTTTTATAAGTGCATAAATTCAGGTTTGGGGTTACCGTTGCGTCAAAAAAAGTCGAAAAAAGAGTTATTCCCCTGGATGTCTTTTCTGATATATTTTTGAACTGATTTTTTCCAGAAAATGAAATTTTACCAACTATTTTTTTACAAATACAAACGACCAGTTTCAGAAATATTGGGCAAAAAAGTGTTGAACTGTTACTGATATAAACATTTATAAGTTATTATAGAGAAAAAAAATATTTGATCAGGTAGTTTATATAAAAAAAACAAAGAAGAAAAGAGCTTTCAAAAAGGTATCTCATAGCTACATTGTCATACGAGTATGCACAATGGATCAATGATTCATCTAATCTGAGAGACGGACAGTTGTTCCACTTTTTACGGGTTAAACTGTTGGACTCTACAGCCCACAATAACGCGGCCATGTGGCAACTTTTTATCAAGGTTTGTTGGTTAACTTCTTCATTTTCTCTGAAGCCCAGATCAAAGTTAAAAAAAACTTAACATAGAAGTATCTAACGACAAAGATGTGGAAAACGGCCAAGAACTGATTTTTCCGGGTTTTCGGTTTCTTAACCATTATCTGTAGGCTTCTATACCATAAAAAACACGAGAGAGAAACTTTTTTTAATGCAAGGAAAATCATTTTTTAACCTTTTTGGTACATTTTTGACGGGCTGTTTCTCAGTGCCCCATGGCGTTTGGCAGACGATTTATTTTGATACCTAGGACCTACAGCAGAAGTTTGGGCTAAATTTCCGAAGTTCAGCTCACATAAATAACTTGTGAGACTTATTTTGCAGATTTTGAACCGATCTCGCCAAAGACCGGTATATTAATAGGACTTTTTTAAATAGCTCTGGTTTTCATCAACCAGAACGAAGCTTGTTGCTTTTTCTGGTTTTCCCTAAAATCCCTTGTTCCTATTGAATGTGTTCATTATTATTTTTCATGCATTCAAGTTTTATCCACTTGCTTCATTATCTCTATTCGAAGCAGAAGAGGCGTAATTGGTCGGGATCCTTTCAAAGATTGACCAGAACACTTTTTTTTTGATATACCCAGTGAAGACCTAGAAAGCCTGAAATGTTGATTTTGAGAAAATAACCTCGAGACCGCCGAAACGGCTCTTCTGAAACAGCAAGCTCTTCTTGGGGCTTGAGGTTTGCCTCATTTTTGAAGTTTAAAGTTCCGCATATTCCGACTTTTGAGGTTTCTAAAAAATTCTTTCAACTCAGAACAAAATGATCATCATTTTTCATCTCATTGCTTGAAAAACATTCAGTATAGTAGTTTTCCAACAAATTTTGAAAAAAGAACGCTTTTCTCCAATTGAACATGTCTAATTTGTTTAGTGGTTGACGCCAAAACAACCGAAAAAAGCACTGTTTACCCGGAGTGGCGTCAGCCGTATGTCTGTCTTTCACGTGGTGTTCACTCACTTGACCCTCCATGTTCTAGTCGTCCGACCACCAGCCAGTATTTATAAAGCGCTGTTTTTTGAAGGTCTCTTCTCTTCAAATCTATCAATTCAACGCAAAGATCGCTGTTTTCAAGTCCATTTCCCACACTATGGTTCATAATTCAACTGGTTTATTTCTACAACGCGATGATCCTTTAAAAATATTCCTGCCCGAAGATGATCAACTCGTGTACTGGTACCGTGAATAAATTTTTGTTCTCTTCAAATTTCGTAACGTCCACGGGTTATCGAATTTAATAAACTTATCGAATTTATAGTGTTATGCAGAAACATTTTTGTAAAGTGTAAGCTTGAAAAAGAGGATTTGCTTGGAATAATCATAGAGTTTCAAAACGTTTCAGGCTCGAAAAGTTAGTTGCGTCCGGCATTTTGAGAAAGGAAAAGCTTTTTTTTAGCATTAAAGTTGATTTCCAGTAAATTTTAATTTTTACATTTGGAGGGAAATTCATTAAAGCGGTTTGTGGATCATTTCTAACCGGTAGGCAACATTTTTTTGATCTTCCTTTCAATTTTTTTCTTTAAATCTGCAGGATCTATTATTTTTTTCATTGGCATTCTTGTCTCGTTCAGCCATTCTTTGTGCGACCGACCTGTTTTAGTCACAGTAAATAGACATTGGTTGCAAAATTTTTTTCGTTTCCATTTTTGTTCAGGAACATCACGAAAATAAGGAATTCTATAAAAAAATGGTAATTTTTTTATTATGCATTCAATAAAAAAACTGTCAGTAAAATTGCAAAAAGAATTATGGAGGTATATATTATATTTGAACAACAGATTTTGTGTAGAACAAAAAATTCAAAGACGGGTGATTTGAGATGGACTCGTTTTTTTCTTCCGATCATGGCTCCCAAAGATCGCGACCAGCTCTTTTTTCCGTCCTGAAGTTTGAAAAAATTACATTTTTGACTTTTATACATTAAATGGCATGTTCATAGCAGCTTTTCAAATAAAAAAAATCTATGTATATACGCGCTTTCGATTGCTCAAAATGCTCCGTCAGTGAGCTCATAATTGTAAAAGAAAAATTCCCCGAGACTCTCAAAATTTCTAGAAATCCTAGTAAAGACCAATATTTGGTTCCAAACTACGTCTTTTCAAGCTAGTCCAATTTTCCTGCGTGCCTTTGAGCAAAAATATGAGTCGAACTAGTGGAACACAAAAAAAAATTAGTTGAAAAACAAACGTTGGCTGAAGCAAGTCCTCTGTGTGGCGATGTTTTTACGGGCGGATGTATTTCGATAGTTGGGGCTTTGGGTCTGTAGGAAGAGACGGATTCTGAAACAAATATAGTTCAAAAAATGACTATCTGAGAGAAATCACTTTAAAGATTACGATTCTTCGACAAAAAAATGCGGATCTCAACAAATTCCTTTTTCAACTGAAATTTTTCGAAGTTTTGCCTTTTTTTCATTTTTTTCCATAGTTTTGGGCTCTCAAAAAAATTTATAATTGAGAAGTTTTTCTGGGATGGGGGGGAATGGTGGCCCTAATGGATTAAAATCAGCTCCAGCAAGAAACATCAAAGAAAAACCTGATTAAAACCCTTTTTTTATATTTTTGCAACTGAGTTGAAAAAGAGTAAAATCGATAAAAAAATTAATCATTCAAAAAATCAGAATCTGGAGCATGAGAAAGTTGTCAAAATTTGTTTGTCACTATTTTGAAAAAATTCATCATATGACTTTTTCACCCATTTTCTAATCTTCAAAGGTTGTTGTCTTGTTATCACCTGATAGTAAACATGTTATGAAGAAATAAAGGAGTGTTCATAAAAAAATTTTTTTGCCAACTACAATTTTATGAATTCCCTACCTTTTTTTCAAAGATGAGTTATCGGAAGTTTGCTGTGAAAAAAATAGTCTGGTAGTGTGAAGATAAATTTATTTTTTTCTCTTTGTCTGGATTTATTTTTCAAAGTTAATTTCTAAGTTTTTGGACACGAAATTATTCGAACCTTTCAATTTTTAATGTGAAGAATGAAACTATGTTATCGCATCAGTCCTCCTTTTTTTCGTTTTGAACAATTATAACAAGGTTTCAAACTGATAAAAACTTGATTGTCGCCCAATAACCTCGCTAAGAGGAAAATTTGCGCAACTGAAGTCGTTTGGAAGAATCGATTTTTTCAACAACCTTTTTTAAATTTAAGAACAAATTGCAGACAACAAATCTCGAGATTAACATTTTCATTCCAAAAACACTCAAAATGTGAATTTTCCAACTCAACCTTTTGGTGAGTGTTTTGGCTGGATTCTCTCTCCATCGCCGATGTTCAATTGGAGGACAAATTGTTGATCGTCTTTTCCCTCATTTTTCGCAGCCCCATTCGTTGCCTAAAACAAAATCGTGGTTTTTTTCTTTTTCACTTTGAAGGTTAATTATGGAAAGACAACGAAAGTTACCTGGAACAGGTCAATCACGTTGGCGCGCTGTTTCTGACGTTTGACGGGCGCTGTGGCGCCGCGTCCGGCTTCTGGCGGCGCCAAACTCATTGGCGGACCAATCGACTTCAGAGTTCCTCTCGATATGCTCCCTTGAAACAAACTTTCTTGAAAGATGATATTTTTTCATCAATAAGGTGTTCGGAAATAAGTAATTTTAAGTTGACAAGGTACTTCAAGTTAGAATTTGGAAGCGAAAGCCAAAAGTTTCAATGTTTCAATTTGAAACTCACCACAAACACTGATCTTGTCATACAGTCGATCTCCAGTTGCCCGGCTCAAGGTCTGTTTAACCGGATCTTCTTGTTTCTCGAAGACCAGGCTCATGGGCGCCAGAGCAAACTTTCCCCAAATTACTAAAAAAAAAGCTGTTGATAAAAAAAAATATAAAAAGGTTACTTATTTCATCGAGTTGCTTGATCAAAGCTTGTCTCCAGCTGTCGAGGGCTCGAGCTCCATCGGCGATTATTAGAACTTCTGAAGCTTCAACTGTCCTTGATTCTTCTGTGACGATCATCAGAGAGCAAGGATCCGTGCTGGCAACAATTCTTGTCCTCTTAAATAAAAAAAAATGAATTTCTGATTGGAAAAATTGATTCTGCACCTTGGAAAACGGTACAACTAGGCGGATATCCAAAGCGCCTTGTGTGATGTCCCCAATCGTGTAACATTGCATTTTACCCGCCTAAAACTGATAAATGATAAAATGAGACTCCTTCTCTCATAACCTGAAGTTTCACAAAGACATTCTTGAGGTAAGTGTCCTCATTCAAATGATGGACTGTGACGACTCCTTCGGCTAAAGGCCTTTGGACTGAATGAGGAAGAACGGCCAAGCGACAGACCACATTTCCATAGAGCGGAGGACCCGAGAGTTCAGCTAAAATCAGCTTTCTTTCAAAATTGAAGGAAAAAAACTGACCGAAAGCTTGAGATTTGAGATCATGAACTGTATTGTTGTCGCCAGCATCAGTGATGGCCAAGTAGGCTCTGGCGAGGAAATTGAAATAAGTTCCTCCGATTGAGGGCTCAGCTCGGACGGTTCGTTTGTCAGCGCTGGAGAGGTTGTTTTTCTGAAAAGTGGCTTTAAGTAAAAATATCCTGATGCAAAATGAAGAATAATTTGTACAAATTTCTCTAATTGCGCTTAAGAAGCAATGGGTATGTGCGTCATAAATATAGACACCGTTCGTTTTTTCAGAAGACAAAAAGCTCATTAATACAAATTTATTGACACAAAATGTGATGCGAATTCATTAAGGGATTTCCAAATATGGAAAAAATAACGACTGACCACGCTCGATCCGAACTTCCTTCCAAGAGATCTCGTGATTTTGCTCCTCAAACTGTCCCCGCCATCCATCGGCCCATAATCGGTCCTTGCCGCAAAAATGCTCACTTCAACTACAAAGTCTTCTGGTTCGTTCTCACTGAAATTCCGTTTTTTTTTTCATCGTAAACTTTGATTATCTTACAATACGAAAGATTCGTTGATAACAACGTCGGTCATCGTTCGGTCGATGTTCGTAATGATTTTCGTGTCGACGACTTGGTTCCGCGTTCTTAGCGCTAGGAACATGGAGTATGTCCGACAATCTGAAGAAATTCGAATAAAAACAGTGCTTTTCGTGATGTATTGAAATCAGAACCTAATTAATTCAGATTGGACTAGTAAACCAGTAATATTTATTTATCTCGAAGAGATTTTTGCCTGTTTTGAAGATTCTGAAGAAAAAAAACGCCGCAGCGAAAGGCCAGTTTCTGAAAATCATAGACCTTATTTTTGAATATTTGAATTTTTTCACGGAAACTTTCATACTCAAGAGTTCTTTCAGTTGAGAAACAAAAAGCTTCAAAATGGTAATTAAAATTGTCCCATTTTCTCAATTTTCAAAAAATTCTCAATTTGTTTTTTTTCGCTGTATTCATGCTTCTGATTTCAAGATTGCCGAGCTTAAAATCGGGAAAATTTTCGTCTCGAAACGCTCGTTAGTTTATCCGTTAATTTTTCTCTGTGAAGCTTCTACTCTCTTGGTAAATAGACTTGTTCCTACAAGAAGCCATTGACGCAAAACAAGTGTGTACTTAAGAAAAAAACGCCTATTTTTTGCTTTCTAACCCTTTTTCTAAAAGATCCAGTTTTGGTTAGAACTGCAAAAATATTCCAAAGAAACGAAAATGTTTGAGAGTTTTTTTGAAAAAAGTTCCGTAAATTGTTGTCTCAAAACATTTGATTTCTTCAAGAAAACTAATTCTGATTCTCGGAGACTTCAAAGACCTCCGTATTTGCTCATGGCCGTACTCTTTGTCAGTAAGTCAGCCAATACTCTTCCGCAACCACAATAACCTGTGGGAACACCCTCGGAGCTCCAAAATTCGAACCTCCTTTGCTTTTGAAGTGTTGGTCGCTGTTCCAAGCGAGAGGAACGCTGATCTGCGAAAGACCGATGTTTGCCAGGCTGTTGCATGTCGAAGGTGAACTAAACGGAAAAAACAGATTTTGGATGTTTTTTTTTTCAATAATTCCTATCATTTATATGTTAATAAAACGCTTGCTGGACGTTGAAAGTGCAGAACTTTGGATCACTGACATTTTCCTTTTTTGTGAGAGTCGAAATTGTGCAAGATTCTACGAAAACCTACAGTTTTTAAAGGCCCTAATCTCTTTCAAAACAGGAAGAACATGACGGAATGATATAAGGTCAATGACCATACAAGCGGCTGCATTTCTTATCACAGCAGCTGCAGAAATACTCAAATTTGCCTCAATATTTGGTTGGAAAACTCAAAAACAAACTGTTCTAAATTCCTTTTCTCCCTTTGAAAACAGATTAGCCTCTTCAAAATTTTACCTTGATTTTCCATATTATCATATTTTTGGTCAGCCGTTCTGTTGGCCTATTTCGAACAGAACTCGTTCCTAAATTCTGTCCAGTCAGGTGAACTGTCAATAAAAACTTCTAAAAACTGGAAAATTGATCTGGTTCCTGGGTCAGAAGGCGGAAAAGGAAGGTTAGAAAAATGGAAATAATGTGTAAAAATTAGCGTTTTTAAGAGGTTTCTTTAGGCTATCGTAAAATGTGAAAGCAAAAAAAGAAATAACAGAAGGCTCTTAAGATTTTGATTAAAAAAAACCGAGGTGTTTCTGCTCAAATGCGAAATTTTCTTCACAGTTACTTTCATCTGATCTGATTGTTGGTTTTGAAGAGATTTTTTTCCCTTGACCGGTAAGTTATATCAATCCTAAACACTTTTAAAGCCTTAACGAACTGTTATCACTATTTTAGAAAAATCATAAAACCAAAAAAAGGCTTTCAAAAAAACTACGTTATTTTTTTTTCATCTCAAGACTGGACTGAAAATAGTTTTTTTCAATTTTTATTGTTATTTTCTTCAAAAAATCCGTTTCACAGGCTGCTCAAAGTTTGGGAAGCAAAAAGAGCTTTCAACCGGAAACTCACAAAAATTCATCCATAGAAGACAGCCGGGTGACAGCTCAGAGTAAAAAAAAACAACTGGAAGGAGTCGTTGTGCTGAGGAAAGAACGGCCCGCGCACTTGTGAAAACGCTATCGCGTCATTAACACGAGGGTACACAGATAACGGCGCATTTGTTGTGCCACACACGTCGGAACACGGTTTTTTCTCTTAGGAAAAAGGTCGGCCGCCTCTTTTTTGCCACTGCTTCGTGTGAATCAGTGAGGTTCTGAGGTTTTTGGCTGAGTAAACTCAAAGGATTACCAGGAGAAGTACACGTTTTAGGTGTTTTTTTGGTGCTTTAAAATATTAAAAAAAGAAACAGAAAAATTTCATATAAATTGTTTTTGAGCGATATTAAGACCTTGCGAATACTCGAAAGGGTAATTTTGTAAAGTTTTCAATGTCTCGAAACGGTTCATAATTAAAATAGTTAGAAAGCTGAATTTTCTTTAGACTCAAAAAATGGTCTAAAATTACACAAAACGTTTTTCTTCCCAAAAATAAAAAACGTAAGACTCATTCAATTTGATGGAATGATTTTTAAAAAGGCACTGATTGAAAAAAAAAAAAACGTTTTCATACCCTTCAACTGATCCCGGTTCTACGAGTGAGGATCAAAAAAATAAGCAACCATAATCCGCAAAAATTCGCAGATTTTTTTAATAATATCACATACAGAAAAGCCAGTCTAAATCAACATTTATTCTCAAAAAAAACGGGTCGTTTATTCAATTTTTGTTGGATTCAAATAAAAAAATACTCACGCGGTCTCGTGCCGATGTAACATCGACATGTTGGGTAGTTGTTCCCGGAGAGAAGCCAAAACGGTCGCTTTGTCCTCGACGAGAAGACTGTGCTGCTGACAAGAACGCCTTGGCTGTAATGAGAAAATCAATAGTTTTTTTTCGAGAAAGTTTTGAATGAATCAAAAAAAACTCATCCTGAAGAATATTCAGAGAAAATCTGAACTGAGCCAATTTTTCTCTTTTTTATCTTTTTTCAGAAATGAAGCTAGTTTCCAAGAAAAAACGAAGGCGTAGAGGATGTTTTCTCTTCAACAAACCTTTTTTATCAATTCTTAGCTTGGGCTTAAAATTTCCAAGCAATAGAATCAACACTTTATTTCAATGAAACTATCACAACTTATTGTTTCACAATTCTTTTTTTGTCATTTTTTTTGGAAAATTTTCTGAGAAAAATGGCGACGTAGAAGGTGTGACACAAAGTTCTCTTCCATGCATAAACTATAAGTTTTTCAACGCCATTTCTCAGATGAAGCCCAATATTTCCAGCTCATGAATAATGAGAGCATCTCATGAGGGAATTTATCACGCTTTAGAGAGAATTTGCAAACTTTTGTGCCCTGACTTGCCCTCGTCCGTATTAAATGCAAATTTAAGCAATTAACATAAAAAAATAATTGGTTAAATTTATATAGAAAAATATTTTTATTTCACTGTTCCTGTGTCTCGAATTCCAAGCTGCATGGAGGACCCCTTTCAGCTTTTCTTTTTCAGGATGATGTCTTTATTGAGATACTTTTTTTTCAGTAGTAAGACCTTGTTCTGGTTTTTTTACTAGGCCTTACTCTAAAGTTTTTTTTTGGAACATTGGTCTTCAGAAGAATGTGCCATTGAGGAAGATGCTGAGAATTCTCATGAGGATCATTTTTCGCGGCTACTTTTTCTGCTCGTCTTTTTGAGATTCATAGAAGGTTTATGGACTTTGGTCGAGATAATTAAACTTTCAACGCCAATTAGTTGGTTTAATCAGAATTTTTTGACTCTGCCCCCGAACAGAACAAAAATACCAAGAAATATAACTGGCAAAAAAAGTCGAGATATAAATCAAATAGTGAAAAATTCTCGAAACTTCCTTCTCTCCAGGGCTAACTTACTCCATTCGCCACAACTTGAAGCAGTTCAAGCGTCTGAGCCCTCATTTTCTGTCTTCAAACTGAGCAAAACATCTTAGAAAAGGCAATAGTTCGAGGAACTGTAGCACAGAGAATAGGAGAACACAGGCGGTAAGAATTTTTCATTTTTTCCTTGAATGGAGTATATTTCAAATTTATATTTTCAGTTCATTCATTGGCTCGAAAATGTGGTTTTCATCTTTTGAGCTCTATGAAAAATGCAAAAGCAGGTTATTCGAAAAAACCGATTCAGAGTGATCTCTTAACTCGTATTTCGTCTTAACCTTTCAACCTCGAAGCTTGAAAAAATAAATGCAAAAGCAAATTTTTTTCCGGTAGCTGATATCAAGCTCACTTTTAGGCATAAACTTCCAAATCTCGGCCTAAGAGAAAAAAAAAACAAGTGCAAAACAGACTTTTCGAAAAACCGACCCTCTCGACAGGTGGGAATTCACCCCAAGGTGCCAAAGATGAATCGGGGAGATGATCGACGGCGGAAAAATGAGTTGGGTGCATGACGCGCGGAGCAGAAAGGCGAGTCCAAAACGATTAGAGGGCGCGCGACAAAAGTTCCGGATTAATAGCAAATGAGGCAGCCGACCGTTCGCCAAGAGGCAAACGAGCAAACTCGGCGTGTGACACGAGACGAACAGCCCCGGAAAAAAAAGCAGAAAAAAAGTTTTACGCGCAAGATCGATATGCTTACTTTCAGCCACAACTCTCTTCGAGAATGTTTCATTTCTGTTCTATTTTTTTCTCAGATGAAACCGCAAAAAAATAAAAATATTTTTTTGAACGGACTTTTCCACAAAAAAATGAAAAATTGTTTGCTTTTTATTTTTTTGCTGTTGGAAATTATTCTATTTATCAAGCTAAAGAATAAAACTTCAATCTTGTTCTCAAACCAAAAACTTGGAACAGAACTTTCACTGAAAGCTTTTTGAAAACTCTTTTTCATTTTTTTATTATTCCCAAGCTAGTCTATAAGGAGCTTTAAACTCAATTTTTTTAAAGCTTAAATAAATTCCATCTAGAGCAAAATAATAAATATATAACTCACTTCTCTTCTCATCTAATATTTAATAAATAGATTCGAAGAACAACCACAATTGGAAGAAGCCAAACAGTGAAAATGATGAAATCAACAAAAATCCCACGAGAAGCTTCTTTCTCCTCCAAAAATATCTGTGTTTCTTTTTGCCCCTCAAGTGGCTACTCAGCAATCAATGCATGAGTTTCCTACTTTTCTCCGTTGAGATAAGTAGGAAGCCAAACAGCTGACAAGCAATGAGGCTTAAAGTATAGGCTGCGAAGTGAGTAAAAAGAAGAAAAGAGTTGAGAAAATGAAATCGGAAAATAGATCTTTTCTGAAAATTAAGAAAAATTAATTAAAAAAGTCGTTCGATAGGCTTTTTTTCGTTGTTCATGTTAGAGAAACACTCTTTAAAAAGGCGGCGCTTCGGAAGTTCAAAGAATTTCCAAAAACAAAGAAGAAGGCGAATAATTTTTTTCCTAGAAGACCAATCCATCTTCAAAACTGAATGGGCCGCATTTCTTACACGGTTTTCGAATGATCTAAGTGTCTGGAAATTTCGAAACTTTCCGGAAATAATGTTTAAAAAAAACTTTCAAATCAAAAAAAGATAACAAGACCGAAGATTACTATCAAATAATGGTTACAGAAAAAAAAAGCGAAAAACTCTCTAAAAAAGAAAAAATTTGAAACAGCAAAAATTTTTTAATTTACCTGGTATTCATCCTCCTCGAGTAGCCTAACATCTAGCGAATTTTCAACCACTCGCATCAGGGCAAGGGATTGTACAAGAAAGTGAAGAAAATAAAACTTGTTCGCCGTTTCACTGATGCCATAATGAAGCTTATCAAGGCAGATGATCGATCACACTTTAAATTTGAAAGCCTCTCTTCCTCCTTTACAGCTGTTCCCACAAAAAAAGAAGAACTTACGAGGAAATGACGCTTATTATTTAGGAGTCAGGGGGGATAGGAAATGTACAGCGAGAGTCAAATGGAGTCAGGCGGGAAAATGGCCAAAATGTACACGTTTTGCATAATCCAAGGCACTGTGCGCTCAAAGTTTTGACTACGAATAACTGACACTTGAAACAGTTCGCAATATGAACCGGTAGGCGATGGCTTTGCGAATGGCTGTAAATGGCAATTTTGTCAGCGACTGGAGTGATAAAAAACAAGGGGGACTGTATAAAAGTGCAGGGAAGATGAATAACAAACCAGTGTTCGTTTTTTGGATCGTGGGAATTCAAACTCAGAAGAACCACTGGGATATTTCGAAAGATTTTGAGCATGGAAACCAAAATTTTGGAACTTAAGAAATTTTCTCTTTCTCACTTTTTTATACAGCAAACCCGATAACGAAAGTTTCAGTTTGAAAAGAAAAAGCTGAAACTTTTTTAAAAGCCATTTGATTCCAGGAAAAATATCAGCCAAGTACCTTCTTAATCTTTAATATTCTTTAGAAAAAAATTGTCAAGAAAAAAATAGATTTTTTGGCTTTTTCATAAATTGTCAATTTTTGGCGTTGATCTTCTAGAGGAAAGTCTTTGAAACTCAGAAAAATGGCTTTTTCATAACTTCAATCGTTCAGAGCATTTTACTTAATTCTCAATGAGCCACGCCAAAGAAAATTTATTTTTCGGTTGAGATTCCTTTGAGGATCACATCAATATTCTAACGTTTTTCAAATGAAACCACACGCATTAGTTTAAAAAAAAACTAAAAAATCACCATTTTGCACTGTGAGCAGTTGCTCATGTTGAGGATCCGTTTGCCGCCTGAAACAGTGAGGTAAATTATGAAGTTGCGCATCGGAATGTTTACACAACGTGATCGCACTAATAAACTGTCATTTTCAATTGCAACCTTCGACTCTGTCGTGAAAATCCGGATAATACAGACATTATGGTCATAAAAAGTCGATGCTCACCGGAAATTCGGTGATGACGGCGGATTGGGCGCGCAGATTAGTGAGTTCGTCTTTCCTTCTGCATTCTAAGGAGAACACGCGTAGGCGAGTGTGTTTAACAAGCCGTCTGGGTTTACCCAAACCGACTGCGCGCGGCCGATTTCCAATCAAACAATGCTCGCTTTTGATCTTATCTTCTCGATTGAAGTTTAGGATTTTAAAATACTTCAGCACGGACATAGAACTTCGAGTGGCTGTCACGGAAGGCGCGTTTATTTCAGTCGGGTAACCTCAAAAATCAGTAAAATCGAATTCAAATTACTCCAAGGTCCGATTTTCGAATAGATCAATAAGATGAAATTTCAAGATTCTTCCTGAAGTTGGTTCTAACCAGCGAACTTATTTTAGCCTTGGTTGAACTTTAAATTTTACTTAAACGTGGTTTAAAAGCTTCTGACCCCTGAAAAAGAACACATTTTTTGCAACCGGTCTGATTTTAAAGTTAAGGCGCTTCAAAAGGTTGATTTAGCCTATTTTTGTCATAACTTGCGTTTTTTGCGAGCTTTGAAGCTTTACAATAGTTTGCGAAAAAATTTTCACTTGTTTTAAAATCAGAAGACCCTAAAGTGAACTGCAGAAAAGTCTCATCAGAAGTTGAATTGAGGGCAAAACGTTTTATCTCAAAAAAAGGGTTTGTTTTTTTTTTCAAAATTCACCTGAAAAATTTATTCCGACGGCAGCAATCGAAATTTTCTTTTTGGTTTTTTCGCAATTTTTAAAGTCGTGGAAAAATATATTATTCGAAAAACAAGCAATAGAACATCTCAGAAAAACACAAGCAATGTTACGAAAATTAGGGCGAGCGTGGGTTATATCCATGATCAAATGCTTGAAAGATTATTGGGAACTAATTTACAATAAAATTTCAGGACAAGATGGTAAGTGAAGTTATTAGAAACAAGGCAAGTGCAAGTCCCGTGATAGGCGGACCCGAAGGTTCTGAAAATACAGGCACTAAACTTTTTCCAATCTTTGAGCACTTTTTTATGTGCGAAAAGTCTGAAAAAGTTAAACACGAGGGGCATGGACACCGGTATTTCACAGTAAAGACAAGTGAAACATATTTTGTGAGCAAAAAAGTTGCATTTGGAACCTTCTAAGTGAAATGAAACAAGAAACTTTTTTTGACATTTTTCGCATTTTTTTCGTTTCTTTTTGGAAACTGATTTGATTATAAAATTCGATATTTCTAACCCAAAGCCCGAAAAACAAAAAGAGCTAATATAAATATTTCCTTTCCTTCAGCTTTGAATTGGTTGCCTAACGGAAAAAAATGAGTAGGATATGAAAGAATGACAAGAATTAAGATGATAAAATGACACGGGTATAAACTAGTTATGAAAAAAATATGAAAAATATGAAGAAATTGAAACAATTGAAACAATTGACAAAAAAACTATAAAAAAATACAATTTTTAGGTAAAATCCCTATAAACAATTTACAGCCGTGACAAGGAGGGTTGCTAGAGATTTCTCCTTGTCTCGTTTGGGGAAAAATCTAGTCTTTGATATTTCTTGTCTCTTTTTTTTTCCGAAACACTTCTAAAAAGGTCTAGTTTCAAAAACTCAAGGTAAGAGTTCGTTCTCAACAAAATATTTTTTTGAAAAAAATTTTTTTGAGAAAATAAATTAGATTATTTGCATGTTTTGTCAATAAATTCATAATCTTAAAAAAATTTTTTTCAATGTTTATAATAACTTCAAGGGCGCAAAAAGAATAACTGGGGAATTTTTTTCCGATCTCGTCTCGATTTATCGAGATAGACCTTCGAAAACTTCTCTAAACGACCCGAAATCTATTTTGAGACATTTAACTCGTCTCATTTTCAAAAAGACATATTTCGAACAACCCCGGTAAAAACCGGACAAGAAAAAAAAAGCACAGGATAAAAAGTGAAACTTGACAAAAGAAACTTCAGCCGAAGAAATCAGAGAGCAACATCAGCCAAATACGTAGAAGCCACGATTTGTTCGAACGACGGACGATCTTCCGGATCCTTATTGGTGCACCATTTGATGAATCTCTCCTGAAAGATAGGAACATTTATGTGAAAAACTTCTAACCAGGAACGGTCTAACCTTAAAATGGATTTTTTTGAACCATAAAAAAATTTCCTAAATGTTGTCGCAAGATTGTTTTAAAATTTTCTTGGAAAATTTTGAGTCATGGGGGATTTTAAAAAGAGTCTGAGTTTTTAAAGAATTGTAGCCACTTCCAGTTGATTTTTAGTTTTTTCACTACTTTATCCAACTTCTTTGACGGTTTCTGAGTGAGTTTAGAAAACAGAACAAAAAACAAACTTGACGACTCATTTGCCGAATTAATTTTTCTCGAAAAACTTTATTTCAATGCTAAAATACTTACCGCATTTCTGTCCTTCTCGAAAAGATCATCCCCATTGCGGCGGATTCTTTCGAAAAACTGATTCCGAACTCTATGCGATGGGAACGGCTTGAGGAGCTCTGCGCATATAAGACCGAAAGCGAAAACATCAACTTTTTCGTCGATATCATCGCCAAAACGCTAAAAGTCAATTGTTCAAAGTTTCTTGAAGCATTTTTCACCTGTTCAGGAGCCTGATAGACGTAAGTTCCCCGTGCGTTTGTTGCAAAATCATCCGGCTTTCCGAAAAGACCCTTGAGCTCAGCTTTCTTCGAATTGGGAACCGTCGCCAGGCCCATGTCGCCAATGATGATCCGGCCGTCTTCTTCCCAAATTCCACGAGAAAAGAAAATATTTCCCGGCTGGAATTAATTAAATTGGATTTTTTTGTTCTGGAATGGAAAAAGTCGGTATTTTTCGTTTGAGATGACCCCTAATCAAAAAGAAACGTTGTTTACTCAAAAGTTCAATTTTTCGGAGAAACGTCTCGAACTTTCTTCAAAAGTCCAGTCGCAATTTTTCGCGCAAACTTCTGAAAACTGCTGACTCTGATTTGCCCTTTTCCTCATTCCGATTGAGAAAATGCTTTCTAAGGTTACGGTAGATTGAAAAAAAAAAGAGAAAACCTTCTTATTTGCTTTGAACTTTTAGAACTCGAAAATTATGGCGCATGGAGGGTAACCGAGCCTCAAAAAAATTAATAATTACCTTCAAGTCGCGATGAATAAACCCTTTTTCGTGAAAATATGTCATCGCCACTGCAATTTGACGCATCCAGCTCTTGATTTTCAGGGAAGGTCTCTGATCCTCTTTTTGGATTGTCCACAAGCCAATGTGCCAGGTGTGTATCTTCGCACAACTTAATTTTGAATTTTTGAAATCGTTCCGTCGCATTAGAAACTAACCGTCATGAGAATATATAAATATACGGGGCTGTCTATCTGAAAAAAGTCCGAATCAGAAAAATGGAAAAAGTTAAAAAAAGTCTTTCACGGGTTAGGTTCTAAGTAAATCAAACTTTTTTGAATATTCCGGCTTTTGCTATACATTCGAAATGTTCCTCGGGAAGCATTTTCTTGTCCTCATTCTCCTGATAAAAATTCGTTTCTGCGAGAAAAAATTTCTGAAAAACCTGCCAATTTTTCGGAGGACGCTCGCCCCATGAATCGATGTATTCCAAAAATTGGGGATGCTCCAGCGACCGCAAAACTCTCACTTCACGTTCGCAGCGAGCAATTCGGCGTGGGCTGAAAAATGGTTTCATAAAAATCGATCAAATGATTATTCTTCGAACTTCTTGTTCTGTGGTTTCATCTCACAAAGGGCTTTAATTTAGATCTGGAAACTATTCGAAATATGGCCGGAAAGCTTCTGGATGTATCCGAAAAAGGTTCTGAGACTATCAACTTGCACAACTTCCTTGTTCACAAGAAATAAATGGATGAAAAACTTCAAAATGGCTATTTTTCAAAAGGTCCTTCGACTTCTAGGTATCTCTTCTGGAAAAGTAAAAACTTGGGCAGAGTGAGACTTTCGAAAGTTTTTTCTGGCACATTTGAATTCCTGTCCTTTGAGGTTACTCATAAAATAAATTTACTTTTTCCTAAATCTTCAAAAAAACCCCAAAGATATCCACTTTTAAGAAAGTTTACGCAGAAAAATCGACAAACTTGTCTGTTGTGCGGATTCTTTTGAGGGCAAACTCCTGGCCGTCCGAATTTCTGCGGACCCTCATGACAATTCCGTGGCCGCCCATCCCCAGATATCCGGTGTAAGTGAAAAGTTTTTTGAATCTGAAAACATTTTGTAGTTCAAAATTATCAAATCATGTCTTCGGACATTTTTTCATATCTCGATGCGTCACATTTTTTTCATCTCACTTTTTTTTTGTTAGATTGCAACCGACTGAACCCTACTTACACGCAACCTTATTTTTAATTAGGCTGAAAATTTGATAAAACTTCTCAGAAGTTATATGTTTTTTGATTGCAGATTTCATTTTTTTCATTATTTTTCTGCTTTCAGAACAAGCTATGGAACATTGAACAAATTATTTCGCAAGTGAACTAATTCCAAAAAAATCTTTCTCATGATATTATTATTGATATAAGATTCTTACCGGCTGTCGTAGTCACCGCCGGACTTACTTTTGGAGAAAGCGAAAATTCTGCAAAGCCGAAATCTTTGAAAAAATTTGGTCTCGAAAAAACTAACATTTTCTCTTTCTCCACTTTCAGCTTGCCGTCGCTAGTTCTTTCAACCGACTGAAAAAAATTTTAAGTTAAATCATTGCGTTAAAAAAACCTGCCTTGCCATTCACTTTTATTTCTTGAACTCTCTTTCTTAAAACTGGAGCCATTCTATAAAAATTATAGCAAATTTTGAGAAATTCAATGATACAAATCATACAACATAAATATTACCTGTAAGTTCGAAAAAAACGGTCTACTCAACGCAAAATGGTCTTTAAAAAGTTTCAAGTAAATACATAAATTGACGAACTGAGCAAGCTTTCGTATCGTTCTGGTCGTTTTTTTTATAAGCAAATGTGAATACAAGTACAACAGAAATTGAACTGACATTTTAACAAAATAAGAAAATTCCGCAACAACACTTCATTCTTCATTCATATGAAAAATAAATCCATGAAACATGATTAAATAAGAGGCAACATCAGATGAAAAGACAAACACGAGAATATGCTCACGGGGATGTTCGAAGTTTCACTCGGGAGACCTTTGGAAAGTCTATCAAAATAAGAAAGCCAGAAATGAAGATAAGTGAAAAAAGAATGAATATGGCAAGTTCGAGCTCTGGGATAGTGAATCCGGGCGGTTCGGAAAAAGAAAAAGCCATTCTGAATGAATACTGACTTATTTGCAGCTAAGTGATAATCAAAAAATCAGGAAAATTGAACAAACGTCAAAGAAAACCGAGATTGTGAGGCAAAAAAAAAGAAACAAGTAAAACGCTAAAAATGGCAAGTGGAAAAGAATCATTTGCAAGTTCCTCCTTTCAACCTGTACTGGTTTTGGAGCTTGATTCTTCCAGCCAAAAGTTAATAGCAAAGGAGGAAAAACAGACGCCAAAAGAATGGACGGAAAGCAAAACGTAGAAATGAAGTATTTTTTGATTTATGAGCGTTGAATCGATCAACTAACAGATCAAAAAGAACTTTATGTATGATTTGAATAAAAAAACAGAGTTTGGTCTCGGAAGAAAAATTAGGAGATGCAGAGAGATCAGAACTTTAAGAGAGAGAATCATCGGGATTTGCACTGTATAATCAAAGATGTCAAAAAAAAGCGAGTTAAAAAAAAACAAAAAGTAGATTTCATGCAGAGAAAGAAAGGATTTTAGGAAAAAGTACTTCTGTGAAGCTGTACCAGCGGCATCCATTAATCTCGGGTTTTTTTTGAGCGACAGAGAGGTTTTTTGAGGACCTTACACTTTGAGATTTCCTCAAAAGAAGGACGACCATACGCTCCTTTGAGGAGGCACCACCCAACCATGATGTCCTGCAAGAATCGATAGAAGTCATATCCAAAACCTTGAAGTTTTTTGATTTCGCAAAAATCTCCAAGTGAAAATAATCTCAGCTCACTATATTTTGGAGCTTCTGACTAGGGCATGGTCTCCGCTTGACAACGAGTTGAGAATTGAGACTTCGTGAGTGGATAGGCCTAGGTGAAAGTTCTCGGAATCGAAAATGAAATTCTGCTAAACTCCACAGGATGCTGAGGAAAAGCTCGTCGAAAGTTTCTCAGCGCGTATCACCCCGCGCTCGGAACCTTCGGCTAGCAGCTGGCGGCGTGGTGTTGTGGGTAGTACCCTTGTGCACTATTAATATTGTGACCATGGTTCGAATCCTATTGGCGGAAATCGTTTTTGCCTGCTTATAACTTTATTCCTTCCTCATTTTTGGAATCTTTTTTTGAAAATTTACAATAAAAATTCACAAAAATCACAATAAAAAACAAAATACTGATCTGAAATGATTTTTTGTTTTTTCTCCTACTTTATGGGCAAACGATAAAGAAAACGATCTGTTTATGAAAGCTCACGTCGAATAGATATGTTATAAAACTTTGAGCTTTCTTGAAAAGCGATTAATTGTCTTTTGGACACGTGTGTACTAAACGGAAACACAATAACACCATAAAAATCAAAATGAAACTTTTTCGTTCGGTTTCGCGTTCCAGGTGTCAAAAGACATGGCGATTATCGAAGATTTCAACAAAATATTGCGCGCAATGAGCCTAACTTTAATAAATGTGCTGCCAATTGCCCGCCTTCCAACAAAAATTTTTGAAAATATCTTCCTCAATACGAGACGCAAAGGTGGCAGTGGAAATTATAGTTCTCTACAAGTTTTGATGTAAATTCTTGAAAAAATCTGACAAAAATGTGAAAGGAATAAAGTTATGAGCCGGCAAAAACGATTTCTCCCAAAAGGATTTGAACCATGGTCTCAATATTGACAGTGAACAAGGCCATTACCCACTACACCACGTTGTCAGTTGCTAGCCGAAGGCTCCGAGCGTTGGGAAACTTTCGACGAGCTTTTCCTCAGCCGCCTGTGGGGTTTAGCAGAATTTTATTTCCGATTCCGAGTACTCTCACCTAGGCCTATCCATCCACGAAGTCTCAATTCTCAACTCGTTGTCGAGCGGAGACCATGCCCTAGTGAGAAGATAACGTTTTTAGCTTTTTTTCAGCTTTTTTTCAAGCCTCCAGTTGAATTTTTGATGAAACTTTTCAAAATGCCTCCTAGGACCTCCTGATTCTGAAACAATAACTTACAGGGTGGCTCAAAATTACCCACACAAAAGTTTGACGCCATACAGCAAGGCAATTCTGGGCGCGTGTTAATTGAAATTTGGATTAATTGTATGTTTTTCACCATTCAGCCAAAATTCAGATCAATCGGTTTTGTTTTCAGTAAATGGCATTCGCAGACAAGATGACCGCTGGTCGACGAGAACGACCCACTGGATCCCGAGAAACATCAAGCGCCCACTCGGGCGCCCACCGACCAGATGGACGGACTACTTTCGCAAGAACATCAGTCAACCAGGCCGCCACTGGATGACCGTTGCGCAAGACCGGGCCGCCTGGAGAACGTGTGGTCCACGCTGAGAACATCGCCAGCGAAGATGGACCATCAAAGTATCAAAGTAAGTAAGTAAGTAAATGGCACCGCCGAATCCACATCGACCTTTCATTCTGCACCTTTTCAAAGCAGGAGTCGCTCCGGTTGACATCAGTGAACGGCTCGGAGTTCCAAGTAGAACCGTCTATGACACGATTTCTCGTTTCAAAAAGCTCAGCACGTTCTTGGATAGGTGTGGGAAAGGAAGAAAAGCAACAGTCGTCACTCCAGATCGGATCAAAGCTGTGAAAGAGCGAACCAAAAGAAATCCACTTCGGAGCATCAAAAAGATGGCGAAAGATATGAAAATTAGTCGAAGTTCGATGGAGAGGATTGTCAAAGACAAGGTGAAGCTTACCTGTTATCGTGTAAGAAATGCAGTCATTCTCTCGGAAGCTACAACTAAGAAACGGCTCGAAAGATCAAGAGAGCTCTTTCAGCGCACGCGCACTAGTGAACAATCGATTACAGTGTTCTCTGACAAGAAGCTGTTCACGATATAGGCCGAATTCAACCCTCAAAACCATTGATTACTTGCTAAGACGTCTGATGAAGCTGTTGGTTACGGAAGGACCATTCATCAAGTCTCTCACCCCGCTAGTGGGATGGTTTTCGGAGCAGTGTCTGCTGATAGCAAAACACCATTGCTATTTGTCGATCAAGGAGTCAAAATCAACAAGGAAGTCTCCATTTCGGATATTTTGGAAGAGACACTCCTTCCCTGGACTCAGAAGCACATCAATAGACGTCAATGGGCGTTCCAACAAGACGGTGCTCCATCACACACAGCCAAGTTGTCGCAACAGTGATCCGAGACCCATTCGCCTGCGTTCATCTCGAAGGACTAACGGCCACCGTGTTCACTAGATCTCAATCCTCTGGACTACTCCCTCTGGGGTTTTGCAGAACAAGGTCAGCGTCAAACCCCACTCAAGTATCGAGGCCCTTAAGAAGACCCTGGTCAAGAAATAGGACGCTTTGTCGCCAGACGTCTTCGTGCTGTCTTCGGAAAAAGAGGATGTCGGATGGAACACGATTAGCTTATAACTGTTGTTATGATCATGAATAAACTTTTTGTTGATTCCCATGTTTTTCTGACTTTTACTTTTTTATATATAACACTTATAGCTTGTGCGGGTAATTTTTGAGCTGTAAATCTTGTTTTTCCACTTGAGAAGCTTCATAATTTCCGAAATACGCAAAAACATAACAAAAAAAGCGACTTTTCAAAATTTTGAAGCGTCAGCTCATTTTCTGGCAAGCCGTGAGCTGTCTTTGGCGATCATAAAAAATTAGAAGATAAATATTTTGAGAAAAAAACTAGCACAGAAAATCGATCAGAAATAATAAAAGAATTTCAAAAGGCTTCAAAAAGTTAAAGTTTAACGTCTATAATTATTCTCATCAGACATTCTTGTTTGTGAGAAAAATTACATCATGAGCTTGGAATTAAGCAAGCTCAGGTACGCATTAATTGGATAAGCTGCACAAATTTAGCAGTTTCAATTTGAAACGCGTTGGGCCATTCCTTCCAATAGATTGAAGTAGTCAGAGATTTAATACAAACGGACATATTTCGAAGTTCCGAAGTTCAATTCCTAGTTTTTTTTTTTCAACCATAATCTTTCAGCGATGTACCCATAAGGGACGCTACAAGTTTCCTACCGCTTCCTCATCGTCCTCGAAATAATCGTCCTTGGTAGTGCGAACTTTTTCCAAGAATTCCTTTCGCTCCGAGTGCTCGACGTACGAAGACATGACTTCATAACAAATGATGCCAAATGCGTAGACATCGACTTTTTCGTCGATTTCTTCGCGAGCCCGCTTGAATTAAACTGTTTGAAGTTTTTGAAAGCGTTTTTTAACCTGCTCGGGAGCCATATATTCATAGGTTCCGAGATCATTCGTTGCAAAATCATCTTCTTTTCCGAAAGCGTCATGAAACTCGGCTTTCTTCGAGTTTGGGACCGTTGCCAGTCCAAAGTCACCAATAACTATGTGACTCTTTTCATCATCAGGGTCACCGGAAAAAAGGATGTTTCGAGGCTGAAAATTTGTGGCTTTTTTATAGTATAAAACTGATAGAGTTCGGATTTATTTGAGGAAATTATTGCAAACACCTTTCAAAACACTAGAAGTGAAATTCCACGCATAAATAAAACATTTCGCTCTCATTACTTTCGATTCCTCTCTTTGCTGTTTCTATTATTTCAAATAGGTTCATAAGTAACAGTGTATCCTTTTTTTGATTTCAAAGACAAGGTAGGTAGATTGGCCAGAGTGACGCGTTGCGTTTTTTGGCGGAAAACTTGAAGCTAAAAGTGAACCATCATTTTTCCATGTTTTTCTTCATTTTTTTGAAAGTTTTTCAATAGCTTTCAATTTTTGGCTCTCAGAAAGCTAAGTTGAACGATTTAAAAATTGGAAATTCAAAAAAGTCATTTTTCCCACTTTTTTTCCTGGTTACGCTTCCGTAAGTTCTCCGCCAAAAGCCGCACCGCGTACGCAACGCATCACTTTTGTCAATCTACTTATTTACTCTAATCAGTCAGTAAAAGATGTTTGTAAGACTCTCTCCATACTTTCCACTTCTTAAAAAAAGCTTAGAAAGAGCCTAAAAGCAAACTTTATAATTTCCTTTCAATCCAATGTACTCTTTGAATAGAAAAGCTACAGGATATAAGAAAAAATCACTTTCTCAAGTCCTCCAATAAGTACGCTTAAAAATTGAAAACTTTGCTTTAAGCTTATTCAAAACAAAAATCATGGACAGACTTCTTCAACTGTTTCCAAGAACAGTTTTCTTTCCTTACTAAGAAAAAAATTATTTTACCTTCAGATCTCGGTGAATAAATCCTCGTTGGTGGACGTGAGCCATGCCCACGGCTGTTTGTCGGAGCCATTCTTTAACATTTTGCATTGGCCTTTGATATAAATCGGGATGCTCGCGAAGCCAATCGGCCAAAGTTATTTCGTGACACAGCTTAAAAAAAAGCTTTTAACATTATTCCGTTCATTTGAAACTAACCGGCAATAACGTATATAAATATACGGGTTTGTCCACCTGAAAAAAAATTCTAAATTAGAGAAAACATAAGAAATCCGGGAAAAAATCGTTTCAAAGTCTCAATTTGAAACAACTTACTAGGAAATTTTTTTTACCCCGCGGTTGAACTTTTGCTGAAACTTTGCTGAACTGTACTTTAGGACCTCCTGATTGCAGAACAAGAAAAAAATTTCTTGCAATGAATCTTGTTTCCGATTTATAGAGCTTCAAAGTTCGCAAAATACCCAAATTATGACAAAAAAGCGCTATTTCAAGCTTTTGAAGTGTCCTAACTCCAAACTGAATCTATTGCGAGAAATTGTTTTTTTGTTCTGAAATTAGGAAGTCCTAAAGTGCACTTCAGCAAAGTCTCATCAAAAGTCCAACCGGAGGGTGAAAAACGTTTTCTAGTTAGAAAACGTTTCACGGGTTTGGTACTGAACAAATCAAAGTTTTCTCACATTTCCGTTTTTTTTCTCTTCTTCGACGTAATCTCCAGGAAGAAAGGAAACGTCCCTCTTTTCCTAAAAAAGATATTTTTTGACCAGAAAAAAAGTGAATTAAGAAAGACCTGCCACTTCAATGGGGGGAGCTCGCCCCATGACTCGTGGGATTTCAAAGTATAAGTGTTTTTTAAACACCTTAACACTCTCACTTCTCGCTCATAGCGAGCGATGCGCCACGGACTGAAAAATGATTTTTTAATTACTAATCCACGGCTTTATTATCTGATTACCCTAAGTTGGACAAAACATTTTTCTACATCTCGAACTGAAAAATTCAGTACTTTTCTCCAAAATCGAAAACAAAAAATTATTCTACTTGACTGCAAAAAATTTTTCAAGTAGTTCCTAGAAATTCGAGAATTTGCACAAGGTTTCTAAAAACTGTTATCATCTTTTTTTGCGTTCAGAAATTGTTAGCATGCGAAAAAGTTTTTGAGTCTCAAAAAGAGTGAAATTTTTGTTCAGAAATGAAAAAAAAATTGAACGAACTTCTGCGAGGTACGAGACCTCTTCAAGGCGAACTCTTTATTATCAGAGTTTCTTCTGACTTTCATCACGACGCCGTACGCTCCGCTACCAAGAAAGTCAAGGTACGTAAAATTCTTTTCGAACCTTAATATATTGAGTCAATGAAGTTTTCAGGCGGCCACATTTACTCATAAATTTCTCTTCGGTTCTTCCTAACATCAAGATATTTTATTCGTTTCAAGTCACAGCCCGATAAGTTGAACTATTGCTCATACGAAACATTATTTTTCCGTGTTTTCTCTGATTCCAAATGAATCCTTTTTTTCCGTTTTTTTGAAAAAGTTTTTTTCTCCGATTTTCTGGCAGGATAATTTAGTAAAAAAATCGAGAAATTTGTATAAGGCTGGTGCGTAATTCTTGATAGTTTTTTTGGAGAAAACTAATTTGATTTTTTTCATTTTTTTCTTGGCCAACTGCTATAATTGGTGGTATGAAAAAAAAAAGGAAGCGAATTTTCAAACGGCGACTTTTCCTATTTTTTCATATTTCAAGAACTTTCCAAAGATTCCTTTTTCGAGTGGGGAAATCAAAGTTTTTGCAAATTTTATAACTAGAAATTTATTCTCACCGACTTTCGTAGTAGTTGGGGCCCAGAAATTTTTCGTTCGAGAAAGGAAAAATTCTGTAAAAATGCAAAATTTAAAGAATAAGATGTTCCAAGGAAATTCACTTTTTTTCTCTTTTTTTGACGGCAACTTTTGCGGTGCTTGGCTCTTCAAGCGTCTGAAAAAGTTTCATCATTGGTAAAATTAGTTTTCGAAAATAACCTTAAGATTCTTTTTTCGCTCTTCTGCTCGTTCTCTGATCCACTCCGCCATTTTTGATCGAACAGTATAGTCTCTTCAGATTTTGAATGTCAATCAGCTAACTCCGTCCCCGCTGAGACGGTATCTTTTCGCGTCGATGTTTTATCGCGCGGGATCCATTTTTAATTTTTTTTGATCTAACAGATAGAAAAAGAAGTCAAAAATGCAGCCTTATTAAAGTGCCATCGTCATATGTAGATAAAAGATTGACTCGAGTGATATTGTAGCCTGGGGGGGGGCGGAGTTAGCTGCTAGACAATCAGAATCTGGACAGACTGTATACGATTAAAAAGAATACAAACGGAAATCAAGATTTGAAAGAGAAATATAGACTGAAATGCATTCCATTCATTTTTATTTTTCAACTAATACTATGTTTTTGCGACTATCGAGAATACTTCTGTGAGGTTCAAAAAAAAAAATTGAAATTGACAGTTAGTTCAAGCAAGGAAGAAAATTTCAAAAACCACTTAAGAACTTTAAAGAGAGTTTTTCGGAAAAGGCGGATGCATCTAGCTCAAAAATGGCTTTGATTTTTCTCAAATTCTCATTTGCAAGCATTTCCTGTGTTCATTCAAAAAAATTAAAAACTCGTCTTTGGTTCGATATGAACTACTGGGTTGTTCTGAAAGCAATCGTGGTTCTAATTCAAAAATTCAATTTTTGCTCAAAAATTATCATCCTGATTGGAGCAAAAATTATCTGAATGTTTGGACATCTGAAAATAATAGATTGTTTGATCGGTGATATCTGATTTTTTTATTGCAGACAAGTTGTTGATGCCTTTTCTAAGGTAATCTCCGTTTTTGTGAAAAAGTATTGAAATGCGCTCCAGTAACTTCCACGGAAACTTGAAGAGAATCCATAGAAAATAAGTACCGTATGAAACATAACCAGAAAAAGAGAAAAATCGCTCAAATTTGAATAGAACGGTGGGTGGAGAAAAGAAAGGAAAGATCAGAAAATATCGAGATTTGAGAATAAATTTTGAGGAACAAAAAAATGCGTTTTCTCACCATTTTAGAAGGGTTACCTGAAAGTTATAATCAGGTTTAGTTTTTAGAGCTACCTGTAGAAGGTATCCAGGTAAGAAACCTGTTTTTGAATATTCCCTCTTGAAACAAGTTAACATTTATTTTCTTGTGACAGAAAATCAACAGTAGAAACTACCGGACAAGATTCACTGATTCAATCAACGAGGTGAAGTAGAACTTGTGAGCAAGTTGAACCGGTGAAAAAAAAAACAAAAGAAGATCAATATGACGGCAACTGAAAACGGGATCGAAAAATAAATGAATGACGTAAATTAGACGGATAGTGAAAATAAAAAAGACGCAACAATGAGAACATGGCTTTTGAAGAGAGAAAAATTCAATATTGAAAAAGAAGGAACAGGAAAATTTAAGGTTACATGGAGCTCCAGAAAAAAAAAACAAAAAAATGATAAAACAGGTAAAATAAGATTCAAAGGCGCAGAGATATAGTCCATCCACCCCGACTTGGAAGGCGAGGGTGGAGAAGCAGTGGGCAGGGGCTTTGAAAAACAAAAAATATTTAAAGAACAAATTATTATGAGCAAGATCAAATATAAAGGCACAAAACTGGAAGAGTAAGTGAAAACGAGGGTGAATGACCTAAAGGTATTTGTGAGATTATAAGGCGTTCAAATTGGAAAGAGAATTATTCACGAGTGTACGGCATGGAGGTCTCGAAAAGGTAAAAGCACTCCTTGACTTGCTCGAAAGACCATCTTTCGTGCGGGTTCTTGGCGAGGCATCCTCTGAGGAACTCTTCCTGAAAATAAATGTTGTCAGATTCTTTTTTTTCGAATTTAAATTATTTCAAAAACGTCATGATCAAATTGGGAAAAGAAAACGAATTGTTCTTTCATCACGATATTCTTTCAGAAGGGGATTTTTCTGGTTGAGCTTTTTTCCGTTATTCAAAATGTTAGGAACTCACTTTTTCCTTCACACTGAAGAAATTTACAGTCTCATCCTGAATTCTCGCGAAAAATTCCTTTTCGGATCCTCGAGCAGGAGCATTGTGCAACATCTCGTAGCAGATTGTCCCATAAGAGTATACATCGATCTTCTGGTCGCAAAAAGGAGTTGACTTCAATTCAAATCTCATGAAGATTCAGAAAAAGTGTTCCAACCATCTCCGGCGCTTTGTATTCTCCGAGATTGTCGGCAGAAGCTCCGTTGTATGTGCCGGCAACTTTGGCGTGGCTGAAACCTGCGATGACGATGCTGTGTCTGTCATCAGGTTGCTTTTTGGCGGATAAATATATGTTCGATGGCTGCAATATTGGAAGGTTGATCTTCGTCATTTTGAACCCGTTTTTTGTTTCAAACAGGATAACCTGGTTTTGTGAATTTTTTTTCTGAATGATCCAATTTTGAAGCTTTTCGACTTAAAATCGAAGATTCAAAAAATGACTCTCAGAATGAAAGCCCGATAACTTGCTAGACTAAATTTGTACCGTCAAGTTCAGATGGACGAAGTTTTTCTTGTGGAGAAACGCCATTCCATCGGCGATTTCGTACATCCAACATTGCAAATAGCTCTCATCTCTTAGACTCATTGTTGGGCGGACCTTCATCCAATGATCCAGGTTCCAATGATTGTGAAGCTGCAATAAAGACGGTTTGGAAGTTTAAAAAATCTTCTGTGTATGTGGAACTCACGGCTGTCTGCATGTAAAGGAACAACGTCTTGCGTGGCTGAAAATTTTTGATTAAGTTTCAATTTTTCGGAGAGATATCAAACAGAGATTACGTCTGAAAGACAAACAAATCTTCGAAAAAAAAAATCGATTCGCTCAAAACATCAGTTTTTTGGTGCTACGACGAGAGCGAGTTTTCCATTTGCGAGGAGTACTGTATGCAGACCGCCACTGGATGACCGTTGCGCAAGACCGGGCCGCCTGGAGAACGTGTGGTCCACGCTGGGAACATCGCCAGCGAAGATGGACCGTCAAAGTATCAAAGTAAGTAAGTAAGTAAGTACTGTATGCAGATATACACATTGCGTGCCTACACTTTGCGTGTTTACACTTTCGTTGCGTGACGTCACCAGGTCGGACACATCCCGGTTTTTTGTTTCAGAGTTTTTTTTTTCGAATATTTTTCAATTTTTTCTTTGTTTTTTTTTTTAAGGCTTGCATTTTTTTCTCGATGATATTTACACGATAAAAAACAGTATCCGATTTGCGATCCGGTGACGTCACGCAACGAAAGTGTAAACACGCAAAGTGTATGCACGCAGAGCACATATCCGCATACAGTACTCTTCGCAAAGGGAATACTCGCGCTTTTTCGTAGCACCGGTTTTTTTTTTTGGTAAAAAACTGTTTGGCTGATTAATAAGGAAACTTCAAAAAACTTTTGAGAAACTAAAAAGGCCACAATTGCTAATAAGATTATGTTTCTACAAGAATTCTCCCGATTATTTTTCGCTGAAAGGTTAGACCGAATTTTGGAAAAATGAGAAAAAAATTCCGATAGCCATCAAAAGAAACTTTGACTTTCAATCTACATAATTGATGTGGTTTTCAAAAATCCTTCTGTCTTTTGACGCATTCAATCCGAGAATTTAATTACAAATTTTCCTACCATCAGCGCATCCCCTCCGTCGGAACAAAAATTCTTGTAGAATAGCTTGCGGTCCATTTTTGGCTGAATTAAAAATGAACTAACTGGATCCTTGAGAGTTCGAAAACCTGATAACCCTCCGGAGGTCTTTCCATCCAAGCCTTCTCGATCTGGATGAAATACTTATTTTCTTTCATCGCTTTGATTATTCTGGGTTCACGTTTGGCGTTTTCAATTGCGTTCTCCCTGAAGGATAATTTTTCAGTTCCATCCTTAAAACCAATTTTCTATCAATTAACGTAAAAGAAAAACTGATCAGGGCTTGAGAAAAAAATTCTGATCAATTTTTTAAAATTCATACTTTCTCATCTCGATTCACTAGCTTTATTTATAAATTTTCTCTTATTGAAGAAATTTTCCTTTTCAAATTGGAAATTAACAAACTCGTCTTCTACTTCGACCCGTTTCAGGCAATACTTCTTCATTTCCAATTCATCACGAGCTGTGAAAACGACGCCGAAGCGGTCATGTACGATCAAAAAAGTGGGTGTGAAACGCTTCGCGAATCTGTAATAAACTCATTAAAATAGGTGGTATGAAAAAAACACCAGCGAAAATTCAAACGGCGATTTTTCCGATTTTTTCATTTCGCTAGGGAAATTTCCGGCGGCCACCTTTCCGACTTTTTTCCCTTATGCTTTTTCGGTTTATAAAACATTTAATAATATTTTTTTCCTATTTCTTTTTGTTTTAATTATGAAAAAAACTACCTACTTTATATAGGAAGATGTAAAACGAAGAGTTATCGAGAAAAAAAGTCGGAAAAAAAGTTTCGTCGGAAAGGTGGCCGTCGGAAAGTTCCCTAGCAATATGAAAAATATCGGAAAAAGTCGCCGTTTGAATTTTCGCTGGTTTTTCATACCATCTTAAAAATAATCATCAAAAGTTCTGTTTCAAGCCTTTTACAAACACTTTTTAAGCTGCAAAATACGATCCAATAATTTTTTTTACAAAATTTTCACAAAAGCCGAAAATTACAGTAATCCTCAAGAAACAATTCCATTTTCGAATATTTGATATGAAGTCAGTTCTCACTTGCTCTCGTAAGGCCTAGGGCGTCTTCTATCTTCCTCTTCTGGCATCTCTACGAGGCTGGAAAGTGACACAAATTTGGAAAACTATCTGATGAAAAAAACGGACTCTCTTTCCTCTCTTTCCCTTCTCGTAACACCGCGAGTTCTTCTTTTGAACGGGCTTTCGTCGGGGTCCATACCTTTCAGATGGTATTCCACGATAGTTTCTGAATTGAACTTTGTAAAGTTTATCCTTTTTAAAAGATCTGTTTCCGTTTAAACGACGAAACGTAGAATAATTAACAGAACTTCCCACTAAAGCAAGCGGAGTAACTGCAGGATGAAATGCGGTTTTTGAAATGGTTCGAAACTATTTTCGGACCTGGATTATCAACGAAAAGTCAGTTTGAAGAAGCTGATCAATCTCAGAACAAGTTTCAACTCGTTACCAAGCTTACTAAAAATGAGAGACAGTAAATTTCTAGAAAAATCAAACTCATTTAAGCAAAACAAAGAGAGTTTATATACAAAATGTCTAAGAGAAAAATGAAACATTAAGAGAGAATAGACACGAGGAAAAAAGCTTTTTTTACTGGAAAAACATTGAGACCAGTGAAAATGAAAGGCATGATGTTCACCAGATTTTTTTGTGAACACTCAGAAAAATTGAAAAGCAATAAGATTCGTGCTGAGGGGTTTTTTTATGTAAAGTTTTGAAATTTTTTTATAAATGTACCGAAAGATTCAGGTTAAAGATACTTTAGAGAAACCGTTAATCTTGGAGTTTCCTTTTCAGAGTTGTTGGTTTTTCGGTTGAAGCTTTAATATTTGTTGAGTTTGGACTTGAAAAAAAAAATCTTGAAAACAATGGTTTTCAATGTTCTATTAGTTTTTGAGTGTTTTTTCAAATTTCAGGGTTTGAATTACATACGGATGAAAAAAATACGAGCCCAAAAATATAGCCCTTTTAATAGTTTTTTATGTCATTTGTTTCATCTCGAAAGGTTGACTCAGAAGCTTTTTTCCGTTTTTTATGCTGAAAGTAAAAACAGTAATGTCATTTACGCAACCTTTGAACGCGTTTACTTGAAATGCCATGAGAACACCGTGCGTTACCAAAAGATTCTCCCCTCTTTAGGGAAGCTGGCGACGCCTCGAGCCAATCGATTGTTTTTCTTGCCTGTGCGCCCTGATCTGCCGGCCCTTTCTTTTTCAAAAACAGTTTTTCTCAAAAAGCGTCAAAACCTCAATTCAAAGAAGTACAAACGAAATTCCATGAAACTTCCTCACAGAACTTCATGCGAGTCCAGTTATTGGCCACTAAAGAATATTCGAAAGAAAATCGCGAAGAAAAGAGTAAAAATGACCAATATGGAAATCGAATATGGAAAGACTGTAAAAATATTCAAACAGGAGCATATAGAATCAAAGAATCGAATGAGAAGAGAGGCGAAAAGCAGAAAAGACGCGAATCTGGGCAAACGGTTTGAACTTATGCGACTGGCGCGTGAACTTCACATTTGGCATTCTCATCGCACAGTTTTTCGCACATCTTTTGAGTCGCTCCCATCGCGTCGTCTCCTAAAAAAATTTTTCATCATTGTCTTTTGTAAAAGGAAGTTCGATAGCTCAAAGATATTTAAAATAGATGAAAAACTTTTTTTCTCGAAAAAAGATACAGGTCTGGAAAAATAATTCATTGAATATAGTTTAAAGGTATTCAATAGAAAAAGTTATCTGAATTGGACGGAAAATTCAACAAATAAAGCAACAAAATATTGATAAAAATCTCAGAAAAAGACCTTTTCCTATAAAGTTGTTCAGAAAGTTCTTGCGGCTTTTGATACTCCCCCTTGAAAGAGATTTTTTGAACTGGATTTCAGACTGGCCTGACGAAATTATATATCATTTTGAAGCGCGTGGTATGTTTTCATTTTTGTAAAGTGTAATCGTATCATTTCAAAAACAAAATTTTTGTAAGTTTTTGAGCAATTTTTGAAATAAGGGTTTTTAACTTTTTCAAAGTTTTTAAAAAAATAGCGATTAGAGTACCTTTTTTGTTCTTCTCTCAACTAGACTTGTAAGCGTTAAAATCATTCGAGATTTTCACTATTTGTTTGACACGGTAACTACTTTCAAACATGCAACGTGATTGCTGCTGGAAAAAATTTTTGCCAAGACTATGAGCTCGAAAACTGAGCACAGTAATTTTTGAATTATGTATCTACTGCGCGGTAACAAAACGCCCTGGTGAAAGAAATTGCTTCAAAACCAAAACTTTCTAAAAGAAAGCTACGAGAGTTTCAAAGTGCCCAGCAATTCAGGATTTGATATCACCAACTGAGTTTTTTGTGTTTTTTGTTGTCACATGGTCACTTAATAAGATGGTTTTTGTTTTGATCAGAAATAAGAACTCTAAGCAAAGTTATGATCATTTGAAGTCGAATAATAAAGACCGCAATAACTTTCTGAACAACCTAATAAAATGATTACCTTTTCAAAATATTCTTCGTTCATTTCTTTTTCGTATCCAGGAATACGTCCCAGTTGTGGACAGTGCTGAGCACAGGATTTTTAGAACTGGGCCGAAACCAGACAATAAATGCGAACGACTTGAAAAGGATGTTGAGAACAAAAAAGAGTATCAAAAAAATTGTTGGATGGCAAACTAATAAACTTTTTTGACCTTTTTTTAGCGACGATTGTTCAAAAGCTACGCTCTTATAGCTGCGGAAGTGTAAATAGATGAAAGATCAATGAAAGCTGCCCTAGCTACAGTAAGGCACGGAAAATTGTGTTCAATTATTTCAATCGATATTTTCTTCTTTTCTGAAAGCCTTGTTTCTTGGCAGTTCCTTCTGCAAATATTTTTTTCGGAGAGTTAGTATGATAATTCAAACGATAGTTTGCCGAAAGTTGTGGAAAATGCTTCAAAGCACTTTGATCAGGAGAAAGCAAAAAATTTATTTTTTTCTGGAGATTTTCGAAAAATCGCAAAACAGTGAAAAGGAACCTTTCTGGACTATATCTCCAAAGAAATGATATATATAACAAAAATTCAGATCAGGCAGCAAGAAAGAAGCTTTCGAAAAAAAGAGAAAATTATTCGAGATCATGAGTTTGATATTGCCTGCCTTACTGTAACTAATGAGCCTGAAAAAAAGTCTGATCCTATACCTTTTTTAAAACTTTTTCAAGAGGAAAAAAAGAAGTTTCATGGTTGTCTAATATAAACTTTTATCTGAAAGGGAATATTGAGATTGAAGAAAAGGCAAAAATGTGAGTATGAGAAAAGTTGCGAATTAAAGGCTCTGCAAGTTTAGAGGCACCTTCTACGAAGATTTCTGAGAAGCAAAATTTTTTTGGGCCCTTCTTAGTTTTGAATTCGAAAAGAATGGAAAGTGCAACGAATATTCTGGCAAGCGCGTTTTTTTTTTCTGTTGACCTCGCAGAAATTTCGGAGGCGAAGCACATGATTCATCCTACATTAGGGCAGTGCCTCAAGCCAATCGATAGCTCCTGCACGCTGATCCGTCGGCCGAAACACTTCTTCCGTTCTCGGAAATCGTAAAGTTGCTAACTATGGAAATGGGGGAAAAAAAATGCAAAAGTTGGTTTTTCTTCGATCACGTTTTGCAAATAATAGAAGATTTAGAGTTGGGAAAAAGATTCAAATCCCTTAATTTTTAGAAACGTTTTTTTCAGCCAGTCCAGCTCTAAATCCAGAAAAAGAATCTAAAAAAATATCATGATTTGTTGATTAATGAAACGTTTTCAAGAGGAAAGAAAACAGAAAAAAATCTCTACGGGTTACTGTAACTACCATTCTTGGAAAGCCACAACATTAGCTATACATCCAAAAAAAGAAATCGTGATTTATTAAAAATTTCTAGAAAAAAAGGAGATAAAAAGAAGAATCATGAAGAAAAAGGAAAAAAGTTTTGAAGAGATAATGAAGTATTTAGAGAGATATTCTCGACCGAGTTTTATAAAAATTTCAGATTTCAATGGAGAGTCGGAAGACTTTGGCAATGCTGTGGAGAGCGCTTCTCCGACGACCGCTCAGTAACAACGAAAACGGAAAGAATGATCCAGACCGCGTTTAGTAAGTAGGCGGCGCTTCGAGCCAACCTTCGGCCCGCCTCTTTTGCTGATCCGTGAAATTTTTAACTAGGCGAGTGATGAGAAATGCGCAAATTTGCTCCAATTAAATTAACTCTCGCGATAATTTGAAGAATTCAGAGTTAAAAACATTCGAGTGAACTTAATAATTAGCGATGTTCTTCCCAGTCAATCAAGTTTTGAAACTAGGAGCAAAAGGCGGAAGCTCACGATTTTTAAGTGAAGAAGGTTCGCAGACAGGAATGGAACGAAGAAAAAAGCGTAGAACCAAGAAAACCAGAGAACATTGTGAAGAAAACTCTGAACGGAAGTGCTGTGAGAAGTTGAAAGCATCTTCAAAGATATTCTTAAAAAATGAACCTTTGAAGAAATGAAAAGAAAAATGGAAAACTTGACGAAAAAGAGAGACTTTCATTCGCGAAAAGTTACGAAAAAATGAAAATTCAAACAATCATTCAAAAAGAGGAAACTCAAAGAAGGCTTTGGAGGAAGCGCGTCTCCGACGACTGCTCAGGAACAAAGGAAACGGAAAGAATGATCTAGACCGCCTTAGGTAAGTAGGCGGCGCTTCGAGCAAGCCTTCGTACCCGCCCCTTTTGCTGATCTGCCTCGTTTACAGGAAGTCGAAGCCGTTCTGTCAAGGATAAGAAACTGAACAACAAAAATGAAAACAATTATGAAATCGCCTCCAAAGATCTCGACAAGCAGCGGCTACAAAAGTTTCCGCGAGAATTTGAAGAGAGTCAAGAGAAAGAGACACCGTAGATGAATCAATTGACAAAGATCGAGAATAAACTGGTGTTATTCAGGTTTCTTTTCTTGAAATTTTCTACAGCGAATTTGTAATTTACATATTGCGAAACGTACATGGCGCTCATTGAAGAAAAAATCCGCTTAGTAAAATTTTTTATAAAAATCTTCTTGATTCATTCAGAATAGGCCTCCATACTGCTATAGCTGATTCAAGGCTGGATTGGGTCATCGAAAAAAGGATCCTAGATCGATAAGAAGAAAAAAAAGTGTTTGGTTTGTTGACGCCTCTTAGTTTCCCATGCAAGCCGAAAATTGGCTCTGTGGTTGAGAACGGACCTCAAGGCATTAAAATCGACTGGAAGACCTATCATTTCAAGATTTTAAAATCCATCTATTGATTAAATTAACAAAAAGCGACTGAACCATTACGAATCGAGCTGTTTCAAAAAAAAAATGCAGACTCATCGGCATTCGAGTCAGAAAACATAAACAGTATGATCGAAAAGACAAAACAAAGAAAGTCGAACGTCAAAAGACAGAATAAAGCAGAAGCCGATAGCAACATCTGGATTCTGACCTTTTCTTTCGACTTGTACGTAAACTCCGCGTATCGCTGCTTTTGTACACAGCTTAATAGACTTCTCTCTTTCGGACAATTTTCCCGAAGTTATCCGTTAATTTATAGGAAAGACTGAATCTGAAGAAATGAAAAAGATATTCTCCGAGAAACCTAAAAGTTCCAGTGAGCAGGTCTTACAAAGACGTAGTTATCAAAGATAGTTTGAAAAATTGATAGAAACTTTTTAAGATGCTCAAGAGATTCAAAAATGAGAATATTCCGTCCTTTATCCGATTTTTAGCGTCTTAAAAACCACCAAAAATTATCGCGGTCTCTATTGCTATGACTTCAATCTGGGCGATGTTGCACCTCGACTGAAAGCCGACAAACTTTTTTCTCCCGTCCCAACGATAAAGTATTCTAGTGAACATCTCAGGATGCTAACGAGAATTTGAGTTTAATTTTGCACAATATCCTGCAAAAAAAAAACAAAGCATTTCTTTGGATGAAGATCAGTGAAGTCATTAATGTCGCAATCATGAAATCTACAAAAGTTTTCAAAATTCTGAGGCCCCTTGAAACTATCAGTTCGTTTGAAAACGCTGGAAAACCTACCGTACTTCTTATAACAATCATGACAAAAACCGGTTTTTGTTGGCCTTGGCGGGACTGTAGGGAGGAATGTGCGCTCCATCGGACGGCAGGAGCTGATCTCCTCAATTTACGGCAGAGACGCCAAGAAATGGCGAAAAGAACTTTTTTGGTGATCTGTTCTCTTTTTCTGGATTATGTATCACTTTGCTGGGATGATATTTTATTTTAGATAACTCTGATGTACGCTTTGCGACTTGGAAAATTTGAGTACCAGAACAAAAAATTTCTAGAAGTGGACACTGTGAAAGGTTACCCTATCCCTTCGAGTTTTTGGACAACTATTCCAAAAAGTTGAAACTTTCTTTTATGAATGAAATTCATTACTTCCATTGCAATTCCTCCAAACTTATGGGTATTCATATAACCTCAACCAACTTTTTCTTCATTTTTTGACTTTTTCCATGAGGCTTTTTTCAGTGAGAGGAAAAAACCAAACCGCTTGAGAAGCATTTATTCACCCGAAGGTTTACACATTTTGATGGGCAGAGATAAAAAAAAACAAATGTAACTGTAACGAACAACAAAAACGAATAACTAGCTAACCACCCTCTACTTTGAACATACCCGCGTTCAGTGAGTTGCAAGGCATTTTCTCGGTGTAAAAATCTCATAAAGAATTCACTAGGATACTGTAAGGCACATAAATATTATACACTTTGATACATAGTTGGAGACAAAAACCGAAGTGAGTGTAAAGTGAAGAAATGAGGCCCGCAGGCTGGAACGTAAAAAATACAAAGACAAGAATTCATTTGAAAAATTTCGAAGCAAGGACTTCTTGGAAGGAAGGACGTCTGTCCGGGTCGGACTTGGTGAGCCACAGGATGAAATCCTTCTGAAATAAAGAAAAGTTTTCGTGGACTTAGAGAGTTGAAAAATTCAATATTTGTAGTTCAGCCACCGTTGATTTGATTTCAAAAATTCAAGTTTTTTCAGGTACAAGTCAAAACGTGTAATTATAAGCCTTCATTCTCAGGAAGTTGTTTCTGAGTTCCACAATAGTGAATATTTGAAATTACTGCTTGGAAAGTTATTTTTTCTTTCTACACTTTTTTTTGAAAATCAGTGCAACCGGTTCGGTGAATATTGACTGAATAACTTGAGAAATCTGAACTTACCGCTTCCGGAATCTTGTTCAACACGTTGACCGGTTTTCCCTCTTGGAATTGGACAAGAGTATTGATGCGCTCCATATGCGTTGCGAACGGGACGACAAGTTCGCAGCAAATCAGCCCGTAAGAAAAGACGTCAACCTTTTCCGTGTAAGGCTTGCTCGCCAGCTGAAACAGGGATTTTTTTTTATTTCGATTCATTTCGTTTCATTCCAAAATAATAAACTCTTTCAAGGTATCCGGCTCAAAAACTTCAGGGACCTTCGAAAATAAGGGAAGTCAACACAAACCTGCTCAGGGGACATGTAGCCGCGCGTTCCAACGTTTCCGGTGAGATTTGAGTTTCCGTCGAAACTTTCTCGGTTTCCTTCGCCGTTTGAAGGAGCGTCAGTCACGAGGCCCAAGTCACCAATTTTCAACCGCTCGCCGCCATCAACTGTGCGGTCCAGCGCGAAGAAAACATTTTTTGGGCTGAAAAACTTCCGTTCAATCTCCAACAAGGTTTTTGCAAAATCCATCGGATCAAAAGAGTGTAAAGATGAAACTTGAAAGAAGCTCAATATATCTTTTATATTTTATCAAAGCTCCTTTTACCCAAAAATTGCCAAAAAAGAAAATCCATTTCCATACAAACTTCGTTGTTCCTAAAAGAAAAATCACCTTCAAATCCCGATGGATGTAGCCTTTGCTGTGAAGATACGCCAAAGCCTGCGCCAACTGATGCATCCAGTCGCGCATCTTGGCAAGAGGCCTCTGAGCCACAGTCTTGTTTTTCAGAAGCCATTCGTGCAGAGTTCGCTCTTCGCAGAGCTGAAAGTAGATACTTTTGCTAAAACTCGTGCAAATTATTTTTCTATTGGTCAATTTCTGCACTTCGAAAATTTGATTAACAGCCAAGTTTCTGATCAATGCTGCGCAAAAAATTCAGATGGTTTTCAGAAATTTATAAAGTTTAGAAAAGCGGTATTTTTGTTTAAAGGTGCTTTCGAAAATGGTCGCTCAATGATCCGAGCCACTTCTGAGGCCAAAACTTGAAAAAAAAAAACCTAACATTTCTGTTTCAATTTTTTGGCGTTTGAAAAACTACCTGCATTTGAATGTACATGTAAACGTGCTTTCCAGGGCCGACGGGGTGCAAAGATCCACTAGCGGATGTACCCAATATGACCTGAAAATTTAATTTTTTTTTTCCGAAACTTATGATATATCACTAATACCTCAGTCTTGATAGGATTCACGGGATTCTCCCGATTGAATTGTACCCTCTTGTCGGCGACTTTCTGCGGTACAGAACTCGCCGATTTCTCAAAAACGATTCCATCGGAATCCGTTTCGGACTTTGGAACTGAAAAAAATTTTTTTATTCAAAAAAATTATTATAATCATTTTTATTCTCACTCTTGTAGTTGTTGCGAGCAGGACCTGAACTGTCCGAAGAATCATCAGATGAAGAGTCTTCTTCGGTTCCTTTTGAAGAATCTTCAGACCAAGAATTATCTTCTTTTCCTTCGACAACCGGTGGCATCTCGAAGCTGAAATTAGAAATGATGTTTTTTTGCTGTGTTTATAATGAGTTTAGCCAGGTTTTCCAATATAACAATTTACCTTTTATTGAGCGACAATTTCTCGCTGCTCTTTTCCTCAGACACTTCACCGCTGTCACAGCTTGCGCTGATCAACCCATTCTGTCGGAGTGATCTGATCTTGTTGGGATCGATTGCTGGCAAAAGCTCTTCGTCGGCTTTTTTCTGTAAATTCCCAGTTGTTGTCTGCAACTTTCCAGGTATAATTATCTACCTGCCAACCATCAGGCGGACGCTCCATCCACGTGTGGAAATACCGAATGATTCCGCTGTGGTCGAGAAGGGCCAACGCACAAACTTCGCGACGAACTTTGGTTATAGAGCGTTCGCTGAAAATTGATATATTTATCGATTTGTTTCTCTTAAAAGCACCTATCAATGACGGCAATGCGCTTCACCGCATATTCGTTATTGTCCAAATTATTTTTTGCTTTGAAAACGATTCCGAAGCCGCCATGGCCAAGGATCTTGGTCGGAGTGTACTCGGATAAGAATCTGAAAAAGTATTGTTAAGTGAACTTGCAGTTTCTTCGGGAACGGAAAATGTTTTTTTAATTATTCTGTGGAAAAACAGGGATGTGCACCTTCGGAATTCTTCTTCTATTCATTTTTTAAATTTCTAGGAACTTTACAGTGAAGCTTTACTGTAAAGAGCATTTTTCTATTTTTATGAATTTCTTCACAAAATTATTAATCCTCACTTGCTCTGGAACGGATCACTGTTGCTATTCCGCGATGCGTTGCGGCTGCGCCTTGAAACGGTCACCGGAGCGATACTTTCTTCGGTGGAACTTGTGGAATGCGTGACGCGTTTGGTAGCTTTCGGAGTAACGACTTTGATAGGCGTCAAATTGCTGGCCGAGTGGTACTCGTCGTAGCCGGATGCGTTAGAAACCATTGGGAGACGGAGTTCGAGAAAGAAGTTTTCAGGTCGAATCAGCTCCACAGGCATAAACTCTTCGGAACGGTATAAAGCTACCGCCTTAACCTCGCCGGAATCTTCCGTGGCCTGGAACAGTTTGAGATGGAATGGAAAATCAAGAAAAATTACTTTTTCTTCCGGAGCGTCGTCCAAAGCATTTATGCGATTTCTCAGGGCGACGTAAACCGTGGCCACAGCTGCGGAGGCCAACGCTAGAACTTGGCTGAAAAATTTTTTTTTCATAATTTTCCATAAGTTTCTGAGCTTGATTTTAGTTTATCCCAGTTACAAGAACTCACCATGCAAAAGTTTGGAAGCTTCCAATAAACCCATCTCTGACAGGTGTATTTATTTGAGGGTATGCTGGTATTTGAGTTGGATCTTCTGTCGACGGAGCCATAACCAACCAGCCGCTGTCTCCTAAATTTTCATGATTGAGTTCCCTTTCTGAAAGTTTTAAAAGATACCATTCTCAGCGTTCATTGGAGCTGCGTTGCGGATGCTCAGAATCTTGACTCCTTGAGTGTTGGGGCAGGCGGCGCCGTTTGTTTCAGACTCTGAAAAAATTTTTGTTACTCAGAATCAATTTCAGATCGAAAATATTTCTTATGAAACCTTTTAGAAGAAATTGTGCGGAAAATCACTGAAAGAAAATTTTCTCCAAGGAAATTTCGCTCCTTGAATATTTTATGATCCAACATACCATCAACATGAGTAACTATCCGAAGTTCTCCAGTGGTGCGAAGAGCCGTACTACTCCCGTCAGTAATCTGCATTCTGGAGACGTGCGTGTTTCGGAACAAGGAATCCAGGATTTTATCTGGAACGGAAGATTGTTTATTGAACTGTTTTTCAAAAAAAGTTTCAAGGTAAAGTATGAAAGTAGTTTCAAAAGGGCTTAAAAAAACGATTTGAGAGCTCACTGATAGAGTCCTGTCCGATCTGATATACTTCCGGGGCTCTGATGATCTGATTGGATGGTCCGGCCTTTGTTTCATAGAGTCGTGGGCTAGCCAAATGTGAGAAAACATCCATCCCAGTGAAAGAACGAGCGCGTTTTTGGTTGCTCGCCCTCAACTTTGGTGACTGGATGATGAAAGGTTCGCCGCTCCTGGTGCCTGGAAAAATCAATAAATATGTACGTTGTGTCAGAGTGTTATTGATGCTCATCTGGCTCATACAAAAGAATAACCCTTGCGTTAAATTTTAATTTTTGATGAGTATCATTTGCATTTCACAAACTTTTTTTGCTTGTTTTTTTGTTTTTTTGAGCAGTAGTTCGGATCAAAGAAAAATTATAGTTCACCTATATAAAACAATGATTCCGCGGGAATGAGCTCAGTTCGTGCTCGGGAGCGGTAGAAGGTAGAGTAGAGATTTTCACTGTCGAAGAGGGATATCTGAAGTTCAATTCTCAACTTTTTGTACGTTCACTCCAGCAAACTTCGCGGAGAGCTCCATGTTTCAGATGCCAAACTCGGGTGATGTGATTGTCGAGACTTCTAGTCCAAACTTCATCGTCGAACTCGTTGATGGCAGTGATTTTTCCGTCGGGAGGTCGAAGTAAGAATCGCTCCCTGGAATCAAAAAACCGTCGAAAAGTTTTTTATATGGTCTTCTTAATTATGATACTTGTATCTAAAAAAATATTTATAATTTTTTTGATTTTTGCAGAGATTAATTTGTGAAAAATTTTTCTTTTCATGCTGCAGCTCCTAGAGACCCACTTCACCTCACATTTTTGAAACTCAGCTTCGATATTTTCTGTGAGCTCTCTTACCCATTGTGGAAAAAGTCAGCGGCATATTCTGACATCGAGACGACGGACAAATCCAGCTCCGAAACGGACAGATTCCATCTGAAAAAAATATGTTTGTCTTAAAAATGTCCCTATTTTTAAAATATTCTTTATTAATTCAAAGTAGTTTTTTTCTCATGAAAACAACGTCGAAAAATATCAATTTTTTTGCTTGAGTCACTTAAAATCCATTAGTCAATTTAAAGCTACAAGGCTAAAATTTTGATGGAATTTTTTTGAGTATCTTTTCTTGATTTATTCTCAAAATACCCAATTTTGATTTTATTAAGGTTTGTGATTGATCTCTAAAAAAATGTTTAACATTCTTTCTTTCTAATCAATAATTGACCTTTCGGCGCCGGTCCTCGCATCCATGGCTCTGACAGATTTCGTGACCCGTTTAATCACCAAAGTAGCATTAGAAGTACTCGTATTGTCACTGCTGCATTTGTCGAATGTACAGCTGTATCGAATCTGAAAAAGAAACAGTGGAGTTCATTAAAACTTAAAAATTCTTGTTTTGCGTAAGTCTCATTATTTGATCAGGCGTTGTTTTCCAATTATTTTTCATGTTTGCTTCCTAATTCAGAGATGCTACATCTGTTTTTCTGCTTTGTGATCGTGAAAAAGCCAAAATGATGCAATAAATACGTGAAAATAGGCCAATGAAACGTTTTTATCGTTTGTCTTGTGATACTTTTCTATCTGGATTTCTTTTTTTCGAATCTTCTCAAAAAAATGAAAAAAAAATGTATTTTATTATTTGAAAATCAGAAGAACCTTTCAAAGGCCATCAGATAGAGAAAAACTCTGAAAAAAATTTATTTCTATGATTTTTTTAGTGCCTTTACAGGAAAGGATATTTTTTTGCCAGTTGCCTAAATTTAGTTCAAACTTACTTTTCCTGTTGCGATATCAACTCCCATCGTGGAAACTGTTCTTCCGCCGGCGACTGCATCCTGACCAAGTTTCAAAGTGGCCTAGAAACCCGGTTCATCAGTCTTTTCGTACAATGTCAACTGACGTCTAACAAATAATCAGTATTAACGGCTATCGGCTCGAGAACATGTATCTCGGGAACGTACACGTACAAATCGCCATCAAGGGACGGCAGAAACCCGATTGGAACTCCGTTCATTGTCAAACTCTGAAAAAGTTTCGTTTAAGAGAGGAAAAATTACGAAAACTGTACTTCTACGCTACTCAAAGTACTGGATAAAAGGGGATCCCCGTTGATTTCCCATATGGTTTTGCCATCCCGTCCATCTAAAGCGATTAGTTTGCCGTCGATTGTAGAAACCTGAAGCAATAATTAATAAATTGGAAACATTGAAGAGCGAACTTACCACAACAAGATTAGAAGAATGTATATTATCGACTGGATTGCAACATCTTGGTGTGATCTGGTTTTGCTCGTTGCTCATTTGCTAAAGAAGAAATAATATATTCATGATTTAAGTTCAAAAAGCCTTGAAAAAAATTATTGTTTTAATTTTTAAAGTAATCAAACAAGTTTTTTTATTAATTCAAAACGTGAAAAAAAATGATCTTTTATATTGAGAAATTTCTATTAGTTTTCAGGAGGAGCTTTCAAAAATTCAAATTTTAAAGATGAAAAACTTTCAACTACGCAATAATGCATCAGTTTCTCAAAAAAAGGTAATTAACATTCAAAAAAACCTATCTTAAATATTAAAAGTGACTTTCGAAAATGTAATATAAGAAAGTCTTCAAGTTAATTTCATCCCAGGTTTAAAAAAGATAATTAAACAAATTTTTTTGTTATTATAACGTTAATTGAAGGTAACAAAACCGCTTTTTTCGAACGATAGTTTGATCGGACTCATTGATTGACCCCCAAAGCTGAACCTGCGTGTTATGATTCCAATCTGGTGTACATTTAGAACTGGAAGAAGTAGCGACGCGCGGAACCAAAGCCATCGACCCGAGAAGGACACAAATCGCACGGCTCAAAGACATCTTTAGTTACCCGCACATCAACCCTTTAAAATCAAAGTTTTATAAACGATTATTAAAATAACCCGAAAACGAAAGGAACTCAAAATAGAACAAAAGGAGAGAAAATCTCTAGTGGCATGCCACGAGAAAAGTAAATGTACGTATAAAACACGTGGGGTCGGCGGCCGACGCCGTAAATGCTGATGCGCGTTGTGCGGTGGCGCGCACTTGACCTCCGCGACTGTTCCAGAGCGATCACGCCATTTTTCGTGTTGTACTTGTTTTGGGGTCAATCTAAACAACCTGAAAGGGATGAGCAAAGTCTTGAACAATGATACAAACACCTTGATGCTCAAAGAATTGAGAAAAAATAACCTTTTTGTGAGAAAACTTCAGAGAACCTTATAAAAATTGCTTGATATTTGAACGCAAATTTGAAAATGTGAGAGTTTCAACCTTAATGAAAGTAACTCCAGAACTATATGTAATAACGACCTCAAGTTGTATTTTTCCATCCATTTCTCTGTTAAATCTCTTGTTAGTTCAAATTTTTTTTGCTCTACAGATCAAATGATCAAAACGTGTAAAATCTATTTTGTAATCAACTTTTTTTCAATATTCAAAATTCAAGTTTTCTGGATGATAAAATTGAGGTACTCGGTTAAACTGAGGGTATAAACAATGATGCAACATCTGGGATCTCATCAGAAACAGTAAAGTAAACTTTTCAACATCAGTTTCTGAGCTGACCCTTGCAAAAACTGCTATAGATCGGAAATATTCCAATATTCATGCAGAGAGTAAAACTTCTTTTTGTTCTACAGTCCGACAGTAACGCCATCTCTCCGAATTTATAGTCCTTTCAATTTTTATCTTATCACTATGCTAAGCACCTTATCAGTGGAAGTTCAAGATTTACTATTTCGAAACGAATCAAAATACAGTTTCACGGTTCACCGATCTAACGTTGTAAAATTTTTTGCGAAGGTGCTGTTAGAAAAAAAAATGATGCAAATGACAGGTATTTTTTGAACCTGAAGAGTTTGGAAAAATATTTACTACCTACTGTGGCCATGGAATTATAAAAGCTCTCTGATGGAAAATTTCTGCCTAAAAAGCAACAATTTTGAATTCTTAATTAAGCCTATTAAATCCACAAACCCCCAATGCTCAACTCATTGTCGAGCGGAGACTACGCCATAATTAGACGTTATCTCAGTTTTTCTGCTAAAGTCCAGGAATTTGATTTCATAACTCAATAATAGTTGATAATGGTCTGATAACGGCATTCTTCTCTGTTTTTTTGAGTATTTTTTTCTTATCACGAATGGGTATATAAAAGCAAAAAGGCGTCATGATGAAAAAAATTTTTGAGTCTTCAAATTCTCTTGAAATATCTTAAGCAGAAACATTGATTTGAAAACCTACTTAAAACCGTTTTACTCTAAAATTTGTGATGGGAATGACGCAAGCTAGGTGATTGGAGGGGAGAAACAAACAAAAAAAACGAGAGCGTATCAACAAGACAACAGAAGTGAAAGAATGGCGCATGGAGTCGGAGTCGACAACTGCGCTCTGTGATTTCGCGCTCATATTCAAAAGTTGCTCTAAGGGTCAGTCGGTCAAAATATAGATCTCAGTGGACTCACCAAAAAAGATTTATGCAAATTTCAATAATTCATGGTAGCTCTCCGGAATTTTAAACAGCTCTTCAAAATAGTATTGCATCTTCTAAATTCATTATTTCAATGAATTGAAGCTTCAAACTTCAGTTCGTAAAATCGCAAAACTTGGGTATAAAATAAAGTACCGTTTTTTCTTTCTTTCAAGTTTTTACGATTTTGGTTTTGATTATATTCAAACTAATAATAAAGAACCATGAGAAACTTAAATAAGAAATCGGAATCTCCAACTTCAAATTCGGTTCACGAAAAAGAAGAGCTTGAATAACAGAACTTCGAGAAGGTAGAAATTAAAATTTCCGAACGTTTTCCTTCTGTTTGCTATTTTTCCTGTTTAGGATTCCGAATCTAACTTTTGAACGAAAGAAAAATCGAGGAAAGTTAGAGTTAAGGAAAAAGAAAACACCTTCAGTTCATTTCAAATCAAAGTATACAGGAGCGATAAAATTTAAAAAGATGTGCTCAGTTTAAGGAAAAAGGCGTGCCTTGCTTTCGAAACCTTTTATGAACTAAAAATTTTTGAAGTTTATTGCAAATTTGATATTTTTTTCGTGAAGACCTATTCTGATGCGCTTCAATACTTTCTAGAAATAAAGAGAAAATTTCCCTTATTACTGGGGAGAAATGTGAAAAGGGAAACTGGCAACAGAAAAATGAAAGTAAAAACTTAACAACGTAAGAATTATTCTCGTTACACATATAAACTTTAAAAAAATAAATTTGGCGAAAAAGAAAAAATGAGAAGAAGAAGTTGAAGTGTTCGTTAACATCCAAAGTGCGCTGAGAAGGCAGTTAATCATCAAAGCAGGCTCATTTTAAGATAAGAAAGACTGAAATCTTTTATTTGTTCATGATAGCTGTCGTGCCTTTGTTTGTTAAGGTTATGAGGAGTCTCTAGAAGTTTTTTTAGTTGAATTTATAGTTTGAACAGTTGAATTATATTATTTTTTGAGTTGTTGAAGTTGTAAGGATCAAAACGATCCAGTTAAACTCTGAAAGATATATAAAGTTCGAAAACATTAAATGGCATCTTTTTCTTTACATGTTTTTTTCAGTGAAATATTTAAAAAACGAGTGACCTTTTAATTTAGAAAAAATGATGCTTGTTCTAAGCTTTGAGTATCGATTACAGTATCAATTACCAAGTTTAACACATGTCAACCCCTTGCGCAACAATCGCGTAACTCAATAGACTTCTGCAGATTAATCCAAGAGACGCGGATACAGATGTCACTGCGCCAAACGTCTCTTTTGGAGAGTATTCATCCATGTATCAAATTTCGAGGATCATTATGAAATTTTTTTTCAAAAAGTTTTAATAAAATCTTGTTTAAAACGGAAATGTTACCAAAATTCAAAAAAATACTGTAAAATGTTTGCGGATTGAAAAATTTTAATAAAAACCCTATGAGCTAACAATTCAAACAAAAATATGAAATCAATGATTTGGTCCTGCAAAAATATTTTCCTCACTGTGCGGATTGAACCTGCGTACTGAGCTTCGTGGCGTGCACGAAAATCACAGTGCCATATGTCTATTATTCGCTGGAATAGCCAGTTTTCTGCACTTCTTTCCTCAAAGATGACCTTTTTGCTATTTTTCTTGTAATGAATGTTAAAATTAACTGATCAAGCACTGGTATTCATAATAAAGGAGAAGTTGAAAAACAATCTAAAAAAAAGCACTGAAATCTCAACTCAATTATAAAGTTCTTTCGAAGTTCATTCAGATAAGTTTGAAGTGTATCACTTTTTCAGGCATCGGTCGCATTGCTGTTGAAATGATTTAACCTACCCTGCTGTTTCAAATATAATAAAAGTTCGAAAAAAACTCTTTTGTCACCCCCGATCCAAGAAAGTTTTTCCAGATAGAAAGAAAAAAGCTGTTTTTTTGCCGTATCATTGTCAGTTGCGCAATGATTGTGTAACAGAATATCTGAGGGCACTGTCGCCACAATCACCAGGTTTGAACGCAAGTCTGCGCCAGGCGACGTCCGATTCTCGCCAACTCTGCTTCCCACATGTTATTCTGACCTGTAACCCAATTAATTTGGAACTCGACACCATAGCATCTCATACAGACTTAATTTCAAATACTCAATGATTTTCAAGCTTCAAAATTATTCAAAAAGATCAAAGGAAAACAGGCCATTAAGATATACCCACTTGGTTTTTTTTTAGCTACAACTTCGCTTTAAACTATCAGAACATCCTGAAATTTTGATATGCTGTGCAAAGAAACGTTTTTGTTGGAGTTTCAAGACATTATGTGATATTCAGAGCAAATTAAAAATTTCAATGTCGAAAATTATTGAAAAGACCAGATTGAAAAGAAAAAAACAAAACGACTTTTTTTGTCATTTCTTCGCATATTAAAATAAATTGATAGGAAGTATCTCGGAAGTAGTACTTTCTCGGAAGGTTCTTAAAGTCATAGAAATGACAAAAAGCTCCTTTTTTGTTTTTTTATATTTTTTTATAAAATTTCTACGATTTTTCGAGCATTTTGACTGTTTATTAATTGGCATACTCATTGAAATGATCTCGGAAGCCCGTTCACTGATCAGGTGGCTGTCGAAAAAGACCTCCGCATGATAAAAGATGTGATTAGGCGAAAGCCGGTGCAAGTCTGGACAGCGGATTCCTGATATCAGGCCGCCGACATTGCAACGTCGCTATTACCATACTTACCAAGATCATAGCAGGAGGGCTCGGATCGCCGCCTCCGCGTGGCGCCTTCTGGGTGAGACCTGGTCTCAGCTAAGAGCGATCCATTTTTGGTGAAGCCAGCCTTCGGGCTGGCAAAAAAGTATTCGAAAAGATTAACTGATAGAAAGTAACTCAGAAGTAGTTCATTCATTGAACGGTTGTTGAATGCAAAGAATTGACAAAAAAGAGGTGTTTTTGTCATTCTTTTCAATCTGGTTTTTTTTCTGATAAATTCCCACTGGAGTGCTTTCAAAGAGGTCCTATTGTTTATCTTTTCAATCTGGTTTTTTGAATTTCTACTACAGTGCTTCGTAATCAGAAATATTTACAGTTTTCGAGCATTTTGACTGTTTATTGATAGGCGCACTCATGAAAACGATCCCGAAAGCCCGTTCACTGATCAGGAGGTTTTCCAAGAAGTTGAGGAACCTTGGATTTAATCAGAAAACGGTCGCGGTGCTCTTCATTACATCAGCTACTCTTGAATCGATTATGATGTGAATATTTTGATTCCATAAGTACCTTTGTACTTGTGAGCAACAATTTAAGTTCAAAAAACTTCAGTAAAATATTTCTTTGCACTGAAAGGAGGGAGTTTTCAAAGTACACGAAAAAATAAGTTGATAGCAAGTAACTCAGAAGTAGTTCATTCATTGAACGGTTGTTGAATGCAAAGAATTGACAAAAAAGAGGTGTTTTTGTCATTCTTTTCAATCTGGTTTTTTGATAAATTCCCACTGCAGTGCTTCATAATTAGTTATAAATACGGTTTTCGAGCATTTCAACTGTTTATCAATAGGCTTACTCATGAAAATGATCTCGCAAGCCCGTTCACTGATCAGGTGGCTGTCGAAAAAGACCTCTGCAGGATAAAAGACGTGATTAGGCGTAAGCCGGTGCAAGTCGGAACAGCGGATTCCTGATATCGGGACGCCGACATTGCAACGTCGCTATCACCATACTTACCAAGATCATAGCAGGAGGGCTCGGATCGCCGCCTCCGCGTGGCGCCTTCTGGGTGAGACCTGGTCTCAGCTAAGAGCGATCCATTTTCGGTGAAGCCAGCCTTCGGGCTGGCAAAAAAGTACACGAAAAAATAAGTTGATAGGAAGTAACTCAGAAGTAGTTCATTCATTGAAAGGTTGTCGAATGCAAAGAATTGACAAAAAAAGGTGTTTTTGTCATTCTTTTCAATCTGGTTTATTTGATAAATTCCCACTGCAGTGCTTCATAATAAGTTATAAATACGGTTTCCGAGCATTTCAACTGTTTATCAATAGGCTTACTCATGAAAATGATCTCGAAAGCCCGTTCACTGATCAGGTGGCTGTCGAAAAAGACCTCTGCATGATAAAAGACGTGATTAGGCGTAAGCCGGTGCAAGTCGGGACAGCGGATTCCTGATATCGGGACGCCGACAATGCAACGTCGCTATCACCACCCTTACCAAGATCATAGCAGGAGGGCTCGGATTGCCGCCTCCGCGTGGCGCCTTCTGGGTGAGACCTGGTCTCAGCTAAGAGCGATCCATTTTTTTGGTGAAGCCAGCCTTCGGGCTGGCAAAAAAGTACACGAAAAAATTAGTTGATAGAAAGTAACTCAGAAGTAGTTAATTCATTGAAAGGTTGTCGAATGCAAAGAATTGACAAAAAAGAGGTGTTTTTGTCATTCTTTTCAATCTGGTTTATTTGATAAATTCCCACTGCAGTGCTTCATAATAAGTTATAAATACGGTTTCCGAGCATTTTCAACTGTTTATCAATAGGCTTACTCATGAAAAATGATCTCGAAAGCCCGTTCACTGATCAGGTGGCTGTCGAAAAAGACCTCTGCATGATAAAAAGACGTGATTAGGCGTAAGCCGGTGCAAGTCGGGACAGCGGATTCCTGATATCGGGACGCCGACAATGCAACGTCGCTATCACCACCCTTACCAAGATCATAGCAGGAGGGCTCGAATTGCCGCCTCCGCGTGGCGCCTTCTGGGTGAGACCTGGTCTCAGCTAAGAGCGATCCATTTTTGGTGAAGCCAGCCTTCGGGCTGGCAAAAAAGTACACGAAAAAATAAGTTGATAGGAAGTAACTCAGAAGTAGTTCATTCATTGAAAGGTTGTCGAATGCAAAAGAATTGACAAAAAAAGGTGTTTTTTTGTCATTCTTTTTCAATCTGGTTTATTTGATAAATTCCCACTGCAGTGCTTCATAATAAGTTATAAATACGGTTTTCCGAGCATTTCAACTGTTTATCAATAGGCTTACTCATGAAAAATGATCTCGAAAGCCCGTTCACTGATCAGGTGGCTGTCGAAAAAAAGACCTCTGCATGATAAAAGACGTGATTAGGCGTAAGCCGGTGCAAGTCGGGACAGCGGATTCCTGATATCGGGACGCCGACAATGCAACGTCGCTATCACCACCCTTACCAAGATCATAGCAGGAGGGCTCGGATTGCCGCCTCCGCGTGGCGCCTTCTGGGTGAGACCTGGTCTCAGCTAAGAGCGATCCATTTTTGGTGAAGCCAGCCTTCGGGCTGGCAAAAAAGTACACGAAAAAATAAGTTGATAGGAAGTAACTCAGAAGTAGTTCATTCATTGAAAGGTTGTCGAATTTTTATAGGTCCTTTTGTTTTTTTTTACAATCTGGCCTTGTTAATAATTTTTCACTTCACTGCTTCATAATCGAAAATGTTTACGGTTTTTGAGCATTTTAACTTTTAATTATTAAGTATACTTATGGAAACAATCGCGAAAACCACTTCACTGATTGAGTGGGTGTCGAGCAAGACCTTCGCATGATGAAAGATATGACTAGGCGTAAGCCGGTGCAAGTCGGGACAGCGGATTCCTCATATCAGGACGCCGACATTGCAACGTCGCTATCACCATACTTACCAAGATCATAGCAGGAGGGCTCGGATCGCCGCCTCCGCGTGGCGCCCTCAGGGTGAGACCTGGTCTCAGCTAAGAGCGATCCATTTTTGGTGGAGCCAGCCTTCGGGCTGGCAAAAAAGTACACGAAAAAATAAGTTGATAGAAAGTAACTCAGAAGTAGTTAATTCATTGAAAGGTTGTCGAATGCAAAAGAATTGACAAAAAAGAGGTGTTTTTGTCTTTCTTTTCAATCTGGTTTTTTTTTTGATAAATTCCCACTGCAGTGCTTCTAATTAGTAATAAATACGGTTTTCGAGCATTTTGACTGTTTATCAATAGGCTTACTCATGAAAACGATCCCGAAAAGCCCGTTCACTAATAATAATAATTTATTGACAGATCAGCGTGAACCCTAACGAGTTCACTTGGATCTAGAATTTGAGAGAATACATTATACAGTTATACATCATTTGAGTCGTGGAGGAATAGACAAGAAGATCTCGTGCAATGGTAGATTGACCAGTAAGTTTTTTTAAAGACTTGGGGTGGTGGCTGAATTGAAATTTGGAAGTGAGTTTGTTCCAAGTAGGAATTGTTTTAAAGAAAAAAATCATTAGAAAAACTGACCTTGAGAACGCAGTCGAAGTGGATTTCGCCTTAAATTGGACCTGAGGGCAAAAAAAGTTCGAACTGGGGAAAATGATCGATACCGAAGACAATTTTATGAAGGGTCAGAATGTCAGATATAGCTCGTCTGAGGTAAAGTGGAGAGATATCAAATTGTTCAAGGCGATCAGAGTAAGATTCAAAGGATAAGTTGGACCTAATAAAAAAATTTTTACGAGAAAAAAATTCTGAGAGGAGATTCCAGTTTGTAGCAGAGATCAGAGTTAAGGGGAGGGTTAAAAAAACTTCGGAGCAGTATTCTAGAATAGGCCTTACATAGGTGTTAAAAAAATTTTTGAACAATAGATCAGGTGATTTGGAACGAAAAACAGTTGAGTATCTGATTGGAACGAAGGGTTGCTAAAGAAACGATATTGTTAATGTGAGGAGCGAGAGTTAGTTTATCATCGATAAGAACACCTAGATCACGGATAATGGTTTTTTTCTGGGAATAGACAGACCATTGATTAAATAAGTTGTTTTTGGGATTGAGGGGACCAAGGTTGATAGCAAAAGTTTTTGTGCGCAGCAAGAGGCAAGCCCCAAATGGAAGACCATTCAAATATGGAATTAATACTACGTTGGAGAGATTCAGGGTTAGAACTGTAAATTTTTATATCATCAGCGAACAGAGAGATTGAGGTTTCATGGTCAATGTAGTTAACAATATCATTGATGAAAATTAGAAAAAGCAAAGGACCAGATACAGTTCCTTGAAGGACACCGGAAGTATTGAGATAAGTAAGAGAAGAACGAGATCCATCGATCAGAACATTAGAAACACGCTCAGATAAGAAGTTTTTTTGTACCATCGAACAACGTTTTTCGTCAAGACCAAAGTTCTTGAGCTTATGAACAAGCAGAGAATGATTTACCTTATCAAAAAGCCTTGGCAAAAGTCAAAATAAACAACATCGACAAAATTTTTTTCGAGGCGATAGATTTTTTTGCCAAGAGGAGAGGCAAGATAGAAGGTTAAGCTTGCAAGATCGTTTGTTTAAAAAAAACCAAACTGAGATTCAGAAAACAATGAGGAGAATCTCCGGCGAATCATATCACAAATAATCCTTTCAAAGACCAGGGACAAAGGATGTGTCAAGGATATAGGGCAGTAGTTTGACGGATCTGAAGTTTTTCCACGTTTGAAAATAGGAATTACCAGTGGTAGATTTCCAGGAGGGTGGAATGAAACCGGAATAAAAAGATTCGTTAAACAGAATAGACAGAGGAATAGAAATAGATGTAGAGCACCTTTTTTTAAAAACAAGTTGATTGATTAAGTCAGGCGAAAAAAACCGCATTTGGGAGGTAAAGCTATCAGAGTTTTATAAACAAGTTCAGGAGTGAACGAAATAGAGCAGTTAGTGGCTTTTTGGGGAAGGGAAAATGGGCATCAAATCGTAAACTTCATCAGAAAAAAATTTGTGCTAAAAAAATTTGAGCAAAAAAACATCTGCTTTTGAGGAGCTTTCAGAAATAAAGGGAATTGTTGTAAAGTAATGTTGGGGATGGAAGAACAACATTTGAGTTTTTTTGGAGATATATTTGGAAAGTTGAACATGGTTGAAATTGTTAGCAATGTAAGTTTCCTGTGCCAGGGAGATGGAGGAGGCACAAGCTTTGATTTTTTTATACAGTAGATTGAATTGGAGGCAGAGTAGAATTATTGAAAAGATTAGCACGAGATGAGACTGGCTCTTTTTAATATTTAGCCAGCGAATACGATTGTCATGGTTGAATGGGCGACGACTGAGGGGGAGTTAGAAAACTAGAACAGGAATCACGAACAATTTCATTAAAAAAATTTTTTTAAAAAAATGAGAAAAATTTACTCTCAACAGAGGAAAAAAAATAGCTGAACTGCCGATCCCAGTTGAAAGAAGAAATTAAGTCGTTAACTCTAGAAAAAAATTACATTTTTTTAAATTGAGCTTTCGAACGGATGATGTGTGGTTAATCGGAGAACAGACAGAAATGGAAAATAGAATGGAAAAAGTGATCGGACCCTAAAGAGTGGTTCAGAAACTGACAAATCCGAAAAAAAAGAGAAGGGTTGGTTGTTAGAAGTAAGTCAAAATGTTAGCAGTGCTTGAAGTGCAACGAGTAGGAGAGTGAACTAATTGAGTAAGGTTAGAAGTGATAGTAAAATCGAGAAAGACTGAAGAAAGAGGGCAAAGTCGAAGTCAGAAGACCAATCAATTTTTTTGGAAGGTTGAAATCGCCAATCAAATGGTTATTGAAAGGAAGTAAAAAAATTTGGATAAATGTTTCAACAAGCTAATAGTATAATTTTTTGAAGTGGAAGGAGGACGGTAAGCTAAGAAAAAAACCTAGATTTGGACGGTGAATAAAAATCAAAGGCAAGTACCTCACAGAAATGTTCGGGATAGTGACGATCCAAGGCTAAATCCACTTCTGCGATTCCCAGGTGTTTTTTGAAGAAAATGATGATTCCACCACCTCCACAACGAGAGGAGCTTGTAGGCCGATCTACCCGTACGAAACTGTAAAAAAATTGTTAAAAAGAGAATCATGACATGTTGAATCAAGAAATGTTTCAGATAAAAAACATAAATCAATATTGTTAGTAATTAAATGGTCAAAAAGCAAGTTAATTTTGGAGGGAGATCTAATAGAGCGAATATTTGCGTAAAGGCAAGACAACTTTTGACCAGATCGAGTTAGCGCGGGGAGAGGGCGCGAAAGACCGCGAAAAGAGTTAGAATTCAAATTATGTACAAGGTTTGACCCACCAGATGATGATAATTCACAAGTGTTAAATAGAATTAGGATCAGATATATCATTCACATTAGCCGATAAGTTGACATTAACAGGGTTAGAAATAAAAAGAAATATTGTTCACAGGAGTAAAATTAGTATTAACAGAAATGTTCGTGTTGCGAGGTACAGGCAAAGGGATACATTTGGACCTTTCAACAATGGTGAGGTCTCTGAGATAAAACCGCAATTTGCCTTCGTCTTGATTGAGAACAAAGACACGATGACAGAAGGCGGCGAAGGAGGACAAGTTCATGAGGAATCATATCACGACGAACGCGACAATATGGTACAATGGTGTTTTTGAAAAAAAGCGCAGAAACAGCTCTTTTGAAACCAAAAAAATAAACATATTGCGAGAATGAACAGAGGAAAATTGGATTTTTAACCGGTCTAAAACGAGAATTACATGGATGTCGATGGATACTAAGCAGGGGCAGGAATGTTCAGATGAGAACAAACCTTATTAACTAGGATAGAATCATCAATTTCTTGTTGGGGCGTTTTTGGAATCAGCAAGTTTCTCAAGAACTGCACGAAACGACTTCTCCAAAAAGGTGGTGGAAGATGAAGCACGAGCGACAGCAGCCCACAGTTCACGGTCAGAGAGAGCATCGAGACCACGTTGATCACCAGAGGCAGAGTTCACGACAGGAGGATGAGGAGTAGCAGAGGCTTGGGCGGCAGGAACATGAGCCAAAGGAAGCTGAGCCACAGGAGCATGACGAGTTGAATCAGTTTGAGGGGCCGTCGAGTTTTGAAGCCAGATCATTCAATTGTATCATGATCAACTGGACTTGAGATTTGAGAGCAGCCACTTCTCGAAGAACAAGAGAATTAGGAGGTATGGAACTCCTAGGTGTAGAACCATCATGAGCAGCTCGTTTACGAGGAGGAGGCTGAGGCGCTGGCGACATGGAAAAGGCGACTAGAGCAAATAGAGACACGACCGCACGCCACGAGAAAAAGAGGGCGCGAATGAGAAAAGAGGGCGCGAATGAGAAAAGAGGGCGCGAATGAGAAAAAGAGGGGCGCGAATGAGAAAAGAGGGCGCGAATGATCAGGTGGCTGTCGAAAAAGACCTCTGCGTGATAAAAAGACGTGATTAGGCGCAAGCCGGTGCAAGTCGGGACAGCGGATTCCTGATATCAGGACGCCGGCATTGCAACGTCGCTATCACCATACTTACCAAGATCATAGCAGGAGGGCTCGGATCGCCGCCTCCGCGTGGCTCCCTCTGGGTGAGACCTGGTCTCAGCTAAGAGCGGTCCATTTTTGGTGAAGCCAGCCTTCGGGCTGGCAAAAAAGTACACGAAAAAATAAATTGATAGGAAGTATCTCAGAAGTAGTTCATTCATTGAAAGGTTGTCGAATGCAAAGAATTGACAAAAAAGAGGTGTTTTAGTCTTTCTTTTCAATCAGGTTTTTTTTTGATAAATTCCCACTGCAGTGCTTTCAAAGAGGTCCCTTTGTTTATCTTTTCAATCTGGTTTTTTGATTTTCCACTACAGTGCTTCGTAATCAGAAATATTTACAGTTTTCGAGCATTTTGACTGTTTATTGATAGGCGCACTCATGAAAACGATCCCGAATGCCCGTTCACTGATCAGGTGGCTGTCGAAAAAGACCACCGCATGAGAAAAGACGTGATTAGGCGCAAGCCGGTGCAAGTCGGGACAGCGGATTCCTGATATCGGGACGCCGACATTGCAACGTCGCTATTACCATACTTACCAAGATCATAGCAGGAGGGCTCGGATTGCCGCCTCCGCGTGGCGCCCTCTGGGTGAGACCTGGTCTCAGCTAAGAGCGATCCATTTTTTGTGAAGCCAGCCTTCGGGCTGGCAAAAAACAATTCGAAAAGATTAACTGATAGAAAGTAACTCAGACGTAGTTCATTCATTGAAAGGTTGTTGAATGCAAAGAATTGACAAAAAAAGAGGTGTTTTTCGTATTTCTTTTTCAATCTGGTTTTTTTGATAAATTCCCACTGCAGTGCTTTCAAAGAGGTCCCTATTGTTTATCTTTTCAATCTGGTTTTTTGATTTTCCACTACAGTGCTTCGTAATCAGAAATATTCACAGTTTTCGAGCATTTTGACTGTTTATTGATAGGCGCACTCATGAAAACGATCCCGAAAGCCCGTTCACTGATCAGGTGGCTGTCGAAAAAGACCACCGCATGAGAAAAGACGTGATTAGGCGCAAGCCGGTGCAAGTCGGGACAGCGGATTCCTAATATCACGACGCCGACATTGCAACGTCGCTATTACTACTCAAACCAAGATCATAGCAGGAGGGCTCGGATCGCCGCCTCCGCGTGGCGCCCTCTGGGTGAGACCTGGTCTCAGCTAAGAGCGGTCCATTTTTGGTGAAGCCAGCCTTCGGGCTGGCAAAAAAGTACACGAAAAAATAAATTGATAGGAAGTATCTCAGAAGTAGTTCATTCATTGAAAGGTTGTCGAATGCAAAGAATTGACAAAAAAGAGGTGTTTTAGTCTTTCTTTTCAATCAGGTTTTTTTTTGATAAATTCCCACTGCAGTGCTTTCAAAGAGGTCCTATTGTTTATCTTTTCAATCTGGTTTTTTGATTTTCCACTACAGTGCTTCGTAATCAGAAATATTTACAGTTTTCGAGCATTTTGACTGTTTATTGATAGGCGCACTCATGAAAACGATCCCGAATGCCCGTTCACTGATCAGGTGGCTGTCGAAAAAGACCACCGCATGAGAAAAGACGTGATTAGGCGCAAGCCGGTGCAAGTCGGGACAGCGGATTCCTAATATCACGACGCCGACATTGCAACGTCGCTATTACTACTCAAACCAAGATCATAGCAGGAGGGCTCGGATCGCCGCCTCCGCGTGGCGCCCTCTGGGTGAGACCTGGTCTCAGCTAAGAGCGATCCATTTTTGGTGAAGCCAGCCTTCGGGCTGGCAAAAAACAATTCGAAAAGATTAACTGATAGAAAGTAACTCAGACTTAGTACATCCATTGAAAGGTTGTTGAATGCACAGAATTGACAAAAAAGAGGTGTTTTCGTATTTCTTTTCAATGTGGTTTTTTTTGATAAATTCCCACTGCAGTGCTTTCAAAGAGGTCCTATTGTTTATCTTATCAATCTGGTTCTTTGAATTTACATTACAGTGCTTCTAATTAGTAACAAATACGGCTTTCGAGCATTTCAACTGTTTATCAATAGGCTTACTCATGAAAAAGATCTCGAAAGCCCGTTCACTGATCAGGTGGCTGTCGAAAAAGACCTCTGCGTGATAAAAGACGTGATTAGGCGCAAGCCGGTGCAAGTCGGGACAGCGGATTCCTGATATCAGGACGCCGACATTGCAACGTCGCTATCACCATTTTAACCAAGATCATAGCAGGAGGGCTCGGATCGCCGCCTCCGCGTGGCGCCCTCTGGGTGAGACCTGGTCTCAGCTAAGAGCGATCCATTTTTGGTGAAGCCAGCCTCCGGGCTGGCAAAAAACAATTCGAAAAGATTAACTGATAGAAAGTAACTCAGACTTAGTACATCCATTGAAAGGTTGTTGAATGCACAGAATTGACAAAAAAGAGTTGTTTTCGTATTTCTTTTCAATGTGGTTTTTTTTGATAAATTCCCACTGCAGTGCTTTCAAAGAGGTCCCTTTGTTTATCTTTTCAATCTGGTTTTTTGATTTTCCACTACAGTGCTTCGTAATCAGAAATATTCACAGTTTTCGAGCATTTTGACTGTTTATTGATAGGCGCACTCATGAAAACGATCCCGAAAGCCCGTTCACTGATCAGGTGGCTGTCGAAAAAGACGACCGCATGATAAAAGACGTGATTAGGCGCAAGCCGGTGCAAGTCGGGACAGCGGATTCCTGATATCAGGACGCCGACATTGCAACGTCGCTATCACCATTTTAACCAAGATCATAGCAGGAGGGCTCGGATCGCCGCCTCCGCGTGGCGCCCTCTGGGTGAGACCTGGTCTCAGCTAAGAGCGATCCATTTTTGGTGAAGCCAGCCTTCGGGCTGGCAAAAAACAATTCGAAAAGATTAACTGATAGAAAGTAACTCAGAAGTAGTTCATTCATTGAAAGGTTGTCGAATGCAAAGAATTGACAAAAAAGAGTTGTTTTCGTATTTCTTTTCAATGTGGTTTTTTTTGATAAATTCCCACTGCAGTGCTTTCAAAGAGGTCCTATTGTTTATCTTTTCAATCTGGTTTTTTGATTTTCCACTACAGTGCTTCGTAATCAGAAATATTCACAGTTTTCGAGCATTTTGACTGTTTATTGATAGGCGAACTCATGAAAAAGATCTCGAAAGCCTGTTCACTGATCAGGTGGCTGTCGAAAAAGACCTCTGCGTGATAAAAGACGTGATTAGGCGCAAGCCGGTGCAAGTCGGGACAGCGGATTCCTGATATCAGGACGCCGACATTGCAACGTCGCTATCACCATTTTAACCAAGATCATAGCAGGAGGGCTCGGATCGCCGCCTCCGCGTGGCGCCCTCTGGGTGAGACCTGGTCTCAGCTAAGAGCGATCCATTTTTGGTGAAGCCAGTCTTCGGGCTGGCAAAAAAACAATTCGAAAAGATTAACTGATAGAAAGTAACTCAGAAGTAGTTCATTCATTGAAAGGTTGTCGAATGCAAAGAATTGACAAAAAAGAGGTGTTTTCGTATTTCTTTTCAATCTGGTTTTTTTTTGATAAATTCCCACTGCAGTGCTTTCAAAGAGGTCCCTTTGTTTATCTTTTCAATCTGGTTTTTTGATTTTCCACTACAGTGCTTCGTAATCAGAAATATTCACAGTTTTCGAGCATTTTGACTGTTTATTGATAGGCGCACTCATGAAAACGATCCCGAAAGCCCGTTCACTGATCAGGTGGCTTTCGAAAAAGACCACCGCATGATAAAAGACGTGATTAGGCGCAAGCCGGTGCAAGTCGGGACAGCGGATTCCTAATATCACGACGCCGACATTGCAACGTCGCTATTACTACTCAAACCAAGATCAGAGCAGGAGGGCTCGGATCGCCGCCTCCGCGTGGCGCCCTCTGGGTGAGACCTGGTCTCAGCTAAGAGCGATCCATTTTTGGTGAAGCCAGTCTTCGGGCTGGCAAAAAAACAATTCGAAAAGATTAACTGATAGAAAGTAACTCAGAAGTAGTTCATTCATTGAAAGGTTGTCGAATGCAAAGAATTGACAAAAAAGAGGTGTTTTAGTCTTTCTTTTCAATCAGGTTTTTTTTTGATAAATTCCCACTGCAGTGCTTTCAAAGAGGTCCTATTGTTTATCTTTTCAATCTGGTTTTTTGATTTTCCACTACAGTGCTTCATAATCAGAAATATTTACAGTTTTCGAGCATTTTGACTGTTTATTGATAGGCGCACTCCTGAAAACGATCCCGAAATGCCCGTTCACTAATAATAATAATTTATTGACAGATCAGCGTGAACCCTAACGAGTTCACTTGGATCTAGAATTTGAGAGAATACATTATACAGTTATACATCATTTGAGTCGTGGAGGAATAGACAAGAAGATCTCGTGCAATGGTAGATTGACCAGTAAATTTTTTTAAAGACTTGGGGTGGTGGCTGAATTGAAATTTGGAAGTGAGTTTGTTCCAAGTAGGAATTGTTTTAAAGAAAAAAAATCATTAGAAAACTGACCTTGAGAACGCAGTCGAAGTGGATTTCATATAAATTGGACCTGAGGGCAAAAAAAGTTCGAACTGGGGAAAATGATCGATACCGAAGACAATTTTATGAAGGGTCAGAATGTCAGATATAGCTCGTCTGAGGTAAAGTGGAGAGATATCAAATTGTTCAAGGCGATCAGAGTAAGATTCAAAGGATAAGTTGGACCTAATAAAAAAATTTTTACGAGAAAAAAATTCTGAGAGGAGATTCCAGTTTGTAGCAGAGATCAGAGTTAAGGGGAGGGTTAAAAAAACTTCAGACAGTATTCTAGAATAGGCCTTACATAGGTGTTAAAAATTTTGAACAATAGATCAGGTGATTTGGAACGAAAACAGTTGAGTATCTGATTGGAACGAAGGGTTGCTAAAGAAACGATATTGTTAATGTGAGGAGCGAGAGTTAGTTTATCATCGATAAGAACACCTAGATCACGGATAATGGTTTTTCTGGGAATAGACAGACCATTGATTAAATAAGTTGTTTTGGGATTGAGGGGACCAAGGTTGATAGCAAAAGTTTTTGTGCGCAGCAAGAGGCAAGCCCCCAAATGGAAGACCATTCAAATATGGAATTAATACTACGTTGGAGAGATTCAGGGTTAGAACTGTAAATTTTTATATCATCAGCGAACAGAGAGATTGAGGTTTCATGGTCAATGTAGTTAACAATATCATTGATGAAAATTAGAAAAAGCAAAGGACCAGATACAGTTCCTTGAAGGACACCGGAAGTATTGAGATAAGTAAGAGAAGAACGAGATCCATCGATCAGAACATTAGAAACACGCTCAGATAAGAAGTTTTTTTGTACCATCGAACAACGTTTTTCGTCAAGACCAAAAGTTCTTGAGCTTATGAACAAGCAGAGAATGATTTACCTTATCAAAAAGCCTTGGCAAAAGTCAAAATAAACAACATCGACAAATTTTTTCGAGGCGATAGATTTTTGCCAAGAGGAGAGGCAAGATAGAAGGTTAAGCTTGCAAGATCGTTTGTTTAAAAAACCAAACTGAGATTCAGAAAACAATGAGGAGAATCTCCGGCGAATCATATCACAAATAATCCTTTCAAAGACCCGGGACAAAGGATGTGTCAAGGATATAGGGCGGTAGTTTGACGGATCTGAAGTTTTTCCACGTTTGAAAATAGGAATTACCGTGGTAGATTTCAGGAGGGTGGAATGAAACCGGAATAAAAAGATTCGTTAAACAGAATAGACAGAGGAATAGAAATAGATGTAGAGCACCTTTTTTTAAAAACAAGTTGATTGATTAAGTCAGGCGAAAAAAACCGCATTTGGGAGGTAAAGCTATCAGAGTTTTATAAACAAGTTCAGGAGTGAACGAAATAGAGCAGTTAGTGGCTTTTTGGGGAAGGGAAAATGGGCATCAAATCGTAAACTTCATCAGAAAAAAAATTTGTGCTAAAAAAATTTGAGCAAAAAAACATCTGCTTTTTGAGGAGCTTTCAGAAATAAAGGGAATTGTTGTAAGTAATGTTGGGGATGGAAGAACAACATTTGAGTTTTTTTGGAGATATATTTGGAAAGTTGAACATGGTTGAAATTGTTAGCAATGTAAGTTTCCTGTGCCAGGGAGATGGAGGAGGCACAAGCTTTGATTTTTTTATACAGTAGATTGAATTGGAGGCGAGTAGAATTATTGAAAAAGATTAGCACAGAATGAGACTGGCTCTTTTTAATATTTAGCCGGCGAATACGATTGTCATGGTTGAATGGGCGACGACTGAGGGGGAGTTAGAAAACTAGAACAGGAATCACGAACAATTTCATTAAAAAAATTTTTTTAAAAAAAATGAGAAAAATTTACTCTCAACAGAGGAAAAAAAATAGCTGAACTGCCGATCCCAGTTGAAAGAAGAAATTAAGTCGTTAACTCTAGAAAAATTACATTTTTTTAAATTGAGCTTTCGAACGGATGATGTGTGGTTAATCGGAGAACAGACAGAAATGGAAAATAGAATGGAAAAGTGATCGGACCCTAAGAGTGGTTCAGAAACTGACAAATCCGAAAAAAGAGAAGGGTTGGTTGTTAGAAGTAAGTCCAAAATGTTAGCAGTGCTTGAAGTGCAACGAGTAGGAGAGTGAACTAATTGAGTAAGGTTAGAAGTGATAGTAAAATCGAGAAAGACTGAAGAAAGAGGGCAAGTCGAAGTCAGAGAAGACCAATCAATTTTTGGAAGGTTGAAATCGCCAATCAAATGGTTATTGAAAGGAAGTAAAAATTTGGATAAATGTTTCAACAAGCTAATAGTATAATTTTTTGAAGTGGAAGGAGGACGGTAAGCTAAGAAAAACCTAGATTTGGACGGTGAATAAAAATCAAAGGCAAGTACCTCACAGAAATGTTCGGGATAGTGACGATCCAAGGCTAAATCCACTTCTGCGATTCCCAGGTGTTTTTTGAAGAAAATGATGATTCCACCACCTCCACAACGAGAGGAGCTTGTAGGCCGATCTACCCGTACGAAACTGTAAAAAAAAATTGTTAAAAAAAGAGAATCATGACATGTTGAATCAAGAAATGTTTCAGATAAAAAAAACATAAATCAATATTGTTAGTAATTAAATGGTCAAAAAAAGCAAGTTAATTTTTGGAGGGAGATCTAATAGAGCGAATATTTGCGTAAAAGGCAAGACAACTTTTGACCAGATCGAGTTAGCGCGGGGAGAGGGCGCGAAAGACCGCGAAAAGAGTTAGAATTCAAATTATGTACAAGGTTTGACCCACCAGATGATGATAATTCACAAGTGTTAAATAGAATTAGGATCAGATATATCATTCACATTAGCCGATAAGTTGACATTAACAGGGTTAGAAATAAAAGAAATATTGTTCACAGGAGTAAAATTAGTATTAACAGAAATGTTCGTGTTGCGAGGTACAGGCAAAGGGATACATTTGGACCTTTCAACAATGGTGAGGTCTCTGAGATAAAACCGCAATTTGCCTTCGTCTTGATTGAGAACAAAGACACGATGACGAAGGCGGCGAAGGAGGACAAGTTCATGAGGAATCATATCACGACGAACGCGACAATATGGTACAATGGTGTTTTTGAAAAAAAGCGCAGAAACGGCTCTTTTGAAACCAAAAAAATAAACATATTGCGAGAATGAACAGAGGAAAATTGGATTTTAACCGGTCTAAAACGAGAATTACATGGATGTCGATGGATACTAAGCGGGGCAGGAATGTTCAGATGAGAACAAACCTTATTAACTAGGATAGAATCATCAATTTCTTGTTGGGGCGTTTTGGAATCAGCAAGTTTCTCAAGAACTGCACGAAACGACTTCTCCAAAAAGGTGGTGGAAGATGAAGCACGAGCGACAGCAGCCCACAGTTCACGGTCAGAGAGAGCATCGAGACCACGTTGATCACCAGAGGCAGAGTTCACGACAGGAGGATGAGGAGTAGCAGAGGCTTGGGCGGCAGGAACATGAGCCAAAGGAAGCTGAGCCACAGGAGCATGACGAGTTGAATCAGTTTGAGGGCCGTCGAGTTTTGAAGCCAGATCATTCAATTGTATCATGATCAACTGGACTTGAGATTTGAGAGCAGCCACTTCTCGAAGAACAAGAGAATTAGGAGGTATGGAACTCCTAGGTGTAGAACCATCATGAGCAGCTCGTTTACGAGGAGGAGGCTGAGGCGCTGGCGACATGGAAAAGGCGACTAGAGCAAATAGAGACACGACCGCACGCCACGAGAAAAGAGGGCGCGAATGAGAAAAGAGGGCGCGAATGAGAAAAGAGGGCGCGAATGAGAAAAGAGGGCGCGAATGAGAAAAGAGGGCGCGAATGATCAGGTGGCTGTCGAAAAAGACCTCTGCATGATAAAAGACGTGATTAGGCGTAAGCCGGTGCAAGTCGGGACAGCGGATTCCTGATATCGGGACGCCGACATTGCAACGTCGCTATCACCATACTTACCAAGATCATAGCAGGAGGGCTCGGATCGCCGCCTCCGCGTGGCGCCTTCTGGGTGAGACCTGGTCTCAGCTAAGAGCGATCCATTTTTGGTGAAGCCAGCCTTCGGGCTGGCAAAAAAGTACACGAAAAAATAAATTGATAGGAAGTAACTCAGAAGTAGTTCATTCATTGAAAGGTTGTTGAATGCAAAGAATTGACAAAAAAGAGGTGTTTCTGTCATTCTTTTCAATCTGGTTTTTTTGATAAATTCCCACTGCAGTGCTTCATAATAAGTTATAAATACGGTTTTCGAGCATTTCAACTGTTTATCAATAGGCTTACTCATGAAAATGATCTCGAAAGCCCGTTCACTGATCAGGTGGCTGTCGAAAAAGACCTCTGCATGATAAAAGACGTGATTAGGCGTAAGCCGGTGCAAGTCGGGACAGCGGATTCCTGATATCGGGACGCCGACATTGCAACGTCGCTATCACCATACTTACCAAGATCATAGCAGGAGGGCTCGGATCGCCGCCTCCGCGTGGCGCCTTCTGGGTGAGACCTGGTCTCAGCTAAGAGCGATCCATTTTTTTGGTGAAGCCAGCCTTCGGGCTGGCAAAAAAAGTACACGAAAAAAATAAGTTGATAGAAAGTAACTCAGAAGTAGTTCATTCATTGAAAGGTTGTCGAATGCAAAGAATTGACAAAAAAAGAGGTGTTTTCTGTCATTCTTTTTCAATCTGGTTTTTTTGATAAATTCCCACTGCAGTGCTTCATAATAAGTTATAAATACGGTTTTCCGAGCATTTCAACTGTTTATCAATAGGCTTACTCATGAAAAATGATCTCGAAAGCCCGTTCACTGATCAGGTGGCTGTCGAAAAAGACCTCTGCATGATAAAAAGACGTGATTAGGCGTAAGCCGGTGCAAGTCGGGACAGCGGATTCCTGATATCGGGACGCCGACAATGCAACGTCGCTATCACCACCCCTTACCAAGATCATAGCAGGAGGGCTCGGATTGCCGCCTCCGCGTGGCGCCTTCTGGGTGAGACCTGGTCTCAGCTAAGAGCGATCCATTTTTGGTGGAGCCAGCCTTCGGGCTGGCAAAAAGTAAACGAAAAAATAAATTGATAGGAAGTAACTCAGAAGTAGTTCATTCATTGAAAGGTTGTCGAATGCAAAGAATTGACAAAAAAGAGGTGTTTCTGTCATTCTTTTCAATCTGGTTTTTTTGATAAATTCCCACTGCAGTGCTTCATAATAAGTTATAAATACGGTTTTTCGAGCATTTTCAACTGTTTATCAATAGGCTTACTCATGAAAACGATCTCGAAAAGCCCGTTCACTGATCAGGTGGCTGTCGAAAAAAAGACCTCTGCATGATAAAAAGACGTGATTAGGCGTAAGCCGGTGCAAGTCGGGACAGCGGATTCCTGATATCGGGACGCCGACATTGCAACGTCGCTATCACCATACTTACCAAGATCATAGCAGGAGGGCTCGGATCGCCGCCTCCGCGTGGCGCCTTCTGGGTGAGACCTGGTCTCAGCTAAGAGCGATCCATTTTTGGTGAAGCCAGCCTTCGGGCTGGCAAAAAAGTACACGAAAAAATAAATTGATAGGAAGTAACTCAGAAGTAGTTCATTCATTGAAAGGTTGTTGAATGCAAAGAATTGACAAAAAAAGAGGTGTTTTCTGTCATTCTTTTTCAATCTGGTTTTTTTGATAAATTCCCACTGCAGTGCTTCATAATAAGTTATAAATACGGTTTTCGAGCATTTCAACTGTTTATCAATAGGCTTACTCATGAAAATGATCTCGAAAGCCCGTTCACTGATCAGGTGGCTGTCGAAAAAGACCTCTGCATGATAAAAGACGTGATTAGGCGTAAGCCGGTGCAAGTCGGGACAGCGGATTCCTGATATCGGGACGCCGACAATGCAACGTCGCTATCACCACCCTTACCAAGATCATAGCAGGAGGGCTCGGATTGCCGCCTCCGCGTGGCGCCTTCTGGGTGAGACCTGGTCTCAGCTAAGAGCGATCCATTTTTGGTGAAGCCAGCCTTCGGGCTGGCAAAAAAGTACACGAAAAAATAAATTGATAGGAAGTAACTCAGAAGTAGTTCATTCATTGAAAGGTTGTTGAATGCAAAGAATTGGCAAAAAAAGGTGTTTTTGTCATTCTTTTCAATCTGGTTTTGTTGATAAATTCCCCACTGCAGTGCTTCATAATAAGTTATAAATACGGTTTTCGAGCATTTTCAACTGTTTATCAATAGGCTTACTCATGAAAAATGATCTCGAAAAGCCCGTTCACTGATCAGGTGGCTGTCGAAAAAGACCTCTGCATGATAAAAGACGTGATTAGGCGTAAGCCGGTGCAAGTCGGGACAGCGGATTCCTGATATCGGGACGCCGACATTGCAACGTCGCTATCACCATACTTACCAAGATCATAGCAGGAGGGCTCGGATCGCCGCCTCCGCGTGGCGCCTTCTGGGTGAGACCTGGTCTCAGCTAAGAGCGATCCATTTTTGGTGAAGCCAGCCTTTCGGGCTGGCAAAAAAAGTACACGAAAAAAATAAATTGATAGGAAGTAACTCAGAAGTAGTTCATTCATTGAAAGGTTGTTGAATGCAAAGAATTGGCAAAAAAAGAGGTGTTTTTTTGTCATTCTTTTTCAATCTGGTTTTTGTTGATAAATTCCCCACTGCAGTGCTTCATAATAAGTTATAAATACGGTTTCCGAGCATTTCAACTGTTTATCAATAGGCTTACTCATGAAAATGATCTCGAAAGCCCGTTCACTGATCAGGTGGCTGTCGAAAAAGACCTCTGCATGATAAAAGACGTGATTAGGCGTAAGCCGGTGCAAGTCGGGACAGCGGATTCCTGATATCGGGACGCCGACATTGCAACGTCGCTATCACCATACTTACCAAGATCATAGCAGGAGGGCTCGGATCGCCGCCTCCGCGTGGCGCCTTCTGGGTGAGACCTGGTCTCAGCTAAGAGCGATCCATTTTTGGTGAAGCCAGCCTTCGGGCTGGCAAAAAAGTACACGAAAAAAATAAAGTTGATAGGAAGTAACTCAGAAGTAGTTCATTCATTGAAAGGTTGTTGAATGCAAAGAATTGGCAAAAAAAGAGGTGTGTTTTTGTCATTCTTTTCAATCTGGTTTTTTTGATAAATTCCCACTGCAGTGCTTCATAATAAGTTATAAATACGGTTTTCGAGCGCACCAACTGTTTATCAATAGGCTTACTCATGAAAATGATCTCGAAAGCCCGTTCACTGATCAGGTGGCTGTCGAAAAAGACCTCTGCATGATAAAAGACGTGATTAGGCGTAAGCCGGTGCAAGTCGGGACAGCGGATTCCTGATATCGGGACGCCGACATTGCAACGTCGCTATCACCATACTTACCAAGATCATAGCAGGAGGGCTCGGATCGCCGCCTCCGCGTGGCGCCTTCTGGGTGAGACCTGGTCTCAGCTAAGAGCGATCCATTTTTGGTGAAGCCAGCCTTCGGGCTGGCAAAAAAGTATTCGAAAAGATTAACTGATAGAAAGTATCTCAGACTTAGTACATTCACTGGAAGGTTGTCGAATGCAAAGAATTGACAAAAAAGAGGTGTTTTTGTCATTCTTTTCAATCTGGTTTATTTGATAAATTCCCACTGCAGTGCTTCATAATAAGTTATAAATACGGTTTCCGAGCATTTCAACTGTTTATCAATAGGCTTACTCATGAAAATGATCTCGAAAGCCCGTTCACTGATCAGGTGGCTGTCGAAAAAGACCTCTGCATGATAAAAGACGTGAATAGGCGTAAGCCGGTGCAAGTCGGGACAGCGGATTCCTGATATCGGGACGCCGACATTGCAACGTCGCTATCACCACCCTTACCAAGATCATAGCAGGAGGGCTCGGATTGCCGCCTCCGCGTGGCGCCTTCTGGGTGAGACCTGGTCTCAGCTAAGAGCGATCCATTTTTGGTGAAGCCAGCCTTTCGGGCTGGCAAAAAAATGTACACGAAAAAATAAATTGATAGGAAGTAACTCAGAAGTAGTTCATTCATTGAAAGGTTGTTGAATGCAAAGAATTGGCAAAAAAAGGTGTTTTTGTCATTCTTTTCAATCTGGTTTTGTTGATAAATTCCCACTGCAGTGCTTCATAATAAGTTATAAATACGGTTTTCGAGCGCACCAACTGTTTATCAATAGGCTTACTCATGAAAATGATCTCGAAAAGCCCGTTCACTGATCAGGTGGCTGTCGAAAAAGACCTCTGCATGATAAAAAGACGTGATTAGGCGTAAGCCGGTGCAAGTCGGGACAGCGGATTCCTGATATCGGGACGCCGACATTGCAACGTCGCTATCACCACCCTTACCAAGATCATAGCAGGAGGGCTCGGATTGCCGCCTCCGCGTGGCGCCTTCTGGGTGAGACCTGGTCTCAGCTAAGAGCGATCCATTTTTGGTGAAGCCAGCCTTTGGGCTGGCAAAAATGTACACGAAAAAATAAATTGATAGGAAGTAACTCAGAAGTAGTTCATTCATTGAAAGGTTGTTGAATGCAAAGAATTGGCAAAAAAAGGTGTTTTTGTCATTCTTTTCAATCTGGTTTTGTTGATAAACCCCCACTGCAGTGCTTCATAATAAGTTATAAATACGGTTTTCGAGCGCACCAACTGTTTATCAATAGGCTTACTCATGAAAATGATCTCGAAAGCCCGTTCACTGATCAGGTGGCTGTCGAAAAAGACCTCTGCATGATAAAAGACGTGATTAGGCGTAAGCCGGTGCAAGTCGGGACAGCGGATTCCTGATATCGGGACGCCGACAATGCAACGTCGCTATCACCACCCTTACCAAGATCATAGCAGGAGGGCTCGGATTGCCGCCTCCGCGTGGCGCCTTCTGGGTGAGACCTGGTCTCAGCTAAGAGCGATCCATTTTTGGTGAAGCCAGCCTTCGGGCTGGCAAAAAAAGTACACGAAAAAAATAAATTGATAGGAAGTAACTC